TGAGCTGCTTATCAGAATTACGGGAATTGTCAGCCCGACAATATTTAATTGGATGAACATGTTTTAGTTTTATGCCTTACCCAGAATATAAAAATACATATAAACACATTTAGATCATTTTCATTAATCTTTACTTTTGGACTGTGAAGAGACTTTCGACCAGCACAACAACACATGATTCTGAAGATGATCACCTACTGCAGCTTTAAATAGATTTAAAAAAATAAAATAAAACCAAAAATGAAAACTTTAGAACTGAAAGTGGCTCAGATGTTCTGGAATAAATGGTGTTGCAGTAATGCACAATTGTTGGTCACCTGAGACTCCTTTTATAACAGCACTCTCACAAGATTATCTCTTGCTTTCACAAAAAGTTTTTTATCTTTTATTTATATTTGTTACTAATAGCCTATTTTAGTTTTGCCTACGGGTAAAGGAAGCCTATGGACTTTTTAAATTTGTTTTTAGTGCATATATTTACTGATTTGTCAAATACCCAGAATATACAGGGTGTCCGCGGGGGTTGTGAAAGGTAGTAAATGAAATTAGTCAAAATTAAGGGCATTAAAAAGTATTAAAAAGTAGTTAATGTCATCTGACGAGGTATTACATTTTCGAGCTCAAGATAAATTTTTAGATTTTTAGATACATTTTCAGTTTGTGTTGAGTGCAGGCCTTTATTCTAAAATTTGCGTGGATTTATTTAAATGTTGAGAGTAGGACCGGAGCGATATCGTGAGGTGGTATGGTAACTTGGCAACAAAGCCGCAACAACAACACACCAGGGCTCGAAATTGTGACTATTCTGGTTGCATATGCGCCCAAAAACTAAGCTATGCAACCTCATAATATATTTGGGAGCATGTGTGCGACTGCATATAATGGTTGTAGTGCGACCTGCTTAGATTTTTTCTAAAGATGTGCTGAATCGCTTTTCCCTGCCATTATAACGGTTCATATTAGCTGTCAATCACTTAAGGCTTTCCGCTGTCAGGTGACAGGGAGCTTTTGTGACTGCAGGAATTGCAAACGCCTGAAGAGTGAAAAGTACACAGGTTTGCAAATCCCACCTAAGGTTACAAATAATGGCCCAGATGACCACTATCATGTGGTGAATGTTGATCCACCAACCGAGATCGAGTGTTTTCGGAGAAGGTGGCCGAATCTCGATGCGTTGCATTCACTGCGTGTTCAGCGCAAATGTCCGCTAAATGTAAAATCTAATACTGTACACATCATCGCCAAAGAAGCAGGCCTTCTAAGTTTACACTGAAACTGCAGCTCATAACAAAGAACCGCATTGCGCTGTTGGTCATCGCGAGAATCCTGCTCTGCCTGCTCATTTATTGGGTCGGCTGACTCGCCTGCTTTATTCCACAAACACAGAAAAATGTAAATCAGCTCATAACTAGTGTGAGCATTTACAATGACACAAACCAAAATCAAAACTTTCAAAGAGTGGCAGAAGTGAGACTTTTTTTTTGAGATTTATATTCTTTTTCTATTTAATTACTGATGACTGTTTGCAGCTTTTAGCCTTGAATTGAATGATTTATTATAATCTTTTGTTTGTTTTGTAGTAGAAATATTATTCATTAAATTAACTCGCATATAAAAAAACATATTTTTGTTTGATGTAAACTATACATTTATTCTTCATGAAGTAACAGTAGGACTTTATATAGCAGATAACCCACATTCAAGGCAGCATGATAATCACAAATGTAATTCTTTGTTAGTATTATTGTCATCATTGATTCAGCACCATTGTCTAACCGTGCTGAGAACGGTGTGTAATTGTGCCGCACTGATCCAGGCTCAGTGGAGAAACAACCATAACCGTACTGAACTGTTCTTAGAAGAGCGGCTATTGATATTAATGACATGCGTAACATTGATTAAAAACTATGAACAAAGGCCCATTGTGACATCTAGATTAATCCCTCTGCTTTACTTAAATGTATATGTTATTTGCAATATGTTATTGCATTTAGAAAGATTTAATTTACGCCACTACAGTTGCAGCTCTAAGTCGTGCTGGTATTACATTTTTTTTGAAGGCATTAAAAAAGGTAGTAAAAGGTATTAAATTCAACTTAAGAAGTTCTGTAAATACCTTGAAATAAATATGTTTGTTTTATTTGTGTTTAATTCGATGGAATGATAAACATGGACATGGGTGTTATTCAAAACATGACCTATTTATTTTTAAATATATTATATTTATATATTTAAAATGTTTTATTTAATTGTTTAAACCATATTACATAAATTTACAACTACTATTTTACCATTTGTTTTGGCTTTAGTTATTAAACAGATTATTAATAAATAATCAAAGAACATTTTACTGAGCTCAGTCAATAGTTTTGTCTGTAGGTCTAGTCAAAAGTCTAGTACAATTAGAGCCATGGCTGCAACAAGTCGGCAATACTGTGTCTAAAATGAAACTCAGAAAACAATAAACAGAATTATTCCAAGCACAACATTGTGTTAGATTTTAGCAAATACAAATGTAAGCTTGTTGATTATCACTTATGTGACTATGATCAGACCTGCCGCACTCAACTGAACAAAACATGGACAAATAAAACTCTATCACAGAGAAATAGTCATCCGCGGGGGTCCTTCTCTCATCTAAACAGGACATTAATGCATCTTTGTTTCTTATGTGTGTATCATTGTAGGTGTCCCCAAAGGTGTGTGTGTGTATCACCAGAGTCCTCAAAGTGTAGCTAAAGCAGTGTGTGTGTATCACCAGTGTCCCCAAAGGTGTGTGTGTGTGTATCACCAGAGTCCTCAAAGTGTAGCTAAAGCAGTGTGTGTGTATCACCAAGGTCCCCAAAGGTGTGTGTGTGTATTACCCGAGTCCTCAAAGTGTAGCTAAAGCAGTGTGTGTGTATCACCAGTGTCCCCAAAGGTGTGTGTGTGTATCACCAGAGTCCTCAAAGTGTAGCTAAAGCAGTGTGTGTGTATCACCAAGGTCCCCAAATGTATGTGTGTATCACCAGAGTCCTCAAAGTGTAGCTGAAGCAGTGTGTGTATCACCAAGGTCTCCAAAGGTGTGTGTGTATCAACAGAGTCCCCAAAGGTATGTGTGTATCACCAGAGTCCTCAAAGTGTAGCTAAAGCAGTGTGTGTATCACCAAGGTCCCCAAAGGTATGTGTGTATCAACAGAGTCCCCAAAGGTATGTGTGTATCACCAGAGTCCTCAAAGTGTAGCTAAAGCAGTGTGTGTGTATCACCAGTGTCCCCAAAGGTGTGTGTGTGTATCACCAGAGTCCTCAAAGTGTAGCTAAAGCAGTGTGTGTGTATCACCAAGGTCCCCAAATGTATGTGTGTATCACCAGAGTCCTCAAAGTGTAGCTGAAGCAGTGTGTGTATCACCAAGGTCCCCAAAGGTGTGTGTGTATCAACAGAGTCCCCAAAGGTATGTGTGTATCACCAGAGTCCTCAAAGTGTAGCTAAAGCAGTGTGTGTATCACCAAGGTCCCCAAAGGTGTGTGTGTATCAACTGAGTCCCCAAAGGTATGTGTGTATCAACTGAGTCCCCAAAGGTAGGCGTGTGTGTATCACCAGAGTCCTCAAAGTGTAGCTAAAGCAGTGTGTGTGTGTGTATCAACAGAGTCCTCAAATGTGTGTATTTCCACTGTAGTCTAAACTAAATTAATTATAGACACTCCTCTTTCAACTAATCATTTGTATAAAGACTTTCACAGTATTTGTTTTCACTGAGAAACGTGTCTTATGGCGCATGTAAGTAGGTAGTGTATATGAATTTGAACTTCACAACCCTTGTTTTATACAGTATGGGTTTTAGTGTGAATGGATTTGAGGTGTACTATATTAACCATCATATGACTTATCAGTAGAGTTTCATCACTTCTCATATCATTGGATAATAATGTGTCCATTGAGCTTCATAAACTCACTGTAAGGTCATCCATTTACTTCTCCCTTACTGTTTTTTAAAATTAGTTTGTATGTATTATTCTGCTAACATGCTGTCTGTCACATACTATTTATGAGAGAAATATGTCATTTCATGAACAATACTTGACACCAAATGATCTTCTGACACCAGATTGAGTTATTTGTGAAGGAAAAAATGTAATTGTCTATTTTCAGTGATCTTATTTACTTTATCATATGTCTCTCTGCACTAACATTATTATAATTATTAATAATATTATATTAGAAATATTCAGATAACCGAGTCCTGAAAGTATACTTTAACCTGAGTTTGTGTATAACTGCGGTCCTCAAAGTGTGACTATACCGGAGTTTGTGTACATGTCCCCAAAGGTGAGTTATAAAATACTGTCCTCATTTTGAAGGTAATTTGTCAGGTCTTTATAGAAGTATTTTTTTGCAAATATCAACTGATATTCATAATAAGCACATTTTTAGTAGTGCAGTCATGTCTTTCTTTTGTCTCTAGACCCTTCAGAAAGGGTAGTCCCCAAAGGTAGGGTGTTGAGTCATGTGTCCTCATTGGTTTGTTAGGTGGGTATGTGTGTGTGTGTGTGTGTGTGTGTGTGTGTGTGTGTGTGTGTGTTTAAGCATTTCAAAAGAGTTTAAAGCATCCCTGCACAAGAAATGTTGTCATAATTTATAATGTTTATAATGTTTTTAGATTTCAAATCAATTGTTATTTATACATTGAAGTGTTATTTTAAATTTGATTATTTCATTTCTGTATTTTTAGACAATCTGAAAAATCTATTTTGTATGTTTGTTTTGTTGTATTTATCTTTGCTTGTAATTTGTTATATTTTTATCCAAATGCTCTTGTCTATAATCAATAATCAATCTGAAATTATTTGTTATTTTCAAATATAGCAGTTCATGTCATCCAGAGAAACTGTATTCAAATTTCAAGATATATCACAGAATAACTAAATATGATGCAATGTCAGTGTTTTCAAATATCGTGCAGCCCTATATAGTGCGTATAATCACTTGAATATGCACATTCAGACAAATTGTAGTTTCTTACCTCTCTAGCATTAGGTATGTCATTCTCCAGAAGGCCTTGACCCATTGACACAGCCTGGGCAAACGTCTCCTCACGGGCCACAATCTCAGCCCACAACTGCTGGTGCTGGAACAACTGCAGGTCACAGGTGGCAACGTCTCGAATGGACTCCTCTGCCTTCATCCAGCTCAGCACCTGAGAGCACCACAGGGAGTAGTCCTGTGCCTGGAGGGCAGAGCAATACAGAAATGACTGTAACACTTTTCACCCAATATTTTTTGAGGTGGTTGAATTACATTAAGATCACTTTTAATTTTAAAATGTTCTGAACTGAGGATACCGTGTTGAGGAACATGTAGCGGTCTTTAGCCGATTGCAGCTCCTCTTCTCTCTGCTCCATCCGCATGCGGAGCCGCTCCCAGTTCTCCACCACCTCCTGTTGTAGTTCCTGCAACCCCACCCGCAGCTCAGGAGAGCACATGCCCAAAATAGCATCGGTTCCATCCAACAGCTCCTGCAGCTGTAGACGAATCATAAAGTATAAACACTGAAATGGAGAAATAAACTAGGAACATTTGTCATTTCTTTATAATAATAATAATAATAATAAACAAATATGTATATGTTTTTTAATGTTTTTTTTTCATGGATCCAGGTATTAACTTTAGGTTTAAAAATTATTTTGAAGTTATACTTTTTTTGTAAAATATGTTTAGCCTTGTCCCAATATATATTACACTGGATTTAGATGATAAACATGTGTATACATCTATTGACCTTTTCAACTAAAATAACTGATCATTTATTTAATTTAGAGGTGAAAGTTTAAGAAACAATACAATCATTTATTTAGTTTGAAAACTTTGTGTACTATTGTGTTACTTTGTGTACTATGCTGTTTTAGATTGTTAGTTCCATTAGAAGTAAACATTTAACATGCAAATAAATGTTACCTAATTCTGTTAATTCCAATTTAATTCATTTGTTACTTGTTATTCACATGATTCCTCAAATTGCTACAAAAGTGTTTCAGAAAACAACTTTTGTTTGTTTTATTAGGCTATTTATTTACATACAATAATAAAATGACCACAAGTCCAAAGAATATATGGATGTTTCCCAGTGATGGGTTGAAGCTGGAAGGGCATCCACTGTGTAAAACATATGCTGGATAAGTTGGTGGTTCATTCCGCTGTAGCGACCCTTGATTAATAAAGGAACTAAGCCGAAAAGAAAATGAATGAATGAATAAAATGACAAGTTATCTAAGTGCATTTGGTAATTTTCCCATAGCACAAAGCATCTATGCCATCCACTAGATGTCAGTATAATGTAATTTCCAAGATCACTATCAATTCACCTCTGCAGTGTTTCCTATTGCAGTACCTGTTGCTCAGTTCCAGCCAGCTCGTGCACAAGAGCTTCATGTTTGCGTAGCTGTGACTGCACTCCTTTCAGATCTTTGGCTATGTCTTCAGGAATGGTTTTGTGCCTCTCCTGGTGCAAAATAAGTGATAAGTGAGCATCGTGTTATTCAGCAACTTCAAAACACATTTGTCTTGGTTACCTTGATCTGTCCCAGTGCATCGGTCAGGTCTTTGTAGAATTTGTGACATTTTTCAGACTTACGAAGCTTTTCTTTACGATCTTTCGATAAATCCTGCAGCTCGTCCCACGATTCTCTGTCACACAATACTATTTATTTTGAGCTGCATATTATATCTATAATCTATAACAGTATGTGCAGGTATGATGCATAAAAATTTCATTTGGGCTATTTATTAGTTTATAATATTTTTTTGGATCACACGCTGTCACCTGAGCAGATTCTGTGTTTCTCGGATGAAGCGACTCTCAGGGTGATTGCTTTTGATGAGTTTGTCAGCCAACTGTTCACAGGTGTGCATCCTCTCCTTTCCCACCTCCAGCTGCTTCAAGAAGACCTCAAATCTCCCACGCAGTTGCTATCATAAAACAAGAGGTGCTTAGATCCTGATCACAGGCAACATACATAGCAGTTTATGTAATCCTAATGAACCAGGATGAATCATTTGGAAATTTGATGACTTTTATTGGTTTTAAATATTCAAGTAGGGTTTTCAATAACCTGACGACGGGCTCCTGAAAACAATATGATGACTTGGGGCAAATAAAAACTATGAAAATATTAATACAATTAAAGCAAGAGAAATAAAATAATTACTGTTATATTGTGAAATCAATTATGTTATTTACAAAATGTGAAAAAAAATAATAAAATGAAACTGTAGTAAATTTGTAAAGTCTGGTAACATTATAATATATATATATATATATATATATATATATATATATATATATATATATATATATATATATATATATATACATATACAGTATCTCAATAATAACTGGTATCTGGTGCAGTTCAGTCATTTTGGAGAGATTTTTAGCAAATGGCTTGAAACTTATTAAAGGTACTTGCCATGTAAACAAAAAAAAAGTATGATTGTAAAATGTTAAAAGTTCACAATGGAATTTTTTGAAAATATTGGGAAACTACCCAGAAGGCACAGGACATCAACATGACATCAGATTGATGCTGTACCCCTATGTCGTGGGGATGTGGGATGTTGCATTTTGCTTGGAATTGAAAATCTGGTTGACGTTTGAACCCAATGTCCAACCTAAAACCAACCAAACATCAACGTCTAATGATGTTACAGCTTGACATTGTGTGGATGTTGACGTCTATCAGACACTGGATTTTGACAAATAAATGTCAGTATTTGACATCAATAGACCATTTTGAGCGATGTAAACAAAAACTTTGGTCGCAACGTATTTCCTTTTTTACATTTTTAATTTCTATACAGTAGCTTCCGAGAATCCAAAAAGAGCCACATATAGATAGATAACATTATGATAGCTGTTTTAACATCATGATATGATTGAATTAACTCTTGTTACAGTTATGAAATAGTTTAATAACAAGCAGGAAATGTTCATGGGCCAGTGACATGACCACATTGAAATGGTCTGTATGATGTTGGTTTAAGATGTTGGCTCAATGTTTGGTCTATGATTTTGGTCCATTTCCAACACAACCTAAAATCAACCAAACATCATTTGACGTCGTTATTGGACATCAAAATTATGTTGTCCTTAGACGTCGTGACCTAAATCTAACCAAATAATAACATCTTATGACGTTGTGTGCCTGCTGGGTGATTTCATCTACATCATACAGTATGTTTGTTACTGTGGCCAGACAAAATGATACTGAAAGCATAATTAAAACCATAGACGCACACACTTAATTTTTTCTGATTATTATTATTTCTGCAGTCTACACACCAAATTATTTAAGATTCAACACTTCATTTGAAGTTTCGTGAAGTTTTATTTTTAATAATGCATCATGAAATAATACATCATGACATGCCAGATCATATATGGACAATTAATAAGTACTGCATGAATTTATTTCATATCCTATGAATTAAATAAAAAAGGTTGTAAAATATACCATATTATTTTCACTGAATAAGAAACACTAAATGGTTAATACATTAAAACACAGACAGCCCTAAATTTTTACTAACAGTAAAATCTTGATTTTTCTGTCAGAACCCAAGTACCTTAACCTCCAAATGAAAAAATAAAGCAAAGTAGTTTGAGAGCAAATATAAAGGAGTGACAAATCTCACCATTGCATTTTCATAATCACTCCCAAGATCATTAGAGGCTGCAATCTGTGTCTGCTGAGCAATCCATTCCTCCAGTTCACTAGTCTCACGCTTAAATTCATGTAGGTGTAGAGTCTCTCGAAGCCTCTGTTCTCTGTTGTGAAGACATATGTTTGTTTTACACTGCAAACACACAGCATGGGAGGGTGTGCACTTCAGCTATAGCTATTTTACCTGACTGTCGCTGAGTGTTGAAGCTCACTCAGCTTAGATTTAATGTGGTTGCAGGGCTTGTTCAACTCCTCTAAACCCCACACACGTACAGCCTGCTTGACATTGGACTTGAGTTCATCTACTTGAGCAGCAAGTACCTCGATTTGCCCCTCCACTCCCTGGAGAAACAAAGCAGTTTGCGTTAACATGTTTAAACCCTAAGCTATTGCATTAGTACAAGCCAAAGATTACTCACCTCGTGTTGCTTTATTAGACTGCGGGTAGCTAATTCAGTCTTGCCATAATCAGTGCTGACTAAAGCTGATGTTTCTGACACAAGGGTTTCCAGCTCAGTGCAGTCAAGCAGAATCTGTCCATCAGATCAAAAACATTAACACTAATAGTTTTAATAATCGCTGGCACAAAAAGACCGCAAACTGTCCTACACCTTTACCTGTTCCCGTGTAACAGCCCTGTTAAGTTCTCCGGAGCGTTTCTTGCAGGATTCCTCTAACTCTTCCCACTTTGCGATCAATTGCTCACACCTCTGCTGCACCTCCTGACCATTCCACTGATTGGATCGGGCCATGGCTCGTCCTCTGTCCAGTACTCGCTGCAGGTACTTGCTGTGGGCATTCACCTCCGCCTGCAGGTCCTGAAAGGGTTTTCAGAGATTCAACAGTTATAACGAATGAAACTCTTTGGTACAGTCTTTGGTTTAAAGTGATTAAATGCAACTCTATGTGGAAATATAAGACTAAATTCACTATGTGTAAACTCTCGCTTAAACATACCTTATGTTTTTGAAGAAGGCTAACTGCCCCAACCAGTGATCTCTCATAGTTTGTAGTATCAGCTACAGGCTGATGCTCTGATATCCAGTTTAGCTCTAGGTCTACATCATGGTAAAAGCTGTATAGATCCACATCTGCCTCTAACTGGCTCCTGCGATGATCCAAAGGTTTCTCTAGAGACTTAAATCTGACAAATAAAACAGAGTTAAAGGCTTTTTAAAGCAACTGTAATTGTCATCAATTTATTCGTTTTTGTATGTCTAAAAAAATGTGACTTTCTTTGCATGTAAGTTTTCATTATGGAAACAGAGGAAATATAAGTACTTACAGTTTCAGGTAAGTGTCAGTCTCCTTGAGAATGCGCTGAGAGTCAAAATGGTTGGTGGCCAGGTTTTTGGCACGGGTGACAATAGAATTGATTTTCTCAGCAAGTTCTTGAGCTTCCTCTTCCAGCTGCTTGTGCTCTTTTAGTAGCTGTCTGCTGGAGCGGAGGTCATGACCCCTGATTGCATTTTGTAGCATTCTCTCAATTGCCTCAATCTTCAATTTAGCATCCTGAAAATAAACAGACATTTGATTTGTATTTTTATGGTGCAAACTTGCAAAGAGTTAATTTCGGCTGATTTAATTTAAATAAACAATTCAGATGCGAATACATTTGAAAATGAGTTCTGGTGACATTTCCAGTGCTTGCACTAGTAGTACTTTAATTACAGGGGCGTAGCGGATATTTTAAAATTGGGGGGACAGTTATGAGACCCTAAAGTTTACGTTCAAATAATTATTAATCAACCGTTTTTAAATGGTCTGTCTCTATTTCATTGTCAAAAGGTACCTAAAAAAGCAAACTATACTGTACCACTTTTTTGGTACCCTTTGCAAAGAGTACCTAGCACAAAAAAGGGTAACAAAAGGTGGAGCAAGATGTGCAACTGAATGCTATTGGTTTACATAGATACGTCACTCGCTTGTGCAACAAACTAGAAGAATGAAAAAAATGTTGTTGTCTTGATGAACAGCCACAAAGCCAAAAAGAAGAGCAGAATCTGCCCAGTTCCCCATAGTTTTTACAAGGCCATCTAAAGCGTGAGTGGTTTAGTGCTTGCCACATGTCTGTATTTGAAATATCAAACTTCTTGAGCTGATAATAATAACGTGCGCCTGATTATTTAAGCACTTCTGACATTTCGATCCTTTCAGACATGGACAAATGCGAGTGAAAAAACAAAAGAGAAGCCAGAAAAAACAAAGGACAAGATGATTGTTTCAGCAACCTAAAACATTTAAAAAATGCCACGTTTAACTACTATCATCACCTTTTGGACTATTAAGGCTGATTTATACTTCTGCGTCAAGCACACGCGTAACTTACAGCACAGCCTTCACATTGACGCATAGCCCCACGTCGTGGCCGTCAGCGTCGCTGACGCACACCTCTCAAAAAATGTAACTACACGTCGCAACAACCCATAGCGCAAGCTCTGTGATTGGTTGGCTTGGTAGCACTGACGAGTCTGGACGGGACCAAGAACCTCGCGAGCCCTATGGAGCGATTGTTTACAAGTGTGGACTCCCGTGAAGGAGCTCCGGATAGAAAGTTTTGTTTTGTGTTTACCTCATGGTTAAAGTTGTTGCACGTGTGCCGGTTCCTGCTTCAAAATGAGCAAGTTTGAGCCACTTGTACATTAAAGAAGCGTTCAGAAAAAACAAAACCCTAGTGAAGAAACTCGGCACAGGAGAACATTAACACCTCACCGCCAACTAGCGTTTCGGAAGTGTTATTGCAGAACAACAGAAACAGCGTGCACAGCTACGCGCATTGCATGCGCTGTGGGTCACGCCGATCACAGGCTTTATGAACTCGGAATGACGAAATTACTTTTAAATAAAAGGTTGCATGTGCAGGTGAAGATTAAAGATATAGACCATTGGTACCCTTTTGGCAGTGGAAACGCAAGCCTGATAAAGGTGACCCATACCATACCGTGCTGTACCACTCAGTGGAAACGAGCCATGAATACTTTCAGTACAGTCCTGCAGTAGTAAACTGTAGAACAAAGCTTAAATATACAGTACCTGCAGCAGCTCCATGAGTTGCTCCTGTTGGCCAGCCTGTCGCAGCTTGTCCCCTCTTTCAGCCATCTTCCTCTGAAGTTCAATCCACCTTTTGTGTACCTCTTGAGTCTTTTTCTGAATGCTCTGGGTGTTGTAGTGATCATCTGCCAACATCTTCTCTCCAGTCTAACCACATAAAATCCAGTCATCAGAATAGATACAAGTTTGGCAAAATATACCAGTAAACAATGTATCTGATGTGTTACTGTACCTCAATTAGTCTGTCTATGCGAACTGCATTGGCCTGCATCTCTTTTTCTGCTGCCTCATGTTTTTTAAGCTTACGAAGGATGTTGGTTGGATCTCTGTACGATTCATCCTCAGCGATCTCAAACTTTTCATCCATCCACAACAGCATCTCCTCAGCATCTCTTAAAAATTCCTATGCCAGGGAAAATTTTTAAAGCATTAAAAATGTTTTATTTGGGAGCTACTAACACATTTTAACATTTATTTTTTACCTGGTACTTTTTCGAAGCAAGTAATTCAAGCCTCCTTAATTTACAACTTTCTTTCAGCCTCTTGAAATGATCTTGAATGACCTTTGATCGCTGTTGAATTCTGGATAAAGGATAAATATGTCAGGTTGAGGAAGACCATAGACAACTATTTTTGTCTCTAATACACTTAATACTAACATATGAAAACAAAAAAAACAGCTTTAATTTTTAAAAAGGTTTATTTTTGGCATTTTTTACTTTACTGTAGGACAGTGCAAGAGCAGAATGGGATTGGAAAAGACTTGAATTTGATGCCCAAAGTGCAATGGCACTCAATGTGGCTGCGCTGCCCATGAGGATATCAGCCCCGACAGCTATACTCACTCTTTAGCAGCAAAGTTACGCTTGCTGATGAGCTCCTGGCACTTGTCTTGAAAGAGGATAATAGACCGCTCTAGAGCCTCAAGCAAAGCCTCAAGCTCTTCTTGTCGGCTCAATAAACTGTGAACACTGTCCACAGAGTCCTGTGCAGAATTGAAGTTTTACAGTAAATCGTTATGAATTTATAGCTCTTCAAACAATGTGTTTAGATGCAGGAAATCTATTAAATATCAAATCATTAATTTACCCCTAAGTCTCTGACTTTAAGTCTGGCTTCATGACCAGAAATGGTGGCCTCAATACGATCTGCTTCCATATTCAGTTTCTGAAACTCCAGTCCTTGTTCAAGCCTTCTGTTGCGACTAGACCACAGTTTGTCCAGCTGGCTCCACTCATGATCCAACTTTGTAAGTGTCTGCTGAACATCTTTACCTCCTTTCTCTCCAGATGCCACGTCAAGAGACTGACCCAGCCTCTCCATATCTTTTAATCTGAAACAATCTTACCATCAATCATATGCACTAAAACAAGAATTGTAAAATAAAGACCAAACACAACTAACTTTGCTTTCTGCAGTTCAATCTCCTGCTTGAGATCAAGGTTCTCCTTCAACAAGGCTTGAGCCGATGCTACATCAGATCCTGTCTCCTCTTCCAGAAGATGCTCCTGTGTTGCCTCAGCCCACATCAACAGGTCTCTGGTCTCTTTTTGAAAGAGTTGCAAGCGTCTGGCTTCTTCAAGCATTCGTTGTCTTTGAATGGCTTGAGCCTTTAACTGCCGCAACAAGTCTTCCAGAGCATGTACTTCTTCCATGATAGCAGCACTTTCTGCAGGACTACAGTCCTTTTTCCTTTAGCAAAGCAATAGGATATATAGTTAACAGGCAATAAATGAGGATTGTTTTAGGCAAGGCAAGATTTAGGTTCACTACTACACATAACACATTTTACTGTAAGTTATTGTTAAGGTTAAATACAATTAGTGGCAATAAATATAAAGAAAACAAGTGGTACTGCAATTGTTTAATGGCAAACTCACATCTTGGCCACACTTTTAAGATAGTCTATTTTCCTTTCAAGGGCTTCTATGTCCCTTTCAGCTTGGGCTTGTCTGTGTTCCTCAGCTTGTAAGGCTGATGGTGAGCTCCCCACATCAGGTGTGTCAAGCTGGGCGAGTCTGTGCTGGAGCTGAGCTTGGACTTCCTGGCAGGTCTGCAGGAAGGACTTCACATCAGCAGAACTCAGAAGCTCATGAGCCATCTCATCCTTTAGTTTCTGAATACGTTCCCATCTGGTCATTAAAAAAACACTTTTAGTAATTTCTACCAAGACAGTGGTAAGGTGGGGTGGTATAGTTGCCCTTAATACCTGCGAGTAACAATTCCAAGTCTTTGCTGAATGTCTTTTTTCCTGCTGTGCTGTTGTTTCAATAGCTCATCTCCAAACTTGGTAATATCATCAAGCTGCTTTCTACCACTGGCTAGTTCAGTTACAAAATTCTGCGTAGCATTGAAAGGGAAGAAGAAGTCAGTGTTTTTAAATAAAAATACCACAATGTTCAAGAAAAACAAGTAATTCTTTTGGAGTTACTTCTCTAAGCAACTTTATAAGATGCTCTGAAGGGTGTTAATGTTGACTTTCTGCTTGTGTTTTCAGCAAGGACTGACCTCATATTTGGCTTGTACAACCTCTAAGTTGTTGGAATTGGAGCTGAAAGTGTTGAGGACATTCTCCTTGTCTCCCATCCAGGACTCAAACTCCTCACAAGCATTGTAGAATCTGTGTAGTCGTGCAGTGTCCTCCAGGATCTTATTTTTTGACTGATGGGAAAAGTTTGTGTAAAATGCTTGAAAAATATTTTAAACCATCCGTAATCATAAACAGTACAATTCTCTAGAACAATGTTTTGTAAGACCTTGAATATTTACCTGTGCTAAATTGTAAAGGCGGTTGAAATCCTTTTCCAGACTGTTTTGTGTGCTCTCTATTGTGTCTTTTTGGAAATGTGGGTCTGGTAAGGTTGAGGTAGATATTTCAGCTGTGCCACGCCGCATGGATCGAGTGCGGCGAGGGCGGCTCACTTTTCTTTTTGGACTCTCAGCTACTCCGTTTGTAGTTTCAGGTGGTGCTTCCTGCTTTTGGTTGAATCAAAACAGAAGCAAAAAGTACTGTCTAGTAGATGCGATTTTATAAGAAGCCTTTTGGCTCATAAGGTTTGAATTTCAAATAGAATTGGAAATTTAATGAGTTTTACAGAAACTGGCAGCTCCCTGATGTATGTGGAAGAGACTAGTTGCTCATTTCCTCTGCTGTCCCGAAGAAGCAACTTATCATCCTTTTCCCTGCTGATAATTGTCAATATTTCTCCTCTGTCCCAGATTAGTTTAGGGCCTGAAAAAAAGAAGATAGATTGTCCACAAAAACCACCCCTGTAGAATTTATCAGATTTGACCAAAGCGCCAGTAGCATCTATCATATTTTTCTGACATGTTTACCTCTGTATTTAAACCTAATCATTGCTTGTTCTTGTTGTAAAATCTTGCTGACTGCTTTGCCTCCTTTGTCAGCTTTTTTCTCCTTCTCATCTTCGCCATCTGATGAATCACTGTAGTGGACCATTCTCGTTTGCTGGGTTTCAGTCTTAAATTGATTAAAAATGTGTCAGTGAAGCTAATAATTTCTCTGTTTTAGTAATAAAGTACATGACTTTTACAATTCATTGACTCACTGTAAGAGGAGCAAGTTGGGCAGCGCTCTTGGCCTGCTCACCCAGTCGTTTGACTTCTGAGGAATATGCTTCCATTTCTTTCTCCACTCGTTGGTGACGCTGGAGCAGAGCAGTAGAGCTGGCCTCATCCTTTCCATAATCCTCGTCAATGAGAAGTGGTTTGTGGTCATCAAGCCAAGAGCTGGCTTCAGTAATGTCTGCAAAATACTGAGAGGACAGTGTGGTGGCATTTAGGATGCGTTTTGTCCCAATCACTGCTTGATATACTGAATAATAATGTTTTATATTTTCTACCTGCTTGATGACATTGGCAGCATGCAGCCGGTTCTTTCGGATGGTGACTTGTTCTTTAAGTTGCTGCCACTGTTTCTGAAGAGTCCGAATCCACTTTTGGATGTCATTCTCATTAGGGTGTCTCCCTCTACAAAGCTCTTGTCCTCTAAATACAACCCCAGAGCACAGAGATTCCTGTGACTGAATCTCTGCCTCCAAAGCCTGCAACATACATAGATATTTAGCTAATCTTAGCAGTTCTTATACAGTCACATTAAGATTTAGCAACAGTAGTTGTCTGTTACCAATGAGTTTGTAACTCCTTTTTGTCTCAGTTGTTTTTAGTATAATTTCTAAAAACACTGACAGTAATTAATCAGTTTCTTACAGTGAGTGATGGCCACATACCTTGTGGTTCTGAATGGCCTGCTGAATTTGACTGAGGTCTCTCCCTAGTGATGCTGCCTGTAAGAGGACCCATTTCTCATAGATCCATGCTTCTACTTCTTCACAATCATGGAAAAACTCAAAGAGCTTCAGCTGTCCCTCAAGAGCTTTTCTCCTTTTAAAAATATATTTAAGATTATTTATCTCTAGTAACTTTTAATTTACGATTTCATCAACAAAAAATCTGCCCAATCCACAAGTTTGTATGGATTGGTGGGTTTAAAGAGTTTACCTGTTCTTGCTGAGACCCAGTAGGGAGTTGTAATGGCTATTTAGATCTTTAAGTTCTCTCTGGACTTTTGTGGCACCTTTGTGTTTAACTTTTAAGGCACTGCTACTACTGATGGCATTCAGAGTTTCACCAAGTGAGATGATCTGAGTGTCAATCAAGTCCTGCTTTTGCAGTAGGGCTACCACATCTGGCAGCTGTTTTCCCATGTCCGAGGAATCTGCCTGAGCCTATAAGCAGGAATGAAAGCAAAATGCTCAATGATGATGTTGCTTGTAAAACAGCACATTAATAAATAAATAACACACATTGATGAGCCAATACCCAATGAGCCCAATCAACCTACAGTAATTTGACTACAGTAAATTCCAGTGCTTTACTTTCCCAGAAAAAACAGCCTGTCATAGTGAAAAGGAAATATAAATCATCAAACCAGACATCCTTCTTTCACTGTTTCAATGTCCAGTTCTGATGCTTGCATGCCCACTGAATACACCTTCAATAATGCTCTTCTTTTGGTTTTCCCTTTTCTTCTGCATCGTGTTGATTACAGGAAACTGATTGTTGGTTTAGTACAGTAACTAATCTACTTAGATCTTGATATGTGGTTTATTAGGACATGATATGATATTTGCTGTGATTGGTCTCTGGTGCCTAGTCTACAGCTCTGCACAGGAAGTTAGGCCAGTGAAGAAATGGTCTTGTCCAACTGAGCATAATACTGAGAAATAAAGATGAATTGAATTGAATTGATCATGATGGTTTGGCTAATCAGTGTATGCAAACAAAGGAAATTCACAGTTCACCTGTAATTCCTTGAGGTCCATTGATATTAACTCAATGTCTCTAAGGACAGCAAATGTATTTGCCGCATCTCCAACATGTGCTCTCTGCTCCTGCAGAACCTGCTTCAAATCCTTCCAGCGGTTCATGATGTCCACATTTCTGTCATGTGAAAGATAGTAATGAACTATTAGCATTTTTCTATTGCATTCACACATTTAAACGCATAAGCCGATAATTCTTGGCCCCTCACCTGCGAATCACTTGTACTTTGCTGTGGTAGTTATCCCTCTCGATGACAGCAGCCATTTCACTTAAAGCACGGAAACGTGGTTCATGTGCCAAAACATCAGCTCCCAGGGCCTCCAGTCTGCGAGCTGCTATCTCAGCCTCCTCCAGCCTCTGCAGTCCTCCCAGGTCTTGTTGTTGAATCAGTTGCAGAGTGTCCTCCAGGTAGCTCTCCCTCAGCGTCGCTTTACGGCCAAACTTCTGGGCCAACTGCTCCAGCTGCTCCAGCCTCATCAGTGCACTCTGGAGAACCCGTTCTCGCTGGTGTTCTGCTCGCTCTAGCAAGGTCCAGTTCCTTTCAATATCCCCCAAGGTCTTGCCTTCCGGAGGAATGTAGTCCCTCTGGTTGTTTGCCCTCAGCTTGGTTCGTAAGTCGAAGAGGTGTGCCTCAATGGCCCCCCGTTCCTGGTATTTGGGAGGCTTCTCAATAGTACGGTATTTCTTAAAGGCAGCTACCAGATGCTGCATTTCTCGCAGGGAGTTGGGGAAGGAACGGTCATTGAGCTCCACCACCTTGGTCTTGATCCAGCGTAGCAAGTCAGACACCATACTCTCATACAGACCCTTCATATCATCCAGCTCTTTCAGAAGGTCCACAATCTGCAAGCAGATGGCAAGTAGGGAGAGAGGAACTACACAATTTAGAAAACATGAAATTCGATGAAATTTAAATGCACAGGTTTCATCTAATACATATAGCTGGATGGTTCAACAATGAGGAACAGCATTATTTGAAAATGACCTTATTTTTGAAAATGACCTTCCATTTAGTGTGCGACACAGCTCTAAGTGAAGAGAAATATCCATCTAAGGCTTAAATCTGAAAGTGTGCCATGTTTAAAGTTATTGATTCATCTATAAAAGAGTTGACTCAGAGTGGTTTAAATTAATCATAAGGGTAACAAATCTTTAGCCGTGTCGGCGTGACGTTCATACCGAACTTAAGCACTGCACATTTGTTGCGCGTGCAGACCCGGTAAAATTGAAACCCCCGGCCCCACCCACAAACACTGTAGCAAGAAAGAAGATGAAAACAAACACAGTAGCAGAACCCGGTTCAATTATGTTGTGAAGACACTGTGCTCTGAAGTGTTAGGGAAAGTTACTGTTGTTTCCCTACTCAAAGATGAGGCTGTGAAGAGTGGTTGAAGTTTATTTTTGCAAAAATACCTCAGCATTATAGCCCCAGCCTTGTGCTGTGTAACTGTCATTTTTCTGACAAGTACTTTTGTAATCTACATGCTTACTATGGGGGATTTGTGAGCTGTTTGTTAAAGGTAAGATCAGAAAAGACTATTGATGTTTGGGACTTTGTCAGAGCTTGACAGGAACTTTACAGTACACAGTTCATGGATCAGTTTCTTCCTCCATTTTACGGGTAAGTGGGATTAAAATGGTTACCTCCTTGTTTTCTCTAGCTTGCAAAATGTGTATTTAATTGTGTTTTGTTACTTGTAATCGCTCCATGCGGCTTGTACTGTATCTGGTTAACTTTTTATATTCTCATATCGCATCTAAAACCATGTTAAAAACACGGCACATGGCGCTTTACATATTTATATGCGTTTGTGAGCTTGCGATCCTTTGCTGTTTGTCATTGCTATGGCCATCGTCAGTTGTTCCTACACACATGTTCCGGTCAAGTTTTTAAAATAGTTCAGCTTTTGCCACTGTGTAAATTAATACTGAATGTGTATCATGGTTAAAAAATATAGCAATATGCTGCTGTTTAACTGCATTGCATTAATGCACTCCTGCATTGGGCTCACACATACATTCTGCACTCTGACTACTTCAACAATGTTGATAAGCCATGGTGGGCATTTCTCTCTGTCTTGCGCTGAACGCAGTCAACAATCGCAGTAGACTGGGTCATCAGACCAATCAATGCAGATTACCATCGTGCTAAGGAGGGGGTTGGGAACAAAGGAATCGCTGAACAAATCTTTTCGCAGTTTTTGGGATAATTAGGTAAAAATAAATGCATAAGACAATGAAAGTGTTGTTTGACCTTGCATTTATATCAAACTGTTGTTGGAGACCCACAAAACCAAAATATGACCTTTTTACAATGCAAAATAGGGGCTCTTTAAAGGGAAGGTTTATATTTAAAATAAATCTGTTGTAGTAATACATTAAGTTTTGTCATTTCAACAACTAACACAGCACACAAATAAAAAAAAAACTTTCAAAAGTAATTAAACACAATGACAGTCAATTGGGTCATATGTTGCTCTGTAGCTTAGTGACATTGTATGTACAAAATGCTTCAGAATATCTCCTTTTACTGTATGTTCCCCAGAAAAAACATTAAGAGATACAGGTTTGGAACAAACTTAGAGGGAGTGCATTTTAAAAAAAATAAATAAAAATAAATGAAAGACATTTAGACCACATGGGGTTGTTGTTCAAACAAGGACAATTTGAGGTTACAAAAAACCAAAGCTAAATAAAAAAGATAAAAAAATCAAGTAAAATAAAGAAAGTATATATTTGGCCACAGTTTCTATTTCACTGAAGCATGAGGGATTTGGGAGGATGTTTCTTTGTTCAACAGCTACACTGACATCTATCTACTTGATACACACCTTTCCCACTTCTGGAACAATCCTTTGCGGCTCAATAATTGAATGTCTCATGTTCTGCCATCGCAACCACTCACTGCTAAAATAGCCACTGAAAGCCATTGTCATCTGGTATCCCAACAGCGTCACACCTGAGAGCTGGCAGTCTTACCATAAAATGAACACAGAGTCTTGACATCTCAGAGCCTGGCTGGACTCATCTTTGTCCCTTCCATCCATCCGACAAGATCTGTCTGTCATTGTTTAATACACTTTTGTGACAGCTAACACTACTCCACAGCTGTGACCCAGTCAACACATGCCAGTATTTCTATTCACACGTGTGGACATGGTGGTGAGTGAAAGTGTCGCACTGCACAGGCAGAACAGGACACTTCACGCCCCTGTTTCTCTCTCCATGTGTATCCTGCCAGCATGTTAATGGCATCGCCTGACCTCTGAGCTCATCTTCACTGCATCAGCTCCCTCTGTTTTCCAAAGAGTATCTGAGGTTGTCTTCCTCCATATCCTCAACATTATCCAAAAGGTGTGTCTTGATTATACGATGCAGGGAACTACCTGTCTTGTTTTGTAACATTTGCAGCCCTACAGTTTACACTGATCTGATTAAGACCAGGACTCCTCCTTTTGACCCACAGTCAAATCCAGTAATCCCAAAGAGGCTATGAGATTACAGTCCTCATTCAACTGCAGTAAGTGCAGTTCATATGTTCAGTAACAGAGGGCGCCAGTGCTTAACATTTCTCAAAAAAGCTCTGTGAGTACGAAAATCTCTGAGGAATATTTCTAGTACCTTGTTGAATCTATATGCCACGAAGGATTAAGGCAAAAGGGGGTCCAACCATGTACAAGTAAGGTGTACCTAATAAACTGGCCGGTCAGTGTATATATCCTTATATAATATTAATTTAAATATAATATCTTAAATAAAAAGTTTAACATAAGAAAGAAATGTAAATTCTTCATTTCTAGAAGCTGTTGACATATGCATTCAGTCAATTTGTACACACAAATTCCATTATTTTTGACAACAAGACATGACAACAGGTTTACATACGGATCTTATTTCATCCAATCAACAAACTGGTGCAGAGATTTAAGCCCTTGCACATTTTTTTCCTTTTGTAATATCTGCTTCATTCACACTTGACAACACAGTATGGAAGAAAACGTGTTGCTAAGTTGCAATTTTAAAACTAAGTATGATTTAATAGACTGATAGTAACTAACCTTAGCTATCCTCTTCTGGATAGTCTGCCCCTGCTTCATTTTTGAGAAGTAGTGATAGTACAGAGAGACGTAAGTCATGATGGACTTCTCATCAGGATGGGGCACCATCACATCTTCAACATCGAGGAGCTGCATTATGCCAAATTCATCCTCTGCCAGAGCGAAAGCATGGGTGAGGCTCCTTTTTGGATCATCCTGGCGGAGTCGGTTGTAGTCAAAAAGATCAGGCCTGGAACAATGTTATGATAACATCATTAGACTAGAGATTAGCCAAATTATGCTGCTTATCAAAAGAGGGTGCGATCCACTCAAAATACTACCGATGGGCATGAATTAGAGCATTGAAGGCCAGTCCATCTCTCCAGCTGCCTGAGAAGTCTTGCACATTTACATTGGTGTAACCGGCAGTCTTACGTTGACACCAGATGAGCAGAGCTTCTTTGGCTGAGCGCCGAGCCGCACTGGCATCCCCGCCGGCCTGAAAACAATACAAAATGTAAAAAAGGTGACAAACACATGCAGCTTTAAATGCGAAAAAGACAATCTTGAAATTTTACCTCAACTATATTGATGTTCCCAATCTGGAAGCGGAGAATGATGATCCAGATTAGACCCAGGATCAGGGTTCTGTCTCCATCCACCACATTTTCTGGACCAATCAGATCTACACGGATCTTTAGTTACAAAAAAGAGGGCACAATATGATTCTGTAGTTATCCATTTCATAGTTCAGTGGTTCCCATAATGGGGGTCGCGGGACAATGAGGGGGGTTGCTTAGAGTTCTTCAAAAATCTAATTCTTTTTATTAAACTATTAAAGTTACTACTTTTTATCCATAACCTACTGAAGAACAAAGGAGTAGTTAATAGTAACACTGTCATAATAATAATAAACATTAAAAAACAAAAAGGCCATCAGCCCTGGGCTGATTACGTTATAATAAAGACACACCAATAGCATCAGATTGCAGCACATGAATTTTATGGCACCAGGTTAAAATTTCTGTTACCTTTACGGCACTCACACACATTAAAAATAAATACAGGTCACGACTGAACATGGACGATGGTCTCGGAAATTCACTCTTAAATTAAACGATAGGCCTATTGGTGTGTGTGTGTGTGTGCAAGGATTATAAATCTATAACCACTTTGGAAAATATTGGGGGTCGCAAGTGACTGGTGTTGTTATTTTTTTGGTCATGGGCTGAAAAGTTTATTATAGTTAAAATCTGTTAATTTGCATTTTACCTCACAGAAGTTACATAAGTTTTTTGGGGGAAACAAAAGGCCATATTTACTATTTGGTTATTAAAAGATTATGAGCGGGATTTACAGTACAATAATGCGATTGGACAGTTCATTTTCAAGCTGACATTATTGCATTTGAATTTAGAGCAGTTTCTGATTCAGAGTCAATATTCATTAGCCATTATTTAAATGTATCCTGCAAAGAGTTTCACTAGGGTTTGTGATAGCCAATTTGCACTGTTATTAAATTGACAAAAAGCATTTTGTTCCTTAGTTGTAGTAGATTATACTCAGCTCTGCTAACATGCACTGCTTATACTAGATTCCATTGGTCATATTGGAAATGAGGTACTGTGTCTGTTTGGTCACACTTTATTTTGATGCTCAGTTTGTTGAATTTAAATTACATTGCATCTACATGTCGGCTAATTCTTATTAGATTATAAGTAGACTGTTAAATTGGGGTAGGGTTAGTGTAAGTTGACATGTACTTGCAAAGTTTCTTATAGTCAGTTAAATGTCTGTTGAAGGAGCAGTATCAACATATTAAGCAGGCGGTCTACCAATACTCAAATGGACCATCAAAATAGTGTTACCGCCTGATCTATTATTTGCAACTGCTATTACCTTTCATCTGGGACTTTATGGCATTTTATGGGTCTCAATTGTTTTTGTTTGTTAAATCTGGCCCAATAGGTTTTCAAAAGGCAGTTCAATTTAGCATTTCATTGTACTGCTTTACTTTCGGGTTACCTTTGATTTGAGGAAAGTGATGGCAATGCTGTTGTTTTCCAGACAGTGAACTCTTAGTGTGCGTCGACTGGGAGTGGGCAACTTCTCTCCAGAAATGAGCTCCAGAAGTCGCACGAGATGCACACCAGTTCTTAATTCGGTGAATACATCAGTCAAGACAACCTTTTCCTTTAAAGAAAACACACAGGATTACACACATTCCCATCACACCCCCTTTTATACCTGCAATCATTAAGCGGCCGCAATACAAAGTTGCAGACAGTGACATATGTGTTCCTCTATCCAATGACTGCATTGGTTTGATGCATCATAGTCAATTTTAAACAAGTTTGGGCATCAGCAGCCTTTGTTTTAACACTTTACTCGGATAATTGCCACTGTATTCCATTATGACGTGACTCACTCGCACTGCTCTCAGTAAAGCTGTCCTGCTCTCCGCTTTCAAGCAAAAGCCTTGCAGCCACTCCCTAATCCATGTGTTGTGGGAATCTGATGTCTCTCAACAGATCTGCTTACTGCCTCCAATAGCCTCTGCTTACCCAGGGAATGAACCGAGGGATCTTAGAGCACACCCTGCTCCTTTGCTAGGGCTTCAGAGATGAACACTCAAGAACAATAATACAAATCTGCTTGCAATTATTTCGCAGCTTTAATCACAAACACAACGAAAGTCTCTGCTAACTGCTAACTCACATAAATCAGTAACACAAATGCTACATGTTTGGGTGGAGTACATTTTCTCAGAAAGCAATATTTAGTGTGTGTTTTTTTTTTTAATGAACAGCATGACCTTTTATCATAAACATGTTATGAACGCTGTTGTTTGATACAGAACAATACACAGGAGCGACTGAGGAAGGGGAAAAGGAAAAGGAAACGTTTAAAACACATGTCATTCTTGCGGACAGCTGCCTGTATACAACTATTAATATATCTGGGTGCCCTGACAAGGAAAGTTGTCGTTGCGCCGCTTGTCCTTTTAACATCTTCCTCCTGTTAGTGTTTCTTATGTAACTCAAGTCTCTTAACTGGTTCACGTAACAATAGCAGTAGGAGCTAATATACAACCACTGGTAAAGATATACAGTGGAAATATCTCATATAAAAAGCGGTATGGGATGACATTCAAGGCGGTACTGTTTCCTTCCTAAATCTAATATTGGAGATGCTAATGTAAGACTGTGAATGACAAGTTATCAGTTGTGCTTTTCCCTTTCCTGAGTGGATCTGGAAAGCTGGTGTGTAAAAATTAACTTTCGAGTTTTATGTGTACCTGACACTTCCTTCCTCGGTCTCTACTCAATACTCAAACCCAGTCTTAGAGTGTGTTGTAATTAATATCGGTTTGGTGAACTAAGCTAACTGTCTGTCTATTGTAAGTTAGGTATACAGTTGAAGTCAAAATTGTTGTCCCTCCTGTAATTTTCTTTTTAATTTTCTAAATGATGTTCAACAGAGAAAAGGATTTTTCACAGTATTTCCTATAATATTTTTTCTTCTGGAGAATGTCTTTTATTTTGGCTACATTAAAAGCAGTTAGTTATTAAAACTATTATATTTAGAAATGTGTTTAAAAATCTTTCTGTTAAACAAAAACTGGGGGGAAATATACAGGGGGCTAATGAATCAGGAGGGCTAATATTCCTGACTTCAACTGTACACTACCTGGACAAAAGTCCTGCCTTCGATCCCAATTGTTAGAGCAACAAATAATAACTTGACCTCTAGTTAATCATTTGGAAAAGTGGCAGAAGGTAGATTTTTTCCCGTGAATCATCTGTTAAACTGCATCCCAATCATCACTAATGCTGCAGAAGACCTATTGGAATCCGCATGGACCCAAGATTCTCATAGAATTCAGTCAAGTTTGGTGAAGGAACAATCATGGTTTGGGGTTATATTCAGTGTGGGGGTGTGCTAGAGATTTGTAGAGCCTGAGGTATCAAGACATCTTTGCTTCTCATTACATTACAAACCACAGAAGACAAGATCTTCAGCAGGATAGTGCTCCTTCTTATACTTCAGCCTCCACATCAAAGTTTCTAAAAGCAAAGAAGATCAAGGTGCTCCAGGATTAGCCAGCCCAGCCACCAGATATGAACATTATTGAGCATGTCTGGGGTAAGATGGAGGCATTGAAGATGAATCCAAATAATCTTGATGATCTCTGGGAGTCCTGCAAGAACGCTTTCTTTGCCATTCCAAATGACTTTATTAATAAGTTATTTTAGTCATTGCAGAGATGTATGGATGCAGACCTCCAAGCTCATGGGAGTCATACACAATATTCATTCTTTCTCCACTGCACCATGACTTTATATTCTTTACTTCACATTATTTCTGTTAAGTGACAAGACAAAAGTCTTAGCAAAGTCAGACCTTACTCTCCTAAGTAAATAATTAAACATTAAGGCATGATCATATGTTATTTTAGTAAAATAAGTGTAATCTAGATGCCTTTGCCTTTCATATAAGCCACTTCTGATACCAAATGATCAACTTGAAGTCAAGTTATTATTTCCTGTTCCTAAATCTTTGATAGGCGACAAGACTTTTGTCAGGAAGTGTATGTATAAGTTGTACTGTAATGGATGCTAATTAAAAAAAAAAATGTATGACCTTAACCGGGTTCAAGGGTTCACATCTAAAGGCAATAAACTGGAGTGAGCACGTCACATCAGACGCTAAAGCCAGTCACAAGACTGGAGTCATGATCAACATTTTATTACACTAGATATCATCAAGTCATAGTGATATCAAGTCACGAATCATGAATGTTTGTACATACAGATTGCTGTACCGGCAACAGATATCACTGATTAAACATGGTGGATTTTTATATATTTATAGCCACCACAAAATCATTTCTGTGTGGATCATGATACGCTTTAGTTTGTTGTTTCCTGAGGATCAGTTCATACCCCACTCTTTGAGAAGACGCTGTTCATCCATTTTGTGTAGGTCTTCTTCTGCACCGTCATCCGCTGCTCCTGAAGCTCTCGAAATCGGCCATCTGATTCCTCTCCATCTACCCGTTTTTCCATGACTGTGTCAGTTTCTGATAACAGCACATAGAAATGTTTCAGGGATACTTGTATTTCTTATTCATAGGGTTTGTTCATTTAGCTGCCCAACATGAGCTTAAACATTAAACCACACACATAGCTGACAAGGCCTTTGGATTTTTGAAAACTTTTGGGTGGTTATAATAAAAAAGGATTGTAGCAAGCAAATTTCATTGTGAAAGCTAAATGTGACTCAAGATATGTCATTTTCAGTTTATAAATCTTCCCAATTCTCTGGTATTTAAGAGGAAGTGAAAGCAGCAGGGCAATCATGCCTGTCCTGCTGACAGTGTAATTATGAACTTTAAATATGACTTTATAGATGCATTTTAAAGCATCATAAAAATACCTAGCATTTCCAGATTGAGTGGTCTGAATTAACACAATCACTGTATTGGTCATCAAATGAACACCTTGATGTGATTGTATGTTATTAGTAAACTGGCCAACTTTCTCGATAGGTTGTAACCCAGTGTTTGGTCAAATATGGATTTACCCAACAATTGGGTCGGTCCATATTTGACAACATTGGTTTACACCAACCCAACATTTTTTAAGCTTATTTTAGAGTTTGTAAAGCGTTGTAGAATGTCATTATGGCACTATTGTATACAGATAAATATTACTTTTCATCTTTATTCACAATGTAGTAAAAGTGACATGTTTGAAACAAATATAAGCAATTATACTCTAATATCACACATCAGTTCAAATCAGAATAAACTTCTTTTTTTGTGCTTTTACATAATATCAGCAGCAGATTAGGTGATTTAGCCATGCTGTTATTTGCACGTCCAACCAATACAAAAGTTTGCAAAAGAAATGTATGACGATTATGATGCACAGAAAGCTGAATTGACTTACCCTTCTCTTCTCACCTCCTAAACACAGTCAGTGCCAATAACAAACTTTCGTCGTAGGCAAGAAATTCATGATTTGAGAATAATCCGCTAAATCCTCTTGAAGAATGATCAGTGTTAAAGAACTGAACTGAACTGAACTTTGACGCTGCTGTAATGGACTGAAAGGGAGGGTAATTCTTACTCACCTGACACGGCGCTACTTGAAGGGGTAAAGGTTGAAATTATACTGCGATTCAGCAACACAAGCCTCTATACTGGCTGATCTAGGAACAGGCCTGGCAATCACATTCTAAGCCATTAAGGGTTAAAAACAGTAAAAATGTGGTTCTTTAAAATGTACATAGTGAGGTTTCTTATGTGTACTAGTTTAGAATTTAAAATAAATGTATGGAGAAAGAATTCTGATTTATAACAGAAACTTTATTACATTTCCTCATTTCCTTTAAAGGGCTGTATAAAATTCTCATCTTTTTTACAATGATTTATACATTAACAGATGGCTGCAGGTGATGTATACGTCAAAGGCTCATTAAAGTATAGAAAGCACCATCAAACAACTATATTAATGCACTTAAGTGTCTTGAAAACTTTAACAAAACGGCTGCAATCACTTTTTACAGTGATCCTAATTTCACACAAACATAAAAACACCAACGATCTTTAATGTTGACGAGCCATTAGAGCTGACCTTGTGTCAAAGAGTTACACGTAATTTACATCAGAGATGACAAAAACAATCTGCATATATTAGTTAAAATGCACATATGGTTATAACTGACACAGTGTTTAACATTCATCAATATTAATGTATTTACAGCATAAGAGTTCATAATGAAAACTGATTTCATTATACAATTGAATTGTTTTTTTGCACAGAAATATAAACACTATTTATTTTGTGTGTGTGTGTGTGTGTGTGTGTGTGTGCGTGCGTGCGTGTGTGCGTGTGTGCGTGCGTGCGTGCGTGCGTGCGTGTGTGTGTGCGTGTGTGCGTGCGTGTGTGTGAGAGTGTGTGTGAATAGAGATTTATAGAGAGGAGATAAGTATCTAAAATATTTTATTAAAACATATTTTTTAAGAAAATAAGGATTTTTATTTAGAAAAAAGCAAAGAATATAGTTGGCAGACAGGATGCCAGTTTCTCAAAACAAATCCCAATGATTTTAGAAATGTGTGTCTCTTCTGAATACTGAATATTTTTGCAAGATTATTATTTATTTTTATATAGATGGACGTATATTTCTTTAAATGCTTGTTGGTATAGAAAAAAATATTCTTTACAATCCAGTCAGTCAGACAAAAATATTATAGACAACAAACAACTTTGGCAAAACTCAAGTGTTGCTCATGTTTTAAAGAATAAAATATTATTAAACTAAATTTAATTTGCGTAATGAAATGCTGAATACTTCAGTTTCCCTGTATCAAAAATGCCCACAAAGGTTCTGTTCCTGCTGCTGCTAAGACGCGGTTTAAGTCAATCACAAGTGGACAACATTAAATACAGGTGTAACAGACTGAACGCTGATTACTTTTTTAGCGTAAATCAAATATGCACAAAAAAAACTGCAACAGCAAGTGCAAACAGGAATCTCTCTCATCTACTTGGGATCTGATTGACCTAAATGCATCTGATTAACAGGTGAAAACAGCGCCCAAAAAAAAGTCTATTTCACACTGTGTCAGAATGAGTGAGATGAATGCGACTGTCAGTGCCTCTGTCGTAGTGTGAGTGTTTGTTTTGTTTTTTGGCTGTTGTTATGTATTACACAATTGTTATTTATTATGAAATGTAAGATTCGTGACATAAGTTGAGGCGCTGCATAAAAAAATATACTGTTACTGCAATCTAGATTCACAATCTGGTAGCATACGATGGAATAACATTAATTTAGGAGTAACTACATAAATATATACATCTGTAAGCTGTAAATTAGCCAATAAACATTTGATTTGATTGTGTCTTTCAAAAAATATGTCATGTGGAAGTGGATACACAAGGTGTTAGTGCACTTCCATTTACACCTATTATAAGTCAACAGTATCGCCAAACACAAAAGGTGGTTCAACCAATGTCTTCCCTTTAACCCTTTATCAGTTGAAGAACCATATATGGTAACTTCATTGACATCAATTGTAATATTTTTGTAAGTCATAAAAGTTCAAAAGTCTTGTAATAACCCCAAGTAACACTACAGTTTATTTTTAATGAGTGCCCTATAAAGGGTTAAATGAAGGAGTTAAGACTTGAGTATTGAAAGCCAGCAGCTTTCTGATGAATATAGTGATGTGAAGGTGATCAGTCCTCCTGGTGGTTGTACAGGATGTCCGCAGTGGGGTTTTTCCTGTGTGATGGAGGCACTAGGTGATTGGGGAGCTCTATGGGGAGCTCAAATCCCTCCAGTTTGATCTTAATAAGATGCTGAGCCAGAGCAAACTCTTCATCGTCCAGCATCCCGTCCTTATCGCAATCCGCCAGCTTCCAGATCTTTCCCAGAACAGTGTTGGGCAGGCGGGAATTCATCATCTCCTTCTTGGCGTTGATGCCAGTTACCCTCCCGTTGACAGGCATCAGTGTGTAGAAGATTTCATCGTATCGATGTTTGTCGCGACTCACGATCCAGTCCTCAGTATCAGCTCCTGCACTGACCCCTTCACCGTAACCGTGGCCAAAAGGCCCATCGGATGAGTCCTCAAACGCTCCGCCCTTCACCATCTGAGGCGGCTGTTTGCTTTCTTCCTCTCGGATCATGTTCATCAGGTAGGAGATCTTGGTGGACAACATTCTGTCCACAGATTCAATCAGCTTCACCTTCATAGAAGGAAACTTGCTGAAGTCGTAGTGTTGCAGTTGCTCCTGCATTAGTAGGTGACAGAAGGAGACATTTTCATGTCAGATCAACGATAGCTGAAACACACTGGCTATTCTGTTTTCATTTTTTATTATGTTTAATAATGCATGTTTGGAGATCATGGTTGAGGCATTGATTTGTAAAGTACAGCCAAAACATGACTCATCCAAGTTCTGAAGTGCTTATTTCAGTGATATGATGTCTAATTCTGGAGCGAATCAATGTGGCTTGCTGAGGCCACAGTCTATTTAAAGCATGGCCTTTACCAGTCAAGTGCTGCCTGGAAGTGTTCTGGTCTGAATGTTCATTGTGAGTCGATTAATGGTAATGGTATTTAAGTTAGAGGCTGTGTGTGTATGTGTGTATGTGTGTGTGTGTGTGTGTGTGTGTGTGTGTGTATATACATGTATGTATGACTGTATGTGCTGTTTATATTACTGAGTGGAAAGAACACAGCACATCCTTCTTAATCAGATTGCACTTGATTTTACTGTAAGTGTATGCACATACATGCACATACGGTGTACTTACCTAGGAAACTAGTGGCATATATTTTATATAGGGAAGTACGTGTGTTATGCTAAGGTTTAAGTATTGTTCATAGTTTTTCTCCAGTTTTTGTAATGAATTTGATAGTACATAGTATCTTACATGGTATGTACATCTTATGTACTGAAACAGGACTGTAAAGCACAGATAAAATCTGGATGTTTGTTCTCTCTAAATCACTGCAAAGGTTTTTCAAACTGTTCTTTATTTTCTATAAATGAATAGAAAAAAAAGAACTATATCTAACACTAAATCACATTCAGTCTATTGCATGTTATGTGAGCAAATGCTGGCTGCAGTTCATTCAATGGCCACCGGGGTTTCAGAATCCTATAAAGCCTTTGCTGTCTCTTCTTATCAAATAAAACACTGCATCCTTGAATGTTAATTAAATGCAAAAGACCAGATGGAAGATGTAAATCTTAGAAACCTGCAAAACCTTATTACAGTGCTTTATTGGCATCTTGTTTTCAATTATATGTCAGTTTTAACTGATTATACTTTACATTTTAATGAGGTTCTGGAGTCTATACTGAGAATCATGCTGGGCAAACATCCTCAGGCAGGACCAGATAAAAGTTAAAGCTGGGAACTCAGGGACTTCACAACATGCATTTCTCAAATCTACAAACCTGCAGTGTTGGAAATATGATTCATGCAGGAACAACTATATAAACTGTCCCTCTAAATCAGGGATGCCCAAACTCTGTCCTGGAGGGCCGACTTCCTGCAAAGTTTAGTTCCAACCCCAATTAGACACACCTAGGCTTCCTAATCAAGCTCTTACTAGGCTTTCTAGAAACATCCTTGCAAGTGTTTTGAGGCAAACTGGAGCTAAAATCTGCAGGACACCAGCCCTCCAGGACTGAGCTTGGACACCCCTGCTCTAAATAAAATCATGCAGAAGCCATAACATGACATCTAGAATTGATGTGTTCTGTAGACACAAGCTAAGTCTTACCTGCATTTTAATGACATTAGGGAAGTCTCCAGGTGAGATGTGGTGTTCCCTCTGCAGTATCTGGTAGATCTCAGGCAGATGGGCAATCAGTTCTTCCTTTTTTTTTTCTTTCCCGAACAGGGAAGGCATTTCCTTCTTTAGGTAGCTGATGATGTAGGCATGCACCTATGACACACACAACAGATTACAGTCGGTATATTCATAAGGGTGAGGTTAATGTGTACTGTAAATAAAGGCCCATTTTTCTTAACATGTTGACATGTACATATCCACACAGAGCTATGGATAAAAAAAAACTACAGTAAGAGACTATTCTGTGGGCTTATTAGATATGGGTTTGAATAAAATCCTAATATCAGTTTTATTCTGAAATGTCTTCATAATTTCTGATTTTCTGTTTTTAAACGTAAAAAACCATTTAGGGCACTTTTGTTTCGAAAATAGCAAATGATCACAACAATAAGTTTTCATTTGTTGTAATTGGATATCTGGGTCAATATTCCAACCAAATATTGATTTTGTAACACTTCTGGAACTACAACATTAATATTGTGTTGTCTGAAAACGAATTTAGCAAAAAAATAAGTTTTTTTAAATGACATTTCTTGAAATTTTAATAATTCTTTATCAGAAATTATAAAAGTAGTTATTAGAAATTAAACTTTCAGAGAAACTGAAACTAAAAAACTGGACTTTAAATTTTAATAGCAAAAAATAATTTATTAATTATAATTATTATCTTTTTTATATTATTATTATAACATTAGAATTTATAATATTAGTAATGAAATAATAATAATTATTTTTAAATAATTGATAAAAAAATATTTCCATATACTGCGTGTATATTGTGTGTGTGTGTGTGTGTGTGTGTGTATATATATATATATATATATAGTAAATTTAGACCTAAATTTTTTGCACAATCCTTATATGTATATATCAGGTTTATAGACCATCTTATGGTTTAACATAACTTTTCAGCCCGCGACTCCCAAAATAACAATGCCAGTGACTCGCGACCCCCAATATTCTCTGAGGTGGTTTTAGATATACAATTCTTGCAAACAACAGCGCACACACACACACACACATACACACACACCAATAGGCCCAAGTCTGTTTATCATTTTATTTTGGAGGATGCCACTTGGAGACCATCCTCCATGTTCAGTTGTGGCCTTTATTTATTTTTAATGTACGTGAGTGCCGTAAAGGTCAACATTTTTTACCTGGTGCCATAAAATCAATGTGCTGCATTTGACGCTACTGCTGTGTCTTTAATATAATGTAATCACCCCAGGGGCTCGCAAAAAAACGAAAGGTTGATGGCCTTTTTGTTTTTTATGTTTTATTATTAAGATGTTGACAATGTTACTATAAACTACTCCTTTGTTCTTCATTAGGTTACGGATCAAATGTAGTAATTCTTATAATTTAATAAAATATATTAGATTTTTTTGGAAATCATCAAGCAACCCCCTTCCCTCATTGTCCCACAACCCCCACTTTGGGAACCACTGCTATAGACCATTTTTCTCGCATGACATCCATCTCCTGTTAGTTACATAATTGAACACCATCGGTTGAAAAATGCCCTGCCAGGAGAATATTCAAAAGTGTCTGTATTTACACAAGCATTTTCCTCAATAAAGAGGAAGCGCACCACAAGAGATCCAAATTAAGCCTAGACTTTTTTCCCTTTTAACCCATGTTTATTCCTCTTAAGGATGATTGGCGGCTGGAGGAGCACAGGAAAGGCGTAAACATGACGAGTGGCAAGACTAAGTGGGGTGGAGAGGTTAGGAAAAATAAGGGCCGTGCTCTGCTCAAGCACATTACACACATTCCTTTGTACCACGGAAAGGGACTTTTCTGGGCTTTTCCAGGAGATGGAGAGAGCCTTTAACTGCCTCACATGGCTTAAGCGTTACAGGAAGGCATGCACGGGGCTGCAGGATTCCTGTTTGCTGGCCGTGTTTGGAAAATATTGCGGAAGAGATAAGACGCACTTTCTGTCATGGTTCCATGAGTGAATTGTTTATAGCGTCCAGATTTAAGAGCAAGACGCAACCAGGTTGTGTTGAACAAGGCTCATGTGGCACAGTGTGTAAGTTCGAATAATGCAGTCAGCCAAAAACAATAGCGGATGCACTAAGGTCAAACACAAGACTAAATAACAGACAATGAGCAGCAGTGCTGGAAGGTTTCTAGCAGCAAGTTATTACACATAATATGCACATGCATAGTTAAACACATCACAAAGTTCTTATCAAATTATGTTTGTTTTGTCAGTCATGGATGAGTTCGGTTTTTTTGGATCAGCAAAAAAAAAAAGTATTAAAAATGTTAAATTAAAAAGTATTCATTTATTAATAACAGATTGCATATTGATAACCAAAAAGTTAAGTTATTCTTTCACTTGCTATTAAAGGAACAGTAGAATAGAACGCGAAACAAATAAGAAAAGGTGTATTGTCCTTTGCAATATAATCAAAGGTTTCAGATGTTCACAGATCAGTTTTGGCAGTTCTGAAGTGGTAGATGGCTTTTGTGCATATTTAATGTTGATCGAGCAAAAATATCTTTGTTAAATTCCTATTCTTGCTAGGGAATTTGAGAAGTATATTGTATTATGTCTGACAAATTATACCTAAAATCTTAAACTCTTCTTCCTTTTTTTACCAAGTTAACATGTTGATTTGACTAATAAACTTAAAGCCAGCAAATATTACAATCATTTTGGAGTCCAGTTTGGGACAAAAAAAAAAAAACTAATATATATTTATATTTTTTATATATTTATATATTTTTAGAGGTTTTCACCTTTATTTGGATTGGACAGTGGAGGTTTTACAGACAGGATTGGGGAAGGATTGGCAAAGAACCTCTAGCCGGGAATCAAACTCGGGTCGCCATGAGTACCTCAGTGCTGAGTCGACACACTAACAACTAGGCAATTGACGCCGACAAAAATAAATAAATAAAAAAAATATATAAATAAATAAATATATAAATAAATAAATATATATATATATATATTGATAATAGAGAAATTAAGTAAACATTAAAAATCTGTGGAATTAACAAAGCAAACCATTTTTATTTATTTTGGGAACATATGTACTGTATATTCAAGAATATTGGAGGGAAATACAGAAGGCTCTTGAACACATATTTAAAAGAGATATACCTCTAGAAAGTAAGTTGTTATATTTTGGCTGTGCAAATCCAGATTTAGTAACAGCAAACAATGAATTCCTGATGCCTGCTCTCATGGCTGCCAGTAAAAAAAGTAATCACACACAGCAAGAGTAACAAACCTTAAATAATTGCATAGATGCAACTATTGAGATCTATACAAAGGAAAAAATCACTTCTGTAGTTAATTTAAAGAAGGATATATTTCTGGGAAAGTGGAAGAAAAGGGGTTGAATATATTTTAGTTAGAAGACCTGATTTTCTTGCAATAAACAAATAGAAGATGCTCAACTGATACATGCTAATGTGTGTATACGTATATGGTTATATATACAGTTGAAGTCAGAATTATTAGCACCCTGTTTATTTTTTTCCCCAATTTCTGTTTAACGGAGAGCAGATTTTTCCAACACATTTCTTAACATAATAGTTTTAATAACTCATCTCTAATAACTGATTTATTTGATCTTTGCCATGATGACAGTAAATAATATTTTACCAGATATTTTTCAAGACACTTCTATACAGCTTAAAGTGACATTTAAAGGCTTAACTAGGCTAATTGGGTTTACTAGGCAGGTTAGGGTAATTAGGCAATTATTGTGAAACGATGGTTTGTTCTGTAGACTATTCAAAAAAATATAGCTTAAAGGGGCTAATCATTTTTACATTAAAGGTTTTTTTAAAATTAAAAACTGCTTTTATTCTAGCAGAAATAAAACAAATAAGACTTTCTCCAGAAGAAAAAAGATTATCAGATATACTGTGAAAATGTCCTTGCTCTGTTAAACATCATTTGGGAAATATTAAAAAAAAAAAAAAAAATTGAAGGGGAGCTAATAATTCTGACTTCAACTGTATATTCATATTGTATTGTATGTTATTACCATGTGTATAATGAAGATGGTCATTTTAGATTATTCTGTAAGGAATTATATCATGACATGCATTCTCCCCCTGGATGTAAATAGTGCTTTAATTTTTATTATTATTTTTAGGATATTTTTCTTTCTATAATTTAATAAAATTTGAGCACTATGTACAGTTAGTACACCTGACAATAATGTACGTCGATTGTATATCACTCAAGGTCACATATTGAGATTCAAATGTACCTTGAAATGTTGTACGACTACTCAATTGAGTGTTCACAATAAACATAAAATAAAAAAATCTGTGCAACTAGTTAATGAATTAGTTATTATAGACAAATGTAATAACTAAACACTTTAACAATAAACTATATTGTCGGCACCAATAGCCTAGTGATTAAGTGTGCCAACATATAGCATCATAGTGCTCAGGGTGACAAGAGTTCGATTCCCGGCTCGAGGTCCTATTCACATCGTTCCCCTCTCTCTACTCCCAATGCTTTCCCGTCTGTACTCCACTATCCTTTCCAAATAAAAAAGTGCAAAAAAAACAGTATTTACATTGTAAACTATATAAATACTGTAATTTAGCATAAAATATGTAATAAAAGTTAATTATGACAATATAAACAATATAAATGGTGTTTACCAAATCTAAAAGTGCAAACATATGTGTCCATGTGTCCTTCAAATCTGTGTCAACTACTACATTAAAAGCATCTCCTGTTTGGACCACCAACCTTAGCAAGACGAGCTCGTTTAATCAGGTCATTCAGCTTGCGCAGGGCAGCGTTGCGGGGCAGACCCTGGATATCCCTGAAGAGATCTTGTGTTTCGGCTTCGAACAGGCGCCGGTTTTCTGCATTTTGGAGAGGTTTTGCCCAGAAAGAGCCCAGATAAACCCTAACCACCTCTGGAGTGTTGATCACTTTCCCCAGTGACCACATCAGGGCTCCGTAAACCCGCATCAGCTGCTGAGTGTCCACCTGATCGGCCTTGTTCAGCACCACACGGATTTTGTCATCCTGGCCACGGAAAGCTCGTATGGCTTCAGAAAACTCATCAGATATGTCTAGCTTATGGGCATCGAAAAGGAGAATGATGCGGTCCACTCGCTCTCCAAACCAGCGCAGAACCTCTGAGAAATCATAGCCTGTGATGCCAAAATAGAAGAATATAGAATTAGAATCAGTAGAATAGGATTAGGATGACAATAATATATACTGTTATACAGTGTTAGAGAAAAGTGTTTAGGTGTACAGCATACAAATAGTAAAACAATTGTGATAAACAATAGTATCGTATCGGGTTCCAAAATATCATCCAAAATATTTATTAGACACATACATTTGTCATGTATATTAATACTTCAACAGTATTTTCATATGCTTATAGTTCTTTGATGTTTGGTAATGGTCACTTATAAAAAGAATAAAATATAAAATTAAACTAGAAAAGTAAAGTTTGTAGATAAAGTTTATGGTGGCTTGAGAAAGTCCAGTATGAACGTTTGAAGTAGTTAAAAAAATTAAATAACTGAAGTAGTTTTAGTTTGAAACAGTTGGCATAGATATCTACATATGTCTTAACATGTACTAGGTGGGCGATGCAGTGGTGCAGTAGGTAGTGCTGTCGCCTCACAGCAAGAAGGTCGCTGGGTCGCTGTTTTGCATGTTCTCCCTGCGTTCGCGTGGGTTTCCTCCGGGTGCTCCGTTTTCCCCCACAGTCCTAAGACATGCGGTACAGGTGAATTGGGTGGGCTAAATTGTCCGTAGTGTGTGTGAATGTGTGTGTGGATGTTTGCCAGAGATTGGTTGTGGCTGGAAGGGCATCGGCTGCGTAAAAATGTGCTGGATAAGTTCATTTGCTAAGGTGTTTAGGCGGTTGCTGAAATGTTCTCAGTGATTGCTAAGGTGTTGCTAGGATGTTCTAGGCAATTGTTAAGGTGTTAAAAGGCGGTTGTTAAGGCGTTTTGAGCGGTTGCTAAGGTGTTGCTAGGTGGTTGCTAAAGTCTTTGAGTAGTTACTAGGCAGTTGCTAACATAAATTAGCACATTGCTAGCATATTTCTAGTATAAACTAGCTTGTTAGCATGGTTCTAGAATTAGCATGTTGCTAGTATGTTTTTTATTAACTAGCATGTTGTTAGCATGATTTTAGCATGAATTAGCATGTTGCTAACATGTTTCTAGTATGGATTAGCATATTGTTAGCATGAATTGGTATGTTGTTAGTATGTCCAATGTAAAGTCAATGGCAGTTTTTTTCTAATGGAAGTCATTGGGACGGTTGCTAGGGTGCTGTAAGTGGTTGCTAGGGTGTGGCTAGTAAGTTGAAAGATCATCAGTGATTGGCAGACTGGTAGTCGGAGTTAAATGGGCTCAACTTTAAGTCATGACAGTCTGGCGAAAGTTATGAGGTCACAAAGGTTAGTCAAATGTTAAGTCAATAGGACGTTTCTGAGTTTTCCGGATCAGTTTTCAGAAAAGCGCAAATCGGATAAGTTGGAAAAGATATAGGTTCGTAGTCAGTTTGGTGGTTGTGTAGTATGGACAGTCTAGGAGGAGATGCCTTCTTAAAATAGTTTAAAAAAAGACTTAAAAGACAGAAGAAGAATACTGCTTATGTAGTATAACAATATGTTAGCTCTCAAGCCACCTTTATATATGAAAAGAAAAAAATTATATATTTTTTATTTTATATTTATTTTATCAATAAGCATAATAAGATAAATATTAATAGTAAATAAAACTAAATCCAGAGATTTTGGACCAACATTTTTTAAAATAAAAAAATATGTATATACAGTACACAAAATTGTTTAAAATTGGTATCTGACAACTGGAAAATATGAGGCTAAACTGTTCTTCATGCATAAATAATGTTTACACCTTTGTTTCTGTTGCTGGAGAAACAAGAGAGAAGGAAGCAACCATCAGCTTTCTAGCTGTATCAGTGCACAGATCAATGACCATGCAGAAACGGACGCAATATTAGTCCTCATTCACACTAAAAGGCCATCAAATGTGCTGGTATAAGTTCAGATTTTAAAGCAATGAGATAAAGCTTAACCAACCACTAAACAGTCCAGAGGAAATTACGTTGCTCCGACGACAATGGCATGGATTACACATGGCTATAAAAATTTTACAAAAAGCTCTGCCAAGATTTTACAAAGGAGGAGCTCAGTGCTTAAACTGTGAGAACCAATAATGCTGTTCCATGTAAGGCAACCTAGAAGAGAGAATTAAAAGACTTTTCCTTTATCAAATATATTTTAGTTGTTTACATTTTTTTATATTGGGTCCCATAATAGGTACCATTTCTTTTAAAATATTTAACTTTTTTATTTTTTTAAAAATACAACAAATAACAAATTATATTAAAAAAAATGGCTAAATTAATGCCCCAAGTCATCAACTTCTTGCAATAATTATTTAATCAATCCTACTGTATACCAGAAAGCCTACATACAAATCTATAAAAATAAAACTTGAATCAAAATACAAAGCAAGCACCACAAAATAGTGTGCATGTATCAATTTTAATATTTTAAAACCAAATATTGATGTGTGAATGCAGTGGTGCATGGTGAGATATGTCTGAGTCGCTAACATAAGAGGAATGCAACCTCAGCTGAGAAGAACTAAAGCAGGAACAGATGTGGAACGCCCATGTGTCATATCCCTCACCACCAAACCTGCGTCCATACACTATTCTCCCACTCTGCCACCAGGCCTAATCTACAGTCTGCAGACCCTCTGTGTATGTAGATCTGCCGCTGTGCATCTTCAAAGATAACAACTGCAAAGCACAAACAACGTGGTCATGTCTCAAAACTGCTCAGCTTTATCATATTTAAAAAACCCAACAACTCTTATTTTGTTAATTGATGATCTTGTAAGACTAGTTACATGCTGAGGTACCAGAGTGCTGATGTAAAGCCCACAGTGCATTTGGCGAGCTCAACTCATGCTTGCGAAATGAGCGAAAAAAAAAAAAAGGCGAGAAATGCTGACCAGCGTGTCTGCTGGTGTCATGTCATGTAATGGGAGACAGGGACGGAAACGAGAGAGGAAATTTACGATGAAACAGGCCAGATCTGGTGACTGAAATGAAAACTAATGACTACGGCATTATGATTGTCCACACTGGAAACAAGAGCATCGGTTCTCCAGGGAGTGGACCAGCCTAAATCTATTTTCAATGGGAAGTGGACACAGAGACTCCAGGCTAGAGGATTTCGCCAAGGCTAAACAGCGGAGTCCATGCTGTGTTGGTCAAGTGGCATAATCAACAGGGCTAGTTTTATCTAAACAACCGTCTATTCTCTAATAAACATCTTTGAGGGAAAAGTTGAGATGACTGTTAGAGAAGAACAGTCATAGGACATCATATAGGACATCATTTTGATATCCTGCTGCATGTGCATGATGGTCATGTGACTGAGTCTGTACATACAGTAACTCCCAGGCTTTGTCTTTGTCACACAATAAAGGACGGACTGGGTCTGAAAGGTCATACTCTCGTAAAGTAAACACTGTAGCTACTGACCTCTGCTTATGCGCTGCTTTTCGCCAGATAAGATCCCGGGTGTGTCGATGATGCTGATGCTCTGCAGAACTTGGTTGGGCATTTGTGAACAGATAAACCTAGCAGGACAGATGGACAGTTTATCACCTCATGTTAACGAAGGAAACTCTGGTAGCATCACTACATTTGTCTGCTGATTCATTTAATCGGAGACATTGAGAGATAAAACTGCATTTCTTTGACAAGAATCAGGTCTAAAATTGTTTTAAATGGGATACTGTAGCAGTGACAATGAAGGTCAAGACTACAATGCAGTTTTTTGTTCAGATTAAACAGGACAGAGTTTTCTGTAAGGGAGAACATTTCCAAACACAGATTTATTTAGTGTGTAGACGAAGACAAATGTTAATAAACAAATAATCATTGTATCTATTCAAAACACTTAATGTTGTCAAATCCATTGACAATATACGAATATATGTGACTAATAATATAATATAATATAATATAATATAATATAATATAATATAATATAATATAATATAATATAATATAATATAATATAATATAATATAATATAACATAATATAGTATAATATATGCAGGAATTTAGCATAACTCACATTTTAGTGCCAATATGTGATCAGATTATAAGATTTAGACACGTGACCTTCCCCGGCTTCTTAAAAAACCTGTAGAACCAGTAATGTGAAGGACTCAAGTCATTTTTCCCAGTAAAATCTAAAATGCCACATTTACAGTACATCATGTACTGTACATCATGTGTCAAACTGCTTCTGGAGAGCCTGCAGAGTTTAGTAACTCTGCTTCAACACACATATCTGTAGTTATCGAACAAGACTGAAGGACTTGTGATTAATTAGGATTGGAACTAAACTGTGATGAGGGATTTGTTCAAAATATAGTCATAAATTTAGCTCAATGTTGTCTATAAAACATCATTTGAAAACATTATGTCTATGTAAACATTATATTTCATCTGTCGATATGATGCCAATGAATTGCAGAGCTCGTACAGACATGTTTTTGTATTATATGTGGAGTGTAAAGTGGCACTTTACAGTAAGAAGAATTATATTAGTCTTAACGTAACCTCAACTTGTATTCTATCTGTTTTAAATTACCACGCAAATTATAATTGTGAGATATAAACTCATATCCATTTCACCATTCATAAGATTAGATGCTTTCTTAACTGTTGTTTCCTCACTGCTGAGAGGATATTTACCTATTAAAAAAAAAGAGTGCAGCACGTGTTTACACATTCATGTAAAATGTCACTTTCAGCAGTGTCAATGCCATCTGGACGTCTGTATATTCCTTAATAGTATTTCTAATTTCTTCTAATGCAAGAAAGGGAAATAATTTCACTGTAACAATATCTGAGCACAGAAATATGTTACATGCACACGAGTAAAATGTTGCTGGATGTAGATCAGGTAATGTGTTGTTAATAACAGTGATAAACTATTCCACCACCTCAGGGCAACAACTTTAGGAATGTGTTCAGTTCAAGCTCATTTGTATAGCATATTTCCTAATCATTATCATTCCAAAGCAGCATGTTATTACATTACATAACAGTCAAAATGAAAATTAATTCATGTCTCAGACATTCAATTAACTCTTATTTAAAAAGGCTAAAACTATCATTTAATATTACATCTACAAATCTTTAATGTGAGGGAATATTATTGTCATGTTTTGGATTTCAACACAGTCTCAAGAGAGTTTGAGGATCTTACTTTTTTTTTTAATAAAAGCTCATAGGAAATTGCAACATCTCCGTACAAACATCACCTGTCAGCTGCAAAGCTGAATGACAAACCGAGAAAAAGAGGAAGTGGCATTTCACCAAGTTTCATTTTCAAGAAAATTTCATATGCACTTTATTCAAAAACCCAGTACTTAAAAAAAAAAAAAAAAAAAAAAAAAAACTGTGAAAAAAAACTGCTGTACCCAAACATGCCATCACATGACGCACAACGAGGTCCATAGGAAACAGAGGGCATTGTTTTGAGGTTCCTTTGGACAAGAGGAGATGTTCTCTGTAAAGTGTGCCTTTGACCTCTATAGTGGTCACTGTCAAAGAAGTACTTACACTATTTCCCCTCCACATAAATATCCAGCAAACAGGAAAAAAACCCTTTGTCTAACTGTCTAGATACTAAAATTAAACAGTAAAACTTGTGCTGCACCTACAGTAATCTAAAAGAAGAAATGGCCGAGACCCTTTACACGATTTCAGAGAAAAGATTTTTGCCTGGAATAGAAATGCAGGCAGCGTGGGATAAAAGAAAGAAATGGATGAGCTGTGTTGAAAAACACGTTAAGCTAATGGGACGGAGATGACATAAGTGCAAAACTACAAAGCGTTGTGACATAATTGAGTTTAGTCTTTTTATAGTTATATTGTAAACCTTGAACTGAACTTGTGTCATTCCAGAAAGATTTCCTTCTTATCCTATGCCACTGTTAGAGCTAGATAATGGAAAAGCCTTGTTTTGGCAACCGCCCGGGCAAGAGGGACATCCGTTACAGACTGCTGTAAGTAAGAAAATGTGCCCACATCCGAGATTTCCCTGCAACATGACATGATGTCTAACAAACGTTCTCCTGGCTCAACCTTGACAGAACATCTGGTGAACACTAGTATGCTGTTATCAAATAAATTAGCTCTTAGATGTGTTATAGACTACTGAAAACCAAGAAATATGTTAAAAATATTTATCATTCAGACTGTGAATTTTACAATTTATTTACATCTTAGAGTTTCTATCCAGCATTTTAATGCAATATGCATACAAAAGTAAAGAATGGAATAGTTATTGCTTGATGGTGAAAAGCAATCATGTGATTTACAAGACATGCATTAACCACTCAATTTTAACTTAATATTATTAAAACAATCTTTTAATGAATCTTACAAACCATCAAAATGAATGTGGTATGGATTTTTAATAGAGGAACAGAAGTCTTGTTTTAGTTTTATGGGTGTTTGTATTGGTGTGAACTCACTCTTTAAATCTACAAAAAGGTCTTTCATCTGAACAAGCAAGGAGCCTACAAGTAATGCTTTGCTTTAGACACTTGACTACTAGTCACAAAACTCACTGACTCACTTTTCTTGGGCTTATTTCCTGCTTTATTAGGGGTCACCACGGTGGAATGACCCATCAATTAATCTGGCAAATGTTTCATTGTCACAAACTTTAAAACTTAAAATCTAATATGTAATCATTGATTTTCTTCTGCTTTTTCCACCTTTAACAGGGGTCACCACTTTGGAATGAAACGTCAATTACTCTGGTGATGTTACAGTCACAAACTTTAAACGTTATTCTAATATACAATCATTGATTTGTTTTTTTCATTGACTATGACTTGATAATGTGTGTGTATTGTATTATTTGTAATTGAATATTGTTAATTATGTAACAACATCCTGCTCTGGGGCTACAGATGCAAATGACCTTAATAGTTAACTCTGGCACAACATGTCATGTAAATGAATAAATGCACACGTAAATGACACATAAAAAAATAACTCTAAAATGCGTCTCTTGCCACTTACCTGTTTAAAAATGAATTTCCGAATGAATTGAGTTTGCGGAAAGGTTTCTTGGGGTCCACAACCAAGGCATTTCCAGGAACCACCCCCTCATTATCGTTGTACATCACAGCAATGAATCCATCTGTTGTTGGTTCGGGGCCAATTCTCATCCCTGGAAAATCCTGCTCCAGAAGATACCTGCAGGATGGAGAGGTTAGGTATTAACACTCCACTACTTAGTGAACTGGAGCAGAATGATCATGTGACAGCACATGACAACCAAAAAATGTCTCTGTTGCTTGAGAATAAAAGAATGGAGTAACTGCTACCTACACAGCTTTAGGATGAAAAACAATGCAAATCGATAAATGTAAAAGAATCTGAAAGATTAAAGCTAAACAGTGGCACCTGAAGCTCAGTCAATTGCGAAAACAGACCTATTCATCAGTCTCACTCTTCTTTAAACTTCCTTCAAATGCAACAATCCCTACCACATCCTGCCAGAGGATGAGAAAGTGTCAAAGGTTTCCAGGCAAAGAAACACACATGGCTTGTTGTTAAAATCTAACCTAAACATAAGGGAACTATTAATCTGATTACAGTCATGGTTAAATATGGTTTCAGTTTTTCTTAGTGCACGTGTAATGCAGAAGATCCTACATTTTTTGGAGACAGCATGACTGAAATCTATTTTAAAGTGCTAATAGTGAAAAATTTGCTGTCAATTTACTCACCCACAGGCCATCCAAAAGGTTGGTGACTTTTTTTGCAGCAGCAGCAGCAGCAGCAGAAAATTAAAGATGAGTTTAGCTAAAAATGTGTGGTAAACTTTGTGGTTTAATAACATACAAGTCACTTGTTACCAGTACCACGAAAGTCTAGAAAACATCTACATGCAGAAACAAAACAATGACAATAAATCAAGGTCTTATAAAGCATAACGATCAGTCCAAACAAGAGTCTAAACAATATTAATATTATTATTACCTAACAGGCTGAGGTGCTGATATTGTTTTGCCTGTATTTTTTTTTCTTACTACGCACACCCATTACCTAGGCATGGAACAATATCCGGTTTCAAGGTTTACAGAGCTTTGGAAAAGTCAAGGTTTTAAAACTGCAAATATTTTCTTTTATACCGTTTCTAGGGTATAGGCAAGTTTGTTTGTTTTTTCAGTGTTTCTTATGACTTTTTCATTAAGTTTTTTAGAGCAACACTTACTGATAGGATGTTAAAAGGATGAGCTCTAATTTTAGTGAGTGAAAATTGTCACGTTATGCGTTTTAAGTCCATTATAAGGAAACAGCTTAACGTGGGTTAATGTACCTCAACACTGACATGGAAAACCTAAATTGTTTGTATTGTTTAAAAGAGTGAGCCCTAATTCCACAGATAAAGTGATCAATATCACGTTAAGTGTTTTCTCCCCATTAAAGTGTATAATAAGAAAAGGCTTAACATACCTTCACAACAACTGAGGGAAACCAAATGTTAAAAAGGCTGTCCATAAAAATCAAAGTTAGAGTTAATCACAAGTAAAATTTGATAGAAAATTGATTTTCCCCACTTGTTGTTGAGGTACATTAAGCCACGTTATGCTTTTTCCTCATAATAGACTTTAATGGGGGAGAAAACGCTTAATGTGATGTTTTTTACTTTATCTATGGAAATGGGACTGCTTCTTTTTACAATAGTTGGTGTAAATTAAAAGTACAATTTGACAAAAACTTAGGTTTCTCTTGTTGATGTTTAGGTATATTAAAGCACATTAAGCTTTTTTTTTACGTTAAGTTTTTTATAATGTCCCAGACTCCCAGCTACTAGTCAGCTCACGATTCAGGAATTGTTTGAAAAACAACTCACTTATACACCAACATATAAGCATGCAAAAACCTGAATAAAACTTAACTTTATATTCAAAAAAAAAGAAAGGCATCCAAAAAAATGCCTTTTCAAGTTGTAATGAAATGTAATGTAATGACGCTTTTGAAACTAGTCAGTGATTTATTTCAATTGTTTAGCCAGACATGTTCAAAATAACAAAGCTAAAATATTTTAAATGTTTCTTAAAAAAATATTGTGTTCAGTGGAATAAAGGTTGTTGTTGTTTTTTTACCCAGACATTTTAAAAGAACTAATCAGAATATTGTGAAACAGTAAAACCGTGATATTTTCATCAAAGGTTATCACACTGTCAGAATCTTATACCAGTCCATACCAATCATTGACTGGCATTTTAGAAAATCACCAAGAACCACGGTTTCAGCTAATAACTTTAATTTTCTTCTAAAGAACAAAAAGTCAACTTCAGTTCATCTCTTGCATGGCCTGAGGGTGAATAAATGAACAGTAAATTATTTTTTGCATGAAAATCCCTTTAAGCATTCATTATTTCCTTGTTCATGACCTAACATTACGAAGAGCTTAGTTATAAACCAGTTCCAGTTTGAAAGAAGCTCAACATGACACAGATCTATTGGGCTTTCTTATTCATTCATCACTTTAAAAAGCAGGACCTGATGAGCAACATCACAGACATCAAAGCTAGAAGATTTTGACCTACAGCAAAAAGTCAATAAGAAGGATAATGATGCTTTTACGAGTTACTTTCATACACTCCAGCATTCTGAATCTCTTCATGGATGAATGGACTATGGGAGCTGGCATATACGCAGTTTTTACACACCCTCCGTCCCCACCAAGGTTTCCAGAACCACAAAGAGCTGACTGTACTGAAACTCACACGTGTACAGTATGCTCCTATGAAAAAAAATAACTAATAAGAATGTTATAAAATATTTAAAATATAGTGAAGCCTTCAAAAGTTGACTTTCACACACCACTCAGCCAAAGCAGTTGTTTTACCTTATGAAAGTGGTCTTCCCAGTGGAATACTGTCCGACCAGCAGCACCATGGGTTTGCTCTGGAAGTCCGCCTCCTCCAGCGCCGGTGAGTGAAAGTCATGGAAGAGGTAGGTTTCCTCCAGAGGCAGCAGCTTTTTAGTGTAAAGACTCTGAAGTCCTTCGGTCACTGTTTGAAACATGTCGCCCTCCTTGTTCCTTCCACCCTGTTCCTTATTTACCCAAGTGAACATGTTGTCGTTGTTCTTGCAGTCCTCTTTTATACTTGAAGCAACCCTAGTTCCTCTTTTGTGTATTGAAGGAATTGAAAACCGTTCCAATGTTTTTTCCTTTATTTGTCTTGAGTGTTGACACAAGACCGTCCACTGTCCAGCTGTGCGTGTGTCTGACTGCCGCCGCCGCCGCCGTGACCTCACCTGTATCCTTTTATGTGACGCTCTTTCTCATGACGCTCGGGTTAAATATTCATGAGCTGGTAACTCGCGGAGGGTGGAGCTTGTTTGGGCGCAAAGTGTGGCACTGCAGGCTGACTGACTGTTGCTGCTTCTGTCTGTGGAAACGAACAGGACAGAAAGCTGCTGACATGGACAAACTCAAAACCCACAATTTGAGAAGTGAAATGCTTTCTTGCTTTTAGCGCGCGATCTATTTATTTAAAGATGTTTAAAAATTGATATCTGAAGCAGTTTTGGCAGAGCAGATGAATGTATTGTCACTCTGTGTGTTATTTACAGGGGCGGATTTAGTGAATTGGGGGCCCTAAGCAATTCCAGCCATGGGGCCCAAAAGTTCTGAAATGCACCCTTTCTATTTTAATTTATTTTTCATTGATTTATTTTGCAGTTTTATTCTTAAATCACTCAATCACTCCTTTTCTACGTTTTGTCTTAATGCAAAATAATAACAATATGTAAAGCATCTTGTAAAACGTTTTAACTTTAAAAAAAAATGAATTCACAACTAAAAATAATATATAAATGATTTTGTTTTAAAAACTAAATCTATACCTAATTTGACTGCTTGACTCCTCTGTGACTGAGGGTGGGGGATACATTTGCTCAGATGTAAATTTTTAGACCCTCATTTAAAATATGACAAAATTATGTTATATATAATTTATAGGTATAATTTATAGTTATAAGTATTTATTTGGGGGCCCTCAGAAGCGGTCACCTATCATGCTTATTGGTTAAGTCCACCTCTGGTTATATACAGTCATGTGAGAAAAAGAGATCACTTTAAAATAATGAGGTAAAGATGGTTTTATACTCTCACATTCGTTCAGTGACAGCTCCAAAGTTTACCATGGAACTTTGAATTTTCGGACTGAAATCACATATACTGTAGGCATGACTTCAAACCAAAATTACCACCATCTAATTGACTGAACATTGTTGTACTTTCATAGTCATTGACGGCTAATATGATTTCACTGTTTAGAGTTTGCAATGAATACTTTTCTGAAATTATATAATTAAGGAGAAAGTCTGAATGTGCCAATATAAAACCAACTTGACCTTAATCTTTAAAAAGGATCATTTTCTCTGGATTTGATCTTGATTCCATGGATATTTATTTTATTCTATGAAGGTCTAGAATTTTTTCTACCTATTTAAAAAAAAAAAAAATTATTTTGTACAACAACAACAAAACTCTAAGTCACTGTAGTTCAAGGCTAGGAAAACGTTGTTTCTGTAAACATGTAATAGCATGTGTTCCTAATTTCAAATATAAATGTAATTTAAAGTCTTTTTCCATATAAATTATTCATTTTTAGACAACACAATACAAATTTTGTTTAACAGAGAATTTAAAAAATAATTATATTTCATATAAAAACCAATTTAGTCACAATAAATAAACTTTCTTTAAAAAAAATTTGTCAGATCTTTTAGAAAAAAAAAAACATACTAGGTACTCCATACGTAGTACATCCAGAGAAACAGTATTATCAAATAGTCTAGTGCAGTGATGCCCAAACAAGAGCTCGCAGGCCAAAGTTGGCCCATGGTAACCTTTGATCTGGCCCACCATCCCTTCTGAGAAGAGAAGGAGAATGATGGGGATGGTTTTGAGATTTTAAATTTTATGTAAACTTTTGTTTGTTTGATTGTTAAAATCTAACTGAAATAAGGGTTTCAACCGAATGGTGTAAATTCATCCGATTTTTAAATGTACACACCCGATCACCTGACAATGCAGAGACTTTGGTGAGCAAATCAAAGCAAAGGCAGATTCTGCCTGAATAGTGTATTCAACACTGAACTCCCGTGTGTTATAAATGTTTGTTTTTACTGCAATAAGTGTTCATTTAAAAAGTTTATACTGCATTAGTTAATACGACTAAAAGTGATGTTTTATGTTTATTATGAAATGTTAGGAAATTACCTACACTGAAAAAAATGATTCATTGGATTTACTTAATTTTTTTAAGGCAAGCTGTTGCAAATAAATGAATTGGGTTAAGTTTAAGCAAACAATTTTAGTTGGATTTACTCAATTTATATGTGTTGGATTTAAACAATCAAATTAGGTTGGATTTACTCAATTTATATGTGTTGGATTTAAACAATCAAATTAGGTTGGATTTACTCAATTTATATGTGTTGGATTTAAATAATCAAAATAAGTTGGATTTAATCAATTTTATTTAGTTACATTTATCTAATTAAATTCATTTAGTTCACTATAATTTAATTATGTTATTCCTACTTATATCTATTTATTTTTGATGTCTAAAATGATCATTAAATTGCTTGCAAATACACTTTGAAATGACACTTGACCACATCTGTTTTGAATTCATTTTAATGACTTTTTAAGATGCATTTTTTTAACAAAACATAAATCACTGCCTAAAAATGCTTTAGCAGCACACCATAACACAATAAACAGTTTGTACAGCACATTTAATTTAAACCAACACATAAAAGAAAACTGTATGAAGTCTTGGAGCAAACGGCAATCCTTATGACACACACACACCCCAACACACAAAATAATCAACTAATTAACTTAAAAAATTAACTCATTAACAAATTGAGCAACTACAAGTTGTATGAAATGGAATAAATACAAAGTTTATAGAATGCACATGCTCTCTCTCTCTCTCTCACACACACACACGCACACCATTTAAAACAAGTTCCTACAGCTAATTAATTTTCCACACAAAGAAAACTGAATTCACTTATTAAACAATTCCTACACTAAACTGCAATTTGTATATGATATACATTTGGTTGTTGAGCATTTATAACCACACCAATGCTTAAAATTACAGTATCACACTGTTTTCCAGTATGAGAACCTTTGAGGAGAGCTTGTCAGAGTTCATTTGCACAAGTACTTTTTGGGCAAACTCGTAATAGTATTTGAGTTCTTTTGGGTAGGCCAAATCAAGCACATAAATTGCCCCCAACATCAGTGTACAGGCTTGTGCAACAGATTTTATCTGTTCAATAATCACTGTTCCATCCACAACGATGCCAATGTCCTCATAATCTCCTCTTTCCTTTTTGATGACACATATGGCCATGGCGGTGTTTGTCAGGTCCTTCAAAAATTCTTCTTTTTGATTGCCCTATATTTAAATAAAGAGAAACCATTATTAGACATTGTTTTTGAAACATATTTTGTAAAAAGTCAGAAGAAATCAAATGTAAATAAAACCAAAACCTTAACGGCCCTCCCCACACCCACACTGATACCTGTGAAATATTATAACAATCATTTATGAGTGCATATTGTCGTACATATATTTGTGCATGATCTGCAAGTACGACTTCTTCACAATTATTTACAGGGTTTATTCAGGTTTTATCAGGGTAAATTTAAGATCTTTTAAGACTAACTAAAAATAATTTTGGAAAAAATAATTGAAAGGCAAACAATACAGTAATATGTTGAAAACTAAATATAATGTCAAGGAAGCATTATTGCATTATTATTTAAATAATATTACTCAAGGTTTAAGGCTTGAAAACCACAGATTTGGCCACTTGAATGTGGAAATACCTTCTGATCAGACCCACTGTATATCAATACACCTGGTCATAATTGTTCACCTTAACCCTTCTGTATTATTTAAATTTACTACCCTTTCCTTATGTTAGTTGCTGTTTTTTTTGCCCCATTGACTTCCATTAAAACATTTTTTGGATGCAAATCCATGACAGCATGTAATCACGCATTGTTGCTGGTTATCTTCCCTTTTTGGTAAATGTATATTTTGTCATTTTTACTGTTGATGATCAGTTGACAGCATAACCATTTAGATAGTCCTGTGCAAAAAAGTTTCTGGCTTTTATATTTTTTGAGTTCTTTGGAGTATAAACAGTAAATGATAGTGTGTGTGTGTATGTGTGCATAAATACACTTACTATGTTTACTATGTCTGAAAAAATGTATATAAGCAACTTTCAAAACAATGTGTGCAAAAGTCTCACTTTCATGAGCTCAAACAAAGAAATCTGTCTCCAAATTAATATTCTCAACAGCACACAAGGCTTAAGAATAATTGTGCACAAGTAAAATAAACATCAGCGAATGAAATTCAGTAGAAATGTCACACCTTGATGCAAAATTTAAGACCTCTCAAATTTAAGACTTTTTATGACCTTAAATTGTAAAAATCTAATTTAATACTTAAGACTTTTCAAAGACCCACAGGACCTCTGCAAATAATAAAAAAAAAAGTACAATGATAATAAAACAAATTTAATTGGACAAATTAATAGACATGTATATTTATTTAATTAGTATTTTTACGTGTCATTAATTAAACCAAAATAATTTAAATATATTAAGTATATTTTAAATGTATAAGTAAATATACAAATTTAAAACTTGAATTCATACTTTAAAAAAACGTCATGTTTCATTATTAGATTAAACATTTTTGAAGAATTATTCAGCAATACATTTTTGATTGTTAGTACGGCCACCTATTGACCTAAAAATGTAATACAAGTCAAGTTGCTTTTAAACAGTAATTTTAATCTTAACATAAACATAAATTTTCTCTTTTTTGAAAAAAAGTGGTTTACTTGTAATTCTGTGTCTATTTGTTTGTAATTTAGAAATAATAATACTGTTTAGAAAGACTAAAACAGGGGTGTCCAAACTCCTTCTTGGAGGGCCAGTGTTCTGCCGATTTTAGCTCATCCTTGCAGGTGTGTTGAGGCAAGATAGTTTCTAGATCACCTAGTAAGAGCTTGATTAGCTAGCATAGGTGTGTCTAATTGGACTTGGAATTGGAATTGCAATTGGAACTAAACTTAGCAGGACACAGGCCCTCCAGGACCAAGCTTGGACACCCCTGGATTAAACAATGAATATCTCTGGGGTCAAACACAGATCTGAACCCAATGCTGAGAACGTCAAAGGATTAAGAAACATATGCAACTTTTAATCATTTAGTATTTTTAGGCATACTAATATTAGGCACATATTGTGATTTTCAAAAAGTATTACATCGCTTTGTAAATGTTTATTATTACCATTTGTTGAGTCTCCCAATACTATTTGATATAGTCAAGCGATGTGATGTCACACTCAACAAGCTGATAGTTTTCTCACGGTTCAATAACAGTGTGTATTACCATTACAATGCAAGAGTTTGAGGCAAAAGATAATAGGTTGCTCTTACGCGTGTAGTGACCAATGGCATTTTTTTTTAACTTCATGTATAAATATATGGAAATAGAAAGCATTTGAAAAAAGAAAAAAGCCATTGACATACAGTGAAAACGCTATTTTCAAATTCTTTAAAATTATTAATTTTGTTTTTGAGATATTAAAATATTTTGTTCATTGTTCTATTCATACTTTTGCATTGAATTAGTATGCAACTTACTTGCACGAATCTAGCAAGTGTTTGTGCAGCGCAATGTGATTTGAATAGACCATAATGTGTTCAACATTAGGTTCACCTATTAATTCAAATATGGCACTCAAAAAAGTTTCTGTTTGTCTCATTGGCCACTGTAACCCCACCCTCAGCCTCTGAGCAAAGCAGCTCTTTCTTATAGCCCAGGTGCAAGCACTAGTACTATGATGCACTCACCATGTATTCTTTCACCAGGCATGCCTCATCCTCACCAAGGTAGGTAAAGAGAGCTTGAAGAATAGACGCTCTTTTGACATGGACATCGGTTGTCTGTAAATAATACAAATTTGATTAGTTAAATACATAAATGACAAATTGGAAAACGTTAAGAAATGTATTAGATTAGATTAAACTTTATTGTCATTACACATGTACAAGTACAATGCAACGAAAATCAGTTTAGGTCTAACCAGCAGTGCAATAGCAGCAAGTGCAGTATACAGGTATAAGTTATAAAGTGCAGATATAGAAAAACTTTAGTGATATTTACAGATGGATGTACTATCAACATTATATACAGGTTGTATTAGCTATAAACAGAAATTTAAAATAAATTATTATATGTACAGGTTGCTATTAATAATCAGAAGTGTACAGGTAGATAAACAATTACAAGTGTACAGTATACAGTATGTACAGTTCAAATGAATGAATCAGTCTAATGTAGTGCAATGAATGTGTAATTTTTAAATGTGCAAATGTTAAATAGTGCAATGATAATGAGGAGTACAAGTTATGAGGACAGTGGGGGTGTATTAGAAGGGCAAAATAATTAGTGGGGGATAGAGTTGAAAAAGGGACAGCTCTGAGGAAAGTGTTGTTCCTTAAGGCTGATTTATACTTCTGCGTCAAACGCACGCCAATGCTACGGTGCTGACGCATAGCCCTTCGCCGTGGCCGTCGCTGACGTGCACCTCTCAAAAAATGTAACTACACATCGCAACGACACGTAGCACAAGCTCTGTGATTGGTCGGCTTGGTAGTGGCCAAGTGGACAGATGATGTATCTCCTCCCTGTAGGCCGTCTCATCATTATTGCTGATTAGACCAATCACTGTGGTGTCATCTGCAAATTTGATGATGATGTTGGATCTATTCACAGGCCTACAGTTGATAGTAAAAAAGAAGTAGAGGAAGAGGCTCAGCACACAGCCCTGTGGTACACCAGGGTTGAGTGTGAAGATGGCGGAGCAGATGTGGCCTGATCTAACATTCTGAGGTCTTTTAGACAGAAAGTCCATAATCCAGTTGCAGAGAGACGTGTCGATATCCAGGTCTCTAAGTTTATTCATTAACTAATGCCGTGTTCAATTTGAAAGTAGTCGTTGCTGCTTTATTTTCACTGCAAGATGGATCGGCGACAGGGACTTGAACATTGCATGACTTTACAATAGGAAGAATCGCCGACAACTTCGTCTAAACTACGTCTCACAACCCAAAAACCATCTGTTTGACCAGGTCGTGGATTAATGCTAATATTGCAAATAATGTTAAATTTCTTACACAGACCAATCGTTTCACTTTACAGGACCTTCATCAGGAGCCATGGCTTTAGATTTGGACTTTATTCTTAAACTGAAAAACCCATCCTCATTCGCTGCCATTATTTGGATCACCATGTACCACAGATTCAGCTAAAAATCATCAGTAGTGTTATATTAACATTAAGTTAAATAAATATTAATTTATTTTCTTCTCGGCTTAATCCCTTTATTAATCTGGTGTCGCCACAGCGAAATGAACCGCCAACTGATCTAGCATGTTTTACACAGCGGATGCCCTTCCAGCTGCAAACCATCACTTAAAAAACATCCATACACTTTCATTTACACACACACACTACGACTATTTAACTTACCCAATTCCCCTATAGCGCATGTCTTTGGACTTGTGGGGGAAACCGGAGCACCCGGAGGAAACCCATGCGAACGCGGGGAGATCATGTAGACTCCACACAGAAATGCCAACTGATCCAGTCGAGAATCGAACTAGCGACCTTCTTGCTGTGAGGTGAGAGCGCTTCCCACTGCGCCACCTGTAAAATAAATATATTTTTAAAAATAAAAAGAATTAATAACTGAAACCAGCTCAAATGTTATCGATTATTTGTCATATGCCATGTCCCGAATAAAACACGTTACCGTAATGCACAACTGTTAGTCATTTGAGACTCCTTTATTACAGCACTCCCACAAGTTTCTCTCTTGCTTTCACAAATAAAATTATACATATTTAATGTATATCCATTATTAATAGCCTATCTAAGTTTTGCCCAGCTAGCGAAACCTGCAGGTAAAGGTAGCCTATAAGCATATTTTTTTCAGTGCATGCATTGACTGCATCGTCAAATACATAGAATATAAGTATGTTTGTGGCATGACAAGCATGGACATGAGCATTATTCAGAACATAGCCTATATATTTATTTTTAAAATGTTTAATTTAGAAATTAAAACTATATTAAATTTCAACTTGCAGTAATAATCTAAACATTAAACTTTGCCTCGATGTTGTGCACTTAATATCCTTTAACACACCTAAATCTGACGATTGTCCCTTACATGTACAGTTGAAGTCAGAATTATTAGCCCCCTTTTGATTTTTTTTTCTTTTTTTAATATTTCCCAAATGATGTTTAACAGAGCAAGGACATTTTTTACAGTATGTCTGATAATATTTTAACTTCTGGAGAAAGTCTTATTTGTTTTATTTCAGCTAATATAATAGCAGTCTTTAATTTTTTTAAAAACAATTTTGGGACAAAATTATTAGCCCCTTTGAGCAAATTTTTTTTCGATAGTCTACAGAACAAACCATCATTATATAATAACTTGCCTAAATACCCTAACATGCCCAATTCACCTTATTAACCTAGTTAAGCCTTTAAATGTCACTTTAAGCTGTACAGAAGTGTCTTGAAAAATATCAAGTAAAATATTATTTACTGTCATCATGACAAAGATAAAATAAATCAGTTATTAGAAATAGGTTTCTAAAACTATTATGCTTAGAAATGTGCTGAAACAATCTTCCCTTCATAAAACAGAAATTGGGGAAAAAAATAAACAGGGGTGTTAATAAGTCAGGGGGGCTAATAATTCTGACTTCAACTGTATATTACATTTATAATGATACTCAAATTTATTTAATCAACTGACTGTTTACTTGTAAATAGTTGGTTTAGTTACACTATATTTAAAGTGATTTCTTTTTTCGACTACCTTGTAATTTAACATGTTCAGCCAAGATAAAGACATGTAAAGGCTGATTTATACTTCTGCGTCAAATGCACGTGTATGGTCCGACGCAGCCTGCGCGCAGTTGAATAGCCCTTGCCGTGGCGCATCTCTCCAAAAATGTAACTAAACATCGCAACAACACGTAGCGCACGTTCTATTAGTGGACTTGGTAACGCTTACGTGTGTGGGCGGGGTTGAGAGCCACGCCAACCCATTGGAGCTAGTGTTTACAAGTGTAGAGTCCCATGAAATAGCTCCAGGTGGAAACTGTTGCTTTGTGTTTACCTTATGATTAAAGTTGTTGCATGACCGCCAGCTACCGCCTCAGAATGAGCGAGTTTTATCCGCTTGTTCATTAAGGCAGTGTTCAGAAAAAACAAAACCCAAGCAAAGAAACTCCATACAGAGGGAACATATAAACCTACTGCTTTTGTAAGTGTTATTGTAGAACAACACAAACAGCGCGCACAAGTATAAGTGCTCAGCTGCACGCAGGGCAGGCGCAGTAGGTCACGCCAATCACTCAACGCAGAAGTACAAACCAGGCTTAAGGGCGAATTTCTATTGTGCAATTTTGAGCCAAATTCTGATGCGACACTTCTTTGAATCAAATTAAATTTCAACTTTGATATTTGCTGTGCTGTGTTGATGCAATGTACAGGAGGAAAAAAAAGGTAAATAACCTCTCTTGGTCGGCAGATAGTCGAATCATTTTATGGCAGGTCAGACATTTTGGTCGCCTCTCTTGAGAGAATCACGGAGTTGAATCAAAGTTGAACTCTGTGTTTGTGCTCTTACTGCACCCTAGTACTGTGAAAACTAGGGAAGCAACAATAACATTTACTTATTCTTTACTTGTCACAAACCTGTTTGAGTTTCTTTGTTCTGATAAACACGACATAAGATAATTTGAAAAATGATGAAAACCGGTAATCATTGACTTCCATAATATGTTTTTCCTACTATGAATGTCAATGATTACTGGTTTCTAACACTCTTCAAAATATTTTGTCTTGTGTTCAACAGATAAAAGAAACTCAAAGGTTTGGAACCATGGAAACATGGTGAGTGAATAGTGAGTAAATTTCCTTTTTTGGGACTATTTAGATTTTTCAGAGCAACATATTCAGTTAAGAAACTGTTTACTGTAATGTGTAGTGATAAATGTTTTGCAGTTACTTACCATAAAAATGTTGATGGAAAATTCCAACTGCAGTACTGGACAGAAAATGTGTTTAAACCCCTGACCAAGGAACTCAGCAAAGGAAACTTGTTGTACAGTACCTCAAATGAAAGGAAGCACATTATTATCATTTAGGTTCAAAATTCAGCACAAGTTACAACATGACCAACTTCTTAATCAACATATTGTTTACCGATTAATTATATTAGGCAACATACATTTAGATAAATTACTTATTGAACAAATTGCTGAACGTGATTAATATGATTAAGATAATCGTCACTGGCTGATTGATACGATATAAAGTCTGTCTCAGACCAGTCAAAGCACTGCATTAAATTCCATTCTTCAACGCCATGTCTTAAAAATGTCAATTTATTTTAACCACAATATTTTCTATGAAGTTTTAGCACTCGTCTGCATGTGTTTTACGTTTGAACAACTAAATGATTGCTTCAGCTTATTTAAAGGATATTATTTTAATTAAATTACATTATCGTTGATGTAAAAGGCACTTTATGAATATGGAAAAAGTCACATTAAGTTAACCCCTGCGCTGGACGTTTATCGGTGGCTGATAAACACTTGCTGTGAATATAAGTTAGCCTATTAAGTGAATTATAACCCCAAAGACATAATTACAGCATCTCACGTAAAAAAATAAAGAACTATAAATGGATGCCCTTTACGTTAAAAGTTAATGTTACGCCAGTATGGGCACACATTCGACAACCTCCTAAGACAGTCAGTAGTGCCCTAACGCCAGACCAAATCGTTCTATAACAAAATCAGTATGGTACTGTCCGTTCACAACTATCTAAACGCATGCTTAATGTTAACCATAGTAAAAGCCACGGTAAATTCACAAAGGACTGAGCTAACGTTAGCAACGAAGCTTTTTTCGTTTGGAATGGCGGATCACGGACACTGTCGTCACATCAAAGAAAATGCTTATTCTCTTGAAAATAGCCATTTACTTCATTAAAAAAACATTATATATCAAGTCTACATAACTACATTCTTGCTAAACAGAATCTTTAATATATTCTGCGACATAAAAACGAGATTTGTCAAACCGTGTGTAACGTTAACTGTTAGCTTAACTTGCGAGCGCGCTCGACGGCTGGTCGCTGTGAAATTTAAAAACGACCAAAATAGACAGTCCGAACGAGAGACCATTTTATGCGTTTATGTTACCCACAAAGTTTTTCTTTAATAAACAGTCTGGTACAATATAAAATGTGACTTACTGTGCAAATGGATGTACAGAAATCCGGCTGTGGCGTCTTGCTTCAATCTGACTGGATTCTGTAAACCTTCCTTTGGGCTTTGGCGCCGAGGCAACGGAACATAACGCGCATGCGCACAAAGCTAACATAATTTTTTCTAATAGACTTTAATTAATTAATTTAGATTGGTTCAAAACACATCTAATTCACTTAAACCCGATTAATAATAATTTAATAAAATCAACAACTAAATTAAATTGTTTAAAATAAACTAAATTGAATTATGTTTAATTTAATAGATGCCTAAATCATTTTTTTCAGTGTATGGCAACTTTGATGTAATATAATTTAATATATTTACTTTTGGCAACGGCTCTCAATGATATTTGGTGTTTGGACTTTATACTAAAAAGCTAGTGTGTGTGTGTGTGTGTGTGTGTGTGTGTGAAGGATATGGACTGGCTACATTGTGTCACTGTGACTGAAATTCCCCTGTTATATCAGCGAGGTAAACAATGTCATTCAATCTTGTGCGTTTACGCCATCTAGTGGTCAGTAATGATAAAAGCATTTTGCAGAATAAATGACTGCTCGAAAAAGATATGCACCATTACACTGGACAAAAACCATTGTGAATAAAAATGACGAATCTATTACCTAACATAAATGTATTACATTAAATATATTTTGTAATTTAATTTTTTCTGGGAATAAATAGAGAACTTGCCAAAGCCATTGAATAAAAATTGACTCTGATGTAAAGGTGGGCGTGGCTTAGTAGCCCTGTTGTAAGTCTATTAATGACTTATTAATCACCTAAATAAAACTATAAGTGTTTCCTTTATTTTTTATTGGCGCCATCACAGTTAGTAACAATGGGAAATGCATTATTTTTATTTAAACACTATTTTAAAGATACACTTGCACAATTATAGATTTTTGGTGCGTGCGTACAAGTATAGTCAGATTCGTCACTAGAACAAGTAATTGTTTTTGTCTTATAAATGGGTAATAGCTTCCTGCTCAGAGACAGCAAACCACCAGTCACCACTGCAGAAAACCTGGACTCTATTGCAGCTTTCATTGGCCAACAACCATGTAAAGTGACCATTCAGTTTGCTCTGATCATCGTCATAATTATGCAATGTTGATGCCCTCACAATACCAGAGCAGTGTGTACAACTCTTGGACATATTTTAGAGAATGCTGTAAACTATTTATTACTACTTAAAATATTTGTGAAAAGACATGTTGAGTTTATCATGACGATGAGCGCTAAAGGTCACAATTGTACACAAGACGATTGTCTTTTACATTTCCTAACATAAAATGTTTTTTAAAAAATGAAAAACTGCTTTCTATTTTAGCCAAAATAAAACAAATAAGACTTTCTCCAAAAGAAAAAAATATTATCAGACATACTGTGAAAATTTCCTGAATCTGTTAAACATCACTTGGGAAATATTTTTAAAAAGTGGGCTAATATTTCTGACTTCAACTGTATCTCCTTTAAGATTCAACCAATCAGAAAAGACTGAAATTTCTGAAATGTTTTTAGTTTTGTGTACGTCAGACATGAGTGTGGTGTTTGAGGCTGTGACTAACAACCCACTAACTCGACCTATTAAAGACATTATGCAAAATTAAGCCCCCTTTGAAAGGTTTATTGGTATAAAACAATATAAACGGATAGCATTTACAGCCAATAAATACAAATAAAATGTAAATGACATAAAAGTGCACATGCATCAGTGGTGTAGTGGACGGGCATGCATGGCGCACAGTTTTTTGTTGTAAAAATCCTCTTTTCATTTGGTGTAATTTGTATCTTAATTTTAATGTGGTTATTGTTGGTCAGTTATTTAAAACAGTTCAAATAACAAAAAAGTATGTTAAAACAAAAATTTCCGCAGCCAGGTATAGCAAGATGACTTGCATAGGAAGATCTATTTAAGATTTTCTGATAAAAAAGGACTTCAGTTTGACACATCTATAAGAACAGAACAATTTTATACTGCTATATGTATACACGTATTACACATTCAAACAATACTTGTGCAAAAACCATCCCTACCATGAAAAATGATCTGGATTATTGTATGTGTCTCTGGCAGCATGGCTGGAAGCATAAAGGCATTATTTCAGACTGTTTTCAAAAATAAAATACAAAAAAAAAAAGCACAAAATAGGTTTGGATGCATAGCATCTATTAATTGGAACATTACATTAAATAATGTGTCAAAGTGGTAAACGCAGGGAAGGTTAAGTCAAGTAAGAATAGGTTTTACATGCATTAAAACTGAGGTTTTGCTTTTTTTGACAATGGAACCAGCACAGGCTCACTGTTTAGTGCCAATGTAGTCCTTCATGAATGCTCATAGTCAGGTCCTTTATATCCACTACACAGAAACACATCCACCGCCCGCCCACCAACAGAAACAAGACTTCCTAGTCACAATACTCCTCTTCATGTCAACTGTTCTCATCACACCACCACAACACATCAGATGTCAGCTCAAGTACTGATTTGCATATTAAACACAACCACCAAAAAACCATCAAACACAAATCTTGTCATAATTACCAAACACAAAGGGTTACCTTCCAGACTTTACAAAGACTATTAGCCTCAGCTGCATTCATACTCAATGAAGGCAAACCCAATGACAAACGTTAACGGCTTCCTTTCACTTTGGGCTGGATGTTAATCAACCGTGCCAACCATTTTACTGGACACACACTTAAAAGTACACCATCTTCCTTACATTTCCGGATTAGATTAAGAGCCAGACAAGTTTAAAATGTGTACTGTCGGTGTGCCTCCAGGAACGAGGTTGGGAATCTGATCTAGTAACCATTCACTTTTGTTTTTCCTCGAGAATGTCTCTTGGATTAGAGTTGACGTCTTACTCTTCGCTGCATTTGAGATGTGGTTGACTTGGGAGATTTCGTCTACTCTGTGCTCCTCTTAAAGGCTGTAACCATCTAGCCCAGCAAGGCACTGTTGTTTCCAGAAGAGCACGCCATCACACGAGCCCAAACTCCTGATTTGGTCTGTTAGAACCCCACACTTGTGGGATGCTCCTTGTTCAGCATCGCCCTCTGAAGTCTTGGCTGGAAGGGGCTCTGCGTGACTCTTGATTTTAGTTGGACCCGCTGAAGTTGAACTCAAGGGTCAGGGAGGTCTGAAGTGTCTACAGTCACTTTTATAAAGATGGTGTCGTCTTTGATATAGGTTCCATTTTCTAGCACAGTCTGAGCCACAAAAAGCGGACAGCCTGATGCGATGTTCATTTCGCCAGTGGGCCGGCGAAAGCTACTGCTACTGGGGTCCGGTTTAAAGGCATCGCCTAAGTGTTTTCTTGCCGGCCCCTGGTCCATTAGCATTAATGTTACTTTCTGTTTAAACGGCCATTGTAGCAAGGCATCATATTCACCACGCATGACCACGAAGAAGAGCGAGAGATGTGTGCCTTTGCCCATCCCATCTCCATTGAGATAGACGCGGGCGCACATCTTATAGCCGAAATACCCTGTGTAAAAGGGCTGGCTGTAGAGCGAAAGGGTTTTGGAGACCACAGCTTCCTGTTTCCGCCTTTTGTAATCCCGAATCTTCCAAATGAGAGTACCATTGAAGCTGGCCGTCTCCAGCACCTGCAGCTTCAGATCCATCTCTGCCAGCCGCACGTCGTGAACGCTCATCAGGTCATCATGGCGTGTGAGCTGCTGCTCTAAGGAGGCTGAAGACAGGGTTGACAAATGTTAAAAATAATCAGTGTTAGGGTCACACATCAGTACTTGTATTGGTGTATATTAGGGATGAATCAGTACACAAAGTTGATGATTGAGTACAAAGATTTGAAGTCACAGTTTGGTATGTTTATTTTTGTTTAATTTAACAGTGGTTTGCTAAACCATATTATAGCTTTTTGCCTTTATTATGATAGTACAGTAGCTGGACAGAAAGCAAAGTTGGAGAGAGAAAGGGGATACGGGATCAGGAAAGGTCTGCAAGTTGGGACTTGAACTTGAGTCACCCAATGCACAATGGCGCTATATGTTGCCCACAAGGCTATAGGCAATGTTATAAAAGATTTAAAAGTTGTCTTTGCTAATGCTGTCATCTATAGAGCCATTACTTGCAGATTACGATCATTTTCACACTAGGTAGTTAAAAAAACTCAACAAAGCTAGCCACCAGGCCCAATTCACAGAGAACTCATTTGCCCTGGATCATATTTCTGGTACCATTTTTCTGGCAGGAAAAAACATGGTCCACACAATAGTTCTAGGAACTGTGAAGAAGGTGCGGAAGTCTCTTACATTTATTATTTATTAGTAATAATCAATAATTGGGTCCCATATTATATTAAGTGTCCTTAACTAATACATACTTAAACTGAAATTATTAATCTATTACAATGTACTTATAGTGTGAATGCATGTTTATACATTGTACTTATGATTGATTGAACACTGTTGACCATCTATTTCACCTTAATCCATAGTTAAACCTACCCATACCCCAAAACCTGTACCTAACCTCACCTAAATCCCACCTTAAGAACACCAGTTGTGTTCTGCAACACATTATGAACACAGGATTATATTTATTTTTTTGATGTGCTGTAAGAACCTAGTATTTAAGGCCACTTAATATCAAATAGGACCAATAATTGAATAAAAAAATGCATAGATACAAGTGGAGCCATTGTATTAATGTCTAAATGATAAAATCTAATTCATTTCTGAAACTGCAATTTATACACTGTATTTTAATGCGTTTCATAACAGATTGATGTTCATTAAATAATTAAGACATCACTGATAGTTTAAGTAAAATATAAGGAATCTATAACAAAGTGTGAAGCTGTTTTATTGACCTTTTTTACCCAAGTGATTAAATGAGACAAGATCTTTATCCATGTTAATTTTGTGCTATAACCAGTTGAAAAGAGGAAGAAATTATTGCATTTGAACTGAGCATTCAATTGCCTATTATTGTTTTGTTGTACTGTATTTCCTAATAAAATAGAAATTAAAGGATAAGACTGTCCCTTATAAGATTAAGCACAAAGCATCTTGCAATTATTAGACAGAAGATGAACTATTTAATGCCTAGTAAAGATTTTTGCAAGCATCATCTGGCACAGCATTGACTAAAAGACAGTAAGATATATATATATAAAAAAACAATGTATTTATTCAGTTCATATGCATACCAAACTGAAAGACTGACATTTTTATACAAATATATGTAGAGTTATACCTCTAATATTTATAAAATTTTCTTACCCAGGGTATGAGAACCAGAAGCAGAATTGACACAGCTTGAGTCAAGAGAAGAGACCATCGAGCGCATGCTCTCCACAGAGCCCCTGAGAGTCTCCACCTCCTCCCTCATGGCCCGCAGTGGACGGAGCTCCCGCAGCTCCATCTCCACCTCCAGCAGCTTCTCTGAGTGAGAGCTCATCAACATCTACACACATACATATACAATTGAAGTCAGAATTATTAGCCTCCCTTTGATTTATCTTCTTTTTTAAATATTTCCCAAATTTCCAAGCAAGGAAATTTTCACAGTATGTCTGATAATATTTTTTCTTCTGGAGAAAGTCTTATTTGTTTTATTTCAGCCAGAATAAAGGCAGTTTTTAATAAATTAAAAAAACATTTAAGGTCATTATTATTAGCCCCTTTAAGCTATTACTTGCCTAATTGCCCTAACCTGCCTTGTTAACATAATTAACCTAGTTAAGCCTTTAAATGTCACTTAAGCTGTATAGAAGTGTTCTGAAAAATATCTAGTCAAATATTATTCACCGTCATCATGGCCAAGATCAAATAAATCAGTTATTAGAAATGAGTAATTAAAAATATTATGTTTAGAAATGTGTTGAAAATATCTTCTCTCCGTTAAACAGAAATTATGGGCAAAAGAAACAGGGGGCTAACATTTCGTTCATAGCTGGGTTTCTGACGTTTAGAAATTTGTAGAAGTTTGGGGGAAAAGGGATTTAAATGCATCTTTCTTGCACTTATTTTGTAAATAAAAATACAGTGGTAACAATGTAATTACAACATGTACATATTATATAAATTACACAGTAGAGAAAGTCTAGAGTCGGTAAGATGCTTAAAATGTTTTTAAAAGTCTCTTACATTAAATTGATTAAAAAAAAATTTATTATATAATGCTCAGCATAATTGAGTACAGCCCATTTTGAAAATGAATATTTTGCTCCATTTCTCAGTGAATATAGGCAATGTATTTTGGTGCATTAAACAAAACAGATTTATTAAACAGATATATTTAATAAAATAATATTTTAGTCACCAAACATTTTTAGAAATTTAAATATTAAATTCAAGCAAAATATTGCAAAAAAACATATAATAATGACAACCTACAAAATTTAAACTAAATTTTGCCTTATTGTTTGCTTCTCTCGATTTTTTAAAATTTCTATTTAATATTTTCCTTTAAAAAGAAAACTTTTTTAACGTTTTTTTGACCGTTATTGTAAGTTATTTTGTTAAATTAGCTCCAGATTTGGCTTCAGCACTGACTAATCTAATGTATATGCACAAATATAATATTGTATAGCGTCCTACTAAAATATTAATTTAAAATATAGATTTGTGAGGGGTGCACTTATATATGCTGAACACAGTAAATTCTTTGATTCATCGATCAATGAACCAATTGTTTATGTTTTTTAATATTTCATTTTTTTTCTACATCAACAAAAACATTTTCCATTAAGTACACTAAAATATTAAGAGCATAACTTGGATGTCTTTTAAAATGCCTCATTCATTTCTGATGCAAAATATTTTGTGATTTTGAATAAATTGTAAGATTTCTATTTCACAATTACAGATGTTAAAGATGTTTTTCTGTGCTCACCCTGTTTCTATATCTGCTACTGTTATTGCCACTATCATTTCAGCAGCATATGTTTTCTTTTCAGTTTTTAATACAAGGTAAAATTAGCTATATTACAGTTATCTTGCCTTATGATAAAATGATCTGGCATATGTTAGTGGAGGAAAATTTTTAATTTTCAGCAGCTACTTAACCACTTTTTAGTCTAACATGGTCCTTCAGAACAGAGTTATTATATTTAAATAAAATTCAAACAAAAGATACATTTATGAGATTTTGGTTTAATGTGTAACAAGAAAACGTCACTATTGATGAAACTATTGATGAAGGCTAAAAAACCCATTAATACTAAAACAACACTGCTTCAGAAACATTATTTTAAACATTACAAGTAACTACAACTACTAGATTGCATTGTTAAATGTTCAAAATCCCCTAAAACATTACTTCCAGGTTTGAATTTTAAACACCTGACTTTTAATTACAGTTTCAGACTTTGAGGCGCTATAAAACATGGAAGTGTCTGTCAGACAGAAGTAGTGCATGGTACAGCAGACTTGCGTCACTTTAAACAAAGTAGAAGTTATTTTTAGCTTCAGCAAATGATTTTAAAAAAGAAAAGAAAAGAAAATGTCTTGTTGGTGATGGCTCTCACCTGCATGCTGACCAGCTTCTGCTCCAGCTGCCTGTTCTTTTCTCTCATCTCCTCATACTGACGCTCCACCTCAGCAAGACGACTGCTGAGACTCGGCAGAACTTTATAACGCTCCATCAACTCACTCTTCACATCTTCAACCTACACACACGCACACACACATTAGTCAGGGCTTATCTGTGACTGAGCTACATGCATGTTAAAAATGTAAACAGCAAAAAGCACATTCATTTTTACAACGGAAGCAAGTGGTGTTATTAAAAGAGTCTCTTATATGTGATAAATACATAGTGACATGCAGTTAATGAGAAGTGTATTGACTTTTACCTTGGCTTCTAGTGTGGTGTTTCTGACTGCCATCATTCTTAGATGCTCAGATGCAAAACTGGACTCATGCTCCCTCATCTCTTGATTCAGCCCCTTGAAAAATCCATTCAATTTAATGTCAATATTGTTCACTGCAAAAACGTCATTTTAGAAGACTTTAAAGAAAAAAATTAAAGAAAAAAATATTAATAATTACAAAATTAATTAATATCAAAAAACAAAATAATAATAACAACAGCATTTTATTCTTAGTATATTCTATATTATGTATTAACAACTTTGAAAATGCTTTAAGATGCTCAAAATACATATTGTTATAATTATTTTTTTTAAACATTTTTTTTTTAAAGATGCACAAAAAAAAAAAGTTTAGCATTTTGGACCCAACTATATATATGAAGTACATTTAGATATAAAGGATGTAAAATATATTAAGCTTCACACGCTTTTAGGTCAGAATATTTTTTGAATATTTGTTGAATGTTTGTTTATAACATCTATACTATAAATGTCTATTGACAAACCATTATTGCATAAACAATTTTAACAATTTATATTTGAAAAAAAAAAATTATATATTTTGTTGAAAAAAGCTACAATAATATTTATGTTGTTTTTGTTATTAATAAAATGGACTGTTTTTGATAATAGTTATTGAAATTATTCAAATGAATTAAAATAAGAATTCCAGAGGGATTAATAATTATACATTTTAAAAATTTAAATAAAATGTTCCTAATTTTATTTCAAGCAATGAATATTTACAGTGCTCAGCATATCTATCCCCTCACAAATCTATCTTTTAAATGAATATTTTTAATAGGAAGCTGTTCAATATTATATTTGTGCATATACATTAGATTGGTCATTACTGAAGCCAAATCTGGAGCTTATCTAACAAAATAACCTCCAATAACGGTCCAAAAACCAGTATACTAAAATTTATATGTTATAGAAAAATAATAAATTCAAGAGAAGCAAAAAAATGACAAATTGGTTTGAAAAATATTTTGTGCAATATTTTGCTTGAATTTAATTGTATTATCTTTCCATTTCTAAATATGTTTGGTGACTAAAATATTATTTTATAAAATATATCTGTTTAATAAATCTGTTTTGTTTAATGCACCAAAATACATTGCCTATATTCACTGAAAAATAGATAAAAATATCTATTTTCAAAATGCTGAGTACCGTATAGAGGACGCATTGTATAACCAATATTGAAAAAGGAGCAAATAAAGTAATAACACGATAATAACATGGTCACATTCGATACGTTACTACATTTCTTGTTATCACATTAATTCATTACTGATTAGAAGTTGCTGATCAGATAAAATATTAATTTATTTTTAAAATATAAAATTTTATACAAAAAATCTTCATGTTTTAGTATACAAGTATACAGATTTTAATAAAGTAATGTAATGTAATGTATTTTTTATTTATTTTCACATCAGCATTAAAGGCTAGTTTCATGGCAAAAACATTTCAATAATAAATATACAAGTAAAAATCAATCATCAAATAAATACTAAAATAAATAGGTTAGTAACATTTTAAAAATAATGGTCAATTAGTTAATGTCTGTACTAACATTAACTAATTTTGAATAATCTTGTAAAGCATTTATTAATCATAGTTCAACATTAAAAAAAGCATTATTAGAATCCAAAGTCGTGCTTGTCAACATTAGTTAATGCACTGTGAGTTTACATGAACTAACGTTATTTAACTTAAATAACATTAACCAACATCATCAAAAATGAATAAATACCATAATAAATGCATTACTAATAGTTTGTTGATGTTAGTAAATACATAAACTAATGGAATATTATTTTAAAGTTACCAATAAGGTATATATAAATAATTCTTGTATAAATTAAATACATTTTTATTGCTAATACATAATTTAAAAAAATTCTAAATAATATTTCTGGTGTCACTTTGCAAAAAAAATTGACGAGAAAAAAATTGCAGGACAGTCCAGTAGAATGTGTGTTACTGTGAGAAGAGTTGCGCATAGATTTTGATAACACGTTAAGAGTTAAATGCTTGTTTTAAAAGGGTTAAAGTTGAATGTTAAGGTTAAATATTAATATATTTCACACTTAATTTTAACCACATATTTTAAAATAAAAATCTACTCTAGTAGGAGAGACTGAAAGTCACCTTGTAGGAGCATCCGTAGCGAATGAAGGAACAGGTCACCTGAGCCTTTGGACAGTCATGCTGGTGACTTGACAGCTAAGAGAGACACATCCACACCATAAATATACATCACAAAAAATAAATCTGCCTAAAATGAATCAACTCATTTTACATCATTCAAAAGCAAAACACACACACGTTAGTAAATGCAGTCCAAGCCTACCTCACTTCTTAGAATAGAAGAAAACGAGCAATGATTAGGACATGCTACAGGAAATGCAGGACAGACGGTTTCTTTGTGTTTCTGCAAAGAGAGACGACAAAAACACGGCATTCTGACATGTTTCAAGATGCTCACGCTTAACCAAACCAAAAAAACTGTTAGTGTCTAGAGTAATAATGACAGGATTAACCAGGCGGAAAAACAAAGCATTACTGAAGTGAAAACACACATCGATCATTCTCTAAATGACAGTCTGCATAACGGGAGATTCCCCTAAGTTCCTTGTACAAATGTGAAACTTAAAGGTCATGGGACATTAATGACAGCACACAAGGGGAATACTTCTCATAGAGGAACCGAGACGTCCACTAATTCCAATCAAGGAAAAAAAAAAACTCAATGATATCTAAAAAAAAAAAAAAGCTTGCTTGAATTTCTAAGTACTTTCCATGAGATTTCAGGTCCTTTTTATAGGAACTGGGGGGTTTTGGGCAAAGTGTGGTACCTGTAATTCAGTGAGGGCCATTTTGAGACTGCAGAATTCACAGGTGACCTCTCGGTGTTTGCATTTGCGGCTTAGGTGCTCGGGCATATCTTTCCTCATCATCTTCTCCTTACACTTTCCCAAAGGACACGGCACCTCGAAATATGGACAAATTACCAAATGCTCCTGTTCAAAGCAAAAAAAGAGATGGATTTAAACAAAAATCTTGGCTACAACCCACATCTCCTTACAGTACTAAAATGATTTACAAGTTCTAGTCTCAGATTTCTCTGCGCTCCAGGCTGGTTCTAGTCTGGAGGAATCTACCATATGATATGTAGACTATTGTGTCTGAGAATCATATGACTTACCATGACCTGCTGTAAACACATTTGTTCTTTACATCCATTTTTCTCACTTCGGCAGTAGACCTTAAGAGCCATGATTTCCCTATTGCAGCAAACATCCCGGAATATCTTGCATGGAAAAAAGCAAAAAAACAAGATTGTTTTGTGTGCTGCCTGTTATCCAGCCCTCATTACTTTCACTTGGAGCTGTGTGAGTGTGATTTAATATGTAACGGAGTGGGTGTGTCCTTGCAGCGTTTGGCTTCACTTTCTTACCTTATCTTCAAAAAGTGGTAGTAGATCAGCTGGACACACTGGGTTAGGCTTACTGAAAAAGAAAGATGGGTCTAAATGTAAGCAAACTTTGTAGTAGTAGTTCAAATGACTGGTGTTTTATAAATAAAATCCTGGAAATACCCTAGATTTTTTAGCAAAGATGTTTACAGTAGTGATTTGAAGGTTAGTGTTGAAATTCAGGTTTTTCAACATGAAAGAGATAGCTTTACTTTTTAGTTTATTTATTTATTTTTTTGTTTAGTTTATTTCTTTTTACAATACAAACCAGTAATCCAAAAAAAAAAAAAAAAAAGCGAACATCAGTACATATATTGGAAAAGTATGATATTGCGGTATTATATTTTTCTGCGATAAATATTGTGATATGAATACAGTTTCAGAAGATGGTTTGAATAGCTTTATTTGATGGTCTTCCAGGGAGTCTAACAGTATTTGGGTACAGAAATTGAATGATCAAAATACAAAAAAAAAAAAAAAATTGCTTTTCTTACTTAGTTTAGTTTTGTTTCTAGTCGTAATATCAAAAACATTCTTAGAGCAAGTAAAAACATTCTTTAGTTTTTACCATCAGAAGAAATAAGTGAAAAATAAAGAGTTTTTTGCTTGTTTTAGGGAAATAATCTGCGCGTGAGGTAAATTAAATCATCATGTTTTCGCTTTGAAATGCAGATATTTACTTAGACTAGAAAAGCAAGAAAGATGTTTTTTGTTGTTGCATAAATCATATAAATTCTATATTAAAAAAGTGAATAAATACATTTTCTGTAGTTCCTTGTCAACTATAATTCAGACTGGATGTTGAATATCTTCATGATGTGACTATTGCAGATGCATACATTGCGATATCGATGCTAAAAGGAGATATTGTGCAGCCCTAATACACCACATAAACTTTCATGTAAAATAAGTTTAAAAACAAAACTAAAATTAAGTCAACTGCGTAAGATTGCTATATCTCTTTCTTAATGCTTGTTTTAAAGCTTTCACTCACTCTAGGGCCATTCGAGATAAAGGTGACTTATTTTATTTAGTTTATTCACTTTAAGGTGAATACTAGTATCTTGAAAATACAAAAGAAATGTTGCAATTATGTCAAAGACAACATAAATAGGTTATTAAAACTATTTTTTTTTTAAATAATGTTCTCTCAGTTAACACTGGGTACATATTTTTAATCTCACACAGGAAAGGTGGATGTCACCTAGAATTTAACTATCACCAAGGAGTTTCTGCAAAAAAAAAAAAAAAAAACTGCATGTTTTACAGGAAAAGAAAAAAAGTCAACAACATTTGAATGGACTGAGGATGAATAAATGGCCAGAAATTTTTCACTAGTGAGTGAACCATCTCATTAAAGTAATTGGATTTAGATAATATTAAGCAGTTGGCTTTATCACATGATGATCTACTTTATCTTATTAAAATCAAGGAGTAAAAGCACCCAAGATGAGCTATATGGTCAGATTCAAGTGACTGAATCTACTGTTCATTAAGTGGTGGTCAGGAATGCATTTAGCTAACATTTGATGATTGGATTTCTTAATTTTGCACTAACAATGTAAATTTTTTGGGGGGGGCCTTAAAATATACTTACAGCACACTTTTTTATGTTTCTTCTCCAAAATCTTATTTACATTTTTTTTCTAAATGTTAAGGGAAAGTTTGGTTAATTTAAAACGAACAACAATGCCACAATCCTGCTGTGCAGCGTGCACCAAACTAGTAGTCTGTGATTTGTAAAAAAATATAGGTCATGCAGCTTCCAAACAAACTCAGGTGCAGTTCGACATGCATCAATGCAACAAAGAGCAAACACAACTAAACTAACCAAAAAAAGCACATAGTGTCACAAGATGCTACCATAAAAAGGACAGAATGCTGAAGTATTTTTTTGAATCATAGTACACATCAAAGTTCACAACAGACATAGTAAATGCATCTCCTTTTTTTGATAAAAGGAATACTTAGCTCTGTTTTGAATCCTTTTATACTTTTTATATAGGCCCTACATAAGGATCTCAGATGAAATACCACCATATAAATACACTACGTACACACAGAATAGTCCAGCAAGTACTTTTGTTAATCATGTTTGCTTTGGTTTGTGTCATTAGGTTCAGTCTTAAAAATTACAATGTGACCAGCTAAAATATAGCTTTTCTTTTTTCTTTGGCCAAACCAAACGTCCCAACTATACTACAAAAACTAAAACAACTTTCTAATCCAAATATTTAAAAAATCTTACGTTAAGAAGAATTGTCTAGATAAGAAAAAAGCATTGTCTGGCAAGAAAAATAATCTGCCAATGGGGCGAACAAAATACTCTTATGTATTTCAAAACAAAAGCAAGATTATTTTGCTTACCTTGTTGGCAGATTATTGAGCTTGTTTTAAGGAAAAACTCACTTAAGTTTCACATATTACTTATGAAAACAAGACTGTATTTTATGCTCGTCTAAAACGTTCTTCTTGATTTAAGAAAATTTAGATATTTAGACCATAAACGAGACAAAACCTCTATGTAGGAAAAGCATTTTTTCAGTGCAGAACCAAACTATAAGTGTGAACACAAACTATTTCTTTCTTTCTTTCTTTTTGTTCATTCATGCAGGTTAGTGCAATCAAATCTCTATCACTGGAGACACACTTGAAAGGAAGGTATGAATGAAAATCAAGCTAAAAAAAGTTTTATGCGAGCATAAAACAGCTCTATGATCAAATATCTAAATCTAGGGTTAAATCGAAATCCTTGACTAGTGATAGCTCCTCATTATTATAACATTCACATTATAGATATTGTATAAACCTCACTAATAATCCTTCACCCACCTGAGCAGTTCATTGATGCAGCTTTCACAGAAGCGATGTCCACACTCAGTCTGGCGTGGGTTACAGAGCACTAGCCTGCAGGTCTCACAGCAATACTTGGGCTCAGGCGTCGTGACAAAGTGGTCCCGGAAACCGCCGTGCAGGGGAGAGAAGCCTGGCTCGGGCCTGGGCCGCTGGGCCATGGAGGGCATGGCAAGAGATGGAGGACGCTGCTGCAGGGGAATCTGCTGTTCCACATTACGCCCTGCGGACATGACCTGAAGAGAGATAGAAAAAACACACAGGTTAGGGTCTAAACTCAAATAAAAAAACAAAAACAAAACAAAAACACACCAAAACGATGAAATACACATTTTCTTAATGTAGTTAGTTATACAAAACGTGTAAACATTTTTACTTAAAAAAAAACTGAATCATTAGTCTACTGTCACTCTTTTTTTTTTTGGTTCAAATCATAGATTATTATGTGGGAAACATTAATAAAATGTAGTAAAGGGCTCTTTTGAGATCAGGTCCAAACCTCTTTGGGGAAAAAAAAATCGATTTTCTGCCATAGTTTCAAGAACACAGTTGTTGATCAGCATTTAGTAGGATTATTGTTCTGACCCTTTTATATCAGCAGGTTTTGGTGGTTTTAAGGTGCGACTACCTGAGGTCCCTAAAAGCATTTGGACATTTAAGACACACTTAACAGTCGAAAAGTTTATCAAACCGAGAGGCATCCGCAAACAAGTGACGATTGACTTTCAGATGTCTAACTTGACTCTTGTAATTACTTTTACTGGTCCCGAGTTGATTTTAGTGGATGAATGAGTCAGTTCCTCTGAAGGTTACCAGGTGTCCTATTAGAGGAACCGCCACTGTAGTTCTTCATATCATCTGTGGGCATTTCAAATGCTTGAAACTAGCTTTGCAGACAACTCTGTAAAAATGCTGGGGTCCACACAAGCGATTTGCATTGCGTTAAGGGAATTACGTTAACTCAATACAGATTTTACAAATTTAAGTGGATTGAACATAAAACAATTAGAAAAAAAAACTAAAAAACACATAAGAATTGTGTTGTGATAGCTTCTTTTATATAGGCAGTTTGACCAAAAATAACATTTGGAGTAAATACACTCAAAATAAAAAAAATTTTCTCGTTAAAATTACTTATTTTTAATGAACAACACAATTCTTGAGATTTCATTGGGACAACATTTATTTATTTATTTATTTATTTATTATGTTTAATCCACAAAAGTGTTAAGTTAACTTAATTTGTGTTGGGACAACATGAAATGATTGCGTGGATCCCTGCATTTTTTACAGTGTTTTATTATACAATATTTTGAGAGGATCATGTGACAAAACACTAGAGTAATAACTGCATCATACGGGTCACAATCCACGGTTCGGAACACACATGACCCGACACTTTTTACATTGAGCGTTATCAGCAACAGTAGTAATAACAGTACATTTTTCACAGTACTAAATATTTTACTATTTATTTTTATTCAGCTGATTATTTCTTCATTTTATTTTTAATTATTCTACAAGTTTTAAGTTCTGTTTGTAAAACCAAAAGTGTCTTGCAGTACTTTTTTTGTAATAAATGCAAAGCAAATTACATTTGTCTCCTACCCTTTATGGCAGATGCAAAAAAATGCTCCGATCCGTGACTAAAAAGAGCTATAATGGGATCCGAACTGTGAGATTTGTGATCCGTTACACCACTAGTTCATCGACATCACATAAATAAAATACATTACAGTCATACACAATCACACATACACAGAGACAGCTTCATTATATTGTAATAACGCAATAACTTTTTAAAAATGTCTTTCAATTTATTTATTACTTTTAAAATTCTACAATCAACATACAAATTATATATTTTGATTATCTTTATGAAGGATGTGGTATATTATTTGTATCTTACCATGGTACAGTATCTTACACTGAAAATTTAGACAAGTTGATGATTGATAGTTTTATATTATGGAGGATAACAATAAAAAAAAAAGTGACCCACAAGTTTTCAGTCATCTAAAAAATCTCTCATGTCCTTAATTAATGTATATCATCGTCACACACTTACTTTTAAATCTAATTAGATTGGATTTGAGTTTGTCTATTCACCAACACAAACCTTTCAATTTGACAGACACAACAACAAACAATTCCAAAATGATGTCAGCAGTGTCATTTCACAATTGTTTATGAAAAACATGACAGCAAACTAAGCCATGACTGAATTATCAACTTCTGCGAGTAAGTGACGCAGGCGACGTCAGACCTATTAACCCCTTAAACACCGTCCAACATCCATATCCGTTTCACATGTTGATCCAAGCTTAGACAGACAGAGAGGTAAGTCATTTCCATATGCTAATGTCTGCAACCAAGACGACGCTTTGACATTGTGCTTACATTGCCACATCAACAGCTCCTGACCGGCAGCTCTCAGACTGGGAAATCCCTTCATAACAGGCATGGCTCGCTAGCTCTAATAATATCTCTTCTATGAAGCAGCTTCATGCTAACCGCACACGCAGGAAGGTCCCGGATCCGTTGCCGAATGCTGGAAGAATTCCTTTAGGCACAGGACACCACAGTTATTCGACAAGAGTGACTGGTGCCCACCACACATGCCTCTTCTCCAGCACAGAGACTTTACGACACACAAGAAAACTGGAATTAGGGCTATTTATGGTGCGCTTTAGAGCTTGTACAAAATATTTTAAATGTGAAAATTAGAGCATTACACTGCAAAAAAAATAAATCAAAAAATAAATCCTGACAGCATATGTTTTAGTTCACTGTAACATATTAAACCAAGTAATCATGTTCTAACTTAATTTTTTAAATTACACAAGCTGTTTTAAGTCAGTTTAACGTAACATAAGTTCAATGGACTCAAGGTTAATTTGATTCAGCTTAAAAATTTAGGGCAACCAGGATTTTTTTACAGTGTACTAATATAGTTGAGTCTAAAAAGCTTCAGTCAGATAAACTAAACCAAATAAAGCAATAGTTCTTGATAAAGAAACATTATTTGTATTGTTGTTTGCTATATAACCTATTCGCCATCAGTGATTTAAACTACTACTAACAAAGTTTAGCAATGCAACTCATCCCACCTTAACTGGACTACAAATGAAAATGGCGAGGCTTGCTGAACAAAGGTGTGCTACTAATTTTCTTACCAATTAGTTTCATGATTTGCACCAGATGAATGGGTAAATAGTTGAAAAAATTCCCATTAACTTACAAATTCACATTCCCTTTTGTAACTAAACACCTTTGTTTTGAGTCATAAAACCAGCACACTGTTCCCCTTGACACAGTTTTGTACACCCCCAATACCCTTTTAATATGCTTTTAATATGTCATCCAATGATTCTTAAGCAAAAAAAAAAAAAAAAAACTCTGACAAGATATTTGTGGCATACAACATTTAAGTTTGTGCCATTTCTGTATATAGTGGTAGCATGTTTTGGTCAGAAATGAAAAAATATCACTACATTATAATCTAAAAGAAAGAGTTAAGCAAACTGTTTAATAGGCATGTGGCGATAACTTGTTTTAACGTTTATCCCAGTTTGGAAAAGTCAAGGTTTTAATATGATAAAAATAATGTTCTGTTATATAGTTCCTAAAGCGTATGTAAATCTGTGTGTTTGAAACTAATGAGGAGAGCAGAAGTCAGTGATTTATTTAAACTATTTAGCCTGACGTGTTTACTGCTCCAAAATATTATAAACGTTTCTTAAAATGAAATAAATTGTGTTCAATAGGGGAAAACGTTTTTTTTGTTTGTTTTACTCAGACATTTAAAAAAAAAAATATATATATATATATATATATATATATATATATATATATATTTAAGAGCAGTAATCACAACACAGTGATATTGTGGTGTTTTTATCCCATCAGAAATTTACACCAGCCCATGCCTATTTTTTCAATTACTTTCCCTACTGTGTGTGGACCCTGCTCTGTTAAGGCTGGTTTTTACTTCTTATATTATGATTTATATTTATATTATTATGATATTATACTTCTGCCGATGACACAAGTACAGTCCGGTGCAGCCTTCGCATACCCGCGCACCTCTCAAAAAATTTACACGTCACTCACAACCACACATATTGCAAGCTTTGCTATTGGGCAGCGCAGAGAGCTGCGTTTTAGGCAATGTGTGTTTTAATTTCAGTTCTTCAGAATTGATGTTCATTAATAATCGTAGACAGTAAATAGTGTGTATTTCCTTCAATTATTTTAAAATCAAGTAATCCACCTTCCGTTCCAAAAATCTGTCACTTAAAATATGTGAGCATATTTACTGTACAATACTTGTCAGTGAACTATGAGGGCAAAAACATAAAATAAATAATTAAAATAATCATTCATTAATCACAATCGAGATAAAATATTTAATTAATCCGGATTTTGATTTTAACCCAAATTGTTTAGCCCTTGTTGATTGTGATCTGTTTTATATTTAGGTCTTTCTTAATATAACAACAATTACTTAATCAAAACATGATTTTAAAAATGTACGATGCTTTCAAAGTGAGAAATGGTGTGAGATGAACTCATAATCTCAATCTTGACTAAATAAATCTTTTTATGACGTAATAGTCAGTCCCTCTATGATTTTGGGGGGATATTTTTTGGCATTTTGCATCCTAAAATGAATGAAAAAATGAAAAAAAAAATTTTGATGTTTTTTCTCATAACTTACTTTATTAGTTTCTATTATAGACCCTTTTCACATTTCTAGGATTCTCAGCAACAGAAAAGCATCATAGTTGGGTAAACTTAGATCGCAGTGAATCAAAGAGTAAAACAAATACTTTTTTTACAATCCTGTTTCCTGAAATTATATAAAAAAATAAAAAAACACTACAATGGTGTTATAAAGACTTTAAGAAAAAGGAAAAACAGTGTCTGATGACAGCAGCCAGAGGAGAGAATAACCTCAAATTTACTCTTAGCCCCATAGATGCTGCAGTAGAAACAACCCGCACACACGGTAATTTGTTGTGTGAAATTCAATGCAAAGATGATATAATACATACATATAAATGTTTATACGTTTAAAAAAAAATCTTAATATTAAAACCTTTCAAGGATTTAAGATTGATGACCGTTAAACACCTTTTAACATTCTTGTGAAAAGGGTCTATCACGATTAGCTGTGAAAATATACCAAAAATAAATTTAAAAGTACAATTTTGATCTCTAGAACCATGCGGGGACACACACACACAACAATCTTAATGCACCTCCACTAACACCCCAGAATATACCAGCAAACATGCTAAAATCTATTGAATTAAATAAAACAAAACAATTTTTTTGCGGACAAGCAAACACCAGTCACTTATAATTGAAACAGTTAAACGTTAGCTGCCCTGATAAATAGCTTTTGGAGAAAAAAAATGACAGCCATGTTTGGACAGCCATGTGGGATGCTCATATTTTCACACACACACTTAAGTCACACCCATCAAATAATTCACACTCTCAGCAAGAAAAGTTAAATCCCATCTGACGTACACAACACATTACAGCCTTCATGACGGGTGTTTCACACACACTCTCTGTGGCTCAACATGCCTTTTGTAAAAATACAACAAAAGAAACCAGGCTTATTCCAGCTCTACACTTACTTGGACACTTTATGGCTGAACAAAAAAAATCCACTGATAAAATTCAAAGGAAAAGTTCCAATCAAGATAAGTTGGAAAGTTTAGTGGAGCTCCTCCTGAAGTTTGTTTCTGTTTTACTTCAGCTACAGGTACTTCCCTTCATTTATCTTGTGCCTCATTTTGATGTCAAAAAATAAGTCCACCTACTCCTACCTAAATTGTCCCTGAAATAATCCACAGAAAACAATGCTCTTCATTTCACAAACATAATAAAAGAAATACTCAGAGTACGAAAAGAAAAAAAATCCATGTACTGATGGCTGACCAGAATGTGCAGTTCTCTAGGGATTTCCAGGAATATTTAAGGGGCTTTTCCATTTGCTGCCTCATCCCTCTCTGTCACTGCTGACAATACACATACACACCCACTCATGAACGCACACACACACAAAGTACATAAACACCCATTAAGGAAATAAAGTTTGTATGGCAACTGCAATAGTTATATATATATATATATATATATATATATAAAGGCTTAACTAGGTTAATTAGATTACGATCAAAAAATAGCTTAAGGGGGCTAATAATTTTGACCTTAAAATAGTTCTCAAAAAAATAAAAACTGCTTTTATCTGAGCCGAAATGAAAGAAATAAAGCTGTCTCCAGAAGCAAAAAATATTATCAGACATACTGTGAAAATTTCCTTGATCTGTTTAACATCATTTGGAAAAAAAATAAATAAATAAATCAAAGGGGGGCTAATAATTCTGACTTCAACTGTATAAATTTTAGCAAAGGCTACATTTATTCAGTCAAAAATTTGTTATAGAAAATGAATATTGTAAAATAGTAAGTAAACCATTGTTCATGCCAGAAATTATGTTATTCATAATTTATATATATGCAAGTAAATAAATAAATATATTAGCAATTTAAATATAAAAATTGAAATTTACATTTTATATATATATATATATATATATATATATATATATATATATATATATATATATATATATATTAGGCTGCATTTATATATATAAATAATCAATAATACTGAATAAAAATAGTAATATTGTAAAATAGTAAAACATTATTTATGCCAAGAATGATTTTATTCAATATTCAAATGCATGCAAGTAAATAAATAAATAAATAAATAAAGCAATACAAAGAAAAATATATAATTATTTTTATAGTCTTAAATTATATTTTTAACAAAGGCTGCATTTATTCAGTCAAAAATACAGAATAAACTTATATTAAAAGTAGTATTAATAGTAAAATATTATTACAATTGAGTACATGAGTACACATTATATACTTAATATTATTAATTTAAATGGACTATTTTGTATGCAAATATGTTTAAAAATGTATCTTATTAACACCAAATCTCAATTTTCAGCATCATTGCTCCAGTCTTCAGTGTCACATGATCCTTCATAAATCATTCCAAAATATGGATTAGATGCTCTAAAAACATCTATTATTACTTAAATATTATTTTCAATGTTTCTTTGATAACTAGACAAAACATTTTTCTTGTGTAACCTTATCTATAACTTCATCATTATTACTCTTAATTAACTCATTAATCTGCATTTACAGTGTGAAGCATTGACTTCTTTTCTTCTTGTCTTTTGAAAGGTAGAGTAAATGTGTCAAACAAAACAAATAAAGCTCATTCCAAGAAGGAAGCTTGAAATTGTGCCCTGAATTTTACCTCTAGTTGAACTACTGCCATAAAGCTAGATTTGTTAAATAATTCAAGTGTGCAAACAAAACAAAACAAAACACAACCAAACACACTGCTGCCTTCAACTAAGACTGAAAATCCAAGATTAACACAAGACCAAGGTAAAGCAAGCATCAGTGTCAGAAAGAACATAATAGCAGAGAAACCTGCAGGTGAAAAGTGAAACACAATCCATTCAGACTGTTAGTTTAGAGCTGAGAAGCGTCAAGGTAATACGCTTCTCTTCTTTGAATGTGCTGCAGGAGATCTCATAACAAAAATGAAAGAAAACTAAGAAGGGGAATATCACCTCTTTCTGGCTGACCTTTTATAGAGGAAGACATGTGTGACTTCTACAGGTCATTTACAGGAAGGAATAAAACCCCATTTCAGATATAAACACATGTGATGATGATGGGTATTTAGATAGCGATGGGGTTGATTTTTACATGAAAATGCAAAGATGTCCTCTTCTCAGCCTACCCTTCAGCTGAAATCAAGCCTCAGAGGAGCTCTAACGGATCACAACACTTTACTGTGTTATTCTGAGAGTGAAACTAAGCTGGATTCAGTTTTGATCTTCAGACAGCAGCACATGTCAGAGATTTTCAGACTTCATTTAGGCCAATGGCTATTCTCTCACCATCGACTGATGTTTTTATTTTGTTGACCGTTACTTTATTCACGACTGAAGTTAGAGATAAAATCAATAAACAGCTTTTATAGTGATGATATTGTGTTATAGAGGGCAAAACCCACTTGTGCAAAACACCAGACTTACAAGTTTGATTTTAGAATTAAACATAATCCACGTATTTATGACACACACTTCTAAAAAAAAAAACTAAATTTACATTTATAATATTTACATGTTCCTCTTTTTGAAATGCATCACCAGCTTATTGGGTACACTGATGGTGAGAATTTGGATTTACTGGATTAAAAATAAAATTAAAACAAATTACTCAAAGCAGTCCAATAAAATTAGTTTAATAGACAGTGCATTTATTCACACTATCATTCAAACGGTTGAGTATGTTTTTTTTATTCATAGAATTTTATTCAGCATGTGCGCATTTACACAGCCCATAAAGAAATAAAATCTGAAAATATTCTTTAAAGTAATTTTTACTCCAATAATCTTGAAGAAATGTGATGGTTTGGACAAAAAACAAATTACATTAACCTATTAAGAGAACTTTTCAGCAGTGGTAATAATACAAATTTAAATTATGGCGAACTAATTTATAAATTCTGAAGGATCATGGGACACTGAAGACTGGAGTAATGATTAGGCATGGACCAGGTATATGTTTCTGATGGTAAAATAACCTTGGATAAAGCTATCATGGTTTCACAGTATTGTGATTACTGCTCTAAAATAAGTTCTTTTTAAAAATCAACCACTTTACCCCCATTGAACACAATATATTTTATTTTAGGAAACATTTATAATATTTTGGAAGAGTAAACATGTCGGGCTTAATAATTAAGATAAATCATTGATTTCCTGTCTTTGACAGTTTCAATATCACAAATATCTTTAAATATCGGTATAGCAGAAAATTTTTGCGAATTTAAAACCTTGCCTTTTCAAAACCACGATAAACCTTGAAACCGGTTATCGCCCAATGCCAAGAAGTGATGCTGAAAATTCGGTCATAAAATAAATTTAAATCCATCATGTAATAAAATACATTTTAAAATATACTAACATCAAATAATTTTTTTTAGTTAAATGAATACACTATTTATTTTCTTAAATCACAGAACGTAAACCTTTTTAATAATATTGACGGTTTAGCTGCCATTATCATGCTTACCATTAACACTAATAATAATTATAATAATAGTATTTCCTAAATTGCTAAATTACTGCTAAAAACTAGTATTTTCTGATTAGAACATAGCATGTGTAAAAGCAGTCTACGCATTCTCTGCCTTCATAAACTGCATCCAACAGTGGAATACAGTATGCCATCATGGTTTTTTCCATCAGTAGCGTACAGGCCTAGATCATGCAAGAATTTAGCAAGTTAGGTATTGCCCCAAAGGAATAAATAGCATAGAAGATTAAGCAGCACATTTTTGGTGCAGTAAGAAGGCTACAAAAGCACTGCCTTGTACACAACAAAACCATATAGAGTATGTGGAATTAACAGACCATCAAATGGTCAATCAATTATCACAGTGATAATGAAAGCAAAAATGTTGTCTGCATAATAAATGCATAAATACAAAGTAACGTTTCAAGACACACACACACACATCTATGCAAAGGTGAGGTCTTCAGTCAGCAATGGAAGCAAAATCCCCTATCATGCATTTATAAAGCAGCTGTTAACATCTCGACAGCCCTACATCTTTCAATAACTACAAGAATTAACTTAAAGCCCCCAAAACATCCATATTTGTCCAGGAGAGCAGGTGAACATCTTCAGATCAAGCAAGACACACTTTAAAGACTGTAGGAGAACATGTAGACTTCGGCATTGCTCTAACCGTTTACCTTTTACTATCACAAGCTACCGTTGTTCTTTATTATTGTTTTCCACGCGGTTGTGTGAAGTAACGATCCACTTACATGAATCAGTTGGTCAGCGATGTCGTCCGATGTTCCAACCGTGTTTCTCTGAAGAATTTCACGAATGGAGCCACGGATGGTCCACTCATATGACAGACAGACACACACCGAGACAACAACGTCCAAATTTACGCGGCCACGGCTGCGTCCTCGCTTCTCAAACAGGCTACAACGGCCGTCGGATCAAATCGGGTCATTTTGACATCGGAATGTTCTGAAATGGGCTCGGTTGAGGTGCACGAAAAGGTAGAGAAGCCGCCACTGTGGCAAGGGTGCTGTTGATATCTTCACTCGTAAACTGGAAAGCCCCTGGTCTGACTTCCTCAGGAAATCCCCGTCATGAAAAAAATTGTAAAAGGACGCCATAGAGAAAGAACCGGGATGTGGGACTCATAGCCGCTGGGTGTCGCTAGAGTTTAGTCAATTGGAATCGCTTTCATTTCAGCGACTTTTTCCCACGTGCTTCTTCCGATAGATGATTCGTGCATGACTTTTCAAATTTACTGACACATCGAGTCACATACCGCACTCAACTGAACCGCTTCTGTTCCAGCACACATGTACAAAACGTTTACGTCATTGTATTTGATGAAACTCTACGTTTCTTATTATGAGCGGTTTTCTTTTTTTTAATGTTGCAATATTCAGAAATATGCTTTCTTATTCGGGATTAACAGTTTTATTGATTCTCAGGCAAATTGCAGAATGGAATACAGAACACAACACTGTAAATAATCAATATTTTACACTAACAAACCCAACCCAAACTAATCCCTAACTACTTTAAGGTCCTGTCTTGGGTCTCATTAAATACAGTTAAAGCTTTTATCTTTATATAATGAAGAGAAAATACAATAACAAAAAAAAAATGAATATGTTCTGTTCAGTACAGCAAGTACAAATCGCATTAACAGTCACAATCAGTATATTTCTCACACATTTATCACGGTTGCATAGCCAAACAGGTTAAGTACTATTTAGAGCTTGTCCATTTGCTTACAAAACTTTTTTTTCCAATTGCTGCCACTCTAGTAAGTTCTACTGCCCATTCTTGAATTCTGATTTTCAGCTCCTAATAATTATTTGTCTGCCAATCAGTAAATGTATTTATCTTTTATTCTGTTGTCTGTCCAACCACCTATAAACAGTTTAGGACATAGTGAAATATGAAAATCTAAAACCAAGCAAATGTGCTCATCAACTCTTTTCCAGAAATCCCGAATTTTTTTTCAAGACCCTAGAGCATGGACTAAATCACCATTCTCGGTCTTACATCTCCAACAATTAAGTAGTAGACTATATTTTAAAAGAAAAGAGTCTGAAGAGTCTAGTAAAAACAGTATAATCTTAAACTGTATAAGGTGTATTTTAGCATCCCTATTTGCTGTTTTATCATTCTTTAAAATTCCATGCCACTCTTTGTCATCAATGTCAGATTCAAATCTCTCTCCTATATTTTCTTAAAAGCCAGTGAAGTTCCATCACAGAGACTTTGAATCAACCTTAAGTACGTGGATGCTTCTTGGCCTTTTTATATATTGAAAATATTATACAGTAAGCATCTGCTGTGTAATAAAACTAAAAATTATACAAAGGAAACTTGAGGATTAAACCAAATGCAACAATGTGTGTATTATTCAGAATCAGAAATTATTAATAGCCTGTTATTTAAATCATTGCTATTTGTTCATTTTAGCTAAATTAACTTTTATCAACATACTATAATAATAGGCTTTGCCTGTTTTTTTGAAGATGGAAAATTTAAGGGAAAACACGTTTGTATTCTTAGTTCACTTTTTGCTACTGGTGTCCTGACATTTTATCCTACCTATCAGATAATGCTATCAACACTGTTTTAAAAAGTTCTGAGGTTGAGGTTTGGGACTAGGTAGGTTAGGGCGACATTACAGCTTCATATCACTACTCCACGTTTAAATTTACACGGGTAGAAAAATTTGATGGGTAGCATATTCAGTCATTAAAATGTGCTACATACTTTTTGAATGGGAGGTAGGACAAGTTGACAAGGTATAAGAAAAAAAAGACAACGCCAGTCTTCATTATCTTTTTAACTAATTTTAGAAATAAATAATAAAAGCCCACATATGAAATAACAAAAAGCTTTTAGTTTGAATAACTCTTCTCCCAAACAATAGAATATTTTGAAGAAAAAATACATTCATTTGACATCAGAATTAAGAAAACTTAGCATGAGGTCGATCCATCACAAAACATATTTATTAAAATGAAAAAGTAATTGTAATTCCCCTTTGACAGATATTAGTTCTTAATCAATAACTGTTTCCTTAAGTTAATGAGTCTTGATTTAACATAGTGTAGATAAGTGTATATAGACGTTTATATTAGCATTTCTTTTTTTAAATGCATGCAATATTAAATGACAATTTTAAGATTAATTTAAGATGTTTTTGTAGTCATCAAACTATACGACTTTAAGAACACAGCTACAGCAAAATCACAAAAAATGTATTGCTTCTTAAAGTTTGTTTCTATATTTAATAATATACTACACATTTTATTTTTTGGAGGATCAAACCATTTTTGTCATTGCCCATGTTTAATTACCCAGGGTGATTAACCAAACAGCCTTCCAAACATCTCAAATGTGACGGACAAAGGTAAAGATCTGGACCATCTGGTAGTATGATTCCCTTAATTTTATTATGACTAATGTGACATAAACTGTTTACATATACAGGCCAGTCTATGAGCACATCAGTGGCACCCACACACACAGACACACAGAGTTTCACCCCAACCATATACAGGTTATCTGCACACATAAAAGTTTCAAAAGGAGTTCACACTAGTATGGTACCATTACAGCTATTAGAGGGGAAAAGTTGGTCAAAACAAAAGAGAGTGCATGTATTTAAAATAACTTATTCCTTTATCAAATTAAACATACAAAAGAAACAATGAGTGTATCTACCGTTTATATCTCCAAACACCATAATAATGAAGGATGAATGGGGAAAAAGAACAACTGGAAGAATGGAAGTAAAAATTTAAATGTGCTGCCATATTTTGAAATTCCTAACTACACTTGGAATAGAAAGCTTGACCTCGGCATGAAGGAACTGTTCACACATGCAAAAACAGTTTAAAAGAAGATTTAAAAGTTCCAAGCAAGAACAAAACAAATACTTCCATTCCATTACAACTCTTTGCTGCGGCCGTTGTTGCAATCAACATCCGCAGCCAAGAACCCTTTTGAGATAAAATGCATTTCAAATACACCATGTACAAGGGTCCATGATTAAACATTTATATATTATAACCTAATTCTAACCAGTTCGCTTGAATAATATATGAGCTGCTATCCATTTCATTTTTAAAAGTATATTACAATTGCTTTTAAAATTATTTTAACTTCATCTGCACTGACATTTCCTTTTATCTATATAGTGCAGTTTTTATTCACCATTTATGGAAATAAATATCTTAATAATCCAACCGGAAATCAACTAAAATCTATTTTAAAATAAATCATGACTAGATAATATGCTACAATAGCAAAAAATCAAAGGTAACTGGAAAGGGATGTTGTATTAGGACCAAATACTCTGAATATTCCAAGAAAAAGGAAATGGTAAAGTGTCTCCTTTAGACATGAGATCTTTCAAGACCATAATTCAATTAGATTGAACTGTCCAATGGCTTTAGGGTGGGTTTATGAACATGTTATTCCCGCAATTATAATTTGTGGAGAACTGCCGGAGTGCCAGACGCGTAGAGAACACACAGAAACTCTACTGTTGGCAGTGATGGTTAAGTGTCCTAGTTCCTACCGTGATAAAGTGTGCGCCCCCATGCGGCAGCACCTGTTACAGAGTCCTGGAATCAGCAAGGGAGTGAAAGTCGGAGGGTTTATTTTAGGGCAGGGGGGAATGTCCATCACGAAGAGACTTCGTTTGAGGCCTATGAAGCCTTAATGCCTCTCACGTACAGCTGCGATTATCAACCGATCTGAGCTCGACCAACCGCTGTTGGAGAACTCAGGAAACCGAAGGGTTCTGTGTTTCCATTGGCGTTTGTTCCTGAAAGAGATAATTTGATGATTATTCTCAAATGTGACTGACTGGAAGGACCAGATGCAGAGAAAAAAAAATTCAATTAGATTCAGAATTTCCAGCCTAACTAGAATCTAAAGCAAAATTTGTGGGAAAAGCCCATTAAAGGGAAAGTTCACACAAAAATTGTAATTCTGTCATCATTTACTCATTTCAAACCTTTGAGTTTCTTCAAAAGAAGATATTTTGAAGAAATCTGAAAACCTGTAACCATTGACTAACATAGTATTTGTTTTCCTACTGTGAATGATGTATTTTTTTATTTAATGCCACGTCAAGGACAAAAACTATTTTGATGGCAAAAGCATTTCATAAAAAAAAAAAAAAATGCAGTTAAAAACAATAAACATGTATGCATACATAAATTAAATATTAGCGTTAATACATGATAAAAAATGTTTTTACAATCTGGTGAAATTTTGCTAAAATGTCCTTAGTGTTCATCTCATAAAAAAAGTCTTCTGGAGTCATAAAAGCAGGACAGCCCAGTGGAATGAGTTTTACTGTAAGTGGTATTATGCAGAACAAACACTGAGTGGGGTCTTCACCTTTTAGCAAAAAAAAGTTATTCTTGTATGTCCTTCCTACTATGGAAGTCAATGGTTACAAATCGTCAGCTTTCTCCTGTTAAAAAACAAAAGATATTTTGAAGAAGGAAACTCACCCTCAACTTTTAGGAGTTAACAGTGAGAAATTTGTCATGGTTGAACCTTCCCTTTAACTATTACAATTTACTGATGGGAACCTGAGGTTAAAATATCTAGTGACCTCTGTTTGGTTTTCTGCAGGCCCTGAGGTTGTGCCGTCTTCAGATGACACCTCCATCTTCTCTTCATCTAAACCCTTGCGTTCCTCCACACCGTGCTCTGCTTCCCACTCCTGCAGCACCTCGTCCAGGTTGAAGCGACGCCGGTAATTCACAAAAAAGTTTTTGACTTGCACCACAGACTTGTTGCCGATCACATCAGAAATGGCCTGGAAATCCCGCCCGTACTTCCTTATAGCTACAGAGAGAGGGAACAGAGGATTGTTCAGAATTGCACCACTTAAATGCTTGCCATGTAAATATTCATCCCTTATCCCGTAAGACCCACAAACATTTGACAAATGTGGTCAAAAATTACCTTGCACTGCAAGCAGCTGCTCTTCTGTGGTCCAGCGGGTATTAAATTTCTGATTCGACTGAGGAAAACAAAGCATATATATATATATATATATATATATATATATATATATATATATATATATGTATATATATATATAAAATACCATTCACGTGTAATGTTGTGAAAAGGATAGTTCACCCAAACATGAAACTTGTAAAGTTTCTTATTTCTGCTGAACACTAAAGATGATATTTTGAAAAAAGCTGAAAAGCTGTAACCATTGACATCCATAGTAAAAAAATTAATAAATAAAAACATACTATGAAAGTAAATTGTTCAGCTTTCTTCAAAATATCTTCTTTTGCGTTCAACAGAAGAAAGAAAGTGAAACATGTTTGTGACTGAGTGTAAATGATTTTTGGGGGAACTATTCCCTTTAAGAAGAGCATTTATGTTTGGTGGGAGAATCTAAAGAAATATGAATATTGTTACCTCAGATGGCCTGAAATCATCCACACCAGTGTCCAGCTTTTCTCTGAGAGCACTATTGTGCTGTTTAATGCTCTGAATCTGTAAAGAGGTAGGAATTATTCACAACATATTAAAATGTATTTATTTTTGTTTGTTTAAGCTTGTATACTACATTTTTGTTGGTCAGATTTACATCCATCTCTGCCTATAGGCCTGATATACAAGTATAAAAGTCTGCTAGCCAAAACAAATTTTCCAGAAGTCTGGAAAACTACCACTGAACCATGCAGACTACAAAACAAGTAGGCTTCTCCTCCTCTGACATTTTTTCTTCTATTTGCTACTATAAAATGTCTCGCTTGAAGGCAATTATACTACATTAACAGCTTTATGAATCTATTTCACAAAAAAATGTAGTGTTAAATATGTAGAGTTTGTGCAAACATATCCTCATCACCTTGAGCAAGTGCTTCTGTAACTCCTTTCTTTTAATATTGTCCCTTTAGCTGTGTGTTTATATTGTTACTGACAAGAAAATGCAGCTACATCTGTAAATGTTGCTCTCAGCAGTTTTCGGATGTCCAGTAACACTGCTGCTTAACTATTTTAAATGTCTTTGTATATCTAATCATCACAGACAGCATACTAGTGATTTAAAAGGACAGTTCACCCAAAAACTAAAGTTTAATTACTGTTTACTCATCCTTAATCGGTTCCCAACCATTAGATTTTTATTTTTTTTTATTAAACACCAAAAGACAAAACATTGAAGAAAGTTGAAAACCTGTAACTATTGACTTCTATAGTAGGAAAAACAAATGCTCTGGAAGTCGCTGGTTACAGGCTTCCAAAATTTTTTAAATTATCTTCATTAATGTTTGACAGAAGAAAGACACTCAAAGGTTTGAAACAATTAAAGGGTGAGTAAAAGATTACAGAATTTTTATTTTGGGGTGAACCATCACTTTAAAATCCAATATATAATCGCCTAAAGGAAAATGATGTTGCTGGGATGAAATAAAACTCCAACCTGACGTTTTATGGCAATGAGCTCCATATCCAGCCCTCTCAGCACACTAACTGCAGCCGGGCCACTGCTGGACATTGCAGTCACATCATCAGCACTTAAATACATTCCTTTGGGAGGTTTTTTCTTAGCCCTGTTCAGGTTCCTCCCTGCAAGACCCTGGGCTTCCTTCTTTACATGCATTGGCTTCTCTGCAAGAATTGCTGGCTGCAAAATCAGAAACAGCCATTTGAAAATTTGAATAAAACATGTTTATTGATCTAGATTTACATATGCATAGTAGGGGTGGTCAAATTAATTGTTTTTCAACGCACCACGATGCAGATGTAGACAGTTCAGTATCTGTTCAATAATAGATTCTGATCGGTTATTATGCACTGACGTCTTTTATGTGGCGGTAGAATACTATGGCAAGGGAGGCGAGTGCGAGTAATTAAAATGAAGAAGCTTGGACAGTCATTCACTAACATTGAAGTTATAGCAGAAGCCCATATTTTACTGCTATGGAGAAACTGAAAGTAAACTCCATCTTATGACTGTGACGTTTCCACTGCTCTCAGCTGTTATAGCAATACTTGTGGATACAATCCAGTTAAAAGACTGTCTGCAGAGTGAGTTTTCACCACCGCATCTATCATGGATCAGCTGTGATCATCGTTGCCGTTTATCAGTGTCACTCATTGGTAAACAGCGCGAGAGCATTAAAGCCTATCACAGCCCTTTCTATTGAGCACTTGACCAATCATAGGCGTTTAACAACTCACTCAACAATGTTTAAAAAGCAAGCGGGATAATTTTTACATTTATTTATTTGCTTTTAATGCTCATGTTGTTCTGTGCATGTATTTGAGTTTCAAGGTACAGTTCAATATCTGATTGCTTGTATCAAAGGATAAGATTGTATTACAAATACATATAAAATGTATATAAAATTATACTTACTTGTGCTTCGAAGTAAAATATTAAATTGTATGAAAAGCATTATCAATGCACAGAGATATCAAATTGAACCAAATCGATGGCATGATAATTGTAACCGAACCAAACAGTGAGACCTGTGTAGGTTCACACCTCTAATGCATCATTAAAAAAATGGTCAGAAAAACAGATTTAGTTTTTTACCTTTTGCACAACTGCAGGTTTTGATTCTTGTTTCTCGGTTCCAGAAGTTCCCTTAAAAAGAGAAAGATAAAAGATGAAAAAACACATTCATAATAACAGTTTTTTTTTTTTAATTTGCAGTGTTAATTTAGCAGAACATAAAAAATAATCCGTTCTTTTAAATAAATAAAAACAAAAGAATGTAAAAAAAATCATGTGTAAATATATAAATCAAGTAAAGATTGTATTTCACCTTACTCTGTCTACAAAATTGTTGATGCAAAACTGACACTAATGAGACATTATGATGTGATAGTACACAAAAAAAAGCATTACCTCTTTTTTCTCTTCCTTATTAGGCTCCAATTCTGTATCCCCTGGAGAGGTGCTACCATTTTCTTCTTCTTCATCACTTCATGAAAAAAAAAAAATGTTTAAAAAGTGACATTTCCTTTTCAACAACTACAAAGCATTCTAAAAATAGATCATGCTAGCATTCCATGACAGCACAACTGATCTCGAGACTCTCAGAACCAACGAAAACACAAAAAGCGACAGCAAACATCATATTAATATTTTCATGCCACATCTGACCTTTCTTCTCGCTCTCTCTTTTGTTTGCGTGCATGGCGGTCCATCACGCTCGTTTTGCTCCGAGTTTTCTTCCATGAGTAATAAAACCTAACCAGGCTTGCAATTGACTTGTCTGGAAGCTGGTACAAAAAAAAAAAAAAAACAGTTGGAAAAAAAATTCAAGCACTAAACAATAGAAACATCAGACACACCATAATAACACATCATTACCCATGATCAAAGCTGACAGTGATTCAGTTGTAGTTCTGCCAAAGTATTAGAATTTAGGACTTGACAGAACCCATGTGGTCTTCATATGCATCAGCGACTGCTTATTATTAGGGACCGAGCACCGAAACGGTGCGTAGGCCCTATTGGAATTGCTCCGTTTTTAGGGACCGAGCACCGAACGGTGCAAGGCCCTATTGGAATTGCTCCGTTTATTAGGGACCGAGCACCGAAACGGTGCGTAGGCCCTATTGGAATTGCTCCGTTTTTTATTATTATTATTATTATTATTATTATTCCGCCCCCTACCGGGGCACTTTTGAGGGTCTAAACATGCCCGAAAACTCATGAAAGTTTGCACACACACCAAACCCGGTGTAAATAGCAGGTTGATATGGGTCTCGGAAGTGGGCGTGGCAAAATGACTCGACAGCGCCACCTAGAAAAATTAAACGGACGAGCCCCCGATACACGAATCACGCACATGCACGAAAATTGGCACACACCTCAAACACGCCAAAACATACGAAAAAGTCTCTTGGAGCCATATCTCAAACCCAACAGGAAGTCGGATATTTTTAACTTCCTGCGGCGAAAAAGTGGCGTTTTTGCCATTTCCAGGCGTTGTACTTTAACGAACTCCTCCTAGGGATTTTATCCGATCGACACCAAAATTGGGTTTTGTCATCTAAAGGCCTTGGCGATGTTAAATTGCGAAGCTTTAGAGTTTTCGTCGATGGGCGTGTCCTTGGCGTCCTCGCAAACTTTGATGATTCGCCACAAAACAGGAAGTCGTTATAACTCAGGCATGCATTATCAGATCTGCCTCAAGATTCACACGCTTGATAACAGTCCTGACCTGAACACGTTTACATGCCAATATCCAGATATAGTTATAGCGCCACCTGCTGGCCACAGGAAATGACATGATTTACGGAGTAATAAACTCCTCCCACAAATTTTTTCGTATCAGCACCAAAATTGGTTGGTGTTATCTGAAAGCTCTAGCGATGATATATTGTGAAGATCTAGAGTTTTTGCAGAGGGGCGTGTCCGTGGCGGTATGACAAACCTCAACGCTTCGCCATGGAACAGGAAGTCCTTATAACTCAACCACACAATGTCCGACCTGCCTGAAACTTCACATGATTGATAAACGTCATCTCTTGAACACATCCACATAACAATACTAAAGTGGGCGTGGCAAAATGACTCGACAGCGCCACCTACAAAAATTAAACGGACGAGCCCCCGAGCTACGAATCACGCACATGCACGAAAATTGGCACACACCTTAAACATGCCAAAACATACGAAAAAGTCTCTTGGAGCCATATCTCAAACCTAACAGGAAGTCAGATATAATTAACTTCCTGCGGCGAAAAAGTGGCATTTTTGCCATTTCCAGGCGTTGTATTTTAACGAACTCCTCCTAGGGATTTTATCCGATCGACACCAAAATTGGCTTTTGTCATCTAAAGGCCTTGGCGATGTTAAATTGCAAAGCTTTTGAGTTTTCGTCGATGGGCGTGTCCGTGGCGGCCTCGCAAACTTTGACAATTCGCCACAAAACAGGAAGTCGTTATAACTCAGGCATGCATTATCCGATCTGCCTCGAAATTCACACGCTTGATAAGCGTCCTGACCTGAACACGTTTACATGCCAATATCCAGATATAGTTATAGCGCCACCTGCTGGCCACAGGAAATGACATGATTTACAGAGTAACAAACTCCTCCCACAAAATTTATCGTATCAGCACCAAATTTGAGTGGTGTCATCTGAAAGCTCTATCGGTGATATATTGTGAAGATCTAGAGTTTTTGCAGAGGGGCGTGTCCGTGGCGGCATGACAAACCTCAACGCTTCGCCATGGAACAGGAACTCCTTATAACTCAACCACACAATGTCCGATCTGCCTGAAACTACACATGGTTTATAAAAGTCCTCTCCTGAACACATCTACATAACATTATTGAGTCAGTCATAGTGCCACCTGCTGGCAGAAGGTAGATTGGCTTATAACTTAACCACACAAACTCCGATCTGCCTGAAACTTCACATGGTTGATTAAATTCCATTACTGAAGGCATCTACATGCCAATCTTAAGTCACAGTTATAGTGCCACCTGCTGGCAGATGGTAGTTTGCAGTATAACTCAACCACACAATGTCCGATCTGCCTGAAACTTCACAAGGTTGATAAAAGTCCTCTCCTGAACACATCTACATAACAACATTGAGTCTGTCATAGCGCCACCTGCTGAGAAAAGGCATTTTGGCTTATAACTCAGTCAAACAATGTCCGATCTGCCTAAAACTTTACATGGTTGATAAGTTTCCTCTCCTGAAGACATCTACATGCCAATCATGAGTCACAGTTATAGCACCACCTGCTGACAGGAGGAAGTTTGGCATAAATCTGTGATTTTCTCAGATTTTTTTAATATATTGGCTTAAATTATTACTATTTCCTGTTCTCTGTCATACTGAGGCCACCGGGCGGCGGTGAGCCCGGGTGCGAGGTCCCTATCATCGCTGCTTGCAGCTTTAATTATTATTCTTCTTCTTCTTCCGCGGAATGAATCGCGGTTTTGAGGGGCTAAACATGCCCGAAAACTCACGAAACTTTGCACACGCCTCAGAAGTGGCGAAAATTTACGTTTGTTATGGGCTTCGAAAGTAGGCGTGGCAAAATGACTCGACAGCGCCACCTAGAAAAATTAAACGGACAAGCCCCCGATATACGAATCACGCACATGCACGAAAAGTGGCACACACCTCAAACATGCCAAAACATACGAAAAAGTCTCTTGGAGCCATATCTCAAACCCAACAGGAAGTCGGATATTTTTGACTTCCTGCGGCGAAAAAGTGGTGTTTTTGCCATTTCCAGGCGTTGTATTTTAACGAACTCCTCCTAGGGATTTTATCCGATCGACACCAAAATTGGGTTTTGTCATCTAAAGGACTTGGCGATGTTAAATTGCGAAGCTTTAGAGTTTTCGTCGATGGGCGTGTCCGTGGCGGCCTCGCAAACTTTGACGATTCGCCACAAAACAGGAAGTCGTTATAACTCAGGCATGCATTATCCGATCTGCTTAAAATTTCACACGTTTGATAAGAGTCCTGACCTGAACACGTTTACATGCCCATATCCAGATATAGTTATAGCGCCACCTGCTGGCCACAGGAAATGACATGATTTACGGAGTAATAAACTCCTCCCACAAATTTTTTCGAATTAGCATCAAATTTGAGTGGTGTCATCTGAAAGCTCTATCGGTGATATTTTGTAAAGATCTAGAGTTTTCGCAGAGGGGCGTGTCCGTGGCGGCATGACAAACCTCAACGCTTCGCCATGGAACAGGAAGTCCTCATAACTCAACCACACAAAGTCCGATCTGCCTGAAACTTCACATGGTTGATAAAAGTCCTCTCCTGAACACATCCACATAACAATATTGAAGTGGGCGTGGCAAAATGGCTCAACAGCGCCACCTATAAAAATTAAACGGACGAGCCCCTGATCTACGAATCACGCACATGCACGAAAATTGGCACACACCTCAAACACGCCGACACAGATGAAAAAGTCTCTTGGAGCCATATCTCAAACCCAACAGGAAGTCGGATATTTTTAACTTCCTGCGGCAAATAAGTGGCATTTTTGCCATTTCCAGGCTTTGTATCTTAACGAACTCCTCCTAGGGATTTTATCCTATCGACACCAAAATTGGGTTTTGTCATCTAAAGGCCTTGGCGATGTTAAATTGCGAAGCTTTAGAGTTTTCGTCGATGGGCGTGTCCGTGGCGGCCTTGCAAACTTTGACAATTCGCCACAAAACCGGAAGTCATTATAACTCAGGCATGCATTATCCGATCTGCCTCAAAAATCACACATTTAATAAGCGTCCTGACCTGAACACGTTTACATGCCAATATCCAGATACAGTTATAGCGCCACCTGCTGGCCACAGGAAATGTCATAATTTACAGAGTAAAAAACTCCTCCCACAAATTTTTTCGTATCAGCACCAAATTTGGTTGGTTGTTATCTGAAAGCTCTATCGTTGATATATTGTGAAGATCTAGAGTTTTCGCAGAGGGTCGTGTTTGTGGTGGCATGACAAACCTCAACGCTTCGCCATGGAACAGGAAGTCCTTATAACTCAACCACACATTGTCCGATCAGCCTGAAACTTCACATGCTTTATAAAAGTCCTCTCCTGAACACATATACATGCCAATATTGAGTCAGTCATAGCGCCACCTAGTGACGGAAGGAATTTTGGCTTATAACTCATCCACACAATGTCCGATCAGTGTAAAACTTAACATGGTGGATAAAAGTCCTCTCCTGAATACATCCACATAACAATATTGAGTCTGTCATAGCGCCACCTGCTGGCAGAAGGTAGTTTTGCTTATAACTCAGCCCCACAATGTCTAATCTGCCTGAAACTTCACATGGTTGATTAAAGTCCTCTTCTGAAGACATCAACATACCAACATTAAGACAGTCAAGCGCCACCTGCTGGCAACAGGAAGTTTGGCTTATAACTCAGCCAAACAACATCCGACCTGCCTGAAAATTCACATTGTTGATAAGATTCCTCTCCTGAAGGCATCTACATACCAATCTTGAGTCACAGTCATAGCACCACCTGCTGACAGGAGGAAGTTTGGCATAAATCTGTGATTTTCTCGGCTTCTTTATATATATCGGCCTAAAATATTATTGTTCGCTGTTCTCTATCATCCTGAGGCCACCGGGCGGCAGTGAGCCCGGGTGCGAGGTCCCTATCATCGCTGCTTGTTTATTATTATTATTATTATTATTATTATTCCGCCCCCTATCGGGGCACTTTTGAGGGTCTAAACATGCCCGAAAACTCATAAAAATTTGCACACACACCAAACCCGGTGTAAATAGCAGGTTGATATGGGTCTCGGAAGTGGGCGTGGCAAAATGACTCGACAGCGCCACCTAGAAAAATTAAACGGACGAGCCCCCGATCCACGAATCACACACATGCATGAAAATTGGCACACACCTTAAACACGCCAAAACATACGAAAAAGTCTCTTGGAGCCATATCTCAAACCCAACAGGAAGTCGGATATTTTTGACTTCCTGCGGCAAAAAAGTGGCGTTTTTGCCATTTCCAGGCGTTGTACTTTAACGAACTCCTCCTAGGGATTTTATCCGATCGACACCAAAATTGGCTTTTGTCATCTAAAGGCCTTGGCGATGTTAAATTGCGAAGCTTTAGAGTTTTCGTCGATGGGCGTGTCCGTGGCGGCCTCGCAAACTTTGACAATTCGCCACAAAACAGGAAGTCGTTATAACTCAGGCATGCATTACCCGATCTGCCTCAAAATTCACACGCTTGATAAGAGTCCTGACCTGAACACGTTTACATGCCAATATCCAGATACAGTTATAGCGCCACCTACTGGCCACAGGAAATGACATGTTTTACACTGTAACAAACTCCTCCCACAAATTTTATGGTATCAGCACCAAATTTGAGTGGTGTCATCTGAAAGCTCTATCGGTGATATATTGTAAAGATCTAGAGGTTTTGCAGAGGGGCGTGTCCGTGGCGGCATGACAAAACTCAACGCTTCGCCATGGAACAGGAAGTCCTCATAACTCAACCACACAAAGTCTGATCAGCCTGAAACTTCATATGGTTGATATACGTCATCTCTTGAACACATCCACATAACAATATTGAAGTGGGCGTGGCAAAATGACTCGACAGCGCCACCTAGAAAAATTAAACGGTCGAGCCCCTGATCTACGAATCATGCAAATGCGCGAAAATTGGCACACACCTCTAACACGCCAAAACATACGAAAAAGTCTCTTGGAGCCATATCTCAAACCCAACAGGAAGTCGGATATTTTTAACTTCCTGCTGCAAATAAGTGGCATTTTTGCCATTTCCAGGCGTTGTATCTTAACGAACTCCTCCTAGGGATTTTATGCTATCGACACCAAAATTGGGTTTTGTCATCTAAAGGCCTTGGCGATGTTAAATTGCGGAGCTTTATAGTTTTTGTCGATGGGCGTGTCCGTGGCGGCCCCGCAAACTTTGACGATTCGCCACAAACCGGAAGTCATTATAACTTAGGCATGCATTATCCGATCTGCCTCAAAATTCACATGTTTAATAAGAGTCCAGACCAGAACACGTTTACATGCCAATATCCAGATACAGTTATAGCGCCACCTGCTGGCCAAAGGAAATGTCATGATTTACAGAGTAATAAACTCCTCCCACTATTTTTTTTGTATCAGCACCAAGTTTGGTGGGTTGTTATCTGAAAGCTTAAGTGATGATATATTGTCAAGATCTAGAGTTTTTGCAGAGGGGTGTGTCCGTGGCGGCATGACAAACCTCAACACTTCGCCCTGGAACAGGAAGCCCTTATATCTCAACCACACAAAGTCAGATCAGCCTGAAACTTCACATGGCTCATAAAAGTCCTCTTCTGAACACATCCACAAAACAGTAATGAGTCAGTCATAACGCCACCTGCTGGCAGAAGGTAGATAGGCTTATAACTCAGCCAAACAACATCTGATCTGCCTGAAACTTCACATGGTTGATTAAATTCCATTACTGAAGGCATCTACATGCCAATCTTAAGTCACAGTTATAGCGCCACCTGCTGGCAGATGGTAGTTTGCATTATAAATCAACCACACAAAGTCCGATCTGCCTGAAACTTCAAATGGTTGATTAAATTCCTCTCCTGAACACATCCCCATAACATAATTGAGTCTGTCGTAGCGCCACCTGCTGACAAAAGGCAGTTTGGCTTATAACTCAGCTAAACAATGTTCGATCTGCCTGAAACTTCACATGGTTGATAAGATTCATCTCCTGGTGACATCTACATGCCAATCTTAAGTCACAGTCATAGCGCCACCTGCTGAGAGGAGAAAGTTTGGCATAAATCTGTGATTTTCTCCGATTTTTTAAATATATCGGCTTAAATTATTACTGTTCGATGTTCTCTGTCATCCTGAGGCCACCGGGCGGCGGTGAGCCCGGGTGCGAGGTCCCTATCATCGCTGCTTGCAGCTTTAATTAAGCTGTATTTCTGAGGCTCCTTGTGATTGGTTGTCACTTCATTACAGGATGCTGATTCTCTCAAGTGCATGTTTTATTTTAATTGAGAGCGTGGTTTCAGCCATTTCACTTACCATCTGCTGGATGCGGTGAAACGTCTTTCCATGAAAACTGAAACCCTGTTCAAACAGCACCTTGTCTTCAACTGTCCACTCGTCTGGAAAAGGGGTGAAGTTGGGGAGATCTGCCAAAGATTTTTCAATGTTGTGTTTGTGCCAAAACAGCATGCCCAATGCCTGGTAAACAAAGAACCACATCATGAGACTTAAAGTTAATTTGTTTAATGGTGGGAAAACAGGAAACATTTAATAGGACATGTGGAAAGGGTACTACACAGGCCCTACAAATATATAGTTTCCTATAAAAAAAAAAAACCAACAACCACATTATAGGTAGGTGTGTGTGTTATAGACAAAATATTTATATATTTTCTCCAGACCTGTGAACAATACATAAATATGACTGTACAATTGCCAGTAGGTGACAGCAATGACGATCTATACATGTGATTCATTGAATCATTCATTGAATCAACCTAACAGAGTTGCTTTCAGACACAAATGTTCTGCCCTGGCTTTGTATAAAACTATTTTGTTAGTGAATAAAAAGAAAAACAAAGCTGCCAGTATTCTACTAATGTGAGACTTACTCAATTCTAACCCCATGTTGATTGAACAAAATCTGATACACATTTGTGCTTACATTCAGAAATTGGGGGAAAAATTGGTAAGAAAGAAAGAAAGAAAAAAAAGAAAGAAAGAAAGAAAGAAAGAAATTGCCAAAAGGAAGAAAGAAGCGAAAGAAATAAACAAAAGAAAGAAACTGGGGAACGAAAGAAAATGGCAAAAATACAAAAATACAAAAAAAAAAAGAAATTGGCAAAAGAAAGAAAATGGCAAAAGAAAGATATTGGCGAACGAAAAAGAAATTGGGGAAAAAAAATAATTTAGCAAAAGAAATTTGCAAACAAAAGAATAAAGAAAGAAAGAAAGAAAGAAAGAAGCGAAGTAAGAAAAAAGCTAAAGAAATTTGCAAAAGAAATTGGCGAACGAAACAAAGAAAGAAATTGGGGAAAGAAAAAGTAATTGGCAAAAAAATGGCGAACAAAGAAAGAAATTGAGGAAAGAAAAAATAAATTGGCAAAAGAAAGAAAATGACTAAAGACAGACATTGGCAAAGGAGAGGTGAAACAAATTAGCTAAAAAAGAAAGAAAAAAAAGAAATTGGCAAAAGAAACAGTTGAAACGAAAAAAAGAAAAAAGTAAGAAATTTGTGAAAGAAATAAATTGGCAAAGAAAGAAGCAAAAGAAAAAGAAATTGGGGAAAGAAAGAAAGACGGATAGAGACAGAATTTTTATCATTCTCAATGGTCAAAAAAATTGCTAATGACATTAATGACATTATCTTTTTAATAAATATGCCATACATAAATCAATCTTTAAAAAAAAGTGCATTTTGCATTTGAACTGGCGAAATGACAAGTGACAATTTAAATGTCAGCAATTTTTACAAACAAAACACAACCAGAGGTGAGTCAAAAGTAACATGGTTTAAAATACAGAGCAGTATATTTTAAGGAATGACACTGTCTGCATTCCATCAGCTGCCTAAACTTTTGTTTCATAGTGCCATCTGACACTTCCTATCTTCAAAACTCCAACTATCCCAATACTAATCAAATACAACAGTTTGTGCTTAATAGGAGCAAAATGAAAGCATACCTCTATGTCCTATCATCTTTGAAAACTCCTTTTTATTTATTCTTCGACATTGTTTTTCTGGAAACTGAAATCCTCACCCATCCACTGACTAGACATGATGACAACATCCTCAAACAGGAAAACTTTAAATAAATCGCCTTCATTTTCATATCAAACCACTACTGAAAAGACATTAAAATACTAAATAGATTATGAGTGTAACATTTGTTTATCAAACTAGTACATCTACACTTTAAATCCCTTATACACAATTAGTGCCCTTGAAACATGAAATGAAGATGGGTCCGGATTAAATTTTATCTGGGTGCAGATCCAGACCTTGAAAGATATCAACGATATTTTTGCTTTCATAACTTGATTTAGAGGGCGTCACGGTGGCGCAGCGGGTTGGAGCCTCAGTTGGCAGTTCTGTGTGGAGTTTGCATGTTCTACCTGTGTTCGCTTGGGTTTCCTCTGGGTGCTCCGGTTTTCCCCACAATCCAAACATATGCATTATACTGTAGGTGGATTGAATAAACTAAATTGGCCGTAATGTATGTGTGTGAATGCAAAAGTATATGGGTGTTTCCCAGTATTGGGTTGCAGCTGGAAGGGCATACGCAGCCTAAAAACATTTGATGGAAAAGTTGGCAGTTGATTCAGGTGTGGAGACCCCTGATTAATGAAGGGATTAAGCCGAAAAGAAAATGAATGAATGAACTTGAATTACAGTCATTCGCATAATTATGTCATTCCAACTGCAATCCAATAGGTTTCGTCTTGCGCTTAATAATTTTGGACTCTCAATAGGCTGTTTTTGTTGTTGTTTGTTTTTCTTGCATTTTCATGACTCTGAGGCTTAAATTTCATCACCAAATTAATCAAATTTATATTTGTTAGAAAGTTTTTTTCATTCTTAGATTTATTGCCAAGACTTCAAGTGTTTCATGCCTTCATCCCTTCTCGTCAGGATTATTGCAACACAGTGAAACTGGGTGTGAGTCAAGCCTCTTTTTCTCATCTGCTGCTTGTCCAGAATTCAGCTGCCAGGCATTAACAGGCACAAAAAATAAGAGCTCATCACACCTGTGCTGGTTTCCCTACACTGGCTAAAAATCCAGTTTAGAATTCAGAACAAAGTACTGTTGTACTGTATGTTTTAAATCCCTCTATGGCCTGAGTATATTTCTGGGCTAATTAATATACACCAACACATGAAATCTCTTCGCTCTAAGTATTGACTCTATTTGACATTTCTGCAATCACGCTTGAAATGACGAGGTGATGGAGCCTTTTCAGATGCAGCTCCAAGACTTCGGTACCATCTTCCACTCTCCTTAAGAACATTTTCCACTTTGGAGTCATTATCACTGAAAACACACTTACTTTCTTCAGCTTTTAATCATGTGTTGTAAATTTATATATTTTGGCTCCTTGTATGTCTGCATGTACTATGTGTTTTTATGTACAGCATTTTAGTACCCATTGTTGTTGGTTGAAAGTGCTCTAGAAATAAATTGAGTTTAGTTGTAAAGTAAGAGATGACGTCAGCTCACACAAATAATCGTTCCGAGATTGCTTAAATGAGGTGGTCTCGGCTTGATTGAAACGAACCCTGGAGCGGTTCGATTGCAGTGAGAAAGCGATCCGATCCGAGCGCGGATATATCACAGTGTTTTATGGATATGTAATAGGCATACGGCTATATGAAGAGAGAATTATAAGTAAGGCGGGAAGTTTCGCGAGTCTCCGGATGCCCGCAAACGATTGATGATCTCCCGGTAATTTTGCGTCTCCCTCCCGGTCCTCAAATAGGCATCGTCGTGCACCCTTCACACCCCTACCCACCGCATCTCTCCTCAGACACGACGCGCGCGCACCTTGTCAATCACCATCAAACCACCTCCTCTCCTGACAGCTGAGCGGGACACTGCAAAATAAACCCTGACACTCTGACCAATGTGAGTCGAGTTTACTCGCACGTGACTTGTTTTGGCTCTTTTGGTCCGATTAGAAACTTTGCAATATGTAAGCGAACCGCTCCAAGAGCAAAGAGCAACAATGTAACATTTGTAATCTCTGTTTCGGAACAACTGAATCGATTCACAGGTGTGAAAACACACTAAGATATTATCACAGACATAAATATTGCACACTTCTCGTTTTTATTACTTTTCAAGCAACAAATGTAGTTTTCAAACTGTGATTTTACCTGCTCCATATTGTACCCATGTTTTTCTTTGGCTATTGCAATATATTCATCCACTGCAACAAAATAAGACGAAACAATAATCAGCATATAGATTAAACTAAAAACCTTAAGACACAGAGAATGTTTTTACATTTTTCATTTCATCATAGAATGAAAGAAAATATTGCATACAAAAAAAAAAGTTGCTTCTTCATTTAATAATTTACTTAATTTCAGAGTCACTACATCACAGGTGTCAAAGTTCCTGGAGGGCCGCAGCTCTGCACAGTTAAGTTCCAAGTAGGGCTGGGCGATTAATCGAAAAGTAATCGAAATCAACATTCAGAATCTATAATCAGATCAAATTTTTCCAGGTCAATTTTTACAATTACTTTTAATATTGTGTGTGGAGTCACGTGACCCAGCATTGATAAGGCTGAATTTTACTTGTTATATCATGATTTCAACATTTTATAATCTTCTGATATTATACTTCCACCATGCACATGTGTATGGTCCGGCACAGCCTTTGGATACCCACACACCTCTCCAAAAAATTTAAGTACCCGTCACAACGACATGTGGCACAAGCTTTGTGATTAGTCGCTTTGGTCGTGGTGATGAGGGTGGGCGGCACGGAGAGTCCCGTTTTAGACAATGTGTGTTTTAATTTAAGTCTTCCTGCATTGAAGTTCAATTAATAATCGCAGATAGTGTGCTTACTTCAATCATTTTAAAATCAAGTAATCCACCCATCATTCAAAAATCTCACACTTGTAACATGAGCATATTTACTGTACAAAACTTGTGAGTGAACTATGAAGGCAAAAACATAAAATAAATAAAATAATTGTTCCTTAACCATAATTGAGTTTAAATGTTCAGTTTATCAAGATTTGGATTTTTGGCCAAATCGCTCAGCCCTAGTTTCAAGCCTAATAAATAAACACATCTGATAAGGCTAATTTAGCATTTTAGGCATGTTTGATACCTAAAGATAGGTGTGTTGAAACAGGACTGGAACTAAACTCAGCAGGGCCGCGGCCCACCAGAAATTGTGACATTCCTGCAATAGATGAACCAAACAGAATGGGGAAAATGTCTATTTTAGCTATTATTAACTGTCTGTGTGTTGCAGAACTGCTGAATCTCACATACTGCGTTTATGATAGGAAGTATTATATAGCAATAAAAAAGCAGTGACAAACAATTGACTTGTTTCAAAATGATTGCCTATTGGAATGCATTCCTTATCTGTCTCTTAACTGGTTACTGCCCAATTATTCGTTTATAATACATACTATTAAAAACCTCATAAATTACTTACATTTGGCCTCTGGAATACTTGTTTTGGGAATCCACACCAGCATTCCCAGATTCTCCCTCTCATGGCTCGCCTTTGCTACTTCTGATGAAAAAAAGAGACGTCAGTGTATTAAACAAGAACATATCCACCTATTTGCATTTCAAACTAATATAACAACAAAGGCATCTATTTTTCCTTTTTTTTTTTTGGCTTTTCCCACAAAACTTTTAATACAATTATACTAAAAATGTTTTAATAATTTTGCGAACAGAAAACCTAATTCAATTAATTACATCAAATGGGAATGACCACGTGTAGCGAATTTTATTATAATTAAAACAATCACTAATAGCTGAACAATCACATTAAGAAAGAAACATTAAGATAAATTAATTAAAATGAGTTTAAACCAGAATTACAGAAATTCATTTCTAAATAAAATGAAAACGGGTTATTGATGTTAAATTAAAAATACACAATGATTGACACTTATCTGTGCTCATTAGCATCACCTTAAGTTTCAAACACTCGGCAACCAACGAAAGTTAATTTCTTTCATCCTGTGATTTAGTCTTAACAACTTTATCTTAACCACTTTAAAAGCAAGTAAGACACGGAATATGAAATATTATTATCATTATTGAAGATATACTAAACGGAGGAACTATTCCTAACAACGGACAGTGTTTGAGGCTATCCCGACATCCACCCTGTGCTGTCAATAAACCTTCCAACACTCAAAAGCCACAAACCGGGGTCATAATCGGGAACAACTGCCTGATACTGCGGTCCAACTCTCATCCCGCCCGCACCTTGAGAGGAGCAAACAAACAAACGAGTTGGACTGATTACATTCATGAAAAGTGCATGAACTTGTGAAGAGAGACCGAGGCTACCACCATGACTTACCATGCTCGTCATCACTTGAGGAACCCGAACTTCCTTCCTCCCATGAATTGTTACTGTTCCCGTTTGAAGTAAAACTTTTGGTCGGATTATTTACAGAGTTCCTGCCCCTCCTTTTACCCGAAATCTCGGTGGTGCCCTTCTCTAACATTGCGGGCATCTTGACAGCGAAACGCAAAGCTGCTTGAAGGAACTTGGGCTCGCTGACTGCTTGCTATAGCTAAGCTAACTCAGCTCAACTGCTCTAATCGGAAACAAATAACACCGTAGTGCACTGATGCAAACTCCTCCAACTGCTAATACGGGGCTACGAAGATCTGAAAATGTGCGTAGACTGCATTATATTTCCATCGGTCGCGTTAATAAAACAAGTTTTGGCTTTGGATGCAGATAAAAGCACATACGGCTGCAGTGCTAGCAGTGCCGTTGCTCTCTAGCTCTAGCGTTAGCTCTCTCTCTCTCTCTCTCTCTCTCTCTCTCTCTCTCTCTCTCTCCCTCTCCCTCTCCCTCTCATTGACCTGCTTTAGCAAACGTCAGTTCCTCTTTAAGTCACAAAATGTTCATACTTCTTTAGAGTATTATAAAAAAACTGCTATTTTATCTTTATTAAGCTGGAAAACATCGATCAAAACAAACTAGTCAACATTGTGCAGTATACTTTGTTCAGTAATAATCCAGCTTCCTAATAAGTGCATCAACCATGATTTCCCAGCATATAGCAGGTTAGTTCATGTTTGTATTAATAGTTCTTGTTTATGATTTACCAAAAAGGTAAACCTTATGAGCCAATTTGACGATGACATGACTTATCTGAAAAAAAGTCAGTTTTTTTTTTTTTTTGCCTGAACTGCAGCATCATCAGTCATGATGATTACAATTAAGAATCCGTTCATTTTACAGTTTGTTTACATAATGGGACTGTTTTTTTGTATTGAAATATAAAAAATATATATTATTTTGCATAAGTAATGTAATGTAACATGTATTTATATAGCTCATTTATTGTATAGCCATACACCTAAAGCGCTTTGCAATCATGAAGGGGGTCTTTCCAGAGTCTCCACACCACCACCACCAGTGTGCAGCATCCACTTGAAGGATCCAACAGCTGCCACAGGACAATGGCGCCATCACACATTAGCCTTCGGTGGATAGAGCCAATTCAGTGGATGGGGAGGATTGGGAGGCCAATTTGACCAGGACACCCAGTGCTTAATTTGTTAGTGAATAATTCCCAAAACAAAACTAGCAAATAAAAGTCACCGTGACCGACGTCCACCTCACATTTTCAGTTTTCCCAGAACATGACATCATCAAACGGTGAAAGCGCAAAGAAGAGCATCACATTTCTGAAGAGTCTTTAATTATGTGTGCCATAAAACGTTATAGGTCAGTGATGGACAATAAAAACATGTAGCTGCAAACAAACCATATGAACGTTACTGTAGCTCTGCCATCATGTTTTCTGGTTAATCTGCCTCCCGCTATCCTGATCCATGGGCACAGTTTCATCTTCTCAAGATCTTTTTTGATCAGACTCATTATTAGATAAAGAAAATATGTGTGACTGCCTCTTTGCCATTTTAAAAAATGTAAAATTATTTAGGTTGGCCACAATTCCATTATTTATTTTCGATGCTCACTGTGCGCGAAACAATCACCAACAAATAAAAGTGATTGTAAAGTAAGAAAGCTAATTGGCTAAACTTGCGCATGGTGACTACCGTCATGTAGCTTGCACTCATTCACATACTCGCACTCCCCCTTTCTCTCTCTCTCTTGCTCACTCTTTCTCTCTCTCACACACACACACACAGGTGTTGACTATGTACAAGTTCATGTCGGATCCATTCAAATAAATACCGGAATACAAAACACGAATTCCTGATATTTTCCAGAAAAAGATCTGGCAAGATCCGGCTCAAATTAAGCATTGGTTACACCCTAAAGTGCGGTAAAATTTCTTTTTAATGACTAGAGTCAGGACCTTGGTTTAATGTCTCACCTGAAAGACAGCACTAACTGACAGTATCTCCTTCACTTTACTGGGGCATTAGGACTCACACAGAATGCAGGTTGAGCGCCCCCTGCTGGCCTCACTAACACCACTTCCAACAGCAACCTACTTTTCCCATGTAGTCTCCCATCCAGGTACTAACCAGGCTCAGCCACATACGCTTAATTATAAATACATGATTTAATTTATTTTAGCCAGCAGTGCTCCAAAACAAATCTGAAAAAACACTCCACAGGTCAAGAGTGAAATGTGTAACCTTTTAAATAAATGGATCTGGTATATTGAGGTTTTAATGTGATTCAATGGGAAAGTTTTTGTCCTAAAGGTCCATTCTGTGTCCAGTAGATTTATATAAGGAAATGAGGGTGAAATACTATGATTTAATTTTTTTTAAATACACATTTTATGCTATTATGTATGCATTGACCCAGCAAAAATTATAAAAATGACAAAAAAAGCAGAGATAAAAATGCCCCTAATAAGAATGCACCAGGATTTTCACTAAAGCATTTGTTTTCTGCTTGAACCCCAGCAGTAATACCTATTTATTGTTAAAAATGGTTAATGGTTTTATGGTTTATGGGCAACAAAAAAATGAAATGTATTTTAAAACAAATTCCAAATACCTCAGTTTTACATCTACCAAAATTCAGCAGCAAAAAAAATTATCAAAATAAAATACTGTATGAGCTTGACATTTCTTAGCAAACCTTCTATCAATAGGCATATTCGATTAATCCCTTCACTATTACACTGACTTACTCTTGCATTTTAGCATACATTTTGTACAAATTTCACACATAAACTCCTGTCTTGAAGATGATCTGTTTAATCACTGTTCAATACAATACAAAACAATATTCATTGTGTTTCCAGCCATTGTGTGGCCAGTGAAATTGCAACCAATTGCTTAACAGTCCTATATTTTAAAAGGGTGATATATTAAGAGCTTATTTTATTTTTCTGTTCAATAAATGTAATTTTTTGCAATTGAAATCTTTAATACTTAATGTAAAAACATGATTTCGGAAAACTATACTAAAATCTACAGTTTTAGACATTTACTCAAATCATATATATATATATATATATGTGTGTGTGTGTGTGTGTGTGTGTGTGTGTATATATATATATATATATATATATATATATTATTATTATTATTTTTTTGCCTATTGAACATTCATTCATTCATTTTCTTTTTGGCTTAGTCCCTTATTTATCTGGCATTGCCACAGCGGAATGAACCGCCAACTTATCCAGCATATGTTTAACGCAGCGAATGCAGCTGCAACCCATCTCTGGGAAACATCCATACTCACTCATTCACACTTATACACTATGGACAATTTAGCCTACCCAATTTACCTGTATTGCATGGACTGTGGGGGAAACCGGACCACCTGGAGGAAACCCACGTGAACGCGGGGACTGGGGAGAACAAGCAAACTCCACAAAGAAGCGCCAACTGACCCAGCAGAGGCTAGAACCAGTGACCTTCTTGCTGTGAGGTGGCAGCACTACCTACTGCACTACAGCGTCACCTCTTATTGAACATACTGAACATAAAACATGCTGTTTCTAAAAAATTAGTTATCTGTTTTTGCAAATGAACTCTTCATATACATCCTGCTGCTGCCGTGTAACAGGAGTCTGGAATTTTTGACCAATCTGTAGACTGAAGTATTATTAAATATTTGTGTGTCATATACTGTATTGTGCCACTTTGACAACTCTCCATTAACTGTACACTGCATCTGCAGATCTGCTACTATCTAATTGGAATCGCCAATGTAGGACTTATTTGTATGTTGTTTGACTTATTTTTTTAGCATCTACATCAGCAATTTATCTAAAACCACTATTATTTGTGCAATATACTCATTCCAAGAGTTTTTTTAGTTCTTCTTTAACTGGAGGAGTCTCAGTTTACCCCCTTAGTGAACACCAGTACACCAGTTTAGTAATAGTTTAGTCTTTAGGTGTTTTATATTTCTAAAGTTCCTCTGCAGTTTCACCTGCAGCTCTGAGACTGAGAATGATTATGTACTGAAGGCTCATCCTGTTCTTAAGGACTGATATTTTATTATTTTATTTCAGATTTTTTTTAATGCATTAAAGATGCATTGTACTCTATACCGTCATTATAATACTGAATTGTACAGTATACTATTTTCAATGATTGTTCATGTGCATTGCATAATTTCCTTCCACACTCCAAGCATTGATGATCATGTAAATCAATTTTCTGTTCTGATCTCAAGCTTAGGCAAATAACTGAAAAACATCAATCGGAGGCAACATTTTTATGATGTCATTATGTAGACTTCATACTAAATATTTTACAGTATTTTAAAAATAGAAAATACAAGACACTAAAGTATTTTTGATACAAAATATTCATATTTTCATAAACCCCATCAAATACAAATAAAAAAAATTTATTTGAAATTTGCATTTAAAATACTTGTATCATAAATTCTGCCCATTCCTGGTAACGGGTAACATAAAAATGAAAAAAATTGTGCAGCTGCAGACACAAATAGACTTAAACCTCATTTAAACCTCACTTAAACTAGAACATGTGGTTTTGTTTCAAATAGTGGTTATGACCGAGTTTCAAATATAAATCAAATATCATTTATTTACCTTCTATTTTAACTATTTATCTTTCTTTATTTTCATTATTATATTTTTTCTTTACAAAAAACATTTAAAATGATAAGAATCCTACAATGAAAGTTATGTTATCATTTTATACAACATAAAAAGAGAAAACAACCCCTCTGTGATCAATAGTTTTGCATTTAAGTCTATTGACCAGTCTATGAAAGTACCTAGTTATTAACAATATTAAAATAGCTTTCAGTAAGATTTTGGATGCAGTAAAGAGTAAAGTTTCCAATAGACAAAACTCATTTTACATCAATTTTCTATGTGGCCATTTCTTACCACAAAATAGTGTGCCAGTAAACATGGTGTTTCGACAGCAGTGTCACTGAGGAAATTTTTTTGGGTCCTCTTCTAACCATGAGGTGAATCAAAAACACAAAGGAAATATTTTGACCATCTAAAAGATCTCGTGGATGGTAAATGATCCACCTGAAGCCCTCAGTTTCAGTAAAGTACATGCGATCCTAACTTTTATCCGCTAGATGGCGCACCTGATCCTCAACCCAAATGTGTTTGCCTCTTGCTGCATTTCATTCAAACACTCCCAAATCTGGACTCTTAAACCGGATTATATGTCAGTTGTACTTGTACATACTTTTGCCGCTGACTTCCAAAAACCTATTTTAATTATTCTTGTAGGCAATTAATAACGCATCAAGGAACACACTTAGTCAGTCAATCACTGTCACTGACCCGTAACGATAAATCATTTCAGAGCCAGAGAGCGACGACGAAGATAAACAGATCAGGTCGTGAAAGCGCGCATGGCTCAGCCTGTGGAATATTATGTAAGAGCCGTGTTGAATGTACTGAATGCGCGAGGGTCACCCGATAGCGCCCAAACATACGCACACATGTGCTCCACTACACTAATAAGGAAAAGTTGGAGCACTTTGTACCCTTGTGACGCGCGCTCGCATCCAATGACAAAGAGCGCAGAGATATGCGCAAAGCAACACGCACGGCCCAGCATATATAAACTCTCGCCTGAGTTTGTAGTGGGGTTTGAAGGCGGCTGAGCGGTTTTACACTTTATCGTACGAGATTACCGCCTTATTTTTGGTATTTATATTCCCACCGATGTTTCAGTATCTGCACTGAGTATTCACTGTTAAATCGCATTTTTAAAAATCCAAACAGCCTCAACAATGCCTTTGGATTTGGGGATGTACAGCAGCCGCGCGGATTATAAATCCCCAAAACAATGCCAAAAAACCTCCTTCGCATTTTACCAGGCTATACGGGACCTGTTGCCGGTGTGGGTCCTCGAGGACATGCGGACCATGGAGGTGTTTCATTGGGAAGACGACGGACAGGCGTGCGCGTACTCCCCGTCAGAAGCGCTTCTGTACGCGCTGGTTCATGATCACCAGCAGTACGCGCGCTATTTACTCAAACTATTCTCCTCTCGCGCACTCGAGATGCCCAGCAGAAGTTTCTGCTGCTGCCAGGCATCCACTGCACCACACCTCTCCATCGCCGTCCGCTACAACCGCATCAACATCCTGAAAATGATGATGGAGACCATCAAGGAGCTCGCAGACTGCGAGAAACAGAGCTTCCTCAACCGGCACGGATGCGTTCACACGGACGGAAGCAAAACCGCGCTGCACCTCGCGTGTGATCTGGTGCGTCCCGAGTGCTTGATCCTGCTGCTGGGTCACGGGGCTTGCCCTTACGTAACGGACCTGACAGGGAACACCCCTCTAGACTGTTTACTCCAGCAGATCCTCCAGAGTGACTTTGAAAGGCGCACGAAGCGCGTCTGCCTCGGTTACCTCCTTCTGTTCATGCCCACATTTCGCTTCCAGATGAAGAGACAGTTGCAGGACAATGGAGATGTGTGGAGGGCTCTTATAGGAGAGCAGGCCTTCCAGTGGCTCTGCGGATCATCGCCTCCATCACTGTTCGTGCAGGCCATGCAGAAGCTCAGTCAGTCCATTCCCACAGAGCAGCTGGACTCGCTGCCGGACTTCCTGAAGCCCCTGGACTTCAGACTCGATCAGGCCTGATGTGCTGGAACTGAAAAGCTAATTAAATGCATTGTTTGTTTGACTGTTGTTTCTTGAAGTATTCAGGTTTTGAGTGTATGTGGAAGGATTTGTTGTAAATATGTCAATAGTGTTGTACATTAGGGATGCGTAGTGAAACATGCTGTAAAATTATTAAAATATATATATTTTTTGCACTTGTTGTTGTCCTAATGCGTCTTATTCGGCTCCTCCTGGCTTGTAGGAACCAAAACTCATCCATCTTTAACACCAATATGTTTACGCTTGTTTATAACATGAGTATGGGCAAATCATTCTTATTAAAATGATAATAAACCCATGAATCTTCATTTAAGTAACTGGGGCAATGACTGATGATGATTGTGCAAGATACACAAAATCAAAGCTTTTCTATTATGTTTTTATTTTTCATCCATTACAAATGACATTCTTTCAACCAACTTCATGAGGCATATTAAATATAAATGCTTTGTATTTTTTTCTGCATTATTTGACTGCAACTCATCTATTTGAAGAAACAAAAATCTAATTCATTACTGTTATTATTGTTTTGCAATACAAAAAATTAGATCCATCCAGCTTACATTTGAATCTATGTTTTGTTTTCGAGCACTATTTAGCCTTGTTTGCTTATATGTCTGTGTGCATTTATATTTTGATTTCCACAATACATATTCTTTAGATGACAAACATGCACTGCCTAAATATTTCTAATACACTCAATTGTTGTCACCAGGGCTGCACAATTTGGAGAAAAAAAAATCTAACTGTGATTTATCGGATTACAATTGCAATTTGTGATTTAAAATGATATTTATTAGAAACCGTTCTGAGGGATGTAAACAAAAACAATGTATTTCCAATTTTACATTTTTAATTTCTATAGCTTCAGAGAATCCAAAAAGAGCCACATATATTGATAGATAACGTTATGATCGCTGTTTTAACATCAAGTTATGATTGAATTGCCTCTTTTTACAGTTATGAAACAGTTTAATAACTAGAAGGAAATGGTCTATAATTTAATAAAAGAGCTGCAGGTTTGATGTGGTGGTTTTAACAGCACCAAAAAAAAAAAAAAAAAAAAAAAAACACCAAGCATAATCACAAAGTACCCTACACTATGCTTCTGTTTATTTAAAACCATAAAATTGTCTGTTGTCATGACAAATTAAGAAAATAATTGCAGTATTTTAAATTCAATTAAATAGTTTATATATAAAACAAGAGCAATAATCAAAATAATCGCAGCTTTTGCTATTTGAAAATTGCACCTTTTCAAATCGCGATTTCGGTTTAAAATCGATTAATTGTGCAGGCCTGGTTGTCATTGTTGAAATGTATACATGCATACTTTTAAGAATGTTAGAATCATAATAAACACTCTCTCAAATATTTCTAAAATGTTCATCCAGATAATTTATTATTATTATTATAAATTTTGCAAATGGCTGTGCTAAATCAGTTGTAATATAAATGTTTTTTGTTCTTTTTTTTTTTTTTTACAGTGGTGCATTTTTGTCCAGATTCTGTTTTTTTTTTTTGTCATGGGATTTTAATTCTTGCATTTTTATTTTTATTTTACAGCAACCCACTAAACAATCAACATCTGAAGAAAAATAAATATATAAATAAACAAATAAACAAATAAATAATAAACAAACAAATAAATGAATGATAATAAATAAAATAAATACAAATACAAAAAATACAATAACAAACCATATACAGTTGAAGTCAGAATTATTATCCACCCTGAATTATTAGAATTATTGTTTATTTTTTCCCCAATTTCTGTTTTAATAACTCATTTCTAAAAACTGATTTTTTTAATCTTTGCCATGATGACAGTAAATAATATTTTACTACATATTTTTCAAGACACTTCTATACAGCTTAAAGAGACATTTAAAGTCTTAACTAGGTTAACTAGGCAGGTTAGGGTTATTAGGCAAGTTACTGTATACGATGGTTTGTTCTGTGAACTATTGGGGGAAAAATTAGCTTAAAGGGGCGAATATTATTGCCCGTAAAATGTTTTTAAAAATTTAAAACTGCTTCACAGGGTGGACTTCAACTATACATAAAATACATACCTTTTCACAATCCACAAGGTTTTTAAAGTCATTAAAGAAAGCAATAAATTGTTGCCATTTTTCAAATAAGCTGTTTTCTCCTACCTCTATATTATTAGATATTTAATTTTCTCAAGTTTTAAAAAGAAGACTGAATCTTTGAGACACAATGAAATAGAGAGGGGTTGTGGGGAGGTCCAAGACAACAGTATTCTGCGCCTAGCGTGAAGAGATGCAAAAGCTACAAAGTCAGTGTGTCTCCGGTTTAAAGGTTGAATCCAGATTCTTTGACGAAATAATTCAATAAAGTTGAAAATAAGCCACAGATTCACGCTGAGCCACTTACTGTAAACGTTTTATTTGGAAGTTTGTCATGACTAAGCATGGAGTAAGACCGTACAAGTCTATAATGTGAGTTCACATGTAGCGGCATCACCACTTAAACCACACTGGCTTAGCATTACATGCCAGGTGTACCACATTAATCACTTTAATCTGACTTACAAGTGCAGAACTGAAACTACTGGCACACAATAGGCCAAAACAACAGCAAAATAACATACAAATAGCTAAAACTGCAGCAATGCTTACATGGTCATTCAATGATTTGCATTTGATGCATTACTGAGGTGTCAAAAAGGAAGATTGACAAACACTTCACAGTCAGACACTAAAGAGAGAGAGGTGAGGAAATCAAACATAAGATCAAGCGCTGAATTCATGTTTCGTTATCTTATCTATGATAGATTAGATGCTCTCTTTATATGGACGTATATGAGGAGGAATGCTTGTCTGGTATTAATAATATACACTTTATTCATAACAGACTATGATAGATTCTATCAACCAAGTAGTAAATTCAAATAACTGCTCTGTTTTAAAAGTTAAAAGTCCAACCGTTGTTTTAAAAGAACTCACATTAAACGGGAACACATGACTACAGTATAGATATGTGCCAAATGCTACTGTGATTTTATTCCTTTCAAGTATTTAACATGGTACAAGTGTATTTACAAGTAAACTCAATCCCTTTACATCCTCAACAAAAGCCAACTTAGGCATAGTTTCCCTTTCCAATGACGATCAGATTTATAAAACTTTTCGAAAGCGCTCTAGTTTGTTAGTCTAACTATATTGTGACATATAATTCCTCTACCTATAAGGATACAGTGAAATGTGTTTGATATTTACATGATCTATTCATCTGAAGCAGTAGCGCACAGCTTAAAATGGATTTACATTAAACATTTCCTTACATTTAGCGAGCAAAGTGCTTTAGGATACAATGCCATTCAATAATTTGGGGTCCGTAAGGTTAAAAAATAATCATCAAAATAAATCTGCATTTAGTTGATTAAAATTACAGTAAAACTGTAATATTGTGAAATGTTATTATAATTTAAAATAATTCATTATAATATAAGTTTTATTTGAACGTAGATAAAATGTAATTGTAAGACATCCTGTAATCTATAAGAAAGCATTTTAACATTATGGGCCCTATCATACACCCAATAAGGTGCAAGATGTGTTTGGTGTGATTTGTTGCTATTTTCAGACCAGTGCAACCCTAATTTTACTGTTTTGCACCATTTTGTTTAAATAGCAAATGCATTTGCGGTACTTTGTGGACTCATGGGTGAGCTGGTCTATAAAGGGGGCGTGTTAGGGCGCATTGTTGGTGTGTTGCTATTTTAAGAAACTGGAACAGACTGTGCCATTGGCCAAGTAAAAGCTGATCTAAAGTCCAGCTTAGATCGCGTTAGTTATGTGCCTATGCAGGTTCAAACGCTTAATACACACAGGATGTTCAGCAATACACAAATATCTTTACAAATAAAAAAAAAAGAATTCAAATGTTACACAAATTATTATTTACTACATAGATATTAAAAAAAAAAAAAAAAACTATTTCCATGCCTTCTTCAAGTCGGGGGGCTTTTTCAGTTTTTTTTATGACAATTAGCATTTTTATTAGAATGTTATTATTAATAGTAATATTTATTATATGCAGATTTATGTTAGTGGTAAAAAACAAGTTTAGATTTGTTAATGGATTTCTTTTGAGTGTGTACAACACTGTTTCCTTATCCACGAAAGTAAAGGAGTAAAGTGTAAAATTAAAGTAAAAGAAAAGTAAAGAGGTTAATTGCAGGAGGCTCATTCTTTATCCTCACGCAGATGGTCTGTTTAACTGTTTTCTCGCTAGTAAAGCATTGAGTTTTTCCACATACAATGTCCGCCATGTTAATAGCAAATGTGCCATGGCATGATGGAACTGACTCTTATCGGAGATGAGACTCTGATTGGTTTAATTCGAATTATGTTAAAAACACACCCATAACTCATTAAGAGTATAAGCACAGCCCTGTTAGACCATGTGCAAAGTGTATTTTTCCGTCCTTAAAATAGTAAAAGTGCATTCGGACATGGCCTTAAGGCTTTGTGCTACGCACTTTAGACTTTGCGCTTAGATCGTTAAAATAGAACCCACTGTCCCAATTTTCCCCATTTTTTTCTCAGTTTTTCCACATTTTGTGGATTCAGCCTTTTCTGATTTTAATTCTAAGTCTTAAGTCATCAAATCTATTTAATTTAACAACCATTGGTAACATTTTTTTATGGTGACCTTAATAGACATGTTACTATAGTAATTACAGCTAATTATGCATGATTACATGCAACTAACCCTAAAGACATAATAAATACATGTAGTTAATGAATAGTTACACTGTAACAAGGACCCTTTAACTAAAGTGTGACCCAGCTATTAGACATTTATCTAAAATTACATTTTCAAGAAATATGTTTTCATTTTTTCTCAAATATGATTTTGTTTGAGTAAAATTTACACCATCGAAAAAAAATCTCACATCTAATTACACTGCATTAAAATCATTTATGTTATTATAACTTTAATAATCCATTCATTGTCCCTTGGCCTAATCCCTTTTTTCATCAGGAGTCGCCACAGTGGAATGAACCGCCAACTTATCCAGCATATGTTTTACACAGCGGATGCCCTTATAGCTGCAACCCTGTACTGGGAAACATCCATACACACTCAGTCACACACTTACACTACGACCAATTTAGCTTATTCAATTCACCTATAGCGTACAGTATGTCTTTGGACTGTGGGGGAAAGTGGAGCACCCGAAGGAAACCCACGCGAACACGGGGAGAATATGCAAACTCCACACAGAAATGCCAACTAACCCAGCCGGAACTCGAACCAGCGACTTTCTTGCTGTGAGGCGACAGTGCTAACCACTAAGCCACCGTGTCACCCCGTTTTTACAACTTTGAAAAGATAATTTTACTGTAAAATAGCAATATATTTCTGTCCCTATTTCATCAGATTAAACCAAACTTATATTTTGACAGGCTGTTGTAAAAATGCTTCAAATTCTTGATGTTTTCTGATGGCCATAAAACAGTCATAACGGTTAATTTGGTTCAAACTTTTTACAATTTCTCAAATCTGATTAATATTAAACTGATTTTGATAAGATGTACAGCACTACTTTTAATTTAATCATCTAGAATTTGCAAATGTTCACTGCCAATTGAGTTTTTATAACTATTCAGAAATCATGTATCCCTCTAATAAGCTGAGTGAAACATTACTAAACAGTTCTTCTTATAATAATAAAGGTTAAAAACACCTGTGCTGCTTGATATTTTTATTAAAACGGCTGATTTCAGGATTACTAACAACTAAAACGAAACATTTACTTGTAAAACTGTTAATTTTGATCAACTTTATGCATCCTTGTTAATTAAAATAGCTAATTTCTTTAAGAAAACAAACAAAAAAAAACTTAGTGACCCCAATTTTGAATGGTAATGTATAAACGGAGTCTCCACAGATTAATAAAGTTAAAAATAAAAGATCTAAGAGTGAATATACATTTTAAAATGAAATATCGTGCTAGATTAAACAAAATAGATAAACATTTTTCGGTCACAAGGTGCACGTTTTTTTTCACTTTTTTTCCAAGTAACACACCTCACATAGATTTAACAGAGCGCAGTCTACTCTTAAGGATTTAAAGAACACGAGGGTGAGTAAATGATGACAGCTTTTCCATAGTTTTTTTTTTTCAGTTGAACTACTCTTTTAAGCAGAAATGAGTAAAGTGCCTAGAAAGAAATGTCACATAACAGTGATTTCTGGGTTGCTTCAACACAATTTGTGGCATTTAAATCACCTCCCACTCTTCCTCCAGCTCTTCTCCACTCAGAGATCCTGCATTGACATGGTTTTTGCTCCTATAGTTTTGCAGAGTCTTGGTGAGCCGCTGATTCAAAGCTCCAGTTGGAGAAACAGCCCACAGTTCATCCATCGGGGTCACTGCAAAAGAGAGGTATTCGCTCGGTCATTAAGGTTAAAAAAAAAACTAATAATCACAATACTTTTCAATGAATGTTTTTCTTGACAATCATTGAGAATTTCAAACATTATATTACATGTTTTGTCAAATTTTACGTTTAAATAGGCCACAGATTGGCATACATTTCTAACACAACAAAGCCTTGAAAAGCCATGAATGGCTTAGCTCTCCAGTATTTGAAGGAGCTCCTGGTGTAATACAGCCCCTCATGTCCACTACGCTCAATTAATTCTGGACAATTGATTATTCCCGGAATATCAAAATCAACTGTAAGCGGTAGATCTTTCTCATATTTGGCACCTAAACTCTGGAACAGCCTTCCTAGCACAGTTCGGGAGAGAGACACACTGTCAGTCTAAAACTAGATTAAAGACTCATCTCTTTGCATTAGCATACACATAAAACACAAATGCTTTTGAAATCCAAATCCTCTAAAGGATTGTCAGGCTGCATTAATTAGGGCAACTGGAGCTGGGAAAGTCACTATGGGCCCTATCATACACCCGGCGCAATGTGGCGCAAGGCGCGGCGCAATTGTTGTTTGCTAGTTTCAGCTTGGCGCAAGAGTCGTTTTGACGTTTTGCGCCACGCTGTTTAAATAGCAAATTCATTTGCGCTCTTATGTGCGCCCATAGGCGTTCTGGTCTAAAAAGGGGTGTATTGATGAGGTGTATTGCTGGCGCGTTGCTATTTTGAGAAACTATAATAGATTTTTCAATAGACCAGAACAAAGCCGGTCTATTGTCCAGCACAGAGCGCGTTAGTTGTGTGCCACACTTACACACTGCTTAATACACACAAGATGTAGAGCAATATGTAAATATCTTTACATAAGAAAAACAATTAAAATATTAAGGGTATATATAAGATATAATAAGGATATAAATATAAAGGATTAAAAATTACAAAGCATTATTTTCTAGCCTACATAAATTTAATAACCATACTTTCATGCCTTCTTCATCTCGGCGGGCTTTTTCAGTTTATTCATAACATTTTTGTACAATGTCATTATTATTAGCAGTATTGTTTATTATATCCATATTTATATTTGTTTTATTAAAAACAAGCTTAGATTTGTCCACCTGTCAGGTTTTAGACCATATGGGGCACAGCATGTGTATTTGGATATAACTCAGGTTTTTGAACACACTACGTTATTATTGTTCATTTATTCGTTTGCTGGAAATCAGAACTGAATTAAGAAATAGTTTTGAAACAAATCTTTGCGCTTAACAAACGAATTGTAGGCTAATTATAGGCTGATTGATGTCTGTGCGTACAAGGTTTCCCTATCCACAAGAGCGAAAGTGATAATGAGAGGCCTTATCTCTCATTCTTGCGCTTTAGGTGCTCTGTGTAACTGTTTTCTTGCTAGTGAAGCGTTTAGTTTTTCCACTTACAAAGTCGTCATATAAATTGCAAATGCACCATGGCGCGACGCAACTGGCTGTTAAAGGGAATGGGAGATGAGACTGATTGGTTTATTCTCAAAACACACCTATAACTCATTAAGAAAATAAACTCAACCCTTTTAGACCATGCGCCACGGCGCAAAGCGTATTTTTCCATCCTTATATTAGCTAAAGTGAATTCTGACACGGCCTGGATGAGTTTGCGCCCTGCGCTTTGCACTTTGCGCATGGATCATCAAAATAGAGCCCTATAATTTGAACAGCATCTACGCTTATGTTAGTCTGTTAATCATCATTTCGAAGTCTCCATAATCCTAGACCAGGCTGTATTCTGAGCAGCTGCTGTTGTGCTCGTGTAGACATGAGACTGATTCCTGAAAGACCCCAGTGACAGACGAGTCTCTGCATTGATCCCATGGGCCAGCCTGTAAACCTGCCAGTGACCTACTCTCACCAGCAGCTTCTCCACGATAGACGTCCAGCGTTCTCCAGCCCTGAATGCAGCTCTGCACAGGAAGTTTGAGAGAAATGGTCGTGCCCAACTGAGCCTGGTTTCTCTCGAGTTTTTTTTCCCTCCACTTTCGTCATTTGGTGAAGTTTTGTTCTTTGCCACTGTCGCTAGCTTGCTTGGCTTGAGACTAGTTGCGCATCGATGGATTTGCTCGTCAGAGTTTGGACTTTCAGCGTTGAAATTTAAACCACACTGAACTGAACGGAACTGAACTTCAACTCTGAAAACTGGACTGACACAGTTTCAATTTACTGGAACTTCTATGTTAAGATGCTTTGACACAATCTACATCGTAAAAGAGCTATAGAAATAAAGATAAATTGAATTGAACGAAATTGGATGAAGTTTCAAAATAATAGAGGTTTTTTGGCAATTTCTTTGCCAAAAAAAAACAAAAGTTTGTTGTTTTTTTTCAAAATAAACTACAAGTATTTACAGTCTACAATATTTAAGAAAAAACAAACATCTTTTTTATATGTTCATGATTCTGAAAATACTGCAAATGTATCATCTACATGTACATCTTTTCTAGTATAAAATCTTGCAAATAATCAGGGAAATTATGTAGGAACATATGCCTCTGTAAAAGTGCCATCGAATGAAAATCTTTATATAGACATTGTTGAATAATAAGAGTTCAGTACATGGAAATGGCCACACTGTGAGCCTCAAACACTATTGTTTCCACATTCCCATGTAATCCTTTTGAGTGTAAAATCTCAATTAAAATGGCACTTACCCAAGCTGCATACCTTCCACGTAGATATCAAAGAATAATTGAACATATTGTTTCACTAGCTATGTTTCTATCCTATGTTTATGCGCATTTTGGATATGCGCATAAAAAATGATTGATGGAAACGCCAAGATGTGCATACATTTTGAACATGCAAATAACTGAGTATGATAAAATTTTGTCCAATAAGGAAAAATTAAGAATTAAAAAAGTTATGTGATTTTGTTAAAAAAAGTCAAAAGATCCTGTGATGATAAAAATGTGTGTGAATGGATAAACAAGCAGGCTGAGCAAATTGTAAAACATCTAAAATGTTGTTTTGGTCATTCTAAAATGCCTTAACCATTTCAGTATTAGTGTAATTATATTATTAATTAGTTTCAGAACTGTCAAGAGCATCTGTGGTCTGCGACTCATGCCTTTAAACACCACCACGTACTTATTGTGTGTCAGCATTGTCTTCTGAGGTGCAAGTAATTATTAAATAAAAACAGATTGACGTAGCTTCTCCTTCCGCAGCAAATTCTATTTTTACTGTTGATATTTGGCGCCAGATAATACGGATGTGATGATTTTGTTCTCATTAGATGGAAAAGCTGCTTTAATAGCATGTATTTTATGCAACATTACAGTTTTGCACATCCATTTAATTTGCATCATTGGATAGAAACGTAGATATTGTATTTTAAGGCACCTTTAAAAAACCTTTAGGATATAAATATGAAGTTTGGTGCATTTAAGTGTGGCTGAGCTGAAGAATTAAGGTTCAGTGCTGGAGAGAAAATAAATCTTTTCCAGAAAATGTCCTCTGAAAATATGAACTGTAATTGAAATCTACAGACACAAACTGAAGAAGTGCAATAAAAGAAACAATTAAAAAAGGTTGTTTTAAATGTTTTCTTTCTATTGGACTGAAAAAAAATCTGAAATGGTAAAAAGCCCAAAATCTAAAAAATATGGAGGAGCAAGAAATTCTTATAATTATTTTTTGACACTAATGTTTGCCTTAATTGATCCTAAAAGCTCACCTGCGAGGCAGCTGGCCAGTCCAGGGATCTTCTTCCAGTAATCTCCAGCAGGGTTTTTCTCTGTAATTCCGTATCGACGAGCCACTTGCCCATTAGCAAGACGAACCCAAGCGGTCCTCATGCTCAGAACCAACTGACATGCCTGAAGTCCTACAGGAAAAAAAAAACAAAAAAACAATGACCAATCAGAAAGTCACTTATAAAAAAGAACTTAAATTTAACAGTTTTATTTAAAAAATAAAAAAAATAAAAATGACAACAGCGAATAGGATTATGTAATGGTGGCTTACCTGGAATGTGCTCCCAGGCCGTCCCAACAGGCATCTCCTCAGTGATGCCGATACGTACGAGCACATTGCCTCTGTTGTCCAGTGCCCACAGCATGCGGTCATTAGGACTGGTCTGAATCTTCACCAAATAATGTCCAGCAGGCTGCTCAAAGAAAACATCAGGAAAAGAAAAGCACATCAGGTAGGTGAACTATTATATGGTGTGTTTAATGGCATAAATGATCCTGAACTGGATCATTGTAGGACCTGTGTATTAAAAATATTACATTTAAAGTTGCAGTATGTAAACTTTTTTGTTCCAAATTTGCTTAATGAGTGAATATCATTTCAAAACTTTTATCTTTTTCAATTTCAGTAGGAATGTAGCTTTAAACAGAATTTCAGTGTGGAATCGGATTTGCCAAGTCTCTTGTAAACAGTGTATCTGGTTTAGAAATTATATAAAACAAATACTTTTTGAGGATTTTTTTTTCCACAAGGGTTGATACTAAGTACACATTAAATATGACTTTAGTTTGTGCTACAGTAAGGTCCAAATAAGGCGACTAAGCCGAAAAGAAAATGAATGAATGTATAAAATTAAATATATACATTTTAAACTGATTTTATTATACATAATTGCTAATAACTCAGATAGTTTAACAAAAATTTAAGTGATGTACTTACATATTTTTTTATTCATAAATCTTGTTTACCTGTTCAGGAGATTCAATGCAGATCCAGGCTGGAAGCATCATGCTGGGGTTCAAAGGTTGAGTTCCAACCCGAAAATACACCATTCCATTAGTATCACATGCCCAAACGTTCTGACTGCCACACGACAAACTGAGAAACCTCACATGACCTGAGAGGAAACAACAGAGATTTCCCACATCATAACAGTATTCCAGTAAAATATGACTGCCACACATGAGCTTCAAATACTGTTAATGTCAGTTATGAGATTTTAAGGGCAGCCAAAACTTGCCAATGAGGAAACTTCATATACCAATCCTTCATGTCTGTAGCACAAACAACAAGCGAAGCATTGCATTAAAAAAAAAAGATTAAAATCTCACAACTAGTAATGTAAATTACTAAAAATTTCCAAGAGTAACCAACTTATAAATTATTGGTCAATTAATTCATCACCTAAATAAATTTGTCTACTTGAGTGTCATTGTCAAGAGCATGAAAGGATATGCAAATGACACTCAAAATTCAAGGAGAATTTTTTTTACTATAAATAAAATGCATAAAAATTAACATTTAATAGAGCCAAGTAATGACTTAATGTAATGTCTAAATGCTGTAAATGTTAGAAAATTCTTGTTAGAAAATAGTTACAGTTAGTGTGTTATTTTCTTCAAAAATATACATGTGGTATCAGACATTTAAAAAAATGGAGATTGTGAAAAGGCTAATACATCATGAATGTCCGTGATGCATAAAAGGATTATACCATTTATTTATTAGTAGGCCCACACAGAATTTATCTTTATATATATATATATATATATATATATATAGATAGAATTATTAGCCCCACTTTAATTTTTCTTCTTTTTTAAATATTTCACAAATTATGGTTAACATGGCAAGGAAATTTTCACAGTTTGTCTGATAATATGTTTTCTTCTGGAAAAAGTCTTATTTGTTTTATTTCGGCTAGAATAAAAGCGTTTATAAATTTTATAAACACCATTTTAAAGACAAAATTATTAGCCACTTTAAGCAATTTTTTTTTTTTCAATAGTCAACAGAACAAACCAAGTACTATGTTTAGAAATGTGTTGAAAAAATATTCTCTTCGTTAAACAGAAATTGAGGACAAAAACTAAAAGGGGGTCTAATAATTTAGGGGGCTATATATATATACATATATATATATATATATATATATATATATATATATATATATATATATATATATATATATATATATATATATATATATATATATATATATATATTCAGTTTTTTATTAATATCAGTAATACTTTTGCTCTTCAGCCTTACATTTTTTTTTATCTTCAGCCTTAAATAAAAGTTCTTACTTTTTTATGGTTAAAAATGTTATTTCATGTTTTAAGTTTTTAGTTAATATTCTTAATACTAACATAGTTAACAATGTCTGCAGTTTCTGCCTGGATCTAATTATTAGCTCACTTCATTTGTCTCCTTATATTTATATATAATACCCATTTATATAATACCTATTCATGAGCAAAATGTACCTGATATGATATGCAAATCTATATCAGATAATTACCTATCTAGCTGTCCACAATGAAAGTGACACAACACAACAACATAACCCCGGATGGTAAACTGATGCCCCATTTTTTTCTTCAAGCATTTAACTGAAGAGTTATTATTAAGCTCATACGTGCTCGCTTACTTTTCTCCTCGTGTCTGCTGTACATGTTTTGAGTGCACAGTATGCGCAAAAATATGCACATTAATGACATCCATACATAACGGACCATAGATAAGGTATATACAATGAATCAATCAAATCTCTACACCGAACCAAACAATTTAAACACAATGTTCATTTTAATTACACTATCCAAACGTTAAAATTCCTCAAATGCCAGACTATACTGTAAATTTTCTCAGCTAAGGGTGAGTGACAGGACATATTGTGTGACTGAGTTCAGCTTTAAACCATACATCACATCTAGCAGCATCCCAAGGACATCCAGGGCCTCAAACTGTGTGACCTTTGGAGATCAGCCTACATTCAGCAGGAATGTGGCGGGAGTTTTGTCTGTACACTATGATATGATAGGGAAACCTTGACATGTAATTTATACGTCATGGGACATGATGGGGGCTTTGTGCTGAGGACTTTGATAGCAAATCTTAACATAACATGTGATACACTAACACACACTGTCTCCTTATTGTCTGTTACACTTTCCATGACAGGTCTTTACATTATATTTGTAAAAAAATATATATTTTTTTTATTTAGCATAAAGTTGATCAAAAGCTATTCAGGTTTTCCTAAAGGACAAAAAGCTTAATTTTTATAATGCATTCATTCATTCATTCATTTTCTTTTTGGCTTAGTCCCTTTATTAATCCATGGTTGCCACAGCAAAACGAACCACCAACTTATTCAGCACGTTTTTACTCAGCGGATGCCCTTCCAGCCATAACCCATCTCTGGGAAACATCCACACACACTCATTCACTACTGACAATTTAGCCTATCCAATTCACCTGTACCGCATGTCTTTGGACTTGTGGGGGAAACCGGAGCACCCGGAGGGAAGCTCCACACAGAAATGCCAACTGCCCAGCGGAGGTTTGAACCAGCGACCTTCTTGCTGTGAGGCGACAGCACTATCTACTGCTTAACTGCGTTAATTGTTATAATAGTTTGGAATATTATCTACAGTACATTATATTCAATTTATGGTATTTTATTAAATATGTGTGTATTTATACATTTTTATAGAAATTATTTTTATATTTCAGCTGCATTAAGATATAAGAACATTGACACTGTCTGAAGAAAAACAGCTCAAGAAAAATATCGAAACAAACTGTTGCATATGTCACCTGATATAATAAAATTAAATAAATTTAAAGCATGAATGTTAAAAAACAAAAGTCAACCAATTTCAATCTGAAAAACCTGATCATCCATTTTATCTTCTATGTGGTGCTTCACATTCTTTCACTGGGTGAGATAGAATGAAACACACTTAATCAAAAGAAAAAAAATAACACTGTGGGTGCCTGATGTACACAATGAATGAAAACAATAGATTGCTTACATGTCGTCACACCCGTGGCCTTTGGCCGCAAGAGCTCTTTGCACACTGTGCTGATTCATTACTAACAGAACTAGATAAAGCAGAGCTGACGCTTCACTTCACTTCACTGGATGGCCTTTTTTCTGCTTTCAAGAGTTTTCCTGAAATGAGACGACTCATACCAAAGAACATGTAGCACAGAACAAAGTTCACAAGACTAATCCAGAAACTAAAGAATAGAGTTTTTCCAACAAACAGGACCTGATGAACTTCAATAACCCTCACAAAGTCCATCCATAGGCCTGAGTCTAAAATTGGTCTGTTGCATAAACAGAAATAAGCAGACACTGTTTCAAACGCGTCAGCCATTTTACTTGCGCTTTCAAATTCACAGCCACTTTGCTGGTGTCTGAATGCTCGTTAATTGTCAAAGCCCCAAAAAGAAAAACAAACAGCCAAAGCCAAAATGCTCAATTAACTGACAATCTCTCCCAAACCACACAATAATCACCAAAGCCTCCAAAACACACAATAAGTCAACAAAGCCTCCAAAACATGTCAAAGCCCCCAAACACATAACTAATCGGCAAAGTCTCCCAAAACAAACAATTAATGGTCAAAGCCTCTAAAATGCACAATTAATCGGCAAAAGTTCCAAAACACGCATTTAGTCAACAAAGCCTTCAAAACGCACAATCGTCGAATCCCCAAAAAACACACAATTGATCAACAAAGTCTCCCAAAAAGAACAATTAATGATCAAAGCCTCCAAAATGCACAATTAGTCAACAAAGCCTCCAAAACGCACAATCAATCATCGAAGCCCCCAAAGTCACACTTATTAATCTTCAAAATCTCCCAAAACGAACAATGGTCCAAAATGCACAATTAATCACCAAAAGCTCCCAAAACACACAATTAATTGGCAATGTCTCCCAAAACGCACAATTAAATCACCAAAAGCTTTCAAACCGCACAATTGATCACCAAAGCCTCCAAAAAACACCATTAGTCAACAAAGCCTCTAAAAAGCACATTCAATCGTCGAAGCCCCTCAAACACACAATTAATCGACAAAGTCTTCCAAAACGAACAATTAATGGTTAAAGCTTCCTAAACGCACAATTAATCGGCACAGTCTTCCAAAATGAACAATTAACCATCAAAAGCTCCCAAAACGCACAATTAATTGCCAAAGCCTCCAAAACGCACAATCAATCATCGAAGCCTCCAAAAACACACAATAATTTGGCAAAGTCGCCCAAAATGAACAATTAATGTTCGAAGCCACCAAAAGAACAGTTAATCGCCAAAGCCCTCAAAACGCACAATTACTGAAGCCTCAAAACATACAATTAATTGACAAAGCCTCTTAAAACGCACAATTAATTACCAAAGCCTTCCATAATGCATTATAATCAGCAAAGCCCCAAAACGTACAATTAATTGTCAATTAACAATATAATGATTGAACTAAAAACAACAATCAATAGTGATATTGTACAATTATTCAGTAAACCCTCCCAAAAATGTACAATCAATTACCAAAGTGTCCCCACATCTACATAGTGGACAACTAATCGACATAGCCACCCAAACAGACATTTTTGAAATCCCACAAAAAGAACAATTAATCATGAAGCCCACCCCCCAAAATCAAATATTAATAGTCAAAGCCTCCCAATTAATCGCAGAAGCTTCCACAACTGACAATAAAATTCAGCCCTAAAAAACAAACAATCAATCATCAAATCCCCTCAAAACAGATAATTAACTGCCAAAACCGACCAAACAATTACTTGGCAAAGCCCCCAAAACACAATTACTCGCCAAAAAAAAAAAGAAAGAAAGAAAGAAAGAGAGAACCATAGACATAGACAATTAATGATCAGGGTATATTTCCTAATCTTGGCAGGCCAAGTCTAACAGCACCAAAAACATCATGTGCCCAGTCTGTACCCAATCTAAAAATGCTCGTACACCCAGGACTTGCCCCAGACTCATCTTTCACGTTGCCGCCCACCCGAAAACAACCCGAGACGATCAGAGCTACAGCTGCTTCATCACATGCCTCTGCCTATTTGTGTCTCCATACTGTCAAAGCACAAACACACACACACACACACACACACACACACACACGCACACACACACACATGCACACACGCACACACGCACACACGCTCACACTCAATAAACAAATGACTTACACTGATTGCACTGAATTGTAAGCTGTGTAATTAAAATATGTCTGATGTAATCAGATTAGATCAGCCTGCATTGTCATTTCGCAATGAAACGCTGCATTGATTGCATTCAGAAGAGCCTGACATTGTGTCTTGTTACCAAATTTCACTGATTAAATGTGTATTTAATGCATTCCTGTAGCCTAATCACTACAATATTGAATTCCAAAGGATTGATCTTCATCACATGACCTTTGACAGTTAGCTTACCGGCTTTATTACAAAACACGTTATGCAAGAACCACCTGCTTGCATTAAAAATATAAACAGCTCTCTTAGCAACAGGCAGGATTTATGCACAGAAACATGGCCTGCTTTTCAATCATTTCAGTTCAATGTGGAAATTAAGGCATAAAAGGGAAGGTTTAGTGTGTCTAGAAGGAATAAATATTGAGTGGGAGTGGGCTGGTTATGTGTGAATATGACAGAAGTAGGTCGGCTGCAGAGCGCGTGGACAGCCAGGAGACAAGGGAATCTGAGCTGGGAGAAACAGGAGAGGGTCTTCAACATGGTATGGCCAACATGCGTCATTCCCTCACATATGACCAGTGCAAACGGCATTCGAGACCTTCAAGAGCGGCAGCATTTGAGTTACTTATTTCAATTACGTGTCATCTTAAGGATGGCTATAAAGTGCTAACTAATGCCTACGTGACTGAATGCAAGCAAGCAAACAAAAACATCAATATTGCTGTGGTAGATAATTGTCCTTTCCTTGCTGTCAGTAAAATAACTAAAAATAAATAAAACATCTTGTGAATCTTACATAACTGGTTGAGAATACATACAGATCTAATTTTACCCAGAAAAAAAATTGTTAAAAGGTCAAAAATGTGTTATGATGAACTTTTTTATTCAAAGAATTCTAAAGAAAGGCATTACAGTTTTAAGAAAAATATAAAAAAAATGGTTTTATTTACAATTAAAAAAATATATATATTTTTATTAACAATTTTTAATAAAACAACCATAAGGTAGATATATTAGGATAATAATAAAAAAGTAATCTTCAGCACCAAATCCTCATATTAGAATGAGTCTGGAGGATCATGTGACACTAGAGACTGGAATAAAAAATAAATCATGAATTGTAATTTAAAACACACAGAGACCCAGAAGGGACGTGACAGTGGGGAAAAAATAAGTGGAAGAAAAAAAAACTGAACTTTAGAAAAAAAAAAAAAAGTGATAGGAAAATATTTATCTTTTAGTTTTTGCGTTCACTTGCAAAGATGTTTTGCATTATCCTGCAAAACAGTTTTCCCACAAACACTTCCTGTTCACTTTACATGTCCATCTTCCAGTTTTTGCCAGGATTCTCCTGTATTTTACCATTCTATCCCACTATCATCCTATCATTAAGTATTTTCCCATATTTCTCATATAGTTTTAAACTTAAAAGCACATTGAAATTAATATAAAAATGTCTAAATTCTTTCCATTAAAGCTGTGTGTCGATCATGGCCCTTCATATGCGGCCTCTGTATAAGCACTTACTGATGGACGCACTCCATATGATAACCAGATCCCAGATCAGCTACTGTGCACGCCATTTAAAGAGAAGTGAAAGTACAGGACACTTTGGGATTCGTGTGCATGTTTAAACAGGCAAATACATTTAATAATATATAAACATGCACATGCACATCCTGCGTGTTTTTTTTAAACACAAATAAATGTCTCTTTAATGAGCAAAAACAGTTTCTATAGTAATCGAGTTCTTTCATTATAGATCTGTGCATTCTTACAATGACACATCTGTTATCAAACAAAACAAGAGAGATTCATTTGCTGCTCTTCACTTGTTTGATAACAAAGATGTCATGTTAAGTGGCATGTACAAAAGCTGATCTGGGATCAGTTTATCATATAGAGCTCGTCTGTCAGTCAGTGCTAATACATGCGTTCACTGACCCAGAGGTTGCATAGAAAGGCCGATGATCGACAAACAGATTTAATGAAAAGAAAGTTTTTATATTAATTTTAATGTGCTTTCAAGATAAAAATATATGAGAAATATGGGAAAATACTTAATCATAGGGTAATAGTGGGATAGAAGGGAAAATATGGGAGAATCCTGGCAAAAACGGGAGGGTGGACATGTATGTAGTGAACGGGAAGTGTTTGTGGAAAAACAGTTTTGTGAGGGAACGCAAAAACACTCTGTCCACTAATCATCTTATTCATCCACTAATTTTTTTATTCTTCCACCCATTTTTTTCCCACCATCACGTCACTTCCAGGTCTCGGTAGAAATAACAGTAAATAACGGGAAAACAATTTAATATTAAATTCATTACATTAATAATACTATAATTAAATAATATTTTATAATTTACTAGTTTACTGCAGTTTATATAATAAACTAGGAATGCACCGATCCTGATACTTGGATTGAACATTGGTTCAATACCACATTTTTTTTTTTTGCTAAATTGGGTATCGGCCAGCTGGTACCGATCCAAATTTGTTCTGTGTAATTTATTAGCCAAAAGTCATGAAGGTAGCCTATAAGGCACTAGAAAGTTGTCATGTAGGCCTACCATATCCCAAATGTTTTGAAGCTATTCTATAGTTTAATGTGAAGCAGAGATAAATATTCAAGTGATTAAATTCATGTTCAATTCAGCGCTTCCCGCCGTTGCGCCTGTCAATCATTCTCCATTCAATCACAATTCAAGCTGCGTGTTGCGTTTATGACGACACGAAAAACTGATTATATAAATAATCAGTGTAGAAATGCATTTAGTTTTGCATTAAATGGGTTCAATTTGACTTGCAACAAAGAGTTAATTGCTTAAATCAGCAGATCGCATTAGCAACACTGGAGAGGATTATTACCTGCTCTTCACACACAAAGTTGGCCTACCTGAAATGATCAATTAGAAAAGGCTCATAAAACATTGGAGAGATCCTCAACGCACTGATTTCTTCCCCTTGTGCTGCTAATTTTTGAAAGTGTCCGCAGATACTGGAGGGCTGCTCGATTCATCAATCACTTCATTCATGCACTGGGTGTGCAAAATTATTCACACAATGAGTTTCTGTTCTCTCATCCATCTGACTTAGTTTTTTCTTCTGAGGGGAATACTTTGAGTGCGGTGAATAGTTTGTAAAGCCTGGCTCCTTGTGGTTAAAGTAGTTGATTAAATGAATAAAAGTTAAACTGACGGGTCCAATATGGATTGTCATTAACAGAAAATGATTTAGCCTAATATAGGCTACTCTGAAACTGAATATATCACAGTAATTGTATTTACATCAATATAGTATTTAACAGACCAGTTTGGGGTTTGGCGCTGAAGCATATAAGCAGACCTTGTTTTGAACTTCACCTCAAATCTTCTTGTTTATTTTGTATATAACTCCACCAAAATTAAGATACAAACTATACCAAGTGAAATTTGTTTCAACAACATAATTTTTCTAAAATAAATGCAGTATTGGTGAGCAAGAGACATTAATACAAATGCTCGTTTGAGTCAATGCAAAACATTTTTATGGAGCAGTAAAAAATCAGTTAAAAAAAAATTTAATCTAATTTAGTTTTTTGTAGTTAAACCGTGGAAGGTGATTAATGTTGCATTATACACAATGCAAATTAGCTTCATGAAAGCAACATAAAGTAACATATTGTCACGTCAGGTCACGTCAAATGCATTTAAAAATCCAAATATAATGTATTTTCTGTATACCATTGCTGGAGGGGGGTTGGTGTTCTCACTTTAAATTTAGCCAGCATGTGATCCACTGATAAAACTATTATCTATAGAAAGAAAAGTCTCTCACCAAGCTGACTGAGGTCCAGCAATGACCAGTGCATTCCTGTAGAGCAGCTGGCTGATAAAGTGCGAATGTGGACACGACCGTAGTGATCTAAACCCCACAATGCATCACGACAGGCCGAGAGCTGCATCATCTCCACGTCTGGGGGAAACTGAATAGTAAAGGGTCGCATCTGAAGGTCCTGGTCCCAAATACAGAACAGGTCTTTCCTGCTCTGACCTAACCAAAGGAAACTGCCTGTGGAGACAAATTAACATGAATGATGATACAGATTTGAACTGTGCAGCCAAAGAGCAATAATATTTTTACTGCTTCTGCCAGACAACAAATAATGAACAGCTGTAAGTTGAAGCGAAAGACAGGATTATTACTGTACGGACCCTCTTTGGCTGGAACAGCAGAGGAGAACACAAAGGCCCATTTAGTGGCAGAGGCAGTTCCTCTGGGTACAGTGCTCCTCCAATATGTCCCTGGATTAAAATGAACAATTAGTTATTTTCAGACATCCACTTTGATGTGAGGAGATTAAAATATGAGCACATCTCTAGTTTAAAAACAGTAAAAACACATTTTATTTTTGATAACTCGGCCCGTATGGGATCTGTGTGCACAGAAATGCACAGATTTTTAGCCTATCATTGATAATTTATTTGTGTAAATAAATATGTGAAAAAATGTTATTTTGATTTATTTACAATACAGCTTGTAATGTAATATTGTCTGTCTTTTAGTGGATATATTACATGAAAGACTTGCTTAGTTTACCAAATAAGTTGATCTAATTGGATTTGCATCATAAACATTAAATAAAAGTTAAAAAGGTATTATTTTTTTACTTTATATTTAAGTTTTTAGTTACGATACTCCCCAAATCATTATAAAGCATAAATCCACAGATTTATTTTATTTTATTTTTTTACAAAATTCTGCACAGAAATAGCAAAAAATATCTGCAGATTCTGTCTGGCCGTACTCTAACTTTTGAAGAGAAAGTGCACAGACATTGAGTAACTGAACCTGTGTGCATGGGTTGATTTTACACATGCAATCAAATAGACAGCCATACTGGGATTTTTAGCAATCTTATAAAAATGTAAAATTTTCTGAATATTTAGAAGAAATCTTGGCACATTAAATATATGAAATACATAAGCAAACATTTATATATATTGTTTAATGTTGTTCATTCATTCATTCATTCATTCATTCATTCATTCATTTTCTTGTCGACTTAGTCCCTTTATTAATCCAGGGTCACCACAGCGGAATGCATCGCCAACTTATCCAGCACGTTTTTACACAATGGATGCCCTTCCAGCCACAACCCATCTCTGGGAAATATCCACATACACACACACACAAACTCATACAATTTAGCCTACCCAGTTTACCTGTACCACATGTCTTTGGACTATAGGGGAAACCGGAGCACCTGGAGGAAATAAGCGAACGAAGGGAGAATATGCAAACTCCACACAGAAACGCCAACTGAGCCGCGGTTTGAACCAGCGACCCAGCGACCATCTTGCTGTGAGGCGACAGCACTACCTACTGCGTCACTGCATTGCCCCGTTTAATGTTGTATACATATAAAAAGGTTTTCAGACTACCATTTATATAAGTTTATTCAGGGTTAAGAACAAATTAGAAATTTTATATTAAAACAAAAAAGAACTTTAACATATTAATCATAACAGTATGACATTGCCAGATATCTTTTCTGACATTTTAGTACAGATGAAAAGTAAAAACTAATATTACGGTTTTAAGCATTCTGTGTTGTTTTGATAGACACCATAATGAATGAAAATCTCTGAATGATTACTTGAAAACCTTTTAAAAAACAGTTTGATTTCCTTTCTAAGTGACAAACAATGCCAGTAACTAGTGCAGCCTGCTGTGTTTACAGGATAACCCTGGAAACTGCTATAGTTACACTGTTCTATTACCACCAACAACAGTCAGTGCCAATTTACATGTGATTCAGCTTAGCCTTCAATTGTTCTATCTAACATTTATTTTGGAGATGTTTGCTGTGCAAAGACAACTTTTATGCAGATTAGAGGCACTGTTGATAACATGAACTGGTTAAAGACATGCAATTAAAAAGCATGTGCTCATCTGCAGCATTTTTAATATCTGTAGCATTTTTAAAAATCCAGAAATCCTGGGAGGGCTGAATTGAATTAACTACAACTGAAAGGCTGTGGGGCGACGAAGTGGCGCAGTACGTAGTGCTGTTGCCTTACAGCAAGAAGGTCGCTGGTTCGAGCCTCGACTGGTTCTGTTGGCGTTTCTGTGTGGATATTTGCATGTTCTCCCTGCATTTGCGTGGGTTTCCTCCGGGTGCTCCTTTTTCCCCCACAAGTCCAAAGACATGCAGTACAGGTGAATTGGGTAGGCTAAATTGTCTGTAGTGGATTGTTGTGAATGGGAGTGTGTGGATGTTTCCCAGAGATGGGTTGCGGCTAGAAGGGCATCCGCTGTGTAAAACATGTGCTGCATAAGTTGGCGGTTCATTCCGCTGTGGTGACCTCTGATTATTAAAGGGACTAAGCTGAAAAGAAAATGAATAAATAAATGAATGAATGAATGAATGAATGAATGAATGAAAGGCTGTGATCCATGATGTGCATCATGTTCTGTAGTACTTTTCAAAAAAAAAAAAAAAAAAAAGCTCAAAGTTTTATACCAATAAGGCTGCCTTTGGCAACGTGGAACTCATTACGTCCAGACGCAATCCAGACACCACTAATGTTGACACTGATAAGGCTGGGTTGGCACTGGGAGTGCTGGGAGAGGAAGGCCACACGCAGACGTTCAGCTACCCGCTCTACTGGAGCTCTGGTGACAGTGGCCACAGTCTGAGTGGCCTGGATCAGAGTCTGGAAAAGACTGCCCTGATCAAACACCACATAGTCTGTGATGCTCACCTAAATAAAAACCGAAGGACAACAACTTTATCAAACTTTGTAGTTTCACAAGAATTATGTAAAGAAATTCAAACCTTTTCTCACAAGAAACAACCGTTTTAGCCTTGAAATTGGAGCTCTTGCAATAATTAGCATTTTTACACCAAAAATGTGTGATTTGTCTACAGAGAGGGTGTTAAACAACTCGCTGTAAAAACTGATCAGCTCTGGAGGAGGATATATAGTGCATTTGAATGTTACAATATGTACCTGCCACCAGTGGTCATCTTCACCCTGGGGTTTTTTAGCAGTCACCCCTGTCCTGAACCATAGGTTTCCACTGGTGTCCAAAGCCCAGACAGTGTTGTTCTCACCCAGAGCAATACAGATAGGCTCCAGACCTTGGCTCTCACTATGGACACACACATGCAACAACTCAATGCTCTCAGGGTCCAACAGGCCATATATAAGCCATTCACTAATTTTGTGGTCCTCAACTTGTAGATTGTGACCCAAAATGAGTTGATCTATAAACAAAACAATGCTATATGCAAACAATAAAATGCAACTACTGTAACTCTATATTTGTACATTGCTATAATAATAAGATAAATAGGCTTAATCAAACTCAAACAAATAGGTCAACAAGATGTAGTCATTCAATAATGATTAACAGACCTATTTAAAGTAACAGGCAAATGTCCTAAATTAAAACAAATGAAAAAGTGTCAACTTTGCTTTAAAACAAGACTGTTGAGTTTTTGAGAAACCTTTGAATAAATTACTCCAACTTGATAAGTTACTACTTGCATAAGTGATATCAAAAACTAAATTCACTTTAATTTACAATGTCCTGGGGACACGTTACATGTGGTAACAACAGTGAATTTTGCGCTAAAGTTTAGTTTAAATGCGCTAAACTAAAATGTAACCTCATTGTAAGTACATGTAATTCATTAATATTACATGTACAACTACAAGCATCCATGAGATACAAATTATAATGTATTTAGGAACATTATTGTCTACTTTTTCAAAAGCTGTTATGCTATCCAGCTATTTTAAGAGCTGATGCATACTTTGGTAACTTAAATGTGCAAAGCTTCAATTTGTATATGCATTGATATCCCAAGCTGGTATTTGCTATCATATTTAACTAAGTCAAGTGAGCTTTACTGTCATTTAGCTGGATATGTAGACATACAGAGAAGCAGTGTAAAGTACATCCTCTATGCTACATTTATGAAAGCTGCATATACTTTACATATTGGATTATCATGATAATAAAGTTTTGAATTGTATGATAAAATACAGTAGAAACATAGTTTACTCCACAGTAATTTACACATTCAATGAAAAAGCTTGGCATTGCAAAATAAACTGGATAGAACCTTTATCCTGGATTAAATGGCAACCTGACTCCCATGTAAAATCTGGGTGCTGAATTAAACCTATTAGAGAATGGTTGCTTTACTTTTAGCAAGCTGCTAACAGAAAATGAGGCTGATAAACATACCTGACAGTGTCATACTTCCAGTGCTCCCCCTCTGCACAGTAGCTGTTGAGACCCTCTCTGTAAAACACACCCCTCTGCTCGCTCAGTGCCCACACCACACCGCCCCGTGCTGCCATCTGTGCCATGGGACACGGACAGTCCACCTTCACTGACCTCGCACATGGCCTGTCCGCACTCAGCCCTGAAGACACACATGCACAGTGCTAATCCAGCTGTTTTACACTTCTAGTAAAGGTTTCAATTCACAGTTAACCCAGAAACTGCCAATAGTGGGTTAATAATAATTAGTTTTTTATGTTTATCATGTATTTATTATAGTTTTAAGGATTTAGGATAGAGGTAATACACTTTTAAAGGTGTCTTTTGTTGCACATAATTAATTTGTGTCTGTAGAACTCAATTATATACTATTTTTAAAGGCCATTTTCTCATTTTTTCTCCTGCACTAAGCTTTAAATTTTCACTACAGCAGCACATGTATTCTGAAAGCTTAAACGGAGGTATAAGTTCATAACACAGTTTAGATTTGGTATATAATTTTTCCTTACCTTTATGTACACTTTTTTTCTAGTTCAGTCTTTTTGAATTATATCTCAAAACACCCTCTGTTAAAAACATTTGACTGTCAAAAAAAGAGCAAACAAGAATTTTGAACTTGATTTTATCTGGTGTTCATATTTTTGTGCTATAAACGTATGCAAATTGGTGTATATTTAATCAGATAATGTCTATTGTGCATATCTAACACTTTAGAAACAGCGTACTACAAAAATTTTTGCATTCAACAGTCTATTGGGGATGTACAGTGACAATCATTAGTTGATTCATTTTCCCAATTCACCTGCATTGCCTTGCCTTAACAGAGCTGCAGGTAACAGGTAAAGCGAGAATGAGTCTAGCCTATTATATTCTTCATTATTGCATAATGCAAAAGCAGTGTTTAGCCCAAAGTTGCATGCCACAGGGACAAAAGAATTTGTGACAAGGACACACCTACAATGATTATACAAAAAAATAGCATGTGATTTTACTTTTGCTTTTGTTATATTGGAAATATTTAAAGAAATACTTTTTTCAAAAACGAAAGTGTAATTTAAATAAATCACACAATAAATTTTGGGAGGGTTCGTCCATTCAATTACACTGTTGTACTGAAGTCAGTTAAATTCAGTGTCCAGTAAATCTGCAAACTTTTTTCATCAAGTACCACCTCAGAAAAAATGTGTCTCTCCAAGTACCATCATAATGAGCAGTATTAAAATACAGTAGCGTAGTAAGCCCAGTAAAGCAGCTACAGTTCTGCACAGTTCAAAAACGTGGCAGATTAATTCCGATTATTAAGAACATTTATTATTGTCAGCCACTTTAAACATACTGAACGTTAACACGTGTACTGTGCTTATATGTAAAAAAAACTAACTAAAAACGTCAACATTTAAATTAAAATGTGGTTAAGGTCAAAAGAAAAGTGCTATACTTAAATGTAAAGTATAAACATATATTAGCCAATTAATCAACACCTGAAAATGTTGCCAGGACCTCGTAAATATATAGGCTATGTGTCATATAATGAATATTATTATATGTCATATTCATATATAAATTATTTTTGATAAATTTTGAAATATACATAGCATGTACATATGACATATTTGATTCCTCCACAAGAAGGAAGTCCGCGTACCACAGTTTGAGAACCACTGCTGTAATAATTTTATTAGGGTTTGTAGTGCTTATGCACATTGTTATTATTTCGACGCTTTGGCATAAAAAAACGTAAATAGCCTTTTAAGATTCATGGAAGAAATAAAATTTCAGAATGTTAGAAATAACATGGTTCTGGAACAATATATGTAAGTAGACAATGAGTTATCTTTTGAACAAACAGAATGATGTACTTTTTAAAGACATACAGCACCACACAGTGGTCAAACAGTGCAATAACAGGAAGCAGATTTCTCACTGTGGTCTGTGGTGATGTGTCATTTCTTTGAAGTAAATATACATTTTTACTTCAAATAAATATTTTCTAAATATACACAAATTTATGGTTAGCATCTGGTTCAGGTAATGTTAAGAGTTTTGAGATGGGGACTTTTTGTCCAACCAGTAGACTATCTTTGCATTTTTTTAATGTTTTACTCGATTACAATCTTTTCATGATTCTTAAATACATATTGCATTGCAATGTGAGGTTTTCTCTCTCATACCTGTCTGTATGTACAGGTCTCCATTAGTACGAATAATCCAGGCAGTGTCATCACCAAGTGCCACGAATGCGGTGTCATCCAGAGCTTTGTACCAGTGTCTCTTTCCCTTGATTGTCACTTTCCCACAAGCGTACGCAGTCATGGTCTTCTGCTCCACCTTCCACAACAATGAGCCTAAAAGCCCACCATAGTCAGATCAAAATGATACTTTTGTACTAAACAAAATTTAAGTAATAACTCAAATAAACATTAATGTTGCTGACTATGTTTGGTATCAACAGATTTTGAAGAAAATCTCTTATGTTTATTCATTTGGACAAAAATATAGTAAGAATGTAAGATTTCAAAATATTATTGCAGAATGCAGACCTCGCTGACTGCTTTGTATTGTTTGTTAGTACAATTTGGGACAATGCTGTAAACTGCTTAGTCGAGGACACCGTGTACTAATAATTGATATGTTTATTTAACATCAAGTGTTTGCCCTTTACCTGATGGAGACAGAGCAACCTGATGGACATTCTCCTCAAATTTCTGCCAGTTCAAGCCACCGTTAGAAAGACCACTACAGAAAAGGCCTCCTTTAAAGTCCAGACACCAGATGTACCTATCAGTCACCACTAGACTGAGGATGCCACAGCCAGGCCCACTATAACCCATCCAACTTTCAGCCAACTGCAAACCAAGGAAAAAATAAATACTTCATATCTGTAAATGTAAAATAAGTATATACACATATTATTTCCCAACAATTAAACATGATCTGTTTTCATTTCCTGCAAATAAATGCTCTAAACAATAACATTATTATTTGACACATTATCAATATTTATAAAAATAAAAAATCACAAATGAACACTGAACAAGTGGCCTCTTCATCTACTTTTCTAAGCTATATATGGTTATTCATAAAGACTGTCAACAACATATACACTACCATTCAAACTACCATTTTGGGGTTGGCCAAGTTTTTTAAATATTTTATTTATAAAGCTGCAATGTGTGCATATACCTTATGCATATGTCTGTCTGCATACTGCAAGACGAGGGCGCAAGAAGAAGGGGCATAACTTGTATTAAGTTAAAGGCGTAACTTGCAGTTATTGAGATCCCATTGAACCATGCGAGATGTCACAACGAGATGTTCTTGGCAAGATGGCGGAAATACTAACCTGAGAGCATATTAATCAAATGTTTTATGAGTTTTCTTCAAAATTATCCACAACCAATTTATTTGATGTATTATTATATTCATTCATTTACTATGATGGTTGGGTTTAGGTGTGGATTAGGTGTAGCCGTTAATAACTGATGTACAGCACCATCTTGCTGACAACATAGTTTTGACATGCTCCTACACCTCTAACATACTACAAGCCCCTAAGGCCCCTTCATGCTACGCCCGTCTTGCAGTCCGCAGCCAAACCCTACTGACATATACTGGCAATGCATTTCAGGCCTTTTCCAATCGCAGCCCCTTAGTCTGTCTTCATCTTCATTTCCGATCTAGCTACTGGTCCTGTCATAATAAAAGCAAAAGGACTAAAAATAAATATTTAAAAAGGTTACAGTAGCACCATTTAAATATGGCACCTGAAGTAATTCAGTAGAAAATTTAGCTCCATCATTATACTGTTATTGTTTTTACCCTCATTTTCATGATACATATGAAATCTCTTTTAAAACTCTTTTAACAGTAGTGTATATTACACAGCCTTATAAATTGTAAAGGTAACCAAGTAGGTCTCTTAATTGGATATGCTCTCTGACCTGGTCAGCTTTGAGGAGCTGTGTCTCTTCATCCTCCTTCTGCTCAGCAGATGAGCTCTGCAAGCTCAGAGCATTCAGTCCATCCCCAAGACTTGCACTGGATGGAACTCCATGAGCATAGATGTCCTCCTCGTCACTAGATGGCGATGGCTCAGGCTCAGGGGAGTAACCCAGCGGCCTAATGGGATCATAAGACAAGTCCAAATTAAAGTCCTCATGTAAACTCTGCTTAAAATGTTCCTCTGAATCCTCCAGGACGTCTTTGTGCTCCTTCACATATTTCTTCATGATGTCCTGCTCGTCAGATGCCTGCATGTACGAGAAGGTACATTCCAGCAGCATGTCTACATCAGGTGTAGCTGCGATTTGCTCATTTTCAGCAAACACATTTTCACTGTACAACTGACACTCCATGTCTAGTGTCAGAGACGCGGGGCAAGGTGGTGAGGTCTGTGCTGCTTGGTTAACTGCAACCAGACATGGCTCTTGGTTCAGCAAGGGCTCTGATGGGCTCTGAATGGGAAAGGCATCTGAACTGTGGTATTCTCCATCCAGGTCAAGGCTGCTGCAAAGGAGGCTGGTGTGATCAGAAGGTGGTTCACTCATGGGTGTGTTCAGAACGTCACTGCCTGCACCGTCCTGGCTGAAAATGCTCTCCGACCAACTGCTGCGCTCGTTCATGCGATTCCCACTCTCTACAGTTACACAAAAACATGGCGAACATCAGTGGATTGATATAATCAAATTTATACACCACATCATTTGATATTACTGAGGCTCTTACTAGAGGTCACTTGCAATAAAATAAAACCCATACTGATTTTTATTTTGTTTGTGTCCATTACTGGAGAAGCTGAGAAAAGTGTGATGATATTATACAGTACAAATGTAGATGCAAAATCACTGGTGACTCTGTGTCTTTTTAAACTCATAAAACTTTACAGTGTGCAGAACGAGACAACAAGTTGTTCAATCTTAAAATAATGTCTCTAAAATAGTTGTAGAACAACTCTTGAATAGATGAAATCTACTGCTCTTGTTCTTGTCCTGCTGTTGTCTAAATTCAAGCTTGCAACTTTAGGTATTCAGGCTGCACCACTCACCCCCTGCCAGTGGAACCATCCAGAGCAGGGGTGTCCAAACTCAATCCTGGAGGGCAAAGTTTCCTGCATAGTTTAGCTCCAACCCCAATCAGACACACCTGGGCTCTAAAGCTCTAAAGCTGCGGTCACCCACTTTTCTTGCCATTGATTTCCATTCATACGGACGCGAATGCATCAGACCGGAAACGCAAGCTTGTGCGACAAGTTTCACAGTTAGCTGCATTGCAAAGTTCAGGCTAGGTGAACTCGGACCTGCGAAATCGCATCACTTGACTGTGTAAGACCAATCGAAGATCAAAACATGAACTCTCTGGACAGAAATTTAAAATATGAACAAATCGCTTCCTTTTTAAATGTCTAATTATCTTGTTTAATCCCGTTCCTTTTCGCAGCGCCATGTGACCGCAGCTTTACTAAGTTTTCTAGAAACATCCTTGCAGATGTGTTGAGACAAGTTGGAGCTAAAATCTGCAGGACATCAGCCCTCCAGGACCGAGTTTGGACACCCCTGATCTAGACATATATAGAAATGCCTATTAGTGGAACAGCGCAATCTGCTTTATAACATACATCACATATTTTAATCATAGCCTAGATGGAGTTAGCCAATAGCTAAATCAAAATCAACACCTTGGCAGAGCCAGCAAAGAAACCAACGACAAAGATAGGGGGATCGGACACGAGCCCGACCAAGAATCAATATCAGTCAGGCGTATATTGTGTCTACTTCAGATCTGAACGGTTAACATTATTCAGATTAAAAGGCTCAGTTACTTTATATCCTTATAAACGTATACATTATGTTTACAGGCTACTTCACCTGGTTCATGGACATGGTTTCCAAACAGGGTTTCTGCATTCACCAGATCCATAAGCTTATTGAGAACAAATTCTTATGTATTGTGCTACCTATTGGGAAGCTTAAACAACTACAGATTCACAACACTGATATCAGGCAATTAGCAGGCTTTTCAACCACATTGGACACAGTACCCACTCACTTTCTCCCTGTAATCGCAATTTCAAACTGATAACACTGACCAGACTGCGGACCAGATCCTATTACTTGCACTCCCGGCAGACAAGTTAGTTATTGCAGCCTCATGATCAATACATCATCTCATCTATAGACCATATTGACATAATTTTCCATACTGGGCAAGTGCCAATGATTACATTTAGGAAAGGCATTATTGAATGATTGTTCATTAATGTTACTATTCTTTCTGCGAAATCTGCTTTTGTCTGATCTCAACTGCTTACCTTGTCGTCTCCTCTTGCCTTTCTTCTTCAGCTTGATGGCCTTGACCACAAGCTCCTGCTGGAAGTCTTCCTGGGTGATGGTGCTATATCTGCTGGAGGAGAGCTCTGAAGCAGAGGCCTCAGTGGTGGTGAACATGCCCTGCGCACTGTCCCATGAAGTGATAGAGCTGCTGCGGCTGCGGGACTCTACTGTACCTAGACTGGCCCGCTGCTGCTCCAAGTCCTCTGCCACTTCCAGAGCCTCAACCGCATGACTGAACTCCTCAAGATGCTGCTCTTCCTGCACCTCCTCTGACTCCTCTACCCCATCATGCACCTCTTCTGAGCTGGGACTGGCCTGAGTGTCCTGCTCCGTGATGATAGGCATAGTTCTGATTGGTTGAGCGGTTTCCACAGCCCCATTAGGAGGCAGCAAAATCGTGGGAGGGGAAAGAGGAGATGTAAAACGGTAGGAGTGGTCTGATACTGAGGAGGAAAAGAAAAGATAGTTATGACACAGTGGCTCTTAACTGTCAAGTAATATTTAAATATGGTTTTCAAACAAAATTTGAACATAAGAGGTTTCTTGACACTATTGGTATTAATAGAATTCCTTAATGGATTCATTCTACAATTCATTAATGGAGTCATTTACAATTAATTTCAACTTGAAAGCATAATTCTATAAAAATCCAGCTTGGTTGCTGATACTATTCAGTACTTTATGCCATCTTGAACATAAATCAATTAATGTCACCTACATTTTGGGGCCATCAATGGCAGATTTTAGATTTTACTTTAACAGCACAACATTTTATTTGCATTAATTATGAACAAATGTTGCTTTCACTACACTACTAGCAAGACATTTAATATTATTCAAGTGGAAAAGAGTAGACCCTCCAACACACACTGGCTGGATAAATAAAGTGATGCCTTACATTCAATTGGAAAAGATTAAATACATGACTCGAGGCTCGAAATGCAAGTTCCTAGACAAATGGTCCCCCTTTATTAAACACTTTGAAGAACTCCCTGGCCTTTAGAATACATTTATTTTATTTATTTATTTATGTTCTGTTATTTAAAAAAATGGCAAAAACATACTGACTTTTGAGCAGTAGTTTACCTGGTAAGAAAATAAATATCAACTTTTCTTGAAATCCAGAAAGCTTGTTGTTGAACCAACAACAATATCTTGTTGTTTAATATTGCTGATTAAAAACACTGCAGTTATTAACGTGCCAAGGGCAAAAGTGCCTTTTCCTTAATATCAGAGTAGTGCTGATAGAGCGAAGTGAATGACAAAACTGCCATTATGGCATCAGAACTGCAACTCACAGTTGGAAACCAATCCCTCAGGGCAATTTGAGATCCTCAAAATGTCCCGGTCTCCTTTCAGAATGAAAATTTCATTCTCAGTGCATGACACAGACACTATATCTCCGCTGCTTTCCAGTCCTCCAATGATGACCTTAGTAAGTAAACAAAACGACAGCCCAAATCATTCTATTATTCCATTATCAACATTTCAATTATGCAAATAAAATAAATCCAAAAGTGTCCATTCACACCTGATTGGTGCAGTCCACAACATAAACACTATATTCGTTCCAGCTGAGGACCCAGCCCTCCTTCAGGAAGCAGCTGATCATTCCTAACTGTCTTTCTGAAGGTCTGTATCCACCAGTGGGACCTGAGCGTGGGAACAGCTCAAAGTGAGGTACATCTTGATTAAAAAGGGGCTTTAAGACATGAGTCTCCCCGACACGTCCTCGCACATCTGTCCTCCACAGACGTAACCCCGGCCTCGCTGCATAAACCACCAGATCACTCTGCTTGCACAGAGCTGGCTGGAAGCAGGCTCCAAACTTGCCATTGCTACAAAAATGAAGACACATATCAAAAATGGAGCTTAAACTCAGTAGTTCAACCCTGACGAAAATAGATCTCTTTCATGTTATGATGAACTGAAGATGCTGTACCTTTTACGTGGTTTACTGCCCAGCTGCTGATGCGACTGCTCTTGTGTGTAGAAAAGCATTGAGCGTTGATAGGATGAAACCAGAAGTACCTTTTGACTATATTCTAACTGTACTATTGCTGAAGGCTCTTCGAAGAGGACCACTGGATTACAGACTCCCTAAAGAAACAATGTACACATATATTCAGAGATTCAGTCATAATACAGTAACTCAAAGTTGTTAACATGACCTTATAATCCTGTCTTAAATCTTTCTAATTCCATCCAAGGTCAAAAATACTTTTATCCTAATATTTATAGCATCATTGCCTCTCGCAGTGCCTGAAACAGTTCCAATCAATTCCTTATTAAAGGCTTACTTGGTCCAGGTCCACAGCAGAGTACACCACCTTCCCTTTATCATCACCAGAGAAGAGTTTCATGCCATTAGCACTCCACGCTAATGCAGTAATTGTGCTTTTGTGCAAACCCACCACATCAAACCTTCTCAGCTGCAACAACACAACATAACCACATTATCAATTCGACAAGTCTATCAATGCTTTTCCTCGACAGACCTTAAATAAAGTTATGCAATAATATACAGAATAATATTACTGATGCTGCATATAAATTTATTATTGATATGTATAATAAATAATAATCAATACAATCTATATGAGAGTTTTTCAAAACCCCCAGTTTTGGAGTTAGGGAAAAATCCAGTATTAATTAAAATAAATAAAAATATAGAAGTATATGATATATAAATTAATAAATAGAGTACCATAATAAGTAAAAAAAGGAATTCAATAGAAATAAAATATTAAATCAGCTATTTAGTTAATGAAAGTCTTAACTGAAAACTGTAATGAGAGATGAAACCTGTACCTGTTTATTTCTTCCAGGCAATGGTGACACAAGCTGAAAGAAAGCAACCCGGCCTGATGCTGTCCCAACAGCCACAAGATCATCAAAACAACTCAGCAACTTCACTGCAGTTATAGCCTCACATTTGCCCTATTAAAGAACATTATAAAGAAGTATTGCACAAAATCACAAGATCAACAGTGTGTGCAGAAAAGAGAAGAGGAAGCGGAAAGCAGACTTACCTCTAAATTGTATTTGTTCATCTGACTTACTCTTCTGCAGTAGAGGTACAGCATGCCGATGCTGCTGCCAATGGCTATATAATCACTGTTGCTGTCCAGTGCAGTCAAGTAGACCAGCACTGAACGGAAACCTTTCTGGACTTTAGCAGGGATGGCATTGAGAAGATAGTAGAGCGGGCAGAACTCCCTCAAGGGCAGCGCTGCTGGATTGGTGGCCATGATCACCCGTGGATCTGTGCTCCCAATGCTGCGCAAATCTGTACATAAAAATGATCAGAATACTAGATTATTTAACGTTTATCCTCTGTTGATCAATAAAAGAGGTTGCTGTGTTTTATTGCTTATTTCAATCATGTGGACAGACAGAAACAAAGCTAGTTATGGATCTTTCCAACATCACATGTCCAAACATCTGTTTAGTGAACTAAATAGTGAACACACCCACAAGTCAATATTAATAACATTAACCACGCCTCAGATACAACACAACAGAGCATATTACCATATTTTTCAACATTCATCGTGCTAAACACGGTAATGCAGGACAGTACGCTTTCAACCGGTATATTTACGGGTTGGAATAAATAACAAAGGCTATAACACAACAACTATCGTATACAGTTAGCTGTACTGACAGATGGGTAACGTTGGGTTTTCTAGATAGCACAATCTACGCTACAATTTACGCTAGCTTTTCAGTTTTTGTTGCAGTAAAACTTACCAGCGGGAAACGTTTACATTGATTCTGAAGCCTACAGGGTTTTATAGTTAATAAAAAGGCTATCTGTTGACATTTTTGCTGCTTCCGCTGACAGACCGCTCTCTTGTTGACAGGCTCGTGTGTTTTCTTCGCTCTGTTTGGGTTGAAACAGAAACGTGACGCCAGCGACACCTGCAGGAGCGAAGCCACTTTATCAGGTACACCTTGCTAGTATCGTTTAAATATTATTCCTCCTACATAGTGCTTTACTTCCTTATTAAACCGATAGACAAGGTGCTGCAAATATTCATTATAGGCTTTGCTCAATATTGACATATTCCGCAGATTTGTTGGCTTTAGCTACATCCAAGGGGTGACTGTGGTTAAGCACAGTGAACTCATTAAAGGATAGTTCACCCAAAAATGAAAATTTACTCATTATTTACTCACTCTCAAGTAGTTATAAACCTTTATGAGTTTCTTTATTCTGTTGAACACAGGACAATTTTTGAAGTAGACTGATAACCATTGACTTCCATAGTAGGCTAGGCAAAACAGTCAATGCGTTTAGAGCTTTCTTTGAAATGTCTTCTTTTGTGTTCAACAGAAGTAAGAAACCCAGACAGATTTGAAACAAGTGGAGGATGAGTAAGTGATGACAGAATTTTCATCTTAACTATTCGTTTAATGACGGGTTTAAGAAACCAGTCATAGTCGATTTGAGCTTTGTGACATGGCACATTAATCTGCTATGATTAGTTGTGTTAAGACGAGCACACACATGCCGTCATTGAGAGATGGACATGGTCAGCAATAATTCTCAATCAGGATCTGGTGTTTAAACAATGCTCAATAGAGGCCACTGTGATAAAGAGGCCAAAGTGAGCAAGAAAAATACCCTTCTGACATTCATCTTACAGTTGATACAGTAGGGTGGCTTCATGCTTCAGTGTTGTCCAAATTTTGACCATATCATCCGACTATTGCTCTGCAGGCAACATTATTCTCATATTATATCGTTTAATTTTTGGTAAAGCATGAGTGAGTTTGTGCCTCGGTCATCCCATACTCTTCTTCTGCTGCTTAAGGTCATTTGCCTGAAGGTTTGACATATTGTGTATTCAGATATGTTCTTCTGCAGACCCCAGTTGATTGACTGATTGATTGATTCATTTTATGTCTGGCTTAGTCCCTTTATTAATCCGTGGTTGCCACAACGGAAAGAACAGCCAACTTATCCAGCAAATGTTTTATGCATCAGATGCCCAACCAGCAGCAACCCATCTCTAAGAAACATCCATTCACACTTATTTACACTCATACACAACAGACAATTTATAGCTCACCCAATTCACCTGTAGGCTACCGTATGTCTTTGGACTTGTGGGGGAAATTGAAGCACGCGGAGGAAACCCACGTGAACGCGGGGAGAACATGCAAACTCCACACAGAAAGCCCAACTGACCCAGCTGAGGCTCGAACCAGCGACCTTCCTGTTGTGAGGCGACAGCACTACTGCGCCACTGCGTCGCCTGACCTCAGTTGAAATGAGATGTTATTTCTTTTTCACAGAACTGCAGTTTGCTGGCTAGTTTTCTTTTGTCACCATTCATTAGCAATGGTCATTTATGAAAATTACAATAGATCAGACTTTTCTGACATTCTATTATAACAATTTTTATTAATCAGTTAATATAGTCAAATATTCTTTTTTTTTACCAATATGTTCATTCATTCGTTCATTTTCTTTTCGCCTTAGTCACTTTATCAATTAGGGGTCGCCACAGCAGAATGATCCAGCAACTTATCCAGCATGTTTTTATGAAGTGGATGCCTTTAATTCAAGCTGCAACCCAACACTGGCAAACACCCACACACACTTGCATTCACACGCATACACCACGGCCAATTTAGCTAATTCAATAAACCTGTACTGCATGTCTGTGGGGGGAACCGGAGCACCTGGAAGAAACCCACACAAACACGGGCATAACATGCAAACTCCACACAGAAACGCCAACTGACCCAGCCGGGGCTCGAACCGGTGACTTTCTTGCTGTGAGGTGATTGTGCTACCCACTGCACCACTGTGACGTCCACCAATATGGTCCACCTAGAATATTTAGATATCAGTTTTTTAAACCAACGTTACAGTTCTTCTATAAAATGAAATTATGTGCATCTATAATGAAATAATGATATTATCAGTGTATGGATGTATAATACTTGGAGAGTTACAAGAGGTATCAGCAGAAATGTCAGTATGTAATTCATTAGCTCTGATATGCATACAAATGTAGGCTATAGAAAAAGACAACTAGGGAGACAGTCATTGATTTAAAATTAACAAGCAGTAACATTCACAGATCATGTTAATCATACAATTAACTCTCTGACAAGAATATTTGCTTGATGGACAGGGGATGAACATTATGATAAAACACAATGTACTGTATCTGCTTACTGAGTCTGCAGGCAAAAACACAGATCAATGCTATTTCCAATCATTATTTAAGCACAGCATGATCATCTACTAGAACATAATGTTGTTGCATGCTGTATGCTATACGTCAAGTAAAGTATATGTGAATTTAGAATTTATGTGTTGGGAAAAAAATATTGGGAGAAAAGTGTACTTTTGCAACTTTAGAATATATTGTAATTTATTTATTTTCCATTTGGCTATATTATTCATTTTCTTGTCGGCTTAGTCCCTTTAATAATCTGGGGTCGCCAAAGCGGAATGAACCACCAACTTATCCATCACGTTTTTACGCAGCGGATGCCCTTCCAGCCAAAACCCACACACACACATACACATACACTATGGACAATTTAGCCAACCCAATTCACCTGTACCGCATGTCTTTGTACTGTGGGGGAAACCAGAGCACTCGTATAGGATACCCACGCGAACACAGGGAGAACATGCAAGCTCCAGACAGAAACGTCAACTGAGCCGAGGTTCGAACCAGCGACCTTCTTGCTGTGAGCCGACAGCACTACCTACACAGCAAAATATGGGGACCCAAAACAACTCTATGGGTGTTAATTTCAACACTTTGAAAGTGTCTCATGGGGTCCACTCAAAACAGACTTAAATCAACACTTTCAAAAGGGTTGGCACATTGACACCGAAGTAAGGGTTAATTTTAACTCAGGGCAGAGTTAAAAAATGTAACTATATTTAACACCACCTGGTGTAATATATTATTTTATTCAACTCTCTTGAGTGTAAATATGGTAAAAAGGTCAAATAGACTGTAAATTACAAAATAAAAAACATTTTATTTGAAAACATTCACAACTTCAACAATTCATTCAATTTTTAAAATGCAACAATGTCAAATTTGCTTTAAATGTTTTATTAGTAAAGACAGTATCAACAAAATATGATGTCCAAACTTGATGTTTCATCAGAGCAATTTGAAAGTTCAATATATCGTCACTCATAGTTTTCTTCTGAACGCATAGTTTTCTTCTGAAATTACATTTTAAACAACTTGGCGTGCAAATCTTTCACTTCTGGTGTTTCCTTGGTCCTCCATATCAAACACAGCAGTTTAAATGAAGGTATAAATGCTGTAAACTTGTGTGAAAACAAACTGGAGCTAGGAAATCTCATCAAGCATGTCCTGTGAAAGATGTGCTTCCCAGCCACAGGATGACCTTTTTATCCATGACGATGTACAGTAGTAGCTGCTGATCGCTCGTCTGGTGGTTCCTGATGCACGGATATAGGGTGATGCTCATCAAAGAACTCTTCAAGACTCCAGCATGACTAAGAAAAATGTTTGAAAACAAATTGCAATCAAATTCTATGATATATATAAAAGAACATTTAAAGTAAATAAAACATTCAAGAAATCTAAACTCACCTTTTGAAAATCCACATGATGATCCACAACTTGACTCTCCCAGCTGGTTGAGGTGACAGGATATGGAAAAGTAGAAAAAACACATACATCACTGTAGGATCTCCAAAAACAATTAGGTTAACCACTATGACTAGAACTGGGAAAACAGGCAGCTGTCTGTCCAGAATCCTGAATTTAACACAACACTTGGAGCAAAATTTAGAGGAGCTTAAAATCTTTTATATCATTTAGTGATGCTGACTTCCCCAAAATATTGGCCACAGTGTAAAAAATATTCATAAACTTACAGTTTTCTGTAAGCGTGTGCGTGCGTGTGTGTGTGTGTGTGTGTGTGCGTGTTTCTTTACCAGATTCAACTTGTTAGGCCCTTTCAGGTCCAGTATTTGACGCCACCTTTCCTGGAGTCTAGCAGATGTTTCAGGTCCAAATATAATCTAAAATATTAGGATACGCAGAAGAGGAAAAGTGCAAAGTAAAGAGCAAAACATTATTTAAGTAACAGTTCACCCACAATACAAAACTTATCACCTTCATGTCATTTGTTATTCTCTAATGCTCTAATACCCTCTCAGCTTATTGTAAAACAAATACAGAACTTTATCAAACATACCTTCATTATTATCACCACATATGGCCAAGAAGGTGTACTTGGTCATTTCACCAACTCTGGAAATACACCATCCGTCTCTAATCAGCCACCGTCACAGGGTCTTGTGTTATTGTACAGAGAACTGTGGCTGTTAAAAAACAACAACACATTAGTATCTAACACATACTGTATGCGTAACCTTCAGATAAAAAAAGAGATGAACATCACAAAGTATGCCTCACACATTTTCACATATCTTTTGATTCAGATGTTGATTATTGATAATAAATCTACAAATCAAACCTGTATCATCATTAGGCTGCTCAAATATGAATCAGTTGATTAATTTTACAGACAGGTGGCTGTTTACAACGCACTAATAAAAAGGAAATGTTGTGTACAGTACATGCTAAGTTTAGCCTATAGTTTTAAGCACAATATCATGCGGGAGAAAAAGCTTGACTAAGATGTTCCTGACAACAGAAATAGCCTAACTTACTAACGTCAGACATCCCGAGTTGGGAAAAGTCATTTTCGGGGGATACAGAGTTGATTTGCGGGAGGTAGCGGGAGAGATGAGTACCTAAAGAGCAATGGGATGAGTTGCGCGCGACGTACCTGAAGAGCGGTGGGGGTGACTTGCGCGCGACGTACCTGAAGAGCTGGGAGGGATGCGGTGGAGAGGGGCGTGCAAAGTGTTTAATGACCGGGCGGGAGACGCGCGATATCCGGGAGATGATCATTCATTTGCGGGCATCTACTTGGGCATCTGGGAGTCTCTGTGCATTTGCGGGATAACGTTAACGTTAGTCCCGCAACTTCCGGGAGACTTCTGTAACGTTAAATGTCTGATAAAGTGCAAACGCGGTCATTTAAAGACATTAATGTTAACATTCCGACTTTAATGGTTGTCAACACTTAATATAATTCAAGCGTACGTTACCACACGAGTCTAAGTTATGGACTAAGTTAACGGTATATGGACGGCCACGAATGAACCACTTTAAAAGGGCCGCGGTGTTTAAAATAACCAAATTAACGTACACGAATAACAAACAATCATTTGTTTCAGTCAGGAAGCCTTTTAAAAGTAAGCATATGTTCATTTACTCACCAGATATGTTTTAGAAACTCTCCAGAGCTTATGGAAACCGTCCTGTGTTGCCGTTAGCATCCGGGCAGAGTAGGCTAGGCGCTCCGGGGATTCCCTCGCTAGTTTGCTTGGAATTAAAGGAGAAGTGTCGATTTTATTTTACAGATGGGTAACAACGCACAAAATGGCATTAAGCGTGACAGAAATGTGTTGAACATGTACATTTGATGTTTTTATGCACTATGTATGCGTGAGCATATAAAAACATTCTTGAAAAGAAGTCAATAGTACTGCAGTTAAGCTAGATACACAAACGACCATGAATGAACCGCAGAAGTTTAAAATTGTCACTCCATTCTAAAGTTATTAACTTCACAACATGTTTACAACTGTATTTCCTCAAAGAAAGTCTGTAAAATACCAACATTTAGGTAGTTTGACTCACCAGTTGCTGTTCTAAATCTCAGATGGAAAATGGCGTCTGGAAAATTCTTCAGTGACTGGGGCTGCATGAATTCCCGGATGTTGGAAATAACACCACCAAGTGTTAAAAAGATAACTCCTTGATTTCGCACTGAATAAAAACAATTCTAACTCTTATTATATTCATTTATCAAAATCTAACTCTTTAACGTCAACACTTTACTCTCAAATGCTTCAACACCGAGAATTTAACTCAGATGAATTTGCTGTGTACTGCCCCACTGTGTTGCTATAGGCTATATTATATTATTCTCATTCATTAATTCATTCATTGTCTTGTCGGCTTAGTCCCTTTATTAATCCGGGGTCGCCACAGCGGATTGAACCGCCAACTTATCCAGCAAGTTTTTACGCAGCGGATGCCCTTCCAGCCGCAACCTATCTCTGGGAAACATCCACACACACATTCACACACACACTCATACACTACGGACAATTTTTTAGCTTACCCAAGCCACCTGTACAGCACTACCTACTGCGCCACTGCCTTGTCTATATTATATTATATTATATTATATTATATTATATTATATTATATTATATTATATTATAATATATTATATTATATTATATTATAAAACAATTTCTGCTTTATATTCTCAGAATCAATGAATCTGTCATGTCTTGTCTTTTTTTTCATTTTATTCATCATCCCACTATAAAAAAGGTGTATCTTAGTTTTTTTTAAAAATACACATTCGTACATACCTGTCTTAATGGCAAATATTTAGATGTTACTGCTGACAAGGACAGATCTATTTTCTTCTGTTTTTTTTGACAGTGTTCAGTGTAACAGCTCAAACAATTACGAATGTAGAATGTTTTTCTTAAAAATAATAATTTCCATTTTTGTAAGAAATATACATTTTAAACCAAATATTTTGCGATTTCTTATATTTACAGTACACACAGAACCTTAAAACCTCTTTAGAATTTTAAAATCAATTTAGTAAAAAAGTATCACCTTTTTAAGAGCCTATTTACAACTAGTTATAAAAAAAATGTTTTTACAAATCTGAAACGTTTTCCTATCTTAAAATTATATTTTTTTCTGGTTTATAATACTCATATCGTATATTACTAAGCTTTTTAAGCCAAATAAGTGGCGGTGTTCAGTAACCGAATTTGGATGAATGTTTTTCCCACTATTTGAGCGTGACGCACTGGCGGCGCATCATCATCATCATCATCATCACACAGCACCGGCTCGTAGAGGAGGGACCACAGACACCATTCCGCACAGCATCCTCAATAACCATCAGCATTGGATTTTACCAACGCTTTTCCTGGACCGGGGAACCACACTGGTAATGTTGCAGCTATTACTAAATGAAATTTAGGTTTAAATAATTTTATCATTTGCGTGGCTTTTTTTGATTCCGAATAAGGGAGCAAAAGCATGCATTTTGATAGCAATCTCCTCGGTAAAAAGCAATTGTTTTATTAAACCGCCTCGATCACGTCCGTAATGCTAATGAGTTCATTACATAGAGTCTAAAACATTGTTCTGTCATCGCACATTATACTCGAATTAACATGCAAACACGAGGTTTCGTAAAACACGGTTTGCGTTCGTTTTACACTTCAGGCAATCACTGTACATTTAGTAATTGCACGATTTGTTAACTAGAAAAACTGTGTAATTTTTGCTTCTAAACCAATTTCATTTTTTGAAAACTATCTCGCAACGCTACTTAGATAGAAAACTGTTATATGTTGTACACGCCTATAATGCTCAAAAATGCTGTCTAGGTAGGCAGCACGTACAGTCAGACAGAGGTTAACCCTTAAATCGCCGCTGTATACATGCATGGGGTAAACAAGTGATGAGTTCAAGTAAAATAGAAATTCTCGAGTACAGATTAAATATGCCACTAAAACATCTTGATTTTAAAATAACATGGCAGAATATCTTAACATCCTCATACAATAAAAAATATGTTCAAGCTAAAAAATAAAACCACTTAAAATATCGAAGTCCTAAAATTAAAATAAAACATCATAAAACATATGTTCAGTTTTTACTTTAAATATACTTTTTAATGTTTCCAACTTTTTTAAGGGGGAATATTTGCACACTGTCCAGTGTTTTTACATTATTCTATCAGCATCCTTTGTTTACACTAATACATCATATGCATGAAAACAGCTGACTGACCTTTTCATCACTTCTATTTATGGTCTCCCTCTATTCATACATTACTGGAAGATAAAACATATAGCATGAGGCAGCTGACATGAGGCTGTTTTTGTAAATGTGACATATGGAAAAAGAGGCTGATAGATTTTGCCTTGAGGGTGAGACAGAGAGTGATGCTGCTATACTCATCTTCATTCTTCTTCCATTTGCCCAATTTGTTTTAGAGACACTATAAAGTTTGTCTATATCAAACTTAATAATTTAAACTAATATCATCAAATCAGTTTGATTCTGATAAAATACCTGGTCAAATATAATAAGTCTATTATATCTTTATGATTGTAAAATAAACTTTTCAGTCTTAGTTTGCACTTGGAATGGAAGGCTGATCAAGTAGGATACATCCACATTAAAGACAATTATTATAAAGATACCAATATATAGTTTTTAAATAATAAACAATAGCACACTGATGTAATAGCACATCTGTGAAATCAACACATGCTGTAAAATGCTGTAAAATTTACGTATTACTGGCATTTTTTGCAGTATTACTGGCAAACTTTACAATCACACTGTCAATTAACAATTACAACAGTGCTGTAGTTTTAATAATAATAATAACAATAATACATAACAGTTATAATAAAATTGTAATTGTTAATTTACAGTGCACTTGTAAATTTTACAGTATTACTGGCTGTCACAAACACCAGCAATCTAATTCTTGCAGATTGCTGGTAAATGTGCAGATTGCTATAGAACTACAAATCTGCTTTTATTTGGACTACATATCCAGTCATCATGCAATCGCTTACACACACCTGTTGCAGTTTTTATTGATTACACACACAACTGGAACATAGTTATGGACTGATTACAAGGACCATTTAAACAGCACACACACACGCACGCACGCACACACACACACACACACACACACACACACACACACACACACACACACACACACACACACACACAGGGAGGGAGAGATGGTGTTGTCGCACGCGTACTGAAGAGCGGTGTTGTCGCGCGCGTTCTGATCAGCGGTAGGGGGGAGGGGGGGTGTCGCGGGGGCACTTTTGATCATTTTGGAAGGGCACTTTCTATCCAAGACTAAAAAGGGCATGTGCACTGCACAGGTTGAGCCCTATGTGTGCACGTGCCTGCCCTTGCATTATTGTATTGTTTATTCCTGTCTGCTGCCTGCCTTTTGACCATCCACCTATTTTAGTGACCAGGACTCTGGATTGCCTGTATATGTCTGTTTGTCCCTTTTTTGAATTAACCCTGCATTTGGATCCGCACCTCTGTTGTCAGCATCCCGTTACATTGCACTTGAACCAAAATTACAGATTTTTTTTCCAGGTGATGAATTTTATTCTGTTTTAACAATCTTAAATATTTATAGTGTTGAAGTGAATAAACTGCAGTGCTTTTTACATAAACAACAAAAGAGTGTTAACCTATAAATTATGAACATGTGTTTTTTCATTTGCTGCAAAATCACTTTACACTCTCAGAAATAAAGGTAGGTGAGCTGTCACTGGGATGCTACCTTTTCAAAAGGTACAACTTTGTACCTACAAGGTCCATATTAATATCTCAGGGGGACATACTAGTACTTAAAAAGTACAAAATTGTTCCTCTCAAAATCTTTTGAAACTAATATGTGCTTTTGAGGTACCAATAAGGACCCTTTAAGTACAAATGTGTACCTTTTGAAAAGGTACCACCCCAGTGACAGCAAGTTAAATTAAAGAATAATGTAATGTCAAAAAATGCTTATAATTGATGAAGAGTTTAATAAAGACTTCCATTTATTTTAGCCATAGTACAAATGAAACGTGTCTCATACATCAGTATTCATTGAAGTAGATGGAGCACAGGCTGTAGTTTATTAAACAATAGTTTCAACCAAAATTTAACATGCCACTCTGAGAGATTTGGAGAACTGACAGATTAAATTATTGCTGGGGACGTTTTAATGGTGGATATTAGTGGGAACACCTCCCCTCCATCTATGCTAATTCTATGCCCCTGAAACAACATGGGTGTGGAAGCTAATATTGGATAACTGTGAAGTTATTGTTCTAGCAGCAAATGGTGCTTTAAAGGAGCTGGTTCTCAAACGGTTTTGCTTTAAGACCCATATTCATCTTGTTTAAGACATCATGTGGTGATCCATTGTACTAAAGCAAACAAAGATGTCCTTGAAATCAAACTTTAATATGCTAATTGTACCGTGAATAATTATTAACGTGGTACTGTGTATGAAAGAGTACACTGGAATATGTAAATGTCTATTTAGTTTCAGTAGTTTTAGTAGAATAGTCTTTGTTGTCAACAATAAAATAAACGGCAAGCTTTTCGCTGCCCTTTTAAAAGTTTTATTTCATTTCTTGCGCTCAAACCTGCTCATACAGTAAAACCTAAAGCAATAGTTCTTATTTACAATTTATACAGTCATCTTTAACCCACTGCCATCCCAAAGCTGGATTCAAAAGCTTTTCCATAGAAAGCATTCTGTATTTAAATCCTATTACCGCTAAGAATACATGTTTAAAAATGGATTTTAATAATATTAGCATATCTCACAGATGCATTTTTCTGAAGGTTATGCAATATGTATAACAATTGTGCGATGTGACCTTATTTCTACAAGAGAGAGAGAGAAAGATAGAGCGAGAGCACAGTAGCCTAAAGGATTAAAGCAACATGCGCTTAAATGGAGATTAATTTCATAATTACTTATGCACAGCACTCTAAACTGTCAGCTTAAGATGTTGGTAAACACTTAGGTTTAAGACTGTCATAGCGGACAAGGCCAGGAGGTCAGTATAAATGAAATGGCAGATTTAAAAGACTTACTGAAATCTGATTCATGGTCAGCTCCCGTTCTATAATGTAATCTTAGGTAGTAGATGTTTCAGAAGAAACAAATGCATCTGACCTTTTCCACTAAAGTGATTATGTTTCAGGTCCCTCATCGATTTAATCTAATTATAGAACATTCGATTGGATGGGAGTAATGTGAAGTTGTTACAAATCATTTTGCTTCTAGAGATTCGGCCAAGATTATGGATTTTTGGTCTATATCGGTTTAGGAGTTGTTCGTTACTGATGCAGTGAACCACATTTGTGAAGGTTAAGTGAATTTTAGTTGGATAATTTATAGACTGTAAGTCGTAGGCTGGTAATGTGCATAAGAAATTAATAGAAGTAGAAGCTCTCATGTTTGTGAAGAGGCTTTTTAGCACGCATGAGCTTTTGCGTTTGTTCCGTGTTAAACACATCTCTCTTACACTTGAAAATAAACACTAGCAGTCAGATTCTGGCATAGAGGTCAGTGATTGTGCCGAGTCAGCCTTCTGTGTGCTGGTCAGCATCTCTCCATGCGCAGTGACCACCTCCATCCAATCTGCTCTATGTGCTTTAAGAGAACACATTGATACTCGGACCCTTTTACAAATATTTTAGTCTTTTTTGTGTGCCCCTATTAGTCTATTTTAAATGTTCTTAATTTAGTTTTGGAGGTTTACTCCAATAAATGTACATCCATCAAAATAATTAAAGAAATTATTTCATATTCTTAAAATATATACTGCAGGATAAGCTTTTATCCCAGTGTCTGAAATTGTTTGTTTACAGATCTGGTTTCTCTAAACACCTCCATTCTAAAAACCTGCTCTGCTCAAATGGCACAGTCTGTTGTGGGTCAAAGATGTTGTTGAAGACTATAGGTTTAAATTGTGCAAATTTGGGAAAAAGACTGGTATTACAGATGACCATTTTCAGGCAGTTTGGAGTTGGTTTAATTTTTTGAGAGACAATAATTTTGTTTATCATGCGGTTTAGAGTTTATTCAACCTGGTAGTTATAGGAACTAGTCAACAGGGAAGAACCCTGAACATTTGTAAGCTTATTGACAACATCAATTCTATACAGAATTCAACAATGTCAACAATAAAAAGATATAGCATGCCATGACCCATTTATGACAATTTTTCATGTTCAGGGAGCAAATCTGCAAGGCTTATCTTTAAGATTGGGGCAGCCAGTACACATAAATAAATGGCAATATCTTAAAAGGCACAGTAGGTGCACTTTACAATCCATTTAATCTGTCTTCACGTCAGTGAATATTTCAGTTAATGTCATGGGTGAAAAGCATTGTTTTTAAAAGTTTTGGGATGTTCTCCAAATGTGCTAGTGCAAAGGCACAAAATGTACACGCTTTGCATATAATCCTGGAATTGACAAGGTTCTGAGTGTACTGAGAGGCTCTTTAGTAAAACAAAATCTAACACTATGCTATTTCAAAAGCAGAGAGTCTGAATGGACTGTAGTGTAACAACAGGGAGCAACAGGAGGCAACATCCTGGCTGTAGATCTAAAGACCCCCATAAACCCAGGAAGTCTATTGGATTTGAAGGCTAAAATCTCTTCCTGTTTTGTATTCAAAAGTTCTAGTCAGTGAAACATAAGGATCCTATTTAATCCATCAGAGAGAGAAAAGGGTTCTGTTTGATGTGATTTTCCCTTTCTTTTTTGTAAATGATTTAATTATATCTAAAATCAAAATTTAAATATTTTTTGATTTTAGTTTTTTTGATCATTATGGCAAAAAATTCAATGCACATTCAATACATTTTGACAATTTTTTCCCCATATTTTCCCACATTTCCTTTCCTTAAGTGTTTTACACTTACATAAACAGTTCCACTTATAGAACAAAAATGTCCACATTGAAACCCATTAAAAGCTTAATATTTCTAATAATATCCTGGTTCCATTTTGGCAAAAAATAAATAAATGAAAACATCCCACAATCTGTTTTCTGATTTTGAGGACTGCAGGGAAAATTTATTAAAATGATATAATTAATAATATGTTGGTTATTATTCAGCATTTTTGCATTTACTGAAAAATTTGTATGTGGTAGAATTTTTATGTACAAAAATAAGTAAGGCATCAAATTAGTGTTTCTGGACATTGACTTACCAAAGAATATAATTTTTTTTAAGTAAATCTGCTTAGCTTTTAGCATATGAAGGATTAATTTAACCAAAAATATCTGTTAAAAATACAAAATTAATTTACAAGTAGTAAAAAAAAAAAAAAAAAAAAAATATATATATATATATTATTATAATATAATATAATATTATAATATAATATTTCTTTTAAAATTTTTCATAGCGGAAATCAGCATCATTGTTAATGCTAATAAAGAAAAGCTGAATCAGAGTTGAAGTTTTAATGTTGCAGCCTCTGTCTCGTTTTTATTCATTAGCCTCACGTTGTTATTTATTCAAACTATTAAGCACTAACAACATGCACTCAATTTCCATATGAAAGATCTGCAGAGCACAGCAACATGGGTTTCTCAAGGTCACGACGTATTGACAGTCAGATTAGGTTTTGCTTCTTGAGATGCTACTTGTTTCTTGCAGTGTGTCAGTGTGTTGTTTCATCTTTCTGGTGACTCAGTGTTTCATTTCGTGTTGTCTGCATGATTTTTTCATGAGAATTTGTCATGAAGGCCGTTAAGTCATACATTAACAACAGCTTTTAGACTCCCACAGTTGTGGAAGCCCCTGTGTTGAGTAATGTAATCAACAGTCAGCTCTCGAGAAAGAGCATGAAAAATAAATGATGGTTATACAACTTAAAGACTTGACGATATGCACAATTTGTACTTAAAGTCAATTTACATTTGTTTTATTAAATGAAAACATGGTCATCTAGAAATGAATGAAAGTCTACTTAAAGAGATAGTTCACCCAAGAATGAGTAAACAGAATAGTCATTTTTGGGTGAACTATTCCTTTACTGGATGTGATGGGCCAGATATGAACCATAATTTAGTGTGCATGTGTAATAAATGACTGTGTACACTGTCATGAGTCACAATAATGTGCATTTTCAGATAGCCTGAATGACTATCGCTTGCTTTTGATTGACAACATTACAGATTTAATTTGCTTTTAAGTGATGGCTTTAGGGCTTTGAGATGACCAACAGCAACTGACCCAGTTTTACAGGGGCTGTTGTTAAACATTTTTATGGGTTGACCCCTTCTTCTACTTGCACATATTTAAAGCTTTCAAAATGTGGAAAAAACATGCTTCTATTACCAATTAATGCTTCCATAGTTCCAAAAAGTAGGTTTCTGACTTAAGGGTAGGTGGGGGACAGGAAGTTCAGTTAATTAATGCATAATTGGTATCGATATTCTCAGGACAACCTAAGAATTCTATCAAGACAAGTTTCATAACAATCGACAAAACTAGTCAAAGTTATGAGCATTTTTAGAAATACCATAACGTTTGACCAAAGGGTTGCGCTGCGATGACACTCAAAGACAGATATCGACACATACCTACATTCATAACAACTTGCAAATGCGCACACATTTTTTGACATAATTCAAATTGGCTGATGGCTAAAATGGCTGACCTGGGAATATCATTTGATTGCATGCTCTGCCAGATGTAAAGAGACCAATTTTATGAATTTACGGACAAACGGTTGAGAAGTTATAAACAAAAAAGCCTTTTTTTATTTTTTTGCAATGCACTGAAACACTGCAGCTTACTTCAGATCATGTTTGTGTTCGTCTAATCAACTGTGGATCATGTGATTCAATTTGGGTGAAAATTGGACAAATGGCCTAGGATGAGTTCGTTCAAATAGGATTGACAAAAAAATAGGAAATAGCAAAAAATGTTCATGACCAGATCAGAAGAAGAAGAAGCCGGAATAATAATAATAAGTACCAGAATGGATACAATAGGTGCCTAATGATAATTTTCTAAAGGACAAAAATCAGTCTAAGTCTCAACTAATGCTACTGTGTAAAATAGCAATAAAAGCTACAGAACAGAGTGCATTATGTTACATTTCATTGCAATTAAATAATAATAATAATAATAATCAAGACTTAAAAATTTGCATGTGAGCGTAAATCATTTTTACATTAACATTTAAATGAATTATAAAAGGGTGGTTTATTGTTGTGGCAATTTGGAAATTAAATGGTTATAATGTGTGTCTCTAAAAGATTTATGATGTGTGTCTTACACTAAAGTGGTCTTACACAGAAATTTATAATTTGTTACAATGCACTTATTGTGTGAATACATGTTTTTTAAGTGTATTTATGCTTGATTAAATACTTGCATGTAAATACAATGTATTTAATTTCTGTCATTTCACTCATAATTTCCCTCTAGACCTTTCCCTTACACCTTAACCCATCCCTAAACCTACCCATGCCATTAAACCTTTCCCTAACCCTACCCTATATAACACTGCAATACATTATGAACACAGTAAGTACATTGTATTTGCTTTTTGAATGTAAGTACAGTTAGTTAAGTTCATTTATTATAAAGTGGGACCAAAGATTAATTTGATTTTAAAAAAGTATACAACCTATGCTAAAACCATCCTTTAACTAACCATAAATGTAAAAATGCCATTTACTAAAATTAAAAATGAACAAGAATCTCACCTCTCTTGGGATTGCTAATGACACCAATAAAACATTTGTTGACCAATGTGTTCAAAGTTCATTATTTTACTAGATAATTGAATTGTAGAGAAGAATACTTTGTTAAATATTTGCTCTATATCAGCTTAAATATTCATTATATTTTATTTAACTGGTTACTGATGTAATTTCAGTACAGTATAATAAAATGTAATTTTATGTGTCATTAAAAAGTAATGAAAGCTGCTTTTGTACAATATCAAGAAGAACCAATGTCAAAAAGCATTGTCACAATCCCATAAATGTTTGGGAAAGCATTGAACATGATTTTTAGTTTCACTTACGCTTCAAATTGAACCTTAAATACAACATGCAAAAATGATGGCAGACTAAGAGGCATTAATCTGGGATGCAAGTAATTTTGCTCATTAATTAGAGCATCTTAGACACATAGGCTCTATAGAATAAGGTTTGACTACATTATAGCATTTTTCAATAGAAGTAGATCTTCTGAAATGGATTTTGGTGGGACAGTTCAACTGGCACAATACAAGGGGAGCTATTTCTCCTTCTTTCTGTGCATGTCCTAAACATTTCATGAGAAAAAAGCCAAAAAAGCACAAAAAATCCCTCTCATAATGTATCCTTGTCCCTTGTTCTTTGCAGGCAGTGGCTATCTAAGGATAGCCCATCCAAAGAGGACAATGAAAAAACCTGCATTCTTACATTATTGAAGGACAGAAGTGCCTTCACAGATATCATGACTCCTGGAGACCTTCTGGAAGAGTCTCGTAATAATTGACGTTTTCTGTCTTGAAAGCCATGGACTGAGAAGCTGAGACATATTTCATATTTGTGAGTACACTCTTGTGAATTGTTTTATTTCCTAATCTCCACAGACAGATACGTGTTTGGTTGCGTGTAGATTTATTCCAGCTTTTGAAAGGATTAATATCTGAAATCCCTCTGTGCAGCCATTGATAAAGTCACACAGGTTCAGGCATAGACAGGCTACAGTATGTGACAGATTTACTGTGTTGGACATGTAATAATACAGTTGTTTTATTGATAACACTTTACAATGGGGGACACATAGTTAATGTTAGCAGTTAATTTCTTTTCTAACAAGAACAAACAATGAACTATACATGTATTGCTTTATTTATTCATGGTTTTTAATGCCCTTTAATGAAAATACAGTTCATAGTTAGTTCTAATTAACTCATTGTTCATTAACTAATGTTAACAAGCACATTGTTTGATCTTAATAATGCATTATTAAATGTTGAACTATGAGTAGTCAATGCTGTGCAAGTATTGTTCATTGTTTGTTCATGTAAGTAAAAACATAAAGTAATGTTAACGGTGTCCCAAATTTTAAAGTGTTACTGTTTTAGGTACTTGCTGCATTTAAAATAAACTGTACAAGCATTAAATACAACATAAAAAAAACATTCTCCGGCCACTTTATTAGGTACACCTGTCAAACTGATTGTTAACGTAAATTTTTAATCAGTCTATCACTTGGCAGCAACTCAATTCATTTAGGTAAGCATGGTCAAGAGGACTTGTTGCAGTTCAAACCGAGCGTAAGAATGGGGAAGAAAGGTGATTTAAGTGACTTTGAATGTGGCATGGTTGTCAGTGCCAGATAGGCTGGTCTTGAGTATGTCAGAAACTGCTGATCATTTAGGATTTTCATGCACAACAGTCTCTAGTGTTTACAATTAATGGTCCAAAAAAGAGACAATATGCAGTGAGTGGCAGTTCTTTGGGCGCAAATGCCTTGATGATGCCAGAAGTCATTGGAGAATTTCCAGATTAGTTCCAGCAAATAGAAAGGCAATAGTAACTCAAATAGCCACTTATTCATTACAACCAAGGTATGCAGAAGAGCATTACTGAATGCACAACAAGTCCAACCTTATGGTACTGTAGATGGGCTACAGCAGTAGAAGATCATACCAGGTGCCACACCTGTCAGCTAAGAAAAAGAAAACTGAGGCAACAATTCGTACAGGCTCACCATATTGGACAGTGGATAATTGGAAAAATGTTGCCTGGTCTAATCCTCAATTTCTGCTGCGACATTCGGGTGATAGGGTAAGAATTTGGCATCAACAACATGAAAGCATGGGTCCGTCCTGCTTTGTATGAACTGTTCAGGCTGGTGATGTTGGTTTAATGGTGTGGGGGATATTTTCTTGGCACATTTTGGGCTCATTAGTACGAATTGAGCATTGTGTCAATGCCACAGCCTACCTGAATATTGTTGCTGACCATGTCCTTCCCTTTATGACCACAGTGTACCCATCTTCCGATGACTACTTCTAGCAGTGTAATGCGCTATGTCATAAAGTGTGAATCATCTCAGACTGGTTTCTTGAACATGACAATGAGTTCAATGTAGTCAAACGGCCTCCACAGTCACCAGAACTCAATCCAATAGAGCACCTTTGGGATGTGAGCGAACGGGAGATTCGCATCATGGATGTACAGCTGACAAATCTGCAACAACTGCATGATGCTATCATGTCAATATGGACCAAAATCTCTGAGGAATACTTCCAGTACCTTGTTAAATCTGTGCCATGAAGGATTACAGCAGTTCTAAAGGGAAAAGGGGATCCAACCCGGTACTAGTAAAGTGTACCTAATAAAGTGACCGCTAGTGTATATTTAAAACTTTGTGTTGTGCAAAAATATAAATATTACATTGACATTGAATGAATATTTTTGCACTGTGATCCTTAAATATAGTCACAATATAGTCACACTTTACAATAAGGTTTCTTTAGATAATGTTAGTTAACATATAGCATGAACTAAGAATGAACAATATTTACTTATCATTTATTAATCATAGTTCAACATTTACTAATGCCTTATTAAAATCCCAATTCATGCTTGTTAACACACCGTGAGTTAACATGTAATGCTGTATTTTCATTATCTGATGTTAACAAATGTGAATAATACTTTAATAAATTGTTTTGTTCATTGATTGTTCATGCTATATATTAACTAACATTAACAACCTTATATTGTAAAGTGTTACATATCTTTATTACACATTCATAGTTTTAATGTATGATTCTTTATCTTTGACCCTTTTACATTTTTACAAAATATTTTCAGTCTTGTCTTTTGAACTCCACTCCACCCAATTTCATGTTAAATAAATATGTTAGAGAAATGTTCACTTGCAAGATGCATTCCCACAGTACATTTGTAGATATAAAACTGTGATCATATCTAGGGTAAAGAAAAAGCAAAAAGTCTTGGCCTACTTTCAGAGTGTCTCAATCGCTCCTGGTTGTGTGCAGTAGATGGACTTGTATCTCCAGAGGCCTTTTACTCTCTGGGCCATTAATTGAAGTTAATTTTAGACTCGCTCACGTAGAGGGAAGATTTTGACTGAATAGGATGAGATGAAGATTGATGTAGGTTAATACAGGTTAACAGAATTTCTTATGAAGCTTTTGCACATTTGAGTATGTCTCTTTTCTGACTGTACGATACAACTCATACAGTCAGATTGAATAGTAAATTGTCAATTATTTAAGGCATATATTAAACATGTTCAAATATTTGTTTGTTTGTTTGTTTGTTTTCTCTCCTTGTCTAGCCATGATGGTCCTGTTTCTAGTTTCAGCAGCTCTCATTTCAAACAGTTCTTCTCATGGAAACCTGACCACAGGTACAGTAAAACGTCCCCAGATGTTTATCAATCTCCAGATTTTCACTCAAAATGATTCATACACATGAATTTGTCTAGTTACCCCAACTTACTTTTCTAGTTACTACAATCTAATTGTTCGAGTTCTTATAACTTATTTTTTTCTATTTCTCATAACTTTATTTTTGTAGTTGCCTCAGTTAAACTTTTCTAGTTTTTATAAGTTATTTTTTCAAGTTCCCCAACATATTTTTTTGTTCTCATAACTTAATTTATCTAATTCTTGGAACTTAATTTTTTTAGTTGCCCCAACTTAATTTTTTTAGTTCTTGTAACTTAATTTCTTCAGTTACCCTCATCTTAGTACATTAAGCCGTCCTGACTTAATTTTTCTAGTTCTCCTGACTTTTGGAGATGCTTTCTAGCTCTTATAACTTTTTTTTTTTTTAGCTGCCGCAACATCATATTCTAGTTCTTATTACTTAATTTTTCAAGTTACATGTTAACAGTGTTAACAAAGTGTTAACATTAACAAAGATTAAGGAATACTTAACAGATGTGTTTTTCATTGTTTATTCATGTTAACTAATGCAGTAACTAACTAATACAATCTTATCGTAAAAAGTGTATAAAGTGTTGCAGAAAAGGTTTTATTATAGTGAAGTTATGACATGTTTTATCGCATTTAAATCCATTCTACAGAAGTCTGTGTTTCTTTCTTCTTTTAAAAAAAGTCCCAGATTCTCTCTAGGCTTTCCATAAAGTCTTTAGACTATCTTACCTGACTCAGTCCCATTGTCTTTCTTTATGTTCAGAGTCTCCAGCGCCTCAGGGCTCACATGTTTTAGCCTCAGGCCTTGTCACCTCTCTGCTGCTCGTCATCTTTCTTCTCCTTGTTGCCTATATTCTGAGGTAAAAATATATCTGTAAAGCCAGTAAAAGAAAGGGATGGTTCACCAATTCTAATTTCCTCACCATTTGCTCACACTCAAGTGGTTCTAAACTTTTATGATTTTCTTTCTTCTGTTGAAGTCAAAACAAGATATTCTGAAGAATGCTGGCAAATAGCAGCCATTGACATCCATAATAGAAACAAAAAATATGGTCGTCAGTGGCTGTTTTTACAACATTTTTTAGTTTATTTGGGTTCAACAACATTTGGAGACTGGGTATAAATGATGACAAAATAAAAAAAGGGTGAACAAAAAACAAAAAAGCTATGAAGTAGCTGAAAAACAAGTAGATTTTAGTGTCTCTCTCAAACTGAAGTACATCATTTACAATGCATGTAAATGTGCAGATTTGTCCAAAATTCCAATTGCTATTACAAGATCAACTCAGTGGTTTCTAATGTAATGTTAATTATCATATCTATTAAAGATTCACTTCCTTTAGGACTCCTCTACATGTTCTTTGAAGTACCTGCAAAAATCTTCACCCGTCACTGTTTCTGCTTCCAGAACTAACACATTTTTCTCCTCAGTGTTCTTCTAAATTTAAATCCAAAGTGCAAGTGATTTCAGCACTGCATTTTCACACCTATCCAGCAGCACATTCAAAAGCTTAAAGAGATAGTTCACCAAAATAAAAATCTCCCATCATTTATTTATCCTTTAATAGTTTAAAACATATTTAAGTTTCTGTCTTATGTTGAATAAAAAGATAATATTTTGAAAAAAACTTGTATAGCTGGTATTCACTGACTTTCATAGTATTTTTTTCCTTCTCTGGAAATCGATGGGTGCCAGTAACCAGCATTCTTTAAAATATCTTCTTTAGTGTTCAGAAGAAAGAAACTAATAAAGATTTAAAACTGCACAAGGAAGAGTACATTTTCATTAGGCAAAGCAATTTGATTTAATTGCAATTGTTTTATTTTTTTATTAGTTTATTAAAAAGAGGCACAATATAAATCTTTTATTTAAATGAATACTATTTCAAAAGATATGATTTGCATTAGTGAATTTTAAAATTCTGACCCACAATATGGAAAAATAATGACAGATTTTAAACAGGATTCCGCATACTTTCCATGTCTGCAATTGGTTAGTCCAACAGATAACATGCAATTGGTTAAGATGAAAAAAAAAAAAAGATTGTTTGCAGTTTTTGAGTGATTTAGCCTATGGCTTAGTTGTAGTTGTCACCGCCTTTCAAGTCAAGAGAGTTTATAACATACTCAAGTGTGTATGTGTGTGCGTCTGTGTGTGTTTATGAGCTGACCCTGTGGAGTTGCTCCAGCAGCAGCTGCACATGTAGTGAAATGTTTGAGCAGTTGCGATTGTGTGTCGGAGAGTCATTCTCTCTCAGCTGCTCTGAGGAATCAGAGACCCAAACAATCTCCCATGAGAAAGACCTTTAGATTTTGGTGTGTATTGTGAACTTTGTCATGTTTTCTTGACATTTTAAATTAGTTTTATCCACCAGTGAATGTCTTACTTGTAAATCCTGCAGGTTTAGAGAGCAAAGGAAGGATCTTGTCACCTCAGTTGACAAGAAGCTGCCAAATGGCTTTCTGGAAGATCAAGGTAAGCTTTTGTCTAACTGTATTAAGCCTGTATTTTTAGAACTTTGGCATCTGTACGTTTTTTTTTCTTCTTCTCTTTCTGTCAGAACAAACAGTGGTGCTCCTCCCCAGATCCCCATCTCCATCAAAGCGCTATTTTCCCATCCCGCTGGACTCCCTGGAGGAAGAGTTTCGCCTCCGCATGGCTGATGATGGCAAACTGTTCAGAGAAGAATTTAATGTAAGAGCTTGGACACACAGACTTTATCACAGACACTCACAGTTTTGTTTTCTTACACTCTTCTTCCACTGCGTCTCTTTTACAGTCTTTGCCTTGCGGTTTTGGCTGTGGGACCTTTGAGGAGGCAAGCAGAGAAGAAAACAGAGAAAAGAACAGATACCCCAATATTCTACCATGTAGGTCTTCTATTCTTCACACACTCCTGCTTTAACTGTCTACCAACACTGTGGACTATAAACAATTTAATGACAAAACAATTTAAGACAACAAATATGTTATGTTGATTTAACTTCTTTAAATTAAGTTAATCAGGTTTCAACTCAAATTCCAACTTCAATTTAAATGATTATTTTTAGTTGGATTGCTGCAAGTTGAGATGACTAGAAAAGTTCATTTGATTTAAATAAAAAATTAAGGCAGCAAGTTTTTATTAAGTGTGAAAAAGCTTGTTTTGTTTTTTAGGCTTGGTCTAATTTTTAACAACACAATGGGCTACTGACTGCATGGAGGAATCTAGACATAGTGTTAATAAAACAAACCCGTATATTATTTCCTTCACAGATGACCATTCAAGAGTGCTGCTCTCACACATAGATGGATATATGGGCTCAGATTACATAAATGCATCTTATATAGATGTGAGTATTTCTTTGTACTGTATGAGTTGTCTTCTGTAGATGTGATCACCTAATAAAGTATATGAAATATTGTTCATATGGCTTAACAATTTTGGTTTGTACAAGACTTTGGTATTGAGTCTGTTTGTTTATCTTTCCTATAGGGCTACAGAGAAAAAAACAAATTTATTGCAGCTCAAGGTATGTTTTTATTCCTAATTTTGTCTTATTTTTTGCTGCCTTAGCTAATTTATACAAACAATGAGCGATTAGATTTTAGTTAATAAAATACATTAATATTAAGTTAATTTGTGTCAGCTGTTGTCCAAATAAATAGTACTGACTGATACAACTTTAAATAGTGAGAAGTATTGTGAATTAACATTATGATTAATAAATGCTTAATAAATACTATTTCACTGTCTATCTTAACTAATGTAACTATCTGTCAATATGTTAATAATTGGACAACCATTATTGTAATATTGTAACTGTTATATTATTAACAACCATTTTGTAATATGATTATTAACCTTGTTGAATGACTTCAACTGTCTTTTAGATTTCAATATCTTTTCTTATTTTCAGGCCCAAAACCAGAGACAGTGGGAGATTTCTGGAGGATGGTTTGGGAGCATAAATGTGCCACTATAGTCATGTTGACCAACACAAGAGAGAGAAAAGAGGTGAGATAAGATATCATAAAGACCCAGTTTAATATGTTGGTTGACTGAATCACAAGTTGACAATGATGATTTTTATGACTGCTATTATTTCCACTTTCAACCACTTTACTGATTTATTTGAGGTGCAGATCAGCTGTGCTGTACTGTACTTTCTGTGTCAGTGCAAAACGAAAAAGAAAATGACACGCATTTAGCATTGTCCAGTTTTGATTGAATAAATAAAATTGCATTTAATGCCAGATGTAAACAATGCCAAAGTAGATTATACAGTAAGCAGTTCACAATTAGGTGGACATAAAATATGAAACAAGTTAATTTAGTAAATATATTATTTGGCTAAATAAATTATGAATAAAATCTAAATCTGTGATTTGTGTGTGTGGAATTCAGGAGAAGTGCTATCAGTACTGGCCTGAGCAGGGCTGCTGGATCTATGGCTGTGTAAGGGTGGCAATGGAAGACTTCACTGTGTTGGTGGACTATACCATAAGGAAGTTCTGTGTGCAGCATGTTAGTGGTCTTTTCCCACAGAAACTTTGTAGCATGTGTATTTAGTAGCCTGGAGTATCTTATATTCTTGTTGAGTCATTCAATTGTGTTATATGTGGTGTGGATTTTCCAGCATGCCGCTGAAGGCTGCAGACCTCCAAGACTGGTCACTCAGCTGCATTTCACCAGCTGGCCTGATTTTGGCGTACCTCTTTCTCCTATTGGCATGCTTAAGTTCCTCAAGAAAGTCAAGAGTGTCAACCCTGCCCATGCTGGACCAATCATAGTGCACTGTAGGTAAGACTGCAGACTATTCTTAACTTATGGATATGTGTAGTGTACAATCTAAAGGTGCGGTCACACACTACCTACACTACACTACCTGACAAAAGTCCTGTCGCCCATTCAAGTTTTAAGAACAACAAATAATAACTTGACTTCTAGTTGATCATTTGGTATCAGAAATGGCTTATATGAAAGGCATAGGCGTTCTTGCAGGACTCCCAGAGTTCATCAAGATTATTTAGATTCATCTTCGATGCCTCCTTCTTTATCTTACCCCAGACATGCTCAATAATGTTCATGTCTGGTGACTGGGCAGGCCAATCCTGGAGCACCTTGACCTTCTTTGCTTTCAGGAACTTTGATGAGGAGGCTGAAGTTTGAACAGAGCACTATTCTGCTGATGAATTTACCTTCTCCTGTGGTTTGTGTAATTGTAATGTAATGTAATTGGTAGCACAGATGTCTTGATACCTCAGGCTGTTAATGTTGCCATCCACTCTGCAGATCTCGCTAACACCCAATATGTAACCACAAATCATGATTTTTCCTTTCCCAAACTTGACTAAATTCTATGAGAATCTTGGGTCCACACGAGTTCGAATAGGTCTTCTGCAGCATTTGTGATGATTGGGATGCAGTTCAACAGAAGGACAAATCTACCTTCTGCCACTTTTCCAAATGATTAACTAGAAGTGGTTATTATTTGTTGCTTTTACAACTGGGATCGACGACAAGAAGGTAGTGTAGATTTTACTTATGTTCTAGTAGGTTATATGAATTTGACCTGCTGACCTACAGAATATATAAGATGTATGGCTCTTTAAACCTGGTATTATAACTTCTGTCAATTCCATCACAAGTGGACAACACTAAATATAGCTGTTAACAGGGTCTAACATATTTTAGCTTCCACATCCAATATGTCACAAACTACAGTCATCAGATTTATTGAAAGGTGTGCATTAATTTATCGTTCAGTTCTGTTAACTGGGCAAAAACTGAACATTTACTATTATAATGGACCAGTCTACACTTGCTTTTAAAGAAGTAGTTCACCCAAAAGGAAAATTCTGTCATCATTTTCTGTTGAACACAAAAGAAGTTATTTTGAAAAATGTTGAAAACTGTTAACTTTTAACCATAGACTTGAATAGCATTTCATGGGTCAATGTTTTAAACATTCTTCAAAATATCTTCTTTTTGTTCAACAGAAAAAAAGAATATCATAAACGTTTGGAACCACTGATAATAAAAAATGAGTGAATTTTTGGGTGAACTATCCTTCCATGATGTGGTTTGCTGGTTTTTTAAAACAACATTTTGTGCCTCTTTCAGCTGCTTTCCTATTTTATTATTATTTTTTTTGGAGAGGAAAGTCAGTGGGCATTTATATCGCTACATGATCTCACTGCAATTCGTAACTTTTTGATTCATTCATTCACTCATTTTCTTTTCGGCTTAGTCCCTTTATTAATCTGGGGTCACCACTCGCCACAGCGGAATGAACCACCAACTTTTCCAGCACATGTTGTTACGCAGCGGATGGCCTTTCAGCTGCAACCCATCACTGGGAAACATCCATACACTCCCATTCACACCCATACACAACAGAAAACTTAGCCTACCCAATTCACCCGAACCGCATATCTTTGGACCGGTGGGTAAAACCGGAGCAAGCAGAGGAAACCCACGCCAACACGGGAAGAACATACAAACTCCACACAGAAATGCCAACTGTCCCAGCCGAGGCTCAAATCAGCAAACCTTCTTACTGTGAGGCGATCGTGCTACCCACTGCGCCACCGTGAAGCCTGTAATTTTTTAATTTAGTGGCTATTTCATATGAATTCCTCTGATCTCGTTCGTACAATTTTGTAAAATTTGCTTATCCGCCAATAATGGTTGGGTTTTGGGGTGGGGTTGGGTGTCATCCCTCTTTTTAAAATCAGACTGAAATCAGGCTGGGCCGGCACACTTCACCAACAAGTCCCATAATGCTTAGGAATTCAGTAGGCTGGTGTGTTTTGCTGATCCTAATGCATTCACCACATGAGAATTCACACAAGGAAAGTGACTGCTCTCAAAATTAAACAAGTTTAAAATGTTTCAGATCATTTGCACCTGTATTTAGCATAGTGCATTTGATCAGACTGACCAAAATCATCTTAATGCCATGTATAAACAGAGCCAAACAGCCTTGAAATGTAAATGCAGAAATAACCACCAACGCAGATGTCTTGAGGCTCAGCTGTTAAACAGCCTCCGCATGTGGGATTGTTAGCACCTCAGCCAGAACAACAGACTTTCTGATTTGCTACAGTGTGAAAAGCCCCTTACCGCAGTGAAACACAAACTGCAACTTCTCTACAGTAGGTGCACTACACAGTTCAATATAAATATTAAATAAATGCCATGTTTAATTGAACAAAAAAAAAATATATATAATCATTTTTCCTAAAATAGCCATTCAAATGGAAAGACCCTGCAGTTTTGAGTACATGATCTCATTATCCCACATTTCATGCCCTACTTATACACGGCTGATCTCACCGCTTATTTCCTGTCTGTGTAGCGCTGGGGTTGGCAGGACCGGTACCTTCATTGTGATTGACGCCATGATGGATATGATGCACGCTGAGGGCAGGTTGGACGTGTTCGGCTTTGTGTCCAGAATCAGAAAGCAGCGCTGTCAGCTCATTCAGACAGATGTAAATGACTTTCCGCAGTCCCACTGTTGTATTTGACTCATCATTTCAGCAAAGACAAGCCACTAATATTCCCTTTTCCCGCCCACAGATGCAGTATTCATTCATTTACCAGGCACTTTTGGAGCATTACCTGTTTGGGGACACTGAGTTAGACATCGCTTCCCTGGAGGGTCACCTTCATAAACTCCACAACACGCACACAAACATGGACCGCGTGGGCCTGGAGGAAGAGTTCAGAGTAAGACAAACATTAGTTTATACAGCTTAAGGGCAAACATGAGTCAGTACGAACACACACAGTGGCAAACGGGAACTGCTTTGTTTTCTTTTATGTCATGTTGTTTTGTTTGGAACCTCCTCAGAAACTGACTAATGTTCGCATCATGAAGGAGAACATGAGAACCGGAAATCTGCCCGCCAACATGAGAAAGAACAGAGTTCTGCAGATCATCCCATGTGAGAAGATACAGATTTCCAGATTTAGCATTTGTAAACGTTACTCTTTCTGCTTTTTACTTCTTTTCATCTTGTTTTTTCTTTCTTTTCATACCATATTTCATTCTTTTTTCTTGCTGTCTTTTTACTTGTTTACTTTGTCTTTTTTACTTTTAATATCAGTTTTTCTTTCTTCCTTGTTTTTAACTTTCTTTCCTATTTCTCTTGCCTTCTTTTTTATTTCATCCTTTCTTTCTCTTTTTCTGCCACTCTCTTCATTTTGTCTTCCTTTATTGCTCTCTTTTTAGTTTTCTTTCTTTCTTTCTTTCTTTCTTTCTTTCTTTCTTTCTTTCTTTCTTTCTTTCTTTCTTTCTTTCTTTCTTTCTTTCTTTCTTTCTCTTTTGTTTTCTGGCACTCTTCATGTTGTCTTCCTTTATTGTTTTGTTCTTTAGCTTTCTTTCTTATTATTTCTCTCTTTTTTCTTTCTGTCTTTTTCTCAATTCTTTCTATCCTTTCTCTTTTGTTTTCTGGCACTCTGTTCATTTCCTCTTCCTTTTCTTGCGCTTTATTTAGTTTTCTTTCTCATTCTTTCTTTCTTACTTTTCTATTTTTTGTCATCTTTTTTCTTCTTTTCTCTGTCTATCCTTTCTCTTTTTCTGTCACTGTTTTCATTTTGTCTTCATTTATTGTTTTTTCTTTCTTGGTCTTTCTTTCTTATCTTGTTGTTCTTTCTCAATTCGTTCGATCCTTTCCCTTTTGTTTTCTGGCACTCTCTTCATTTTGTCTTCCTTTATTTCTCTTTCCTTAGTTATCTTTCCCATTCTTTCTGCCTTTCTTATCTTGTCTGTTTTTTTTTGGGGTTTTTTTTGGTTTCTGACACTTTCCATATTTTCATTTTTCTCTCATTTCCTTTCTTTGATCCATTCTTTCAAAATCTAATCATTATCTTGTCTTATTACTAGATGACTTCAACAGGGTAATATTATCAATGAAGAGAGGCCAAGAATTCACAGACTACATTAATGCATCTTTCATAGATGTAAGTATTCTTCACAAATATTTGTATTAATAAAAATAATAATAATAATAATAAAATTATTATTATTAATATTAATATTACCATTATTAGTCAACATGTCAACTTACAAATTCTTTACCTTTGTAGGGTTACAGGCAGAAGGATTACTTTATTGCAACTCAGGCACCTTTGGCCCACACTGTGCAGGACTTCTGGCGTATGGTTTGGGAGTGGAAGTGCCACTCTATCGTCGTGCTGACTGAGCTAAAAGAAAGAGAACAGGTACCGTTTAACGGTTTATATTTAGTTACATTTCACATTCACAGTTTAACGTCTGGCACATTACCATTTTCAACAACTTTCCCTCCAGGAGAAGTGTGTGCGTTACTGGCCAGCAGAGGGCAGTGTTTCGTTCGGAGATTATGTACTGGAGCTGAAAAGAGACACACTTTGCGAGACTTTCAGTATTCGGGACATGCTGCTGTCATATGCATCAGTGAGTTAAATGTTCAGTCAATTTGATGGTCCATCATACGCTTCACTTAAGAACTTTGCTGTGTTTTAAATGTCGACTACAACGAGGCTAAATTGGGCTGTTTGTAGGAGAAACAGACCCGTCTGGTCAGACAGTTCCACTTCCATGGTTGGCCAGAGATTGGAATCCCGTCAGACGGAAAAGGAATGATTGACATTATTGCCGCAGTGCAGAAACAACAGCAGCAATCTGGAAACAACCCTATAGTGGTGCATTGCAGGTGCACACACACCCAAACACATGTTGTTCAAAATTTTGTTTGTTTGTTTGTAAAAGTGAATGCAAATGACTGTAAAACAAATCATAAAATTGTTTATTTTTATTTGTTTATTTATTTATTATTATTATCAGTGCTGGGGCTGGTCGGACCGGAACCTTCATTGCTCTCAGCAACATCTTAGAGCGGGTCAAAGCAGAAGGATTACTGGATGTTTTTCAGACCGTGAAGAGTTTACGGACTCAGAGACCACATATGGTCCAAACTGTGGTAAGAATGCGAAACACAATAAATAATTCCCCTAATACTTTTTCAAACATTTTCAGCCATGGGGCTTAATAGGCCAGTTCTAAAATTCACCTTTTGCTATTTTTTTTTTATTATAATTTTTGCAGTTTTTTTTATTTTTTACATTTTTAAATATAATTCGATCTTATTTTCTACATTTTATCTTAATGCAAAATAATAATAATAGGTAAAGCACCTTGTCAAACTTTTGAAACGATTTGTTTTCTTAAAATAAATTCACAAGTAAAAACAATTAAATATTTCGTTTTTAAAACTAAATCTTTACTGATTTGACTGCTGGACTGGTCCATGATTGAAGGCGGAGGACACAATTGTGCATATGAAATAATTACGTTCAAATGAAAAATTTTAGACCTTCACTTACCAAATATAAAAATAAAATAAGGTTATATTTAATTTATAGGTAAATTTATATCTCTAGGTATTTATTTTGGGGTCCTTTAAAATTCTTCGGGCCTAAGCGGCCGCCTAACTTGCTTATTGGTTAAATCAGCCCCTGGGTCACATGATAGCCTCACAGCAAGAAGGTCGCTGGTTCGAGCCCCAGCTGGGTCAGTTAGCATTTTTGTGTGGTGTTTGCATGTTCTCTCCGTGTTGGTTTGGGTTTCCTCCGGGTGCTCCAGTTTCCTCCACAGGACATGCGATACTGGTGAATTAAATAAGCTAAATTGGCTGTAGTGTATGTGTGTGAATGCAAGAGTGTATGGGTGTTTCCCAGTGTTGGGTTGCAGCTGGAAGGGCATCCGCTATGTAAAACAAATACTGAATAAGTTGGCGGTTCATTCTGCTGTGGCGACCCCTGATTAATAAAGGGACTAAACCGAAAAGAAAATGAATGAATGATAATATTAAATAATACAATAATGAATATGGAAATGCTAATATTGTTTTTTCATTTTTCTTTTCAGGAACAGTATGACTTCTGCTACAGAGTTGTGCAAGATTTTGTGGATATCTACTCCGACTATGCTAATTTCAAATGAGTACAGATTACCAACACACATTTATATTTAAAGAAAAGCTATTACTGTGGTTTAGTGACACTCCATGCACTTGACATTTACAATATTTTTCTTATTTATATGCAGTACAATTTTGGATGACCAAACTCCAGTGGCTTAAACACAGAAAAAGTTGTTTGCATTCATTTTTTTAACATTTGTGTGTTCTTTATGAACGAAAAATGTTTTATTTTTCTTTTAAAATGAGCATAAGACAAAACTATTTTTATTTAAAAAGTGTGTTCACATCAGAAGTGTAAAGCATTCCATTCTCAGTATTTCTTCCTTCTATTATCCGACAGCTTGCTTCCCCCCTAAAAAATTTGCATGGTTATTTGTGTGTACTATAGTGTACTAAAAGTAGTTCTTCCAAATTTGAATTTTACAGCCATTGATGGCCATATTCTGATTTGCATTAGCCCTGATGAGTCACTTGTACCATAGACGTGCTCTTCACCTCTCACTTCATCTTCATAACTATAATGAAACTTTAGCTGGCTTTAAAGTTTCTTTGATGATAATGCTATTTATTACTAAGACTTTCCAAGTCTGTCATATAATCAGGAGGCTAAAGATGGGACAGATATATGGATTACAGCATAAAAATGATATTAGGTTGTGGAATATATATAGTGAATTCAGGTCAATTGCAATTGAGATGACCAAGAAAAAGTATCCCAATTGACTAGAATTCACCCCTACATGCTATGAATGAAACTTGTTTAACAATAAAGGAATATGTTCCTTTCATTATTCCGTACAAACATAATTGATACATCAATAAGTTGTGTTTGTTTGCTTGTTTAAACAAATTCAGGGGAAAAAAATAATTATGCTGTCACTGCAGTGTTCTTACAACAGGGTAATGAGGAAAGACATATGCCTTAATCCTGAAAAACACCATTTTCTGCAATAAATGTTTCAGTCAATACTTGTGTGTGTCCAATGTATTTTATTGCAGCATAAATGACATAGGTGACTGCTATATATGCAAAAACCATTGACAAAAAGACATGTATTGAGTGAGTAAATGAGTAAATTGACCCATACTAAAATTTTATGCTCTTAGTGCACACAGATAGCAGGCCCGTAGCTAGGGGGGTTTGGGTGGTTCGGAAGACCCACCCCTTACAGGTGGGGATTTGTCCCATACATGAGCTTATTCTATTTTGACTGCTATGCCATCATAAATACTGAAAACAACTCATTGAAAAAGGTTTTAAGAACAAGCGGAATCCTGTTGTTTAACAATTATTTTTCATAGATCCAACATCCAGCTGTGCAAGAAAACATACAATCTGATGTAAGTAAAGTCATCTTGTCATCTTTCGATTCTGTATTGCTTTTAAATAGAGAAAACATTTTACAAGTAATTTTTATTCTAAATCTTGAAACTTATTCCTGAAAAAAAGACAAATAAAAAGGTGTGAAGAACCTTAAGTGACCCATATTAAAGTTCACTTGAATACTACTTTAGCTATGGTTGTTATCCATGAATTTTCAAATGTACTTTTTACAAGAAAGGCTAGAAAAATTGTGAAGCTCTTTATTATTATTATTATCATTAATAATAATAATAATAAAAAAATGTTAAAAATGGCCAAAAAATTCACAAAAATATTTAAATCTCAAAATCAAATAGAAGATTAGGGGCATAGCTAAAATAGCAAACTTTTTGGGAAAAAAATAACCACTCCTTTCACCAGACTGGCTACAGGCCTGGGTAGTGATGAACACAATGTATACACACTATATTGTTGGGGGTTCAGTGCTCAAGGGTCTCACCTCAATGTCTTTAATGGAAAATGATTGCTGCAGACTATTTATTCCTGCCACTTGTAAACTTCAGGTAACAAGATAAATGCTTAACCATTAGAGCATTATATGCCATATTATTGATACAGTGACTTATGAACAGCCTTTGTGATGATGGGACATCACTTTTTCTGCACAAACTATGACGGTGTGATTTTATTGATAGTCAATGTTCTTGACAGACCAGCAGACCAGATCGGTCTCGTATTGAAAATGTATGAAAAGGAAAATGAGGACTGTTAAGCAGCTCAAGACTGGTATCACGTCAGATTGGCAAAACATTTTGCTTGTAAAATTTGTATTTTCATTTCCCAAATAAATAAACAATGTAACTACAAGGGAAGTTGATGTGATGTGCATGATAATTAGATAGTTCACCAAAAATTACTTCCCCTGAAGTGGTTTCAAACCTTGTGAGTTTCTTTTGTTTAACACAAAAGAAGATATTCTGAACGTATTATAAACATGTAACCACTGACTTCTATGATATTTGTTTTTCTTACTTTGGAAGGCGATAGAGGTTTTCATCTTTCTTCAATATATCTTATTTTGTGTTCATCAGAAGAAATAAGTAAAGATTTGAAACTGCTTGAGGGTGAGTAAATCATGACAGAATTTTTATTTTTGGGTGAACTATCCCATTAAACATGCCTCTGTCCCAACTTAGAGTATTGCAGGTTTAGAAAATACATTATTTGGCCAGGAAAAATATTTGAAATCTTTCTTTAAACTTATTTTTTATTCAATAAAATTTAGGTTAAACAAGTCGTCACATATTGTTGGTGTTGTTCATGTTTTGTAAAGCAGCTTGAGCATTGACTGAAGTAACCACATTAGCTGTAAGTAAATGGACCAATCACGAAAGCCTACTCATAAGAGGTCGACCCGCTTTCTGTAGGATAAAACAAGCGTTCTAACATGTATGTATTTCACGAAAAATACTGAGTGTCCCTTTAAGACTGTAGTGTAGAAACGAGAGAAGTTCTTCAGCTTTCTACTCAAGACACACTCCCAAAACACTGGGCGGGGCTTGCGTCCTGTGTCAGAATGACGCTCTACGATTGGCTGACGCTCCGATGAGTCCACTGTGTTCCAGCATCGCTCTATGGCGCCCACAACACAGAACAGAGCGATCCCGAGTCCGTCAGGCTACAGAAAGGGGCCTTTGACAGTCGAAGGCCGTTTTTTGAGTAGTTTATTAAAGCTCTGAATATGGAGAACACTGTGTACGAGCAGCCCCATCTTACTCGTTTCTCTCGGGACGCGTAGTTTATGGGTTCGCAGGGTCGCGAGGAAGAATAGGGAGAATCCCGAGGACTCCAGCTGGATCCATGAACAATCTAGATCTTCAAACCGCTTGTTTTCCTCCTCGCTGACCGTAAGGATTTAGACAGGATGGCTGGGACTGGGAACAGCTCAACATCTGGAATGGGTGACATCATCCAGCTGAATGTTGGGGGAACGAGGTACGCTGACGTCATGACCTTTTCTTTCTTTCTTTTTTTTTGTTTTACATAAATCGGAGTCCAAACTGTTGCAATTTGGTTTAAAGACTACTTCACTACGTGAGGTAATCGTCAGCACTGTGTAGCTGTGTGTGTCCTACAGCCATAAACTCTAAAGCAAATGATTAGAGCTCACTGCACGTCTTAAACAGGACTGTTATGTTGCATAACGGGATCAAGACTATTCTGCTTCTTATTTCATCCAGTTTCTACAGGGTTTCAGAAAAACAAAACAAAATACCATATCAGAATGTGAAACATATTAGTTTGGAATATAAAAAACAAATGAAGAAATCCCTAAAAAGAGATTTTTAAACGGGGGTCCGTGGACCCTCAGAGGCCCATAGAGGTAAAGTTGGTTTTATTTTTGAATATTCAGACATTCTGCATAATAATATAATTTCATAAAATTACTCTTTGCAAATTTTAAATAGGGAAATCATATTAGCAGCCAATGACTATCAAAGTACAACATTGTTCACAGTCAATTATATAGTGGTAATGTTGTTTTGAAGTCTTACTTACTTGCTAATTCAGACTGAATATTCAAAGTAGCATAGTAAACAATATAGAGACCCCTAAATGAACACGTGTGCGAAAATAAAACCAACATTACCTGTATAAAGAGCCCACATGACAGTGCCTAGGGGTCTGTGGAAATGTTTGGAAACAAAAAATGTAAATGACAAATATTTAAATAAATGCTTCAGTTGATAAAGTATACAAAACAATTTAATAAAATAACAGTATACAACAAAAAGGGATTGACAATAGCTAATAATGGTATTATAGCTAATATAATTATAAAAAGCACAACATTATTAAATAAGATCTTTAGATTAATAAATGACGGGCAGCACGGTGGCGCAGTGGGTAGCAAAATCGCCTCATAGCAAGAAGGTCGCTGGTTCGAGTTGGCGTTTCTGTGTGGAGTTTACATGTTTTCCCTGTGTTTGTGTGGGATTCCTCCGGGTGCTCCGGTTTCCCCCACAAGTCCAAAGACATGTAGTATAGGTGAATTGGGTAAGCTAAAATTGTCTGTAGTGTATGTGTTTGAATAAGTGTGTATGGATGTTTCCCAGTGATGGGTTGCAGCTGGATGGGCATCCGCTGTGTAAAACATATGCTGGATAAGTTGGCAGTTTACTCCGCTGTGGGAACCCTAAATTAATAAGGGACTAAGCCGAAAAGAAAATGCATGAATGAATAACTAAATGAAATAAAATAAATAATAAAAAACACAAAAAAATATGAATGAAATAAAATAAGTAAAATAAAAAAGTTGAAAGTTATATAATACACACACTACAGTAATAAGTAAAAACATTACAATGTAATATGAGCTAAAAATATAACAATATTTTTTAACAATATTTTAAACAAATTAATTATGTTAATGTGACGCAGTGGCGCAGTAGGTAGTGCTGTCGCCTCACAGCAAGAAGGTTGCTGGTTCGAACCTTGGCTCAGTTGGCGTTTCTGTGTGGAGTTTGCATGTTCTCCCTGCGTTCGCATGGGTTTCCTCCGGGTGCTCCAGTTTCCCCCACAGTCCAAAGACATGCGGTACAGGTGAATTGGGTAGGCTAAATTGTCCGTAGGAGTGTGTGTGTATGTGTGTGTGTGGATGTTTCCCAGAGATGAGTTGGGGCTGGAAGGGGATCCGCTGCGTAAGCTGGATAAGTTGGTGGTTCATTCCGCTGTGGTGACCCCAGATTATTAAAGAGATTAAGCCGACAAGAGAATGAATGAATAGTATGTTAATATTTCACTGTATATATTAAATATTTATAAAGAAATCTATATAAACGCTTTTTGCATTTTAGCATGCGGTCCCTAAATTAAGGACCTTAAAAAATAATTTGGGTCATATTTGAATAATAATAATAATAATTATTATAAATACAATGTTACAATGGCAATGTGTTTTAGATAGACTTGGACTGTAAACAGCCTTTTAGCTCACAGAATGAAAGAGAAATCAGTGGTGAATTGTTTGGAAGTGTATCATAAATCTTATCTACATGCTTTCAGATTTAGCACATCAAGGCAGACTCTGACATGGATTCCTGACTCTTTCTTCTCAAGGTAAGATAAGATGTTTGAAGCAGCACCCACATTGCTGTTGCTTGATTGTTTGCTCAATGTCAGTGTTTTTTCTTTGGACGTTGTGGAAGTTTCAAGCTCTATCCATTCTTTTTGAATAATGAAAGTGATGTAGGCGTTTTATAATGGTCATTACTTAGCTTTTTTCCAAATGTGTTTTCTGTCCAGTTTACTTAGTGGGAGAATATCAACGCTACGGGATGAAACTGGAGCTGTGAGTAGATGTGTATCTTGCACTGTTTTACCTATGAAGTATACCTAATGTTAGTTTTTGTAATTCATGCTTTAGTAAATCTAATTTATATAGATTTTTAAATTACTGTACATCTAATTTATTAATACAATGTATTTAAGTTTTCAGTGTTTTAAGGGATATTTAGTGTATTCTGACCTACAGTATCCGCTTAGCTACTTCTGGGGTTACTGTAAGTCAAACAATGCATCAAATTTGACTTTCCTTTTAGGTTATTTGTAGAAAAAAACAACTATTTTACGAGAAAAAAGTCTTGTGAACAGTTACGTTGTCTATCGGTGCTCTAGAGCTGCCAGTTTCAGACTGTTGAATGACTTTTTTTCTCACAGACTGATTGCCGCAATTATTTATTCACAGTGGTATGAACAATTACAGAGGTGGTCAAATGTATATTTATATTATGAATTAGATTTTTTATATTAATATTTTATTTATTAACATTATTATTTAAAATACAAAGCAGAGCAAATAATTTTTTAGTATTAAAGAGCTGACCTCGTTATATATGTTGTTTTGATGTCCTTCAGGGGGGATCAGGCGTTAATTATGGGGGCGTTAATTATATTGCACCCTGCTTGTAAATATAAATAAAATGAAGCAAAATAATACAATACTCGATAAACACTACAGTAAAGAGATAGTTCACCAAAAAAAAGATTAATCATTTATTTATTGTCAAGTGGTTTTAAAGCTTTATGAGTTCTAGTAGCCATTGGCATCTATAGTAGGATAAAAAACACAATGGAAGGTAATGTTCACCAGATTCTAACATTCTTCAAAATATCTTCTCTTGTGTTCATAAGAAATAATAATAAAAATAAGAAAGAAAATTAGAAAAACATCACAAAAAGTATTAGCAGCTATGTATTATTGGTCAGTAAGATGGAATAAGTTTTAGCGTAGTTTAGTTTAAAACTTTATTAATCCCCTTGGGGCAATTCATTCTGACATGGTGGTCCTTCACATATAACAAAAATGACACACTTAACACAATATAAACATCAACACTTAACATCAAGTGCACAAACAAAAAAACTGGGAAAAAATCTATAAAAATAATATTTGATAAAAATTATAATAAGTAATAACAATAAATAATAATCCACTATGTAACCAAGTTCCTTCCGATTCCTTCCGATTTGTAAAACAATTTATTGTCCTTAGACGTCACCCAAGGGGCATCCACTTAACATAATTAAAACTTTTAAGGCATCTGGAAGTCTCTTTTACAGTAAATAACTATCTAAAAATATTACGATTTAAAAACTGCTTTCTGTCTGAATACAGATGTTTTATTCTTTCTCTCTAAGATCTTCATTGACAGAGACCCAACAGCGTTTGCACCCATTTTAAACTTCCTTCGAACTAAAGAATTGGACCTGAGGTAAGAAATGACACTTGTTTTTGCTATCCTTTACATATTCCAAAAACATGTGCACAATGGTTCCATGTGCTTAATATTCCTGTTTTCCCTAATAGAGGGGTTAACATAAGCATCCTGCGACATGAAGCTGAGTTCTATGGTATTACACCTTTAGGTATGAATATGTTTATCATGCAATAATCTGTCAGTAAAACCAAATGTAACTAAATAAGGCGGCGCATTAAATTATTTAGTGCATCTTACCTTGTGATCCTATTGTCCCTAATATGGTAGTGCGACGCTTACTGCTTTGTGAAGAACTGGAGAGGTCCTCTTGTGGAAGTGTGTTGTTTCATGGCTACCTCCCTCCACCAGGTGAGAGTAGAAGAAAGAGAAAAATGGTTATTATTTCTACTTCCTTGCTATGTATATCTTTCATGAGGATGTGTGTATTATTTTTGTGCTCAGCTCTGCCGGCGCGAAGCAGTGCTGTTGGACAGGCTTCAGCTGTTATCGGTCCAGAGGAGCGCTCGGGTCCTGCTGGTGCAGAGGGGGGTTACCCTCGTTCCTGTCCTCAGTCTTCTCTGCCTGGACCCTCAGGGGCAGATGGACCACACAGACTGGGTGAGTATCCTGTGGTTGCTCTGAAATTGTTTTATGCTGATATGTTGGCACATAATCTTTCTAATCTAATCTATGCATTCTTAGCCAAAGTTTGTTATGCTTACCAAGGAAGCATATCTAATCAAAAAAGTAAAAACAGTTATATTATGAAAAACTATTACATTGTAAAAACAATTAAAATATAGCTATTTTTTTCGCTGCTCACATTTTATTCTTTTATTAATAAACAAGTTATACTTTGTAACAATTGCGTTTCTTAAAGGTACAGTATGTAAGTTTGACACCCAGTGGTTGAACTAGGTATTGCATTCATGAATCAAAACAAATGCAAGTGCAGGTTGCCAGATTGAGGACAGACAGGAATTTAGGCTGATTTAAATTGTGTTCTATATAAAAGCAACAGCATGCAATAGAGGGAATATTTTCTTTTTCGTATTAAAAGTACTTTCTGTTATGACCAACACCTCAAATTGATATTAGAAACGGCTTCTATTTCCTGCAGCTGAACAACTGAAAACTGACAATGATCACTTCAGGTACACCTCATGTGCTTTATTCAGTGTTAAATGCTAAAAATGTGAGTTTAAATGCCATTTTACATGACATTTATTGCCATACTACTGAAAGCAGCATCAGATAGTTCACCTCAGATCTTAAAAATAAAGTAAATCTTTAGAACTGTGACTCAAAACCCACACATAGGGATTCAGCATGTACATTTAATAATGTTAAAGAGGTTTAATTTAAGAGCATTAATTAGATTCTCACCCAATGTAATGTTTGTAATATTTATATAATTTGCTAATTAATAATCTCATGTGGAACTCTGAATCTGCGTCTCATTTCAGCGTCTGCTACTGTCAAGGATACATGCTTTGAGAGCCTTTGAATGAATTAATGAAATATAATAGGCAAAACTGGCATTGGGCAGGTTAAATGACCAAAACCAAGAAAGACGTTTTCAAAGCAGAATAACTTACTTCAGCATTGTTTTTCAGATTAACAAGAATGTTTACCTAGCATCTTTCTTAAATATCTGCAAACATATTATGGCGTTTTTATGCTTTAGAAGAGTCAAAAACTTACATACAGCACTTTGAATATTTTTTTGTGGAAATATTTAAAAGTTTATTTAAAAAAGAAATGAAGATTTATTTAGAAAAAAATTATTTATTAATGAGAAGTGACAGTACACATTTATTTAGTTACAAATGATTTATAATTTAAAAAGATGTTTATTTTTAAAAATATCGACAAATAAAATCTAAAAAAACGCTATAAATTATTAACAGCTTTATGTTATTATATATGAAAAACGTATACATAAAGTCAAGCCCAAAATTATTCATACCCCTGGCAAATCCGGACTTAAAATTTTAAATGTAAATAAAAACTGAAAAATATATATTTTTTTTCATGATTATGCCTTTTGTACATCGTCTTATTATTTTTTAGGAGAAGCCTGTCTCATTTCCGGTAAAAAAACAAAAAGACTTGGTGGTTTAATAAAAGTAACTTTGTCAGAATTTATCATTTTAAAACTATATAAAAACATAACAACTAGTTTTGAAACATCTTGGTGAGGTTCCACAATTATCACAATTTACACCTATTTGGGGTAACGCTAACTGTACACCTAGGACTTATGATGCTGGCTTTAAAATATGGGCTTTAAAAGGTTTGAGTAAGGTGAGCGATTTATTTAATAATGAAACTATGCTCAGTTTTCAAGAGTTAATACAAAAGTTTGATTTACCTAAAATGCATTTTTTTAAAATATCTTCATATAAGAAAATTTATTAATAAAACACAGCATCATTCTCCCGTTCTGCCAGATATATCGCCTTTAGAATAAAGTACTTTAAACCATTTTGATGAGGGCAAAATTCTTTATTTTACAGACTAATCTCCACTAATTGCAAAGAAAATACAGACAATAAAAGGTTGGCATAGTGTCAAGATCTGAGACGGAGTATCACAGAAGATGAATGGCAGAGTATCTGTCTAAAGGCACAAACCCAGACAGTTAATACACGATTCATACTTTTGCAATATAAATGGAATATGAAACTTTATATAACTCCAGAACTACTTTACAAATTTAATCCAAACATTCCTGATCAATGCGTAAAAAGCAATGAAGAGATAAGAACTTTATATCATTGTTTATGGAAGTGTCCTTTCATTAAACAATTTTAGGAGAAAATTCTAAACTTTTTATCTGTAGCATTAAAACTGGATATTACCAAATGCCCAAAACTGTGTATTCTAAATATTTTTCCTTCTACAAGCACTTTTACTAGTTCAGATAAAAAACTGTTAACTTTCTGTTTATTACAGGCAAAATAGCTCAATTTTAGAAAAATACAGAAAGCCCACATTTTGGACAATGGTTGCAGGAATTGTCTCATTGTTTGGCTTTAGAAAAATTAACTTATATAGTCATGAAAAAACCTAAAAGGTTTTCCAAAATTTGGAATCTCTTACCGGGTGTCCTGAAGGAAGCTGATATAAATCTTTTCTCTGTATAACTTGTATTACCTGCTATTGATATACCGTTGTTGTTTTAGGATGTACCTTTATACTGTATGTGAAAGTACATGCATTTACTAATATGTTTATATAATTTTATTATTACTATTAATGTATTTTTATTTATTTTTTATATTCTTTTACTTTTTATTTATTATCATGCATGTTAAGATCATGCATTATTATTTTGTATGTTTGAATCTGATTTCAGTTGTACATGTTAAAAGCTACTAAAATCAATAAAACAGTGTTAAAAAATGACAACTATATTTTATTGGTCAAAAAAGATGGAATACATTTTTTTCAAGATTCTTTTAAATAAAATAACTTGAATATGGTGAAAAAATTTTACAATTTAAAAAATAGCTTTTAATTTGAAAACAGCTTAAAATGCAATTTATTCGTTTGATTGCAAAGCTGAATTTCTACTGTACTGATTTGCTGCTTAAGAAATATTTGCTACTATCACAGAGTATATACAGGAATCAGAGAGTGAAATTTAAAACCTTTTAAGACCTTTTTAAGACTCTTTCCATACATTTTAAGACCTTATAACCACTTTTCAACCAAAATCACTAGCGAGATTTTAACACAGTATATTTACTTAACATTAATGTAAGAAACTAATCCAAAACTAAAACATTATTCATACTGAATACAAATCTATTAAATTTAGTTAATTCAGCAGGTTGGCGCCTACACAGCTACAGAAATAATGGTGTTGCCTTGGCAGTAAACAAAGCAGCATGTCAAATCTAGCTGGATTTTATTGATTTCATAAACTAGATAGCATCCTGATATTTGCATATTTAATACAGGCAAACTTTAGAATACCACCATACATTGCATAATAAAAAAAATATATATATAATAAAAACATTTAATAAAATTGAATACCTTGCAAAATAGCATTTGAGACTTTTTAATACTTTATAAGGGCCTTCAATTTCTCTACATTGATTTATCAACCTAATACTTTGTATTAGACCCTGCGGACACCCTGTATCAATATTTTAAAATGTTAGTAGTTTTCTGGTAAATATTGTTCATTATACATTTATTATACATTATTATTATATATATTATTATACATTTATTATGTCTTTAAAATTTATTACAATATTCAAAACATTTTTAGTAGAAAAACGTATTGTGCACATCAAGCATCATTAGTAAGACCCTACGCAATATTGAAATCAAGTTTTGTTGTAATTTAAAAAGCTGTATTGTATGTAGCAGGGAGAGAGCAGCAGAGCTGGGCTGTCTATAGCTCTCTCATTGCAGACTGGACTATGAACAGAGCGAGGGGTGACATGAAGACAAAGTGTTCCCCTTACAAGCTGTAGTGCAGTGGGCAGAGTGAGGTCATTTTAAAAGGCCTTTATGTCCTTGTGCCCGGCGAAGTCATGTGAGAAGAATGATGAAAGAGAGAGGGAGAAAACAAGTAGATGGAGAGGCCTGCTATTTAACCAGTTTATTGCATTCTTGTGCATTTACAACAATATCAATCACATTATATTAAATATTAAGTAGAGTCGACTTGGATAATGTTTTGGATAATAATTAGGTGAAAATTGATGAGTAATAAAACTAGATAATAAAAAAAGATAAAAACAAACCCGTTTTTGCCACTAAATAAAATAATAAAAAGGTAATTGTGTTTCTGCTATTTTGTTTCATAATTTCTTCTATTTTATCTTTTTTTTGTCAAAAGGTTTAGCAATATATATTGTGTGTAAGCAAGTTGATATCTCCACCAACATCAATTAGATTAAAAAGTCAAAAATGTGAGAATTATATTATATAATTTATTATATTTTAAAAGTGATATAAATCATCTTTTCATTTTGTCCTTTATTATTTTCATTCATTTTTAACTGCTAGCTGTTGCATATGATCGGTGCTTATAATAAAATAATCATTATTATTTTATAAAAAATATTTTTTATTAATAATATGAATATAATAAAATTAATTATAAAATTGTACTAAATAAGTAATGTTAGTAATTCACTTTTATACTATATAAAGGTATATAATATAGAAATGTATTCTAATTACTACAGCATTCATTGCATTGTAATTACTCGGTTACTGAGTTATGGTGTTGTTAAAGAGCCCATATTATACATGAAATAGGGTCATATCTTGGTTGTAAGGGTCTCCAACAACAGTCTAATATGCATGCAAGGTCAAAAAACACTTTCATGGTCTTATAATCTGCATTTATTTTTACCTAATTATCCCAGCGACTCCCGTATGAATCGTCCAGTGATTCATTTGTTCCCAAACCCCTCCTTAGCGCGAAGCTACTCTGCGCTGATTGGACCGATGACAGTCTGTCGCGATTGGTCGACTGCCTTCAGTCAGAGAATGAAATGCCCAATAGCTAATCAGCAATATAAAAAGTAATCACAGTTCATACATGCTCGATAGTGTAGGCGTGGATTTTAGCTGCCACACACACACAAAAACACACACACACACCTCCGGACGACAACGCTCCCGCTTCCGCCCGCACCCGCCAGGTTTTAGCCTGAGAACCCGCCCCGTTTTCTGCCCACCGCGCCCGATCCCGCTAGAGCGGGGGAGAACACAACCAAAAATCACCCAGCTATACAGTCCAGACAGCCTAGCTGTCTTTATAAACACACACACAGCACCAAGCACACAAAGCTCTCTCTCGCTCTCTCTCTCTCTCTCATACGCGCGCGTGCGCACTAACGCACATACACACAAGCACCAAGCAGACACATCTTTCTCATTCGCATAGCAATATCCGTGATATTGCTAGACAGCCCGCTCCCGTCCCAAATTAAACCCGTTACCGACCGCTCCCGCGATTTATTCGGAAATTTATTCCAGCCGCGGGAATGCAGACCTCTACCACGGAGCTCCGTAAACAAACAGCACGCGTCACGTTTTTAACGTGACTTTGCACGCGATAAGAGAATATAGCTAGTTAACCTGATACAGTACACTCGGTTACAAGTAACAAATCACAACTAAATACATTTGCAAGCTAGAGTCAACGAGGCAACAACTTTAATCGCACGTACTTACACTTGAGAAATGGAAGAAACCCATCCTGACGTCCATCAGTAAGTTACTCTTTACTGATCCTTCCTTTAACAAACGCAGATGAAGTATTCTGTGTAGCATGTAGCTTCCAGAAGTTTCCAGTAGTTTCCAACTGCTTGGTCATAATGCTGATGTTTCAACTTTGGGTAGACCCTCGTTAATATCCATCTGCAGTGTGACTTCAATCGACCGGCATGCTTGTGTGCGTGTGTTTGTGTGTGTGTGTGTGTGACTGGGTTTCTGTGTCAGAGGGCAGGGCCTCAGGTTTGAAATCTCCCTGGTTTGCGCGTGCACGTGAATAACTTGGTTTCGTTCGTACGTCATGGCGAAACACCTAATGATTCGGTATCAAGGCGACTCGTTTGAAGCACTATGAGTCGACTCTTTTATAGACGAATCAACCGTTTTAAACACTGTATTCTTACAGATTTAAGCCTTAGCTGGATACTTCACTTCACTTAGAGCTGTGTTACACACTACATGGAGGGGAATTTTCAAAAACCCATAATATGGGCTCTTTAAAACGCACTGTGTTTTTCTGTGTGTTTAATGCTATAACAGGATCGCCAGTGGACCCTAGGAAGGTGCTGATTGTCGCTGGACATCATAACTGGATTGTAGCTGCTTATGCACATTTTGTCATTTGCTACAGGTAAAGCTACATGTCACGTGATTTTGATAATATAACAATAATTTTGGTGATAATAAAAATAATAAAACAATAATATTGGTTGTTTACTGTAGGATAAAGGAATCCTCAGGCTGGCAGCAGGTGTTTTCCAGCCCTTACCTGGAATGGGCCATTGAGCGTGTGGCTCTCAATGCTAAAGTTGTTGGCGGACCACATGGCGATAAAGACAAGATGGTGGCGGCATCATCAGAGAACAGAATAATATTGTGGAGCATCCAGGATGGAGGGAATGGAAGTGAAATAGGTGGGTGGACAGCAATGTTACAGTGCTGGAATTCTACAATATATATACTCGATACCATTTTCGATACTATAGGGAAATATTGCCAAAGCATTCATCAAAATTACAATATATATATATATATATATTTGACATTTAAAGGCTTAACTAGGTTAATTAGGTTAACTAGGCAGGTTAGGGTAATTAGGCAAGTTATTATATAACGATGGTTTGTTCTGTAGACTATCAAAAATAAATTTAGCTTAAAGGGGCGAATAATTTTGTCCTTAAAATGGTGTTTAAAAGATGAATACCTGCTTTTATTCTAGCCTGAATAACACAAATATGACTTTCTCCACAAGAAAAAATATTATCAGACATACTGTGAAAATGTCTTTGCTCTGTTAAACATAATTTGGGAAATATTTAAAAAAAGTGGGGGGAAAAAATTCTGACTTCAACTGTATGTATATGTATATATATATATATATATATATATATATATATATATATATATATATATATATATATATATATATATATATATATATATATATATATAATATATATAGATATGTATTAATTTCTTCATGTGCAAATTATAAAGTGTTTTTTACTCTTACTCCAGTCATGCCAGTGGTTCAGATTTTCCCTCGTCCTGCCACAATGTTTCCTGGCCCATCCAGAAAAAAATATTAATAAAAGAATAGAGTGCCTGTAGAAAATCATTACACCACTTTGAAATAGTGACTTTATTTGTCAAACAGCCTGAAATCAAATCATGCTCTTTCAACTTTCCTAGCCTTTGAAATTGTTTTGTAGCCTCTTTTCCTAATCTGTGCCTTTCTACAACTTTATCCCGAAGATAAAGAGATTTTCCCAGGATATGATGATTTTCTATAGGCACTATAAATAAACTCATATAAATTATTTGTTTTGTTTTGAAGCTGTTCCAATTTCAGTATTGGAGAAGTAACAACAACAAGTAAAAAGCAATTAGTTACTTTCTATTAGTTTAAAGTGAGTAAACCAGTTGCCTTGAAAGCAACAAGTTGATTTGACTTAAATGCCTCATATCGCCAAGCTTTCACTTTCGCCATTTTGCTTTTTGCTAAGCCATGACTGTGTTTGTTATTCTTTCTCCTTCTGTCTTCTTGCTTTCTGATTGGATACTATTTTGTTATAATCTCTGGCTCAAATGCATGTTTGTGCTTGGGGTTCCCACACACACATGAACAGTCAACACAGATATACCACATTACTTAACATTCTTAACGTAGGTCTAAAGGTACTTTTGTATTTTGTTGCTGAGTAATGCTAATGACATCAAGTTGCTGCTGTCACTAAGAATAATCTGTTTACTATTGAAAAATCATTTTGACAACACTAGTGGACAGAACAGAAATGAAATCCCCAATTACCATTTGTTTAAGTCAATGTTTCTCTGTCTTTATGAAGGAGTGTTCAGTCTTGGTGTACCTGTTGATTCTCTATTTTTCATCGGGAGTCAGCTAGTTGCCACCAGTCACACGGGGAAGGTAGGAGTTTGGAACGCCGTCACACAGCACTGGCAGGTAAACAATTCAGATTTAAAGTATATCTTTTACTTGTTAAAGCTGTTACTGGGTCTAAACTCTCTTATCAAAAATGAACAACAAATGTACAGTGTGCTGTAATACTGTTTAAATGACAGGTCTCAAACTGCATTCCTGGAGGGCCGCAGCTCTGCACAGTTTTGCTACAACCCTAATCAAACACAGCTGATCCAACTAATCAAGGTGTTCAAGACTACTTGAGACTGTTAAGCAGGAGTGAACTATACTAAATTATGCAGAGCTGCGGCCCTCCAGAAATTGAGTTTGAGACCATAGGTTTAAAATATCATGATCATAATGTTTAAATCCTAGTTTAATCTCAGATGATCTTTGATTGTGTGATTGATCTTTTGAAAGTTGTTAAAAAATTTAGGCGGCATTTACACTGCACTGTTAAAGTGACTCAATTCCGATTTTTTCTCCCATGTGGCACAGATCGGATATGGCCCATGTACATGTAAGCAGGAACAAATCACATGGATTCTGATTTACTCAAATCAGTTTCAGGCCTTGTTCATATGTGGAAATTTATCCGATATGAATCTGATCTGTGTTCTCGTGTCTGCAGTGTTAGCAGGTTGATTGGATTTTCACCAATGCAAGTCGCGCGTCATTAAAAACTGTAGCGAATGACGTCAAGTCTGACAATTTCATTTCAGAACAGACTTCAGCAGAGTCCCAAACCTTAAATCTCTGACACGAGAACTTAAACAGCTTTTATATTGTCATAAAGCACAGGTATTTAAGCATGTTAACAAGAGCGAGAGAGCGCAGTGTCCGCCACGTAACCAATTTAAACTAATATAAAACTAGTGCATAGCTACTGTCACCGACTCGGTCCCAGTCATTCCCCTCGCTGCCCAGCAGAGGTCATCATCACCTGACTTTTAACATTACGTCATTCCCACTGACTGATTGGCACATACACCTGCAGCGCATTTCCTAATCACTCACCTCACACATACAAGCAGCACACACACGCTGCTTCAGTGCGAAGTCTTGTTCTGCCCCGGCTAACACTACTGAGCGTTTCTGATCCTTGCCTGCTTTCCCGCTGACAACTCCGGACTGTATCTCGACCTTGTATTGCCTGCCGCCTGCCCTGAACTCTAGCCTGTACATCAACTTTGATCCTCGCCGCCTGCCTTTGACCCATGCCTGAATACTCACCTTGTGTTTGCCTGCCACCAGCCCTTCGACTAACTACAACTGTGTTTGATGTGAGTTCGCACTCGCTTAACATCTGTGTGCTTATTGTTATTAAACTCTGTTTAATAAATATACTGCAAATGGATCCCTCTGTGTCAGACCCTTCGTTACAGCTACATCATGTGCATAAATCACGCCATGGACATCAAGATACCTAAAGGTTTAAAAAAGCCTATATGTCAAAAGAAGATTGACAAATGAGAACCTTTCTGTCCTAAATCATAGTAAAACAGCTTGTCAAAAGCTGCTAACAGATTACATACAGGAATAGAGAAAAGAGCACTCTTTAATTATCAGCTGTTAGTCAGCTCCTGCTCATTTTTTTTGTCCTGATCATTGCACCTTTGCCTCGTGCAGTGTAAATGCAGACGATCAGATACGAGTCACTTTTAAAAGATGATGTAAGCAGGCCATCAAAAAAATCGGATACAGTCACAAAATTGGAATTGACCATCAAGACCTGCAGTGCAAATGCAGCCTTAGGGCTCTATTTTGACGGTCCATGCGCAGAACGCAAAACGCAGGGCGCAAACGCTTTCAGGGCGTGTCAGGACGCGTTTTTGCTAATTTAAGGACGGGAAATCTGCCTTGCGCCGCGGCCCATGTTCTAAAAGGGTTGAGTTTATTTTCTTAAAGAGTTATAGGTGTGTTTTGAGAATAAACCAATTAGTCTCATCTCCCATTCCCTTTAAGAGTCAGCTGCGTCGCGCTAAGAGCGCATTCGCTATTTACAGGACGCAAAATAAGTCTAAGTGGAAAAAATGAGCATTTCACTAGCAAACAGTTAACATTTGACAGTTTTTTAACAGAAAATGTTAAACAGAGCATCTACTGTGTGAGAATGAGAGATAATGGATCACTTTCACTTTCGCTCTTGGATAGGGAAACCTTTAAGCACAGACATCAATTAGCCTATAAATAATTAATTTCGTTTGTTAAGCGCAAATATTCGTTTCAAAACTATTTCTAAATTCAGTTCTAATTTCCAGTAAACGAACAAATGAACAATAATAACGAAGTGTGGTCAAAAACCTGAGTTATATCCAAATACACATGCTGTGCCCCATATGGTCTAAAACCTGACAGGTGGGCAAATCTAAGCTTGTTTTTAATAAAACAAATATAAATATGGATATAATAAATAATACTGCTAATAATAATAACATTATACAAAAGCAAATTGTTATGAATGAACTGAAAAAGCCTCCCGAGATGAAGAAGACATAAAAGCAGTGGTTTTTCATATTTATGGAGGCTAGAAAATAATATGTTTTGTAATATTTTAATCCTTTATATTTATATCCTATATCAATTCTTATTATATCCTATATATATCCTTAATATTTACATTTTTTCATATGTAAAGATATTTGCCTATTGCTCTCTTGTGCGTATTAAGCAGTGCGTAAGCGAGGCGCAACTCTGCGCCAGAGTTTAGACCGGGTTAGTTTTGGTCTAATGAAAAATCTATTATAGATTCTCAAAATAGCAACGCGCCAGCGGTCCGCCTCACAACGCCTTCCTTTTTAGACCAGAACGCCTATGGGCGCAAAAATGAGCGCTAATGCATTGGCTATTTAAACAGCGTAGCGTAACGCCTCAAAACGTCTCTTGCGCCAAGCTGAAACTACCAAAAGACTACTGCGCCACGCCTTGCGCCATACAGCGCCGGGTGTATGATAGGGCCCTTAGTGTCTGTGATGCAGCAGAAACTGTAGTGAACCATGATTTTATATAATTACTTGTGATGTGATGCAACAAAAAAGGCATTATAAAGAACTATTGAGATTCTTAATTCAGGCGAGCAGAGGCTTGGACCCAGAAACAGAATTCCATACATCATCACAAATGAACAGATTATCACGTTCACATTTGATTGTGTTGTTTACAATGTATTTCTTTGTACAGGTACAGGATGTGGTGCCCATCACAAGCTGTGACACTGCTGGCTCTTTCCTCTTGCTGGGCTGTAACAACGGCTCCATTTACTATATTGGTAAGCTGCTTAACTTCTCCTAGATTGAATTGAATATATTTGTATATGACGCATATATTTAATGGCATTTAAAACCGGCAGAGTCAGTGGCTGTATTTAAAACTGCATGAAGACATTAGAGTAAGTGATTAAATTCTAAATAGGTTGCAAATCATATTATCCTCTGTGAAGGCTGGAGCGATAGTACAAGAATTTCACATCACGATAGAAGTAATTTCATAAGCTGATTACGATAAATATCTCAATATATTCAATCTGTTAATACTGACCACATGAAAAAGACTTTATTTTTGACATTTGTAAAATATGTACTCATTCAAACAGAACATCTGGGCACACTAATTATTGCAGGCTCGACATAAAATATGAATAAATAAAAAGCTAAATGTAAAAATTGCACTTTCAAGCTTGCAAGTTTTTCACCATGCTGTTGTTCATGTTTCTGCCTGCGTCCAGATTGGTCATCCAAATGATGAAATAGTATTACCGTAAACAAGTATTTTAGAAGATGCACACTGCTGAGCCACTTGGGTAGAGCTCACCTCCAATGATGGGGAGCTTGGGCTCCAGCTCCTTCTGCTATAAGCTGTTTAAAGCCTACTCTGTCCCTATCACTTGTAGAAGTAGTGCTCAAGCTCCTCCTTGCCGGAGCTCATCTCTGCCCATGTGGCTCATATTTTTTAACACCATGAAATAAACTTGAGCATATTATGCATCAATAAACTTTTTATTTCCTCCTATATCACTGTACATATCTAATTCTATGTAGAAATTGATTTTGTAAAACTCATATGCAGTACAGATCAAAAGTTTGTATACATTGTATGTATACAGTTTTATTTAGTGAGGACACATTAAATTAGTTAAAAGATTAACAGGCAGTAAATGCATTTATTATTTGACTTTTTAAAAAAAAATTATGTTCTGTTTAAACTTTTTTCTACAAAAAAATACAGAAAAAATATATCACTGTGATAGTTTCTAGAAATATTAAGCAGCACTGCTGTTTTTTAATATTGATAATAAGAATTATTGTAAGAAGCATTATATTTTTTATGTAATAAACTATTATTACATGTGTATAATACTTAACAAAATTACTGCTTTTTTTACAACTCCTGAAATTCACATTTTGTTATTATATTTTGTTACACATCATGTTATTATTTATATTATTATTACTACTAAAATTAGTGGTATTGTTATTGGGACTTTGGTTGTTTTAAGTACCATAATATGTTAAATTATCTTAAGATCCATTTATTCATTCATTCATTCATTCATTCATTCATTCATTCATTCATTCATTCATTCAATCATTCATTCATTCATTCATTCATTCATTCATTCATTCATTCATTCATTCATTCATTCCATTCATTTTCCTTCGGCTTAATAGCTTTGTTCATCAGGGTTTGCCACAGCTGAATGAACCATCAACTTATGTTATTACACAGCGGATGGCCTTCATCTGCAACCCAGTACTGGGAAACATCCATACACACTCACCTCACCTATAGCGCATGTCTTCGGACTGTGGGGGAAACTGGAGCACCCGGAGAAAACACACGCGACACGGGGAGAACATGTAAACTCCACACAGAAATGCCAACTGATCCAGCCAGGACTCAAACCAGTGACCTTCTTGCTATGAGGTGACAGTGCTAACCACTGAGCCACCATGTCGCCTTTCTTGAGATCCATCTGTTACGCAATACATTTATATCTATATCTATGACTATATAATAATAATTCCCTACATTTATATAGCGCTTTTCTGAGCCAGTGTGCAGCATCCACCAGCTGATTGGTGGAGAGACAGAGTGATGAAGCCAATTATGATATGGGGAGGGTTAGGAGGACATGATGGACAGAGGCCAGTGGGCAAATTTGGCCAGGATGCTGGGGTGAAAGCTCTTCTCTTTTTTCAAAGGACATTCTGGGATTTTTAATTGACCAATGACAATGAGAGTCGGGCCCTCGGCTTTACGTCTCATACTGCTTTTTACTGAGCAGTAAAGAGTCCCAATCACTATTCTGGGGCATTAGGACCCACACAGACCGCAGGTTGGGCGCAGTCCCATGTGCACAGTCCTGCTTAGCTTCAGTGGGCGACCATGTGAGAGTTGCAGAGAGTTAGTTGCCAGCAATCTCTCTCTCTCTCTCTCTCTCTCTCTCTCTCTCTCTCTCTCTCTCTCTCTCTCTATATATATATATATATATATATATATATATATATATATATATATATATATATATAAAACTATATAGGAAAGGAAAAATGTCTTTTCTCAGGCCATTTACCTCATGAAAAGTTAAATATTCATATTCTGCAATAAACATGAGCAATACTTTCTCATACGGACTTGTACACAGCACCTTATAACAATATATAATGCAATACTTTCTCATATGCATACACAGCACCTTATGACTTGTATATTTATAACAAATCTGTACTTACACTTGTTTTATCTAGAGCTCTTCTGTCTAATTGCATCTCTGTCTTATGTTTGTCGTCTTTTCTCATATTTATTTTTGTGTAGTTCTTCTATTGCTATCTGTATCTTGTCACTTTATGTTCACAAAACAAATTCCTCGAGTGTGTAAAGTACACTTGGCAATAAATCAGATTCTGATATTTCTCCATATCATTATTGTAAAAAAAACATTCCATAAAACTCTAACGACTAATAATTCCTGTTTTAAATATAATCATTTTAAACACCTATTTTTTCTCCACTTTTAGACATGCAGAAGTTTCCGCTGAGAATGAAGGACAATGATTTGCTGGTGACAGAGCTGTATCACGACCCTTCAAATGATGCCATCACGGCCCTCAGTGTCTACCTGACTCCTAAAACCAGTGCGTCCCGTGATAGTTAATTACACTAACTGTATGATCACTGTAGTGGTGAGTCTGTCCAGTCACTGATCTCTGTGTTTGCAGGTGTGAGTGGGAACTGGATTGAGATCGCGTACGGGACGAGTTCAGGGGCCGTGCGTGTCATTGTACAGCATCCAGAAACGGTTGGGTCAGGTCCACAGCTCTTCCAGACCTTCACTGTTCACCGTAGTCCCGTCACTAAGATCATGCTCTCTGAAAAGCATTTGGTTTCAGGTAATCCTGACAATATAATTATAGAAAGTGTAATACATACTTGAATTTCCTCTTGGCTAGACTACTTTAACTGTATGAGTATTGGTCTTCCCCAGTCAACACTTTCTCGGTTAGAGATCGTTTAGAATGCTGCTGCCAGATTTTTTAAGAGCTCCTATTATACATTAAAAAGGGTTGTCATTGTCTAATAATATGAATTTATTTTTACCTGTCACAACAACTCCCATATGAAACGTTCAGCGACTCATTTGTTCCTAAACCCCTCCTTAGCGCGAAGCTAATCTGCTCTGATTGGACCGATGACAGCCTATTGCGATTGGTCTACAGCATTCAGTGCGAGACAGAGTGAAATGCCCAGCATGGCTTATCAACTATATTGAAGTAGTCAGAGTGCATAATGTGTGTGTAAGCATACCTGCCAACACTCCTGTTTTTCCCGGGAGCCTCCCGTATTTCAGACCCATTCCAGCCACCCACCCATTTTGTTATTTATCTTGGAAAACTCTCGTAATTTCAACCATGATTCACTAATCCATGCACTGATAAAGTTTCTGTCGAGCTCTGACAAGTCCCTTACATCAATAACCTTTTTTGATTTTTGAAGTGTGTAGATTCCAGAAGCACTCAAACTGCATAAGGCTGGGCTATAGTGCTGAGGTATTTTTGCAAAAAAAAAAAAAAAAAAAAAAGAGATTACTGCCCTAAAATATATTATTTTTAAATGTCTGGGTAAAGAAATAAAGCCTTTTCTCCTTTGTACACAATATATTTTATTTTGGGAAACTTTAAAATATTTCAAATATTTAAAAAATTTTAAAATATGTTGGAGCAGTAAACATGTCAGGCTAAATAATTCAAATGAATCATTGACTCCTCCCTTGTCTTTGTCTCATTGCAATGGCTTCCTATAAAATTCAGAGTTAATTTTAAGATCCTTCTTTTTACATACAATGCTGTTTGTATTTTACATACAAATCTATACATACAGGTCTATATTTGTGATCTTATTAGGCAATATACAGCATGTAGGGTGCTAGGATTCTCCAAAATCTTGTCCAAGTATAGCATGGTACAGCAACAAGAAAAATTCCTTCAATGTTTTCCTGAAAAAAAAGAAGTTTTTAAAATTTCACTGACCTCCACTGTGTAATATCGGTCTTGTTTTGTTGAAGTGTGTGCTGACAATAACCATGTACGCACATGGACGGTGACGCGGTTCAGAGGCATGATCTCCACTCAGCCAGGATCGACTCCGCTGGCCTCATTTAAGATCATCTCGTTGGAGGAAACAGAAAGCCACAACAGCTATTCCTCTGGAAATGACATCGGTGAGGGAGTAGTTTTCTTTCTTAGGAGGAACTAACAATTAGGTAGAACCACCTGCTATTATTCTTCATTATTCTGTAAACTGCACTGCTGTTGTGAGCAAACCAGTGAAATATAACTTCTTGTCTGCATTCAGGCCCATTTGGAGAAAGAGATGACCAACAGGTGTTCATTCAGAAAGTCATTCCCATCACCAACAAACTCTTTGTTCGTCTGTCCTCTACAGGAAGGAGGTACATGACCTGTCACATTGATTGAATAATCATTTGATTGTCGTTAATAACTATTTGAGATAACCATTCAGTTATTTAAATTATTTGAGATAACCAAGATATTTGTGCAGTGTAATGTATTTTTTCAAAAATGTAAGGACATTAAGGCATGCACAAGTTATTGGCATTTATCACTTACATGTTCTTCAAATGACAGTACACTTCAAAATGCTTCATTTTTACAATTATAAGACTGGTTTACCCAGAAATAAAAAAAATGTTATTAATGACTCACCCTTATATTGTTCCAATCCCCTGAGACCTACATACATCATTGGAGAAAGACCAGAAAAGGAACCTAAAACATTGTCAAAGTGACTTTGGTGGTTTAACTGTAATCAGTTGAAGCTGCAGCACATTTGTGTGGCAAAAAAAGAAGAAAATATAACTTTGTGTGCCAATATCATCTCTAGATCGCTGGACTAGTATGGGTGTTTACTATAGGCCATACACCTAATCTGGTGTAAAATACATAGCCTAAAGACACATTTTTTTATTATTATAATTTGCTGAAATCTATAAAACTACTGAAGTCACATGGAATGTTTTCAAAGTGTTTTTGTTTCTTTTTCTACACTCCGAAGTTTTTGTTGTGAAAATGATTAAAGGTCCTGATAACACAACTTTCATTTTATTAACAGAATCATAATTTTTGGGTGAACTAATCTTTTAACGTCATTGCAGTCCATTTTTCCAAGTTCCACACGTAGTTAATGACCTATTTTATTAGGGAGAGACATTTTTAGAAAGATATCTATCTTTTTGTTCTTGTAATTCAGGATCTGTGAGGTGCAGTCAGTAGATGGGACCACTATCACATGTTTCACAGTGCGAGAGTGTGAGGGTTCGAGCCGCATGGGCTCCAGACCACGACGTTACCTTTTCACTGGCCATGCCAACGGGAGCATCCAGATGTGGGACCTCACCACTGCCATGGACACGGCCAACAAGAGTGATGACAAAGCCAAGCGGGAGCCAGGTTTGATTATTACTATGCAGAAAATTAGGAAAAGCAGTTTAGTTTCTCAGGCTAAAATAATGTTACCTGTTTGCAGAGATGGGAGGTCCAACAGAGGAGGAGTTGCTGAAGCTGCTTGACCAATGTGATTTGAGCACGTCTCGCTGTGCCACGCCCAACATCAGCCCCGCCCCGTCGGTACTGCAGCACAGCCGACTACGACAGTCCTGCTCCAGGTACTGGAGACTCAAATATTATGAAGAAACTGCAATGTTCAATGACTAATGACTAGAGTGCTGCAGGAATAACATATTTTACTGGAAGATAGCATCACCCTTTTTCCTGCAAAATAATCAATATGATTTTATCACTGGCATTAGCATTTCATTATGATAAACTTCAAAAATACATTCAAAACAAATTCAAAACAACATTTAATCTTTTTTAAGTATATAGAAGTATTCTAATGAATAGTATTTAAATAGGCCTTAAAAATTGTAGTAATACAAAAAATTCAAACTAACATATAATAATTTGAATTTCATTTTTTGGTTTTACTACAGTTTATAAAGCCTTTTACCAGGACAAGGCACCTCTGAAATCTGATGCGGCACCCCTCCCCCACTGCTCGTCACTTTAATCCTTGACAATATCACCCCCCCGATTCACTTGGTAACATGCCGAATCCTTTACTCGATCTGTTCCGATAGCTTGCAATTTACAAAGCACTGCCTATTACAATACTTTTAATTATAATGATCGTGATCAAATTGTATAAGAGCCAGAAAACCATATGTGGTTTACTACTTCAATTGTACATTTACTACTTCACTCATAAAACATGCTGTTTTTGCTTCTTAACTGTAAAAGCACACTAAAAACAAACAAACAAACAAACAAACAAACAATATCATGAACAACAATCTTTTTTCAGTCTGTGCTTTTAGATGACTTAGCACACACTGGACAACTTTTATCATTTTAAAGACTTGTTTTGTGTCATTAATAAGAACTGTTGGTGTAGAAAAGAGCTGCAAATGTAGCAGTTTTTACTGAAAGAATATTATAATTAGAGTAAATGATTCCTCCTGTGTTTTATAAGTCCCCATGAACTCAAAAATAACCATATGATTTTGTTAGCTCACCTTCTAGTTGTGTGGTGAACAATTCATCTGTGCATGCCATTAGGAAAAAAAAGTTTGTCCTTGTAATCTTTAATTGAAATCTGTAAATGCACTTCCTGTTTCTTTCAGTTAAATTGTCAGATTACGTATATCTTAGTAAATGGGCGTAGCTAACATATTTAATCATGCAGCTGTAACTGTCAGTTTTGACAACAAACAGAAATGGGGAGCGGGAGGTGTCTGTTAGGTTGTAACACACCTCAAACACTTTCCCTGATCTTTCGGAATGAAATGCCTACTTTACTACATCCCTTCAGCTCACTGTGGAAAAAAACAAGCCACGGCCACTGTTATCTCTTTTAATATTCCGTTTCTCTAGAAACTGTCACAATATATATATATAAAAATGCAGTCACAGCTTCCGGTTTATGAGGACTTTAATGAATCAAGAGACTTATTGCAATTCAAAATGTTTTTTGCCATTTTTCCAGTCTCCAGCTTCAGGCTCAGGAGCCCATCCCTGAGACAGCCACCTATGGAGCCCTGAGGCCATACCGTGAGAGCCCTCTGCTGGCCCGCGCTCGACGCACAGAGAGCTTTCACAGCTACCGAGACTTCCACAGCTTGAACCTGACCAAAGCCTTGCTGGAGAACCACAGCCAGTGCGCATCCACCGAGGATGAGATCCGGCAGTCTGTTGGGGAAAACATCACTGAGGACACAGACAAACGAAACTCAACTATTGATCTCAGTACATCAAGAGCATCCGAAACACACCCTGCAGTAACGCGTAAACCCCCCGACAGCCCTGGAGACCAGAGGCGCAGAGCTCATCTAATGGAGGAAGGAGCTGCGGACTGCAGGAGAAGAGGGACGTTTGAGGCTAATTTTCTAAGCAGGAAAAAGGCTCCTCCAGTTTCAGAGCTCAGTCCTCCACCTGCGGGAGTTGATGGAGGCGGCAGTGACTCGTCCAGCACCGCTTCACCCTCGCCAACTAAACTGTCCACTTCCCCACGCCACCGAAAGCCTCCCGATTCTGCATGTGAGTGATGGTTTACAGTGATTCGTCATACATAAAGATCACACCAAATACCATAATCTCTGACAGGGAGAAGAAGGTAGATGAAGGGAGGATTTCAGAAGAGAAGGATTTGAGGATGTAGTTGTGAAGATCTGACAGCTGGCAGCTAAAAAAAAAACTCACTGTGGACAGATTTAAAGGGAAAACGCACACTCACAGTACAAATTCACCACACTTTTTCATGCCTCTTTAGCTTTTGTCAGTCTTCAAATGTTGGCTTCATTTTTCTTTTCACATTTCCAAGCTTGAAAAATCAAATCATTTGCCTAAACTTGTCATCCCCTGGAGCAAAAAAACAAAACAAAAACAAAACAAAACAGTAGATGCAATCTGTTTAATTCAGTCATCTAGAATTTAGAACTGCAAAATTTTATAGTTTACCTTTTTTAAGTAAACCTTAAAATGAAAATGTAATCAGTTTAAACTATCTTAAACTATCTAGTCACTAACTTAAAATTTAAGTTTTTTAGTCATTTTAATGTCAATAAAAACCTAAAGGGATGTATTTCACGGATCAAGACAGGGAAAGTTTATCAGAATGTCTGACCCGCTTGCTTCTATCAAATGAAAGTGGACAGAGACTGGGGCTTCTCAAACTCTACAAAGACTAAATAAAGCAGTATTTATATAGTATTATAATCACTGATTACAGACGCAAATGCCCTTTCACACAGGGCATCAGTGTTAACGCTTCCCATTCATTTTGAATAGGTGATGTCAAACATTGCTAAACTGAATTGTGGATCCGTCTGCGCTGCATCAGTGGCGTTGCTCACTGCAGAAGTTGTGATTTTCTCAACTTTTTAAGGGCCAACTAAAGCGTCAGCTAATCAGATCACCTTATGCAAAAACCCCAGCTCAGAGAGTAGCTGACTGTGGACTAACTTTATTGGCTGATACTGCTATGATGATCGCGTCAGCCCCAACTTCAGACACGTCCTCCATCAAGTGTTGATGCTGAAACCCTGTGTGAATTAGACACAAGACAGAACTAATCTATGGAATAATGAAGCTTTGGATAGGAAATGATCTTTTTGAAGTTTGAGCGAAATGCTAATGGTCCAATCAGATTCAATTATTTATGCTAAGCTAAGCTAAAAGTGCTTCAGATAGACACAGAGATTGGCTGAAAGGTTTTACCATTTTTGGAACTTTTTATTGTTAGGGAACTTAAAAAACTAGGAACTTAGCAAAAATTAGCCAGGGGTCTCAAACTGCTGGCTCGCAGGTCATTTGGTGCACCCCTCCTTCTCCCACCGGCCCGCAACTGACGTCAAAAATACAACAAGATTCGGCCGCCCTAAACATCTATTTTTGAATCACCATCACTGTTGTGCAGTCTAATATAGCCACTTGTGGATTTGACCCCCACCTACTGGACATTTGCAGTACTGTACTGTATGTTCCGGTTACTTTCGGTTTCTCTCAGTTTGGGGTCAAGAGTAACACGCATGCAGATTCTTTCTGGGTGTAAATATGATCATTTTGCTAATATTCGATTCAAATGGTCTCATTAATAGGTTTTCCTCATATGCATATTACGATTTTGTTACAAAAAATGTGGATTAGTAAAATTGGACTTCTGTTTGAAATGAACATGTTAAAGTAAAAGTGAATATATATATATATATATATATATATATATATATATATATATATATACATACACACACACACACACACACGCACGCACGCACGCACGCACGCGCACGCACGCACACACGCACACACACACACACACACACACACACACACATACATTTATATTACTATTTTTTTCCTCTTAGTTGTACTTTTACTAAAAAGAAAGATATTGAGAAGAACAATTGCCAGTAAAGTCAATAAAGTTCTGCTTTCTGCTGTCTTAAGCAATCTGTTAAACTTTTGGTTAAGCAACAGTTTAATGAGACAGAATAATGATAATAATTATTTATTATTATTAATATGCTTATTATCATTAAATTGAAGTATTTTAATAGCAATTCAAACTACACCTACAATAACAAGTAACAAAACAAGGAGCTGTGAATGTCTGAGTGCATAAATTACATCAGGTTTTCACTTTTTTCTTGTGCTTGAATGTTGAAGCGGCCCTTCTATAAATTGTCAGTCACTGATATGGCCCCCCGCCAGTTTGAGTTTGAGACCCCTGTCTAGAAACTCTGCTCTCCTTTTTGTACCATGGAAGACAACCTGATGAAAAGCATGCAGTAATACTGTAACATTGGTGAACTGTTGCTTCAAATAAACGGTTTGCTATTGTCTTATAACATTGATGTAGTTGTAAGATTACCATACTGATGCTTAGCAGGACCTTCAAAACACTGTGATGCACTTTATATGTCTGTCTTTACACTCATTCCTTTGTAATGAAGAAGCCAAACCAAACCGTGAACTTCTACAAGAGTCATAAGCCTTTGACATATTTCATTTCTTACACTGAGCCTTGCAGACTGTTCATTGTCAGTGAACTTTCAGCATGTTTTTAGCATTTATTCAGTGCCTTTTGCTAAACGTGAATAGCTACTGCTAAGAAATCAAAACGGATTTGTTTTTGCTATTCTAACTTTAGGGTTTGTTGGATTATTATCACATTATGCAACTGATTTAAGTAAAACAATTCAAAATTAACTTGCAGAATAAGACACCATTTAGGCGAGCAGCGGCAGATTTAGGCATGGGTAATATATAGCAGATCACCCAGGGGCGGCATCTTGCTAGTGGCAGCATGGAGATCCCCCAAACCCTCCACCACCCCGGTTTTCACTTTTGTCCGTGAAGTACTCAACAAACCCCTTCCCCACAACACACCTCCAACACCCATGCTGCGGCTTTCAATGGTATTGTAGACGAGGACAGGAAAGGAAAGGAACGAAATGGAAAGTAAAGGAAAAGAATGTTTTAAAGATAGCTGTCAGTTTTACTGGTAGAGGACTAATAAACTTACTATGTATTTAAAGTGCTAAAATGAATCAAGATGTTGTCAATAATGTCATAAAGTATACTTTATCATTTTCATATTAAGAATACATGGTAAAGGATTATTTATATTTGACATGAAGTTTATTTTGCATTGTCATATGATGAGCATATGATGAGTCACTTTTTCCACAGCCATTACACTTTGTGCCCAGTTTTGTTTACCTAAGAAATGTAAAGTACATATCTAATTGTCAATGATACATATCTAATGTAGTAGGGTAATATTGTAGTTAACTGTTGCTAAGTGAGATTATCATTTTAATTGTGACTTAATGAAAGCCTTTACCCAAATACTTACACTTCATATGAAGGAAACAATGAGATTTGATTAATGCTATGCAATCAGTGATAGTTCTGACAGTAGGCCTGAAATGAATGAATGAGTAGTGGAAAATTCAAAGGACAACAGCATGAAGTTAATAAAAATAACAACAGCAGCATAAAGTTAATAAAATAAATGCCACTGCATGTTTCAGGTGACATTTGCCACCACGACAATGCTCATAAATCTGTCTAAATGTCTTTTTAAAAATGTGCTTTGTTGCTGGTTTGCTCCTGTGTGTGGTGATCTTTTTATTACTACAAAATGGTGTCAAACTGGATATGCATACATGTGTTTTCATCACATTTATTTTGCACTAATGATTTGATTTTTGCCTTTCTCCCAACTCAACATAGCAAGCTAAATGAAACTTTTATATTTTGTTAATAATGTATTTCATTTATTTGCTCTCTGAGATGTTTTAGTGTTGGGGAATATTACATTGACAAGAGTATGACACTTTATGCTTGCTTTCAGAATTATCGTCACAATCTGATGTGTTTTTAAACCTGTTTCTGTATTGGGTAAGAGATTATTTTGTGTGTTTTATCTAACAACACTGCTCAGATCATTATGTGGCTTCAAGAGGAAAGTACAGACTTTGCTTGATAAAATAAAATATAAATAAGTGAAAATGGTACATGCACTACAGATCGGTACTTGGCTTCTGTATGTCTCCATTTGATTAATAAATAACCAAAATTCAGCAGCGTCTCAGACTCTCTTTTATGTTTTATTAAGTTTGAAAACATCAATATTACAAACACAGCTTTCTATAATTATCCATATATGAAAGTACTTTACAAGACAGCATAAACACCACACATATCTCTGCGTGATCTTAGCAAAAGCTGTTTTACAAAAAAAGTACAAATAAATTATTGTGACAATAAATAATACTGACAATCTTTTTCTTTTAAAAAAATCATGTAAAAAATATGCTTTTTATAATAGTGCTGATCACTAATATCTTTGTGTAATAATAACACCAAAAACAACGCATGTATCATTAAATATAATCACACAGTAACACTTTAAAATAATGGTCATATAGTTAAGGTTTGTTAATGTATTTACTAAGATGAACAAACAATTGTTTATACTATTATTAGAGATTTTTAAAAAATCTTTTTTGATGTTAATTTACACTTACCAAACTACACATCTATGATGCAAATCTCCTGTTCCACCACATCCCAAAAGTTCTCCATTGGATTTAGATCTTGTGACTGTGGAGGCCATTTGAGTACAGTGAACTCATTGTCATGTTCAAGAAACCAGTCTGAGATAATTCACTATGACATGGCGCGTTATTCTCTACTCGATTGGTACTAATGGGCCCAAAGTGTGGCAAGAAAATATCCCCCACACTGATCCAGTACCACCACCAGCCTGAACCTCTCATAAAAGGCAGGATGGATCCATGCTTTCATGTTGTTGATGCCAAATTTTGATCCTACCATCCAAATTTCGCAGCAGAAATAGCAATTTTGGTGAGCCATTATTTAATGTTGAACTATGATTAATAAATGCTTTACATGCTTTACATGTTTAGTTAATGTTAGTAAATACATTAAATAAAGGACCACTAATAGAAAGTGTTACCCTTCAAATATAACAGGTTTAAAACAACCTCTGACAATAAAAAGCACATCCACATGTGACACCGATGACAATTTTTTGGAGTTTAACGTGAACATTTAAGACACTGGATCCATTGGCATCATCACGAATGCGTATCCGCTATTGCTCAGTCTAACAGGCACAACAACAACACAACATTATCATGAATACAGACAGCATATGGATGAGACTACAGGACTCACTCTCATTTATATGTCTGTAAGGTCTTCCTCATTTATGTGTCTGTAGAGACCGAAGTGATGGACTTCCTCGCTATGTTGGCATGAATAATTTGTAGTTTCAGTTCATTAATACTTTATGATTGCGGTAATATTTCATAGCTACACAGCCAGGCATAAGACTCCATTTAGAGCTATAAT